GGATTATGAAGCTTTTTTGTCACCCGTGATTGCTTTATTAGGCCATTTTCTTGGTGTTGAGCCTGATTAGGTTTAGCCTGCTTAATTTTTGAAGGTGCAACAGGCTTTGAAGATGCATCCTTAGCTATATCCTTCTGGATAGCCTTCTGTAACCTCTGATCAGCAACCATAGCCTTATGTTGAGCACGTAAAATCTCCTGTTCCTCCTTTTTTTGTACTTTAGCAGCCTTCTCTGCTATTTTCTTAGCCTCAATTGCCTGTTTTTAAACCTCTTAGGATTCATCAAACTCTCGTTTCAGCTGGATATTAGCTTCATCCCATACCATTATATTGCCATGCTCTTTTTTGAATGCAGCATTTGCTACAGGTTTACTGCGCTGTCGCCTCTCTAATTCTGTAATAGCTGCTCGTGCATAGTAATCCCTCTCATGCTCAGCAATAGTTAATGCAAACTGGTACTGCTCAAGCACCTTACCTATCCTTTTAGCTATACGATCATCTACCCCCTGCATGGCTGTTTTGAGCTCTCGTTTGACCTGCCTAAAGGCATGAATAGATATACTGGATGAGCCTGAACTAGCAGTGTTTGGCCTAGAAGGTGCTGGATTGATGGTACGGATAATCTTCGAGGCATCCTGAGGCCATAGGCCGGATTTCAGCCAGGCACTTAGGATATTGGCCTCAGTGAATGATTGCAGATAGGCCGGCCAGAAAACCTCATAGAATTCACGTTTTGTGTATCTGCATAGGCCCATCCTATCTATGATCCATTTATCGAGGGTTCGGCTATAGGCCATTGCAAACGGCCTGAACATCCTAATATCCAGTGGCTGCAGCCTATACGTTGTATGAGGCGGAAACACTGCCAAAATGATCCTATTGTTGAAGCATAGGTCGAAAAACTTGGTAGTTAAGTGTGATCCATGGCCATCTAGGATAAGCAATCGATAATCTTCCGGATTATCTAGTTTGGCACGTGATATGGTTTCGAAATAGGTTAACCACCAGAGACCTAGTTGATTATTGGTCTATCCTGACTCTGATGCAGTAAATGCGATATCATCTGTCTCCTAATTTACTGCATGAATCCAAGAATCGTGTACATCTTTAGAGTTGGCTGGATAGATGAGCAAAGGCCTCACCCAACTGCCATCTGCGCAGATGGTGGCTACCATCATAATCCAGTCTCGATTGCCATCCTCAGCCACCCCAAGGATTTTTCCACTTTTGATCGATGCAGAAGTAAAGATATGCTTATGAGCCTTTAGCTTGCCAATCATCATGCCTTTTTCATCCATATTGTAGATGTTTTTCGGTAGCACGTGATATTGATCAACTTTAGCAAAAACCTATATTATATTATTAGGATCATACCACATCGATAAATTAGGTAATAATACTTGGTCAAACCAATTTCCATAATTTTTCACTGAATCAGCCTTTGTTCGGCTAATTTCTATGGCTGCAAGATAGTCGGATGATAGCCGATCGGAATGCCGATGGACAAATTTTTTCGGCCAGTTTCTGCCTACCGGTTTTTTGGCTATTTCATAGGCCAATGTTCGTATAATTGGATAGGTAGGTGCAAATCCTCGATCGGTGAGCTTATTTATATAGGTTATAAGCTTCTTTTCTTGTGCTTTGGTGAGGTTCTTGTTGATCTGATCATTATACTGCTGTCGAGAAACGGTCACCCCTCTGAACCTTCTGCTTAAAGTAGAACGATTTACATTAAACAACGTTGCTGCAGCCTGAATCTGCGTACCTGGATTAGCCTTTAGATAGGCTATTGCATCATCCATAGTGGTGGTTGGATAGATATCTATAATTTGGGTGAGAAATGCACTTCAGAACTTTGCCCGTGCACACCTAGGCCCGTGCACACGAGGGTCCTGACTTCTAGCCTGTCGCGCGACCTCCGAGCGATTCACGAATTGCGCATTCAAAGCATCCTCTTCAAGACCGTCTAGCAGAATCATGAGACTTCACGAGGAATGCTCTCCATTTTTCCTTGCGGACAACATAAGGCATAAACACCATGTTCGGTGGCTTTCTGGATCTGTGTCTGTTAGTCTGCCAAGTAGACCCTTGATCGATGCCATTCAAAACACAAAACCGACGAAATACATTCTCTATCAAATGTATTTTTCATGCCGAAGATACTCTTGAAAGCGACATGTAAAAAGAGGAGGTTCCGGCGGTATGAGATTTGCTCATATTTTTAAGGCTTCGATCTCCCGGTCCAGAATTCGATGATCGTCTGAGAATGAGACAGACCCATTGCTCAACGTTTAGTGTCAACACAGGCTGCGAACAAAGCAGATTTACCCGCATGTAAATCATGAAATGACGCCCGATAAAAACGGCACAAACAGAATTTGAAATTTTGCCATTTCCGCTGGTGCTACACTGATTCTTTCCTGCAGGTTTGAAGTTGCAGCGACTTCCCGCAGCCCCACGACCTGCGCTTAACTCGGCTCTGCGATCTTGCAGCCAGCTCGACCCGGGATGTGACGGCCAGGCTGTCATCTTCGGTTCCGCGCTTGTGGCTTTTAGGCCGAATTCACTACATGGTTACACTAGAACTGTAGCTTAATGCAAATTTTACCCCGGGCCTGAGCCATGTCTGCGCCTTGCAGATCGAAAGGGCGACCGTGTTACGAGATCGGAGTGTTGGCTACGGAATTGCCTTATCTACCAAAATACTCCTGGAGCAAAGAACATGCAAGCCAATATAGACATGTTCATATACAAGGAAGTCTGGATGGAATACGTGCATTTGGGTCATCCGAGGTACAGCTACCTAGATCTACGGCACTCACCGAAGTGCCGTTCATAAATTTGGTCAAAGCAAAGCCGTGCTAGTCAGGCCCCAGGGAATTACCCTATCATGATCAATCTGAAACACGACACAAACTCTCCGGAGCCAGCCACTCTCGGAAAGGCCTTTGCATCTCGCCCAGGTACAAGCTCAAGCTCTTGCAGCATCTTGCCGCTTTGGTGTGCGCCGCGAGTGAGGGATATACGGGCCGCTAAGTCTACCCTCTTCGCGCTCAGAGAGGTCTTGATCGGCAAGAGAGAGATCGCTCTTGCGGCTCACAGCGCATGCGAAGAATGTCCGAGTCAAAAATCATGGATTTCTCCTTCACGACAGAACGAAGGTACATGTCTCAAGTATATGAAGTCGCTGCTGTGAATCTAAACTCACAGGCGGGAGGAAGGGACCGTCCCGCGTTTAGTGTTTTTGCCGAAACGGGAAACATATCGTACATAGATCGCAAAACATCTCCCCGTACGCCTTTCACGCCAATACCTGGCACCATGGACTTGAGGTTGAATTAAAGTTTTTAGAGTTGAGGTCTGTTTAAAAATGTCCCACCCTTGTTGGGCAGGTCGCGATGCTCGCGTGGGCTGGCGGACAACCAATGCATCTACGCTGCTTGCCGTTTCCCCGTACTGTATCAGAGGAGACTATGAACAGTCCCTTGCTAACCTCCGCGCATCAGGCTCAGGCGAGTGGAGAGAGAGCGAGATTGAGCAGGAAAAATTTTTTTTTTGCTCTTTAAAAGACGCGGCTGCAAACGTGTTGATATCCTTGAGGTTTTCGAAGTACATGATGCATCTTCGGATCCTGATTTAGGTGTCTGCCGATTCTTGCAGCAACGCAGCAAAGCCCAGCACCTTCAGAGTCCCAAATCGATCATACTCATGGCAGAACCAGAGCCATGGGGAAGGACCCTAGAGCATGCAGACTTATTCTGCGCAATTCGCCCAAGCATGTGTTGTGCGTCGGTACGGGGAAAGACTTCCGGTACAAGGGGGTTCCTGGTACAATAGTGGACGCTTTGAAGTGTTACTCCATGTAGATGCAGATGTCCTGATTCCACATGGTACTTTCGAATGATATGAAAAGACATTTCCGTGACTAGCGCCTATTACGATGCTATGTGTCGCGCTTGCCGGGGGTTGGGTTTTTTTTTTCAAGCCAGTGGGCGCACGGCGACTAAAGTTGCCATCAAGGGCGATAAGAGAGCATTGGCACGGCATAACGGTCGACACGTTGGCTGCTCTCTGGGGGCATTAGCAGAGTGCAATGACCTCAGAAGTCGAGGACGTGTTCGATCGAAGAACTGGAGGCCAACAAGCGAGAGATCCCACGTTACCCGGTGGCGCCCAACCCCGGCATCTCACGCAGGGCCTCGATTGAGCAAACAAACGCTGCACATCGCGTGTGCCGCACCGTGGAGATTTACGGCTTGTACCCTCGATTCTGCACGCATGCAAGCACGCATCGCGATGGCATACGGGACGGGGTCGGGCGTGTGTGGCGAGATATAGTGCCCGCGGTCGACTGCATCGCCAAACGAGCAGCGGGCTTTTTTTGACACCAGCGCGTGACAGCAGAGCCAGGAAGCTTCCCCAGATCTTGAGTCAAGGAATTTGTGATCTATCATCTTTGACGCCAGCCATTCGCCGAGCGTCCGTGATATCGTCTGCCGGAAAAGGCATTGGCATGCCGGGTTCATCCCGCACGTTGACGAGGATCTGCTGATGGTCTCGTAATTGGCCGGCTCCTGCTGAGCCTAGCCTTGCCGTTGATTTTTCGAGGCTCGCCATTTTGCACGGAGACGCGTTTTCGACACGCTTAGGCTACGATCCTGCCGCTGGACAAATTCGTCAGAAGAGCAGAACACAGAGGTTGCAGACGAGTGGCGCTTAACGCTGCTGGCGCACAAAGCCCATCCTTGGTGATTCGATGCCAGTTGCTTTCCAGAACTGAGGGATGGGCGCAGCACAACCGCGCAACTTGGCAAGGATCTGCGCCTTTTTAATTTGCAAACGGCTCCAGACGTACGCTCAACGCCCAATGCCGGTCCATCTCGAGTGCGGCTCTTGGTTCGTCGTGCGCTCGCTGGGCTCGCCGTGCGCCTCGATTGCAGCGACGGAGCCGGCGGCACGGGCTCGTCGTCGGCTCTCAGCGCTTCCCGTGGCCGTGAGCGGGGAACACACAACGTGATCTGGCTGGCGGCCAGCTGTCCAGGCGGCTCTTTTCGTCGTCTGAGGAAAATCCTAGCCAGCGCCTTGCAACGCTGCGTGCGTCGAGCAAATCTGCAGGCCCCACCGTGCTGGCCAATGCGTAGACTGGAGTGCGGGCAATCGATTACTGGCATTAACGGCGGCCGGTATGACGCTTGACAAGCTCACGCCCATAGGTGGCTTCAAGCCCTGCATCACGTACCCTCCTCGACCCATGGATAGCTCATGCGACCCCAGCATGGCCGGATTCTTGCGAGGTGGGCCACCGAGGTGCTAAGATGCGCGCGCATCGAGAGGAACAGTTCGTTGCACTACCCATTCACGCCATATTCTAGTTATAGACTTGCTGCAATGGGCTGTTTTCATTCACCACCTCGTTACCAGCTCTTTGGGAGCATCCATTCTACCATTGCCTATATAATCTAATGCCAGACCCTCCGAGGCCGCTACGTGCGCTTCATCTCTGTGATGAATGAGTTCCATTCAGTCTGGACACTCATCCCCTTCCATTCGTTGATTTTCGGCTCCTGTAATGGCTCAAATATACCTCATTTCATTGCTTGTTCTCGTGTGCGTCCACCCTCCATTTGCCATCGCCAACCACTGCCAAATCACCATTTCCGCCACCTTCTTCGTCTCTGCCTGTCTCGAGCCGTCCGGCTCTTTTTCTGGTCCCTCCTCCCCCACCCCCTCTGCCTTTTCGTCCGTCTCTGCAAAGGCGACGGATCTCGAGTGCTGACGTAGGGCTCCAGTTTTCTCAAATATTTCCGCCTCATCGTCAATTGCATAGCGTATTGGTGTTATAAGCCTGTTCCTTTATCGGACGAGCCTCGATTCACGCCTAACGATGTCACGGTTGTAATTCCCTCGCTTGACGGCGACAACGACGAACTGCGGGAGACGGTTCGATCCGTGTTGACGAACGATCCGCACAAAGTAATCCTGGTCACGATTGATGCCAATCTCGAGAAGGCCGAGAGCGCTTTTCTCAAGATGTCAGAAAAAATCGAAATACACTCGATACCAAAGGCCAACAAGCGACGCCAGTTGTGCAAGGCCTTGCCGTTGGTGACGACGGAGATCACCATCCTCGCGGACGATGATGTCAGTTGGCCGCCCAACCTGCTCCCGTGGATGCTCGCACCGTTCGAAGACGAGAAAATGGGCGGCGTGGGAACAAATCAGCGGCTGCGTCGAGAGAAGAATCCGAACATATGGAATTTCCTGGGGGCGGCATATTTGATCCGTCGAAATTGGGACTGTACGGCTTGCGAGTTCATGGACGGGGGATTGCCGTGTCTCTCTGGTCGAACGGTGGCGTACAGAACGGACATCATAAACGATCCCGAGTTCATTTATTCATTCACACACGAGACGTGGCGATCGTGCCAGCTGAATGCCGACGACGACAACTTCCTCACCCGCTGGATGGTGAACCACGGCTGGAAGACTTGGATTCAGCACCACCGAGACTGCGAGGTTCAGACGACGTTAGAGAACAACAGTAAATATTTGCTACAGTGCCTACGCTGGGCTCGAAGCAACTGGAGATCGAACCTCAAAAGCCTGTTTGTCGAAGGGACCGTCTGGAGGTACGTGCACTTGGATTGTTTCGATTGTGGCGCCGAATCGTACCGTTTTCATGATCCCACAAACATCTGTTTCACAACCCAACTCGTTCGCGCGAGAGTTGTGCAACAATAGTTTTTTTTTTTTTTTTTTTTTTTTTTTTTTTTTTTTTTTGGTTTGGAGAAATCCTACCGTGTGCAGGATGCATTTGGCTAACGCTAAACATTTGTCTGTTGCAGACGCCATCCGTGGAGCACATTCGCCGTTTTCCAAACAACCCTGACCAGTTGGTCTTTGCCGTACGACGCCTCGATGCTATGGCTTTTTTGGCAGGTCACTTCGACCATGCAACACGACACACAGCGAATTGTCCGAATCCTGTTTCTTTTCTGGGTCGTTCTCATTTGCCGAGTAGTGAAGTACATGGGTCACTTCGCGCGATATCCTGAGGACTTGAAGTACATCATGCTTATCCCCCTTTTTGGTTATTTCCATTCTTGTTCCATAAAGCTATATGCCATGCTTACCATGCATGTTGTAAGTTCTCCGAGACGCGCACATTCACTCCCAAGGCCGTATTTGCTCGGGCGCTGACCTTGACCACCGATAGACCACCTGGGGAAGCAGAGAAGGTGCTGATGTTGATGACGCCTGGAGATTGATCCACCTGCCAGGTTACAGCCCCAGTGGAAGTGATCGCAGAAAACCTAATGTCGTAAACGAGATCGACGAGCATTATCTCGAGGAGCTCGAAGAGCAACGCCTACTTCTGCCCAAGTACGATGACGACGCATGAAACGAAGTCACTCGATGCCTCAGGTCCAGGTCGCACAGGTCCGGCCTGGCCGTAGGAAACGACTTTCCGTTTTTACCATTTTTCCACCCACATTTTTCCGGTTTTCATTCGGGATTCTGGCGGTTACATGTCTCGGCAAAAGCTTTTCTTTTTTGTTCACGATCATTGTCATCCAGGTTTGTTCATTAGAGGCGAAATTCATCCGCAGAGATGACGAATCGGCTCGATTTGTGCCTGGCAAAAAGTGGGATTTGGTTCAGGATTTTAGAGGCTGCAAGAGTTGCGGCCCTGGCATATTTCTGCATTTACCATTAGTCACCCATACCCTCGAAACGCGCGGTGGCCACCTCAATGGACTGTTGATGGAGTGTAATGATACCTTTCTTTCCCACTACTGTGATCGTCGCCCTGTTCTGGGCTCCACGACAGCAACGCCCTCTTTTTTGACCATCATCAAGGGCGAACAGCGGGGAGTTCCTTCTCCGCACGCGAGCTTGTGGCTTATCGACCCTCACCAAATTGGATCGGTTACGAGTGTGGGCTGGATTTTTGTTCCTCTTTGACAGCCACGTCCGTATTTGCCAATCAACAGCGCTGGGAAATTGTCACGACACCTTTCGAGTCAAGTCCGAGCCGAGAGCTTGGACCTCCCTAGATCGCTGTATCAAAGGCGGGGTGCACCGCTCACGAGCTGCATATGTAACTCCTCATCTTCGCGTCGCTGAGCAAAATGTACCCTGTCGTGCGTGCCGAGTGCTGAAGCAGCTGACAACTGTGTGCTCTCATTAGCTGATGCAAACCGTGGTGTTGAGCAACGTTTCAGCGCCGCCGAGCTTCAAACGTAGCGCTTTCGTCATCTTGGACAGCAGATCCTTCTCCAGCAACCCTCGTCATTGCCGATTATGCCCGCCGCAAACTGTGCGTGGTCGGATGCCAGTCATTCCCGCAAGCTTCCCGCAAGCCTCAAGAGGACCGGTCCAAGCTAGACCATCACACTAGCTCTGTAGTTGGCAAGCTAGTGTACGCGGTAGCCCAGATCTCGGGCTACGCCGTGCAAGTGCTGGAGGCAGGCCGGAAGCTCGTTTGAGGCCGTTGTTTTCGTGGCGACGATGCACGGCCTGATGTCAGCAATTCTCACTCTGCTGCTCGACGGCATTTGGCCCCTGTAGGGTCTGTTACGTCGCAAATCGCCGGCGCATCCATCAAAACCGTACAGCGGCATCATAGTGCGATCGAAAATCCGTTTCTCGGCTGCTCATCAGCCGCCATTTCCCCACAGGGCTTACTGCATTTGGCACGGCCTACAGTAGCTCACAGTGCCTAAGGGAAACCCTAGCAGCTTAGCGAAGTTCACGAGGAAACAAGTTAGATCCGCTCGATACGCTGACTGCGTTCGTCCAGCACGTTGATAAAAATTCTGCCACCACCTGCTTCGGCTGCTCAACCAGGACCTCAACGTCGAGTCCGCTTCTGGCTGCTCCTCGTTTGAGGACACCGGAATGTTCCATGTGCTCTTGCAGCTCGATGCTCTGCGCACACACGCACACACGCACACACGCACACACACACACACACACACACATGTCCCTCCCCATGTTTCTTCACTGGGTTAGGTCTTTCGCTAGTTCCCTCATCTCAGCTCCCCGTGCATCAGCCTTCACATGCCCTCTTATCTCACACTGCATAGCACCGTCCAGCAGAAAGTACCTTCGCCCTTGCGCCATTTTCCTGTCTTCTTCGACCATCTTCGAGCCAAATCTGGCGATCCCCCGGGCCTTGTCTCAGGCGACTCTTCAGCGCCGTGAGCATGACACACGCATTACATACGCGTCCAGCCCTATATACCCCGCAAGCGCCCTCACGACGAAGATTAGAACACGAATGAGGGGACGGATCATCGGCCGTTGGCGTATTCGTCGCCGGAGGCAGCTGCGAGCCCTGCCGCAGCAAAACACACCAATAAGCGTTCTTGGGCGGACTCCTGCACCGCGTTCAAAGAACGGTTATCTTGGCCCGCACATGCTGCGCTGCAAACGCACAGCGCGCATGCTGTATGACATCCCATAGCTCATTCTGCACCATCTGTGTGCCTGGACTAAGAAAAACCCTCGACCGCCTGAAGTGCCTCTACGTAAGCCTCCCACATTTTCCTCTTGCGATCACCGTCAGGGAAGCCCCTTTGTATGGGCACGCGACCCCCCGTCAGCGCTTCCGAATCCAGCTGCTCTCGCTGTGTGCTTCACGAATTTTGACGGCGAACCATTCGACTATTGACCTCTCTCCCCTGCTGATCTTTTGTCTTGCAGATCACTCATCCTGCAAGTCGTTCGTATCGTGATCTGATTTTTCTTACATGTTCAATAATCGCAGATCGCGTGTGGCAGAACAGCCGGCTAGGCCATCATTGGCGTCCCTGCACCGGCCGACTGCCAGCGCTGGAGATTTTTGCCGACCTGGACTTGTAAAAGTGTAGAATTCTGAGTGGACGACCCCAGGGCTGATTCCAAGGAAGGCATGATCATCTGGGACGGCATGTGACGGTTTGTGGCCAACGATAATTCGAATGCCGTCTTAGTCCCTTTGAGCGTCTCCGGAGTAGAACGCCACATCATTCGACCAAACGCCTAGATAATGTCGCACAAAGGACATGGAACTCTGCTCTTGTTCTCTCTACGCCTCACGACACCATTCCAGGCCCCGCTGACTCACAGTTGGGTGTGGTATCTTGATGCAAGACAGGCATCTTTAGTTGCGTGAAGGCGTACCAAAGAAAAAAATTTTTTCTTCCTTTTGTCTCGGATTGGGGCTATCAGTAGGAGGTATTGGTTGATCGAAGCCTTGTTGATTCAGCTACCTAGAACTACCCGATCCGAGACAATCGTCGCAAGCCTCCAATAGCAGGAGGTGGACATACTTTTTGCTGTGAAGGACCAAGGAAACAAGTCCCACCATTCCTGGTCGTCGTGGACAGTTATGCCTGTGTGAGCGGCCTGAGTCCAATTTCAGTGAGGCGGAAGCTGTTGGTTCGTATTCTAAGCCTTTCTTCGACGCAACGAAACATCCCACGATCTCTGTGCTTCGTTATGTACGTTTCATTGAATAGACTTAGTCTTCGTATTCGATGCAGCACACACAGGTCTTGTAGAGGTGAAGCTGCTATGGAAACGGCTTAAAATTTAGAACGCTATAGAATCAAAAAAAAAAAAAAAAAATCGAGACGTACGATTTCCCATCATTTTCTGTAGACGCCTTGGGATATTTTTTAAGGGTGATCCGAATCGGAACTTTGTCACTCAAGACTGCCATGATGTCGTGCCGGCTGTGTTCGGTCACGATTCTCCCGAACTTTCACCACAATCTGCTTCAGCAAGTGCTTGGTGTGTTTGTACATCTGATGGAAGGCACCACATCGTCGTCGGCCATTTGTGTGTACCACCGCATTTTTGTGTCTGCACAGCCTCACAATTAAGAATGCCTCAGGTGATTCTCGATGCCCACATTCATCTGTGGCCAAGTTCTGCGGCCAATGAGGCTTCTCACAGCTGGATGGTGCCTGGCGGCCACTTGACGAAACAATACTCTCTAGGCGACTATCTTGAAGCCGTAGCCCCCGCCGCTTCAGACTTTACGCACTCCGGGTTCGTGTACGTTGAAACGGACCGAACGGTCGGGTCCAAGGTGACCGATGACCTGACCGTACAGGCAGCAGAGCCTTTGAAAGAAATTGAATTCCTAAGAAGCATAGTCGAGGGAACTGCGGAGGACGGGCACGCATTTCGCGCGCAAGATGCTACTCTTTTGCGAGGCATCGTGGCATGGGCCCCACTGAATCGACCTCTTCCTGACTTCTTGAGATACATGGAAATCGCGCGTGAGACTGCAGGCGAAGCGACTTGGAGCAAAATAAAAGGGTTTCGATTCCTTCTACAAGGGATTGTAAATGAGGACGAATTTAAGCAGCTGGTCGACCCCTCCGAGTCGTCATTTGTCACTTTGTTGAAATTTCTAGGCAGTCAGAATCTGTCTTTCGACGTGGGCGTGGATCAGAGACAGGGAGGGGTTTGGCAACTGGAACGATTTGCAGCTGTCATCGAGCTTGCACACAAGGATGTTGCGACGGAGAACAAAACCATATTCATCCTCAGTAAGCAGGGCAAAGGGCCCCACGTCTCTCGTCGTGTGCAGCGACTAACGCGAGAAAAGATCATCTTTGCAAGCCAGATATGGAGCAGCCGCCGACGACGGATGCGCGCACGAACCAGAACTTCGAGCGCTGGAAGATTGCCATCTCACGCATGGCCAAGCAAGAAAGGGTTTACATGAAGCTGTCTGGCGCATTCTCGGAGATTGCGGATCAAACAACTGAATCCCCCATGCCCGTCAGTGAGGTAGTGGAACGAATGAAGCCGTGGCTAGATCAGGTCTTTGCGGAATTCGGACCACGGAGAATAATGTTCGGAAGCGACTGGCCTGTGTGCAACGTGAGAGGACCAGGGGATTCGAAGTCATGGAGTCACTGGGTCAAGGTGGTCGATCAGGTCTTGCGATCACGACGGCTGTTGGACGATGAAATGAACAGGGTATGGCATGGAACAGCTGAGGAGGCATATAGGTTAAACTGAACGAGTTCGAAAGTTTCCCAATTTTTCCTTGAACTCATTGTAAATTGACAAACAAGCCACCGTCAACGAGTAGCTGCGCACCGGTCTAGGATGGGAACTTAGCATGTCAAAAGTAGACGTACGAGGCAGAGGTGTGCGCACCACATATTCGCTCAGGTCGCTCGCAAGAAACACAGCTGGGCCTGCCAGGTCCTTTGGCTCGCCCGTCCTACCCAAGGGTATCCTGCCCTCCATGTACTTTCTTTTTTCGTCGTTTGCAAGGTCCTTCTCGTTGAGCTGCGTCTTGATCGTGCCGGGCAGGAGTGCGTTACACCTGATTTTGTACTGACCAAGGGCGCACGCACATGACTGCATCAAGCTGAGCACCCCTGCTTTTGTAGGCGTGTAGTGCGTTTGATAGGCGCCTCCAACGAGCGCGGAGATGGACGAGACGCCGATGATGGAGCCTCCGTGGCCTTGGGCGACCATCTGTCGAGCTGCAGCCTGGATGGCGTAGAAGGCCCCGTGCAGGTTCGTGTGCACGGTGAGATCGAAGAGGTCCTTCTCGAGACTGTGGCGAAGAAGACGATTAGCTCAAACCCCGTCCGAAACGCGGGCTAGCCCGACGCAGCTGACCTCAAGAAATCCGAGAATTGACATATTCCAGCGTTGCTCACGAAGACGTCGAGCTTGCCAAACGCCTTGACGGTCTCGCTGACAAGTATCGCGGCGGTCTCGTACTTCGAAATGTCACCAGGAATCTCGATAAGCTTGGATCCGGCAGCGGCTTCATTTACCAAGCTCTTAAAGTGTTCAGTCGATTTATCATCACCAAGGTGATTCACGGCTACGCAAGCCCCTTCTTCCAAATATTTGAGGACGATCGCGCGTCCAATTCCGGTGACGCCTCCAGTAATCGCTGCAACTTTTCCATCAAGTAAGCCCATCGTGTTTCACCCTAGCTGTTCCGGCCAGTTTGATTGCACAGGATGATCCGAAAAAGAGCAACTTCTAGATGGAGATACACTGGGTAAGATTACAAAAAATTCAAGTTGACCTCGAAAAGCAAGTTTGACATTGAGAAGCTGAGTTTTCAAAGCTCTGATATATAGTAGTTTATTTTCCGGCACACAGGTTCCTTTGAGAACCCTGGATTTTCTACTGTGAAGTGTTCGGCAGAGAAGGTACCGAGGACGAACCAAGTCTTCGCAGGAAATCGTTCATGTACCCCACAAACGCGTGTTCGAAATTTTCTCCACATTTCCAGATTCCGTATCAATGTCAGTCTGCAAGAAGTTTCAGCTTCAAACTTTGTGTTAAATTCCTACATGCTTAGGTCAAAATTAATATTTTTTTAAAAGAAAAACATAAAAGTTCTTGGTTAACTGTTGCCGAGAATTCTGCCATAAGCATCTTCAACCTCTCTTGCAATGCCCATCAATCCCACGATGACAATCTGATGTGTTACATTAGGCAACCTGTCCCTGTGCAGACCAATCCATTCCAGTGGAGGCGTTGCCTCGCCCATATCTCTCAACTGTGGTGTTTCGATTATGGGAGGTTCGAGCGGGATGTAGTTGTATTTTGATATTGGTACATTTACCACCGCAGTGATCTTCTCTGGTTCTCGACCTGCTTCTGCATTTGCCTTGTCCTCTTCTGATGGGATTTGCTCCGTTCTTATCTTGACTGCAGACTCAGGCAGGGGCTTTCCGAGACGAGAAGCTAAGTTTCGCGCGTGATTGTTATACATCCCGCGAATAAAAGAGATACGACCGACATTCCAGCCTACGTCCACCTTGCCCTCGAACCTGCTCTTGAAGATGTATTCGATCGTCATTTGGCCTGGTGATTGCCATGTCTCCATTGTTGCAATGACTTTCGGAACTCTCAAAATTGTTCCTCCTCGGCTTTGTACCGCTGTTGTGACTACGTCATCAACCGTAATCTCTTGTAAAGTCCTTGGTCCGGTAGGTTGTTGGACCGCAGTAAGGGCAACCTGGAGTTGACCAAGAGTCATACCTAATCCTGTCCGGACTTTTCCACGATCAACCATTGCCGCGAAGCGAGCTTGTACGTCTGAAGCTTCGATGAGGAATATTTGCGAGTCGTAAAAAGCAGATGGAAATGCTCCAACCTGTATGGAGCGGATCGTGACCACCACATCAGTGTACAGATTGATGGGCGTATCCGCTGCATCTCCCTTCTCTTTCTTGACCCGTGCTTGTGGCGGTACCTTTGTCCCAACTTGAGTTTGTACAGTTGTCGAATGCCGTCTCAAGAATCTTTCGATATCTTTGAGTGAATTTGCGTAAGCGCTTTCCGTATCTTGCTTAAGTTTTTCAAAGGCTTGGAATAATGCTACTGATTGGGCAGCGGTGGTTGCAGTACAGAAAACATGGATTTTATCTCCCTCGAGCATCGCTACCAAGCGGTCCTTCTCCCTTGGATCGTCGGGCCGAACGTTGTACATGAGGAAATCAAACGAAGAGATGTCAGCAATGCCGAAAGCTTGGTAGTCAAAAGCTGCCTTGACGCGGAGCCGCTCAAAACCTACGGCCGCCTGGATCATAGGGGTTCGGCGGTGGCCTGGCACTTGTTTCGGCCATGCAATCATGGTTCGGACCTTGAGATTTGACAGGTCTACAAAGCCGCTCGTTCTTCCAGTGCATTCCATGCCGACCTGGCCAATTCCAATGATTAGGTTCTGCTCCCAGTTCGAATCTTTTCGTGAGGATGCCCAGAGATTGTCAATGAACAACGAAGCCTTTCCAATTGACTGACCCATATCGATCTCCACTTTCATCTCCGCGATCTGCAGTGTTGCAGTCCACGGGAAAGCAGCTGTATTGGTGACTTGCTGATAGCGAGCAACAAAATAATCCTGCGAGTCAACTGTTGGCGGCGAGGCTGGGGGTGCGCTTGAAGATCTGATTTCTGGTGGTAACCAAATTTCCCTGAAGAGCAAGAAATCCTGCAATTGACGGGCATTGATCTGTGTTCGCATCGGGAAAACCTTGACTACGGCACACAGGCCAGCCTTGCCGCTAAGATGTTTGCTGTTCATAACGGACAAAGCGATCGACTGGATGGCGAAGTTGAACGTCGACTCCCGTGAATAAATGTGCTGTATCGAGGCTTGTAAATTGTCGAAGCGCGCTGAGACGGCAATGAAGTGATCGTGTTCCGTAGATTTAACGTTATTGGCCGTGATATAGATGTCATCAATATGTGCGGACGCCGCAACACGAGCGATAGGTTGGCAGCTGAGGCTGAATTCTTGTCTGCAAATACGTACACCGAGATTGATGCTAGTCCCGCCGAGGAGCTCATTTGGATCTGCAGTAAGAAGGTTCTCATCAATCAAAGTAGTCGACGCTGATGGGGTAGTGGGTCGTTGTGGCGCGCTTTCATTCATAGCAACAATCGTCTTGATACTATCAGAGATTTCAAGAATAAGAGGTACTACTGTGGGTACGAGCGTGTTCGACGAACCGCTGACTTTGATCTCGCCGTTGAGTGACGATTCAAGGCCATTATCTTTATACTGTACTCTGATCGCGAGTCCTGGTGTCTCAATCTTCGTTCCGGTAGAATTGTCGTCACCGATAAATTGGCCGTATCTGCCACGATTTTTTTCATACTCTGCTTCAGGCATCGAACTCGCAAAGGCGGCGTTTTGCGCACGCCCTCTACCTTTTAGGCGAAGGACAGCTCCAGCAAAGTCCGCATCGACGAGAAGGGATGACAGTCTTTTGTCGCCAAGAAGTTTTTTCCGTTGTGCTCCTGATGCAGTAGGCGTCATTTGCCACGACATGCTGACATCTCTGAATTTGTCAATGGCCAACTCAATGGATCGCTGTAACATATTTGCTGGTAGCATAAATTTAGAATCAAGTACAATGTCCACAGATTCCCCTGCGGCCTGGAATGCAAGTTTTCGCTCTTCATCAGTTGAAGCGTAAGCGACGTTGAATATAACCTGAGGCATTAAAGCTGAGTTGAGTGATCGTCTAATGCGGTCGCCGCCAGATGGGACCATTTGAATTTGGAAGTCTTGGATCTTAAGACTTGACGAATTTTCAGACTTCGTGGACAGATCAATCAGACGAATAGACAGGACCAGATCCTCAGGTTTGTATTTTGGGAAGGCAGTTACGGAGCCACCAACGATCCACACAACCTGGATGTCATTCAATGATACGGAAATATACGAATCCAGCAACCCTGTAGAAGTCATGCTGAGGTCAGAGTACATTGATTCCTTGAGGTGCGATGAGGGACGTCGATTAGGCTGCCGTAATCTGCGCAAATACTTCTTCTCCTTGGACAAGTCGACATCTTTGAGTCGATCTTGGAGATGGTTAAGGACATCAACTACCGCTGATGCAGTTTCAGCATATATGTTGACATGCACTGAGTTGACCTGAGCACGATAGTTGCGTTTAATCTGTCCTTTGCGAGACTTTCGCAGCGTACAATGAACTGCTGCTGCCAATGAGAGATTTCCGCTGCGCCTCGTCCCACGACTATCCGTGATCAGCAGATCCACAACGAACTCTTTCATTCGGGCATGTATCTCCGGAAGGACTAGAAATTCGCCTCTATCTGGGGCGGTATTGAAGACTGTGAGATGCAAACCGTTGAATGCAATGAGTAGTTTTGCTGTGCCGGAATCCATGAGCTTGCCTGGAGCGTCTGCCTTGATCTGAATACCTGCAAGCGTAACTACAGCATTATACGTGACTGTATCAGTCAAAGCTGGCGACCTAGCTATGGAAGTTTGTGGTGGTTTCGACTGTGATAACACTGCGTCAATGTCTTGTTTGAGGGTTTGGGCATCTGCTACCAGGGCTTTAAACGTGCTGGTAACCTCGTCCTCGCTGAGAATACTCAACAAGCCATGGACAGCGTGCGCCTCGAAAACAATAGTCTCGATGATCATCGAAACAACAATGTCAAGTCGTTCTGGAGTTCGTCTGAGTTTGATCTTGCCATTGAGAGGTGGCATATTGAGAACGGATATCACATGCGTTCCCAACGCATCACGACTGATAAGATCATGCGATCGCTCACCCAAATCGACATTGATGTCAAGGGATTTGACGTCTCTAAATTGCGGTGAAACGGAGATTCTGCCAAGCTTGCCGTACATAGAGAACTTAAGGGTTGGAAACAAAGCCACGTCGAAACGATATGAATCCATAATCAACGCCATCGTGATCTTGGGTAAGGTTCCGGAGCTGGTGTTCATTTTAGTCGTAGAAGTAGTGGGTGATGATCCAGGCATGAACCTAGAGAATTTCTGGATGCCCAACGCGACTTCATGGCGAACAACCATATCAATCGTTTCAATTATACCAAGTAGTTCTTCCTTAGTCTCAACCACGACATTGGAGGTCGTACCGGCAAATCTTAGGTCATCCGGTTCATGGGAAGTGATTCCTTTGGTATCATGCGAGATCAGTAAATTGGGCGCTTCGGCGCCTAGATGCGCTAAGTGATGTTGGTGCGATCGCAAATCAATGTATGACTGAGCCGCATGAAAGAGAGCATTAACATAACTTCCGTTCGATGAAGATGATTTGTCCGTTCCAACAATGGATAGGCTGAAATCTTTACTTGCAACTAAAGCGTTTAAGTTCGGCGTGTCAACCGAGAGCCCGATGTTGCCCACAGAAATGACGACTTGGAATGAGCGCCAAATTTTCTTCTGAATGGTGTTGCCCATCAAAGCATCTGATTTTGCTTGTCGGAGCATAATATGCTCAAGATCTTGCTGGGCGAATTTGAGTGCTAATTCGACAAGGTTGATGATTTCCCAGTTAACACCTAGGGTAATCGATTTAGCACTTGCGTGCATAAGAACATCTTCAATAGGTACATCGACCGGAGTCTGAATCAGCATGAGCCCCGAAGGAGATAGAGGAGGAGACAGGTCCAGATTGATGGCCAATGCATGGATGGCAAACTGTGTCTCGTCTGAACCAGGATCAACAGTCACCCGAATCGCACGACCTCGTATTTGAAGTTCTGTTGCAGAGCTCTCCTTAGACGGAATGGATGAGTCTTCAGTGACTGACCCGTACAAGATATGCATAATATGGCTCCTTTTGACGTGGGCCAGGTCCCAAGTGCGCCATTCGTCCCAATTCTTTGTCACAACAGCCTCAGCATTAGCCGGATACAGCGCGCAGCCTTCCTTACACTCGGTTGCGAGGCTCTGTTTCTCGACAGCGGACATATTTTGCCAGATATACCTCAACCGTGATATGATCTTCCACGAATCGTGGTTGCGAATGTGGTGCGGAGCGACTCGTAATGCAATGCCAGTACGATTCAAGAAAGGAGGGTCGGAGACACTATTGCCAGACATGGTGAGGCTGTATGCAAGATATCGTTGCCTATCTTTATAGTTTTGCCATAGAGCTGTTAATTTCTCCGTGCTGTCACTGATCAGCAATGAAGCGCGCTGAACCACCCCAGCAAGCAGCTCAATCTGCTTGCTTGAAGCTTCAACATCGAAGCTGCGGAATGAAATGTGAACTGAGTTTTTTTCAGCTGTGCTCAACCAGAGCAACAGATCCTCTAATCGAGCATAGAAGCACCGTTCTTGACTCTGTCGCCCCTTAGCAGCCTCTTTAATGTGAAATGTCACAGAATTGATTGCACAGTGCACTAACACGGAGTCCTTGACAATATCTCGGCGAGAAGCAGGCTGAGTTAAGTTTTTCAGTGTAAGGGCAAGGCTTTTGACCTCAAATTCATATTGATCAATGCCCTCAGCTGGTCCAACATTTGCACCGTGGAATGTATTCAAGAAGCGAACACTGACAAAAGGGACACGAGCAGCGAGCTCGAGAGACTCACCCGCTCCCTTCTTCCGCTTCTCGAGGTTCAGTAGCTGGCTCACGACTTGCATTTGTAACGCATCAAGAAGCTCGTCAGGACTCTTAGGCAGGACTAAGTCTAGCAAAGCAGCTACTGCAGAGATTGCTTCTGGCTTGAAATAAAATTGTATGCCAGGCTCAGCATTGATAATGATGCTTGTGTGGGTGATTTCTTCGTCAATCTCGCGATTGACAACATCGTTAAACGCAGGTAAACTTGAGTCATGTCGCATCTGTGGCACGTCATCAGGCGAGGGCAGATCTGAAGCATCTGGCACAATTCCTTGAAGAGCAAAACGTGGGGCTGCAAGCGAGCTCGAAAATGCCACCGAAGAAGTTGAGAGACCACGTTTAGCGCCATATTTATCGTTGACCATAGTCGCTTTTCCATAATTATTGCCACCTTCTGAAGCCGTGTTTTCAGCACCAAGGGAATGGTCGTCTCGTTGGGAGCGCACACCTGTCTTACGCAGGCTTTGAGCAAGGGATGCTTGGGAAATTTGCCTAGAGAGACGGGATTTTGGCCGATCGGGTTTGCTTGTTGAGCTGAAGGAAGAGCTAGAAGAAAGCCGGGAAAAGGAAGCGGCTGGAGACGAAACATTTGAGGCACTTCGAGTTTCGTGGGTGAGAGGTTCCGGGACTGGAGGATAAATTGATGCAGGCTGTTCATAGTGGTTACGCATCAGGGAAAGAACCGACGTCGATTGTGGTGTTCTTATCAAAAAGGGCGTCCGATGTGTTCGAGAATCCGACTCAAGCAGGTGTTCCTGCTGCTTCCGCATTTCCTCACTGAACTGCAATTTGCGGACAAGAACGCTAAAGCATATAGTCGTTCGCATATGCGCGTGTGTCTGAATTGGTTTATTCTCATCTGCGCCGAGGCGGTGTCTGGATCCTGATTTTGCCTCCACAAGCGCAACAACTAAGTCTGGAATGAGAATCTTGACTCTCTTAGAGAAAAGCCCGGCCCAGTCGTTCATATCAACAACCACATGTCCGGTGCTTATGAGTAGCGCATCTGAACCAACATGCAACCAAACTTTGATATCCTGTGTCCGCAGTTTTAGAAATTGAATATCATGCACGACAATCGGTTCAACAAGAGCAGTTGCGTTTTCGTTGTCGTCTAAAGTTGAAGCAAAGCAAGCTCCAGCACGCGTCAATAGATTCACAAACTTGTCTGTGCATTCACCAGTGATAGCTCCAACATTCACATCCCATAGACATAGATAATCAGGTTCCTTTGGCGGCAGACCAAATGTGCGATGCCCGACAAGGCTGGTCGAGGCCACAAAGACCTCCGTCTCGCTGGTCGTCTTGACAGGATTTGTGCTCCCTCCTTCTATACCGATATGTGACACAGATAAAGGACTGAAGTCTACTTGCAGATCCATGTAATAATTATTGAGACGTAGATCTGCAGAAGCGAATGGACAGTCGATGATAACGCTCTCGTCAGCACCGTAGAGATTTGAGGGGATGTAGCCACGGATTTTTTCGGCCGAAATCATCAAAATAACATCAAGATCGTTGGAGCGGTTCGATTGTTGCGCTTTGGCATCGCTTTCAGCAGCAGGGTCTTTCCCACGACTCATTTCTTGAAATTCCTCGAGAGTTTTGAAATGGAGGTCATCACCAAAATAATTTTCCTTGAGTGTGACAAGTCTGTCCACAACGTAGCCGAAAAGATAAAGGTCTAGACCCTCGCCATGTATATCGAAGGTTAGTCTGTCTGTTAGGTTCGTTGACGTCTCGGACCACGCGGCATGAGTGCCTTTGAGTGTGACTCGATCTAGTAGTGCGACCTTCTTCTGGCCCAGGAATGCCGCGACTGTGTTGCCAGGACTAAGACACAGCTGTAATCCAAGATCCTTAGCCAAAACATCGAAAAAGATTTCGTTCCTCTCAGGTCGAAACTTGTCAAGGGGAATAATGACGTCTGCTTGTAGGGTTGCACCACACAAAACTACAAATTGATTCTTATCGAAATCAGCAGGCTCATCTATAATGTTGGACGTGTTGGTATTGAGGTACAGCCTGAAATTCCGAAAGCAAATATTAAGCAGGTATTTATAAGGTATGAATGTGTAGTATTCGGCCAGTGGTCCGGAACTCCAATCTGAAATGATGTCAATCATGAGGAACAGATGATCCCGGAGTATGAAAAGTTCAAGATCGTCGTTCGTGATATTGAACGTCCATTCTCTCAAGGCGTTCCACCCCAAGGGAACGGACAAATCAGCGTCAATGCGAGTACAACCAGACCTCCATAGCAAGCCGTGGTTGACGCTCGTTTGAATCTCGAGTCCGGACACCTCCACATGGACTTTGGCTTTATAACCACTCGGGCGTGCTAGCATATCTGCAGTATAATTGACAGTGGTGTTTGCTTTTACGGTAAGATCTAGCCAAGCAAAGGGGCGCATATTGGGGCCAGCCGTTCCCTTGTCTTTAGTTCGCCAGAAGGATTTCCGCTTTCCTTTCCATTTGCCTTTTGGGCCTTGCGCTTCTGTGTCAGTTTTGTTTATGAAGCTAGCAGCCTTACCCTTCCACTTCCAGTCCTTTGAGGGTTCGCGAACGGGCATGCGAAGAGTGGTATTCTCCTCAACAATGAGACGTAGCTTGAAAACTGTTGAAACTCTTGCCTCACCTGGTAGCAAGTTGCGAGCAGGAATGGCATTTGCAAATGTTGGAGGAAAGAAGATATTTTGGAATTGAATACGTTGACGATCAGCCCAGGGCCCGTAATGAATTGTGCCGCCAAAGACATGAAGGTCCATGCCGTACGCCGGAGGAGTCGATCCATTGATGTCGCCCAAATTCTCGTCTCTCGTATCCAGCATTTCTTGGTCAGTTGGCACAAGGCCTGGGATGTCCCAGTAGAACAGCATCCCAATTTTAGGAACCTCAGCAATCGTTGAGTACAATGCATACTCGATTGGATCCCACTCATCATGTTCGTTTACAATATCATCATCCAGATATCTAGTAAGACCTTGCCATCTCTCCTGTCCAGGAAATGCATATGGCGCTTGTAAATGATGGCCATTTCGAGTATCTCGGCCTACGGATGTTGCCCGGACAGACTGTGAGGAAGAGCCTGCTCCAAAGAAACGCCCGAGAATGGCTGCTCGACGATAAGCTACCTTAGACTGTCTTGGGCGTTCTTCGGATTTGCTGGAATCCTCAAACATGGCTTCGTTCTTGAGTCCTGCGGCCATAGTGAGTTGTGGCTCTTTGAAGTCATGATTTGGCCTCATTTTGATGACTGTGTTCTCAAATTCAAAATTGAATAGGAGTTTGTACACGTCCAGCGGTCCTGCATGGCCCGCATCAAAGGTGCCATCTGCATTGTCGATTCTAGCAGTAATGATCGCTTTGGTGTTGTCATTTCCCAGCACAGCGGCGGCAATTTTGCAACGAACACGGATTGGGAAAAGTTGCAAGAAGGTAGGAAGCTTAGGCGGCTTCTGTCCTCCCTCTGAACGGCTTGCAATGCATTGCTCACCATCTTTGTCTTGAGATCCGGTCTCTTTGGCCTTCTCAGGGCTATGCCATTGGTTAAAGCGATGCCCTAATCGTTCAAAGACGCCAGTAGCACTCGTCGATGTCTCGGAACTCGTAGACTTTCCAAGGCCCATTGCGTCAAAGGCAGGACCTTTGTCATCCGCGTTGCTTGCCTCCGCAAAAGTTTTGACGATTGCATCGTAAACAGGACTTCTGTTATACAGAAAAGCTTGCACGCCTTCAACTTTGATTTGGATTCGACATGGCAATGCCGTCTTGTGCTTCTTCACACCACCGCTCTCCGTCCGATTCGGACTAGGCGTACGACTTCTCGACGACGATGACGTGGTAGATGACTTGTTTGGAAGAGATTCACTGAAGACCTCGGCATCTCTGACTTTGCGGTACCAGTATTTCCATGTTATGTATCCCGAATGTACGACAATGGTCTCGTTATGAGCATGATATCGTAGTTCCTTGAAAAAAATCCTGCCTCCAAGCAAAGATATCTGAAGAGCCTGTATGTCTATGTAGGCGTGGAAGTTGCGCCATGTATACGCGCGGATGGCGTATGAGACAAGCGTTGCGAAGAGGCGGTCGAAGTAGCCGAAGAAGAAGACGGCACTGTCTTCGTATAAGCAAGACATGCGACAGAGGGCGATAGGGAAGAGCTTTACATACACTATACCGCTCACCAACAACTCAACAAGGAGCACCCAATTGAGATCCCGAACCTCAGTCAAAGGCTGCGAGACAAGATTGTTGTCTGCCATCGCGCCGGCTCGTGAAGAAACGCAGAGCTAGATCTTCTGCTCATGGCTAGTCATGGAGGAGCACTGGGATTCTGCACTAGCAGACCGCACGCTTATATGGAGACAGTCTTCGTCCGCAGTCCCCCTCAGACGTTCTTGCAAAGAGTCCGTGAAAAGGGACGACGTTCGGGGGCAAGCTGGGGAGGAGGGAGTACGGTGACTTCAGCACTCTCGAAGTACACGTCTGCACGTGCTTGCGATGGATAAGCGAGCCAATCACAGGCCCCAATCGCCGATGCATCAGCAGCAATCTCCCCAGGCAAGCTTACCTGATTTGACGTAACAGAGGCCTTGTTCTTGTCCGCTGTCACTGCTCTGCTCGTTGCAGCGGAATCCATAACCTGCCAGGCATCCAGAGCGCTCGACCGTAACGACGACGAGGATCCCGCCCAGCCAGAACAAGGCGGGCGTGTTTGGCTTTGGGCGCGACGGACCTGTCTTCGATGCCTCAGCAGCTTTCCGAGTCTCGCAGCAGTAAGCTGCTTCCACCATTGCTGTGCGCGGCCACGCGTCTCTGCTAAACACGGGCCGCAATGTCCGCTGAAGCGTATGTCACCGCTCCCTCGGGGACCGGCACGCGCGTTGGACGGGCTGTGGTTACTCTTGCGGGTGTTGCAGCGCTAATCGCTACTCTCACCACCTGTGTCTCAATATGGCTTCAGGCGTACGAGCATCTTGATCTTTCTGTCTGCTGTCGTGCTAAGACATCTCAGGAAAAACTACCGAAAACCACTTCTCCAACGATATGTCATACGGATACTGTTGATGTGTGCCACTGCATCCTGAGATCGTGGAGTTGGAACTAATTGCGCGTAGGGTGCCCATATACTCGGCTGCCTCGTGGGCGAGTTTGATTTCATTGAGAGCGGCGTTCTGGATTGATCCTTTCAGAGACGTCTACGAAGTACGATGTGACAGCTTCTTGAAAAGGGCGGTTTGCTGATAATGTCCAAGGCATTTACCATCTACACGTTCTTTCAACTTCTAATCAACTTCATTGGCGGGGAACGCGCACTTATTATCCTCATGTACGGTCGACGACCTGTCTCGCATCTTTGGCCCCTCAACTACGTCCTCCCAAAAGTCGATATATCCGATCCCCACACGTTTCTGGCAATCAAGCGCGGGATCTTGCAATATACTTGGATGAAACCTCTGCTGGCCGTGGCGACGATCATCATGAAGGCAACGAACACGTACCAAGAGGGCTATATTGGACTGAGATCGGGCTACTTCTGGAGTGGCTTGATATACAATATCAGCATAACTATCAGTCTTTATGCTCTTGCCATGTTTTGGGTCATTATGGCCGACGACATGCGACCTTTTCGACCCATGCCAAAATTCCTCTGCGTCAAGGGGATTATCTTCGCATCGTACTGGCAGGGCTTCTTCCTATCTATTTTAGTGTGGCTTGGTGCAATCCCCGACGATGTTCCCGGATACACGCCGGACAATCTTGCCGCATCCATACAGGACGCTTTGATCTGCTTCGAAATGCCCTTTTTCGCTTTCGCACATTGGTATGCTTTCTCGTGGCATGACTATGCGGATGTCACAATTTCCGCGGCTCGAATGCCGGTCAAATATGCCTTGCGAGATGCATTTGGCCCGGTAGATTTAATTCAAGACACAAAGCTCACGTTCGGTGGAGGCGACTATGACTATCGATCATACGATGCGAAAGATCATGTCTTGGCTCATGAAGACTCCTCCACACGCACCGCACGGATGATGGCAGGCATGCGCTACGAACGGGGCGGGAAGGGCAAATATTGGATCCCAAGAGTTGAGCACCATCATCGTACACCGCTCCTAGGATCAAGCAAGGCAAGGACAATGAGTCCTGGGGTGGGACATTCAACTAGGTCATACGATCGTGACTACGGCACCACGGACGGTGACGTTGACATTGTGCTGGATGCGGAGGAAGAAAAGCTTTATGAAAGCGCCCGAGCGCTTGAGTTTGGCGACTGGAATGTATGCGCTTCATGTCAGTAACTGTCGAAGAAGAAACTGACAGGCATGATAGTATCCGGTCATCACGGCTCACACAGCAAATCGCGAAAGTATCCTGCACCGAGATCCTACGATCATCACTGCATCGACCAATCGTCATGTCCTCCAACCAACAAAGACAAACAAGACACGCAGGAAGAGCCGGATCCAAAGCATTCAGGAAGAAACACAAGGGCGAAGGCACAGGTCAAGCTCCAGCACGAGCACGAGTAAGGACTCGAAAGGCAAAGACAAGAAAGAAAATTCGTCTAGGCCGCTACTGGGTAGGGCATCGCATTCGTCAAGTAGTTCGAGCAAGTCGGATCGAAGTCAACTTGTCGATCTTGTTGTTGAAGATCACGAGGCAGAACAAATTGAGCGAGTGCGCGCAAGAAAAGAAGGTAGCCCAGCTTGGAATGAGGCTGAACCTAAGCATTTTGTGTAAGTGGTTTCTCCGTCTTTCAAGAAATTTGCTCTACATAGGATAGCTAACTGATGACTTTCTGGCCAATAGGCGAACGTATCCAGACGACAGTCAGGAGGAAGAGGTTCAGGAGGGTTTCGAACCCGATAAACACGCATACAAGCAGCCGCACGGCGACGAGCACGTTCACAACTTGGACCGCCCTTTTTCAGTAAATCAGAATCCAGATGCAACAGGTGGGGAAAGCTTTGAGGGCAGCAGAAGAAGCAATGACGAGAATCAGTGGACACATCGGGCCTTTCAGCACGACTTTAGCGACGAGCGCAACGCTTGGAGTGGTGAGCGATAGCACGTAGAAACGGGCCGCGTTTGCATGTGGTGTGGGGTGCATGAATTGTTTGATATGAGTTGTCTCGAGTACGAAGACCCCTTCGCTGGTCGTTTCTTTCTGGCACTGTGCATTTGCAAGGCTCTGCACCAGCTGGCGCATCTCGTGCCCGGACTTTGTATTTGTGCTTTCGATCTTGACCTAACGCTCCGTTGCTCCCGTGAGCGTTTACTCTATCTGCATAGCATGGGAGTTGGTTCTTCAGATATCCATGGCTATAAGTGTGCCTTTTGTGGGCGATTTAAAACAGGGACAATGGCAAACGAACAAACCCTAAGGACAAGCATCCTATCTTGCGTTTTTGGTCCATTATCTGCAGCTGAGTTTATTTTCCCCCTCAAGAGCCTACGCAGGGCTGTGGAATAGTCATGGAACCTTACACGCCTCCGGAAGTAATTTTGACGTCCGCATCACACAAATAAATCGGATGATAACGACGCCTGAAAAGACGCATTCCCAGCTTGGCCTTCGCTACACATGCCCTGGTGCAGCATCTGTGCGCCGATGTTCGCTAGCCGCGACCATTCTACGTTTTCCAGTCCAACTTCCTCTCGCTCAGCCTTCACAAACCGTCTCACACATCTCCTGAACCACTTCACGCCCGCCCTAGGAGCGCCAGCACATCCCGGATGACAAGACATGTAATTTAGCACATTGTCCAGATTTGGCCCTCTCGATGGTCTCGTGAGCCCACGTCCAATCGCTCCATATGCCGCCCTGGCTGGTGCTGAGCGCGTAAAACACAGAACGGGCCAATGAGCATCCTCAGACGTGTACTGTCAGAGCTTTCAACTGCAGACGGTAGAAAGATACCGGGCGGTTAGAAATAGATGCGAGGGGGGCGAGCCTGTTCCTGGATTCGCGCGTGGGCATCGAAATGGGCCAACGAATTGGATTGGACTCGTTGATGCTGCCGCTGACACAGTTCCCGCGCATTTTCACAGATGGCCCTGTCGCAGATGCAGAATCTCCACGCACTTATACGCGCACCTAAGTTGTAGTTGGCTGCTCTGTCCGGGTTATATGCGAGGCACATTAATGCAGTTTGGAGCCGCTCCATTGTCCGCTTCATGTTGCCTTCTTTCTCTTTCCCTCCCCCTCCTGTCACATCCAAGTTTCCCTCTCGCCTTTTTTTTCCCTGATCTGGGATCTGGGTCTTTCTTCAGAATCTTCTCTCGTTTCTTCCTTCTGTGAATAGAAGAAGCCTGCTATTCTTGTTTGCATTGCTTATCGAACTGCACACTGTTTGGATGTGTGATCATCCTTTCCGCTACCAGCCAGAGTCCTTTTCATCTCTCTTTGCTCATACCAAGGAATCACCCGGGCACGCAGATTCTGTCACTCGCGCGGACTCCACATTTGCTTTCTTTCTAGCGCAAGATTAGTCGAAGGCAAGAGTGCTGGGTACTTTCGTCCTTGATTCAAGTCCATCAGAAACACGTGTTTGAGAGCAGGGAAGAGCGATAATGAGAGAATAAACCTCGGCCGTTGAAATCAACAATGGAATATAATAATGTCAGTAGGGAGCGGGGAGATAGCTGTCGCTGGAGTCTTTGCATTCCAACTCATTCCAGGCCAGCCTCGAATCCGTTTGATGGTAGGTTGCGCACTATTACAGCGTCTGATAACCATGTTCATATTCGTCCGGATGATCCATATAACCTTTGCTCTGTTGTCCATTCATGCTGATTCTTCGGACCGGCGGTGTTCCTCCTCAGAATTATTCCATCGAGCAATTATGTGATACAACATCAAATTTCGAAGCAGAACTAACGCAATCATGAAATAGATCAAAAAGGAGTTCGGCTCACTTACAACTCTCCGCCTTCACCCATCTCACCTATTGCATATGCCGCTCCGATACGGAGAAGACCTGCAACTTCTGCGTCTCAAACTATGAGAACAGAGGCGAGGCACAAATCTTGGTTCAAGCATGATCCAGTTCGAACTTCGAGTCAGCTGAAGACAAGGCAGTCACGAAGCTCAAGTTTCTCGACATTGAAGCACTCTTTAACCTTGTCAAAGAATAGACCTAGCATTGGCTCACCGACAGATTTTCGGAAGCTCACAAACACCTTATCCGAGCCAATGCCAGTCCGACGCAGAAGCTTTCGGCCACTCGAATTGAGCATCTATGTAGAACCCAATGGCAGATTATCCCCACTGCCCGATTTCTCAACCGACGATTGGGAGCTCAAGATCCCCGGCCTTGACAAGCCGCCACAGGCCCTCCTGCGAAGGGAGACGGTAGATAACTCACAGTTGAGCAGCGGATTCACAGTGCCAAGGAAACCTTTATCAACCTACAGTGGCTTCTATGAACGTAGGGGTCTAGTGTCAGAGCCATCCCTACCCCGTTTTGAAGAAGGATCAGGATCTATGTTAGCCCATCGTCGTGCTGAAGCTGAAGTCTCCGTGTCTGATCTCGGTACAATCGACGAGAACCGTACGCCTACATTGCCTGCATCGCAAATGGACGATATGGCATCATCGGCTTCAAATTCTTGGAGTCAACGTAGCAGCGGTTACACAGTTACTGAGATCAGGCCACAAACTAGCATCACACGACACGTTCGCACGGAAAGTAGTGGTCGTCAAGCAAAAGGTAGCCTGCGCCGCTCGAAGAGTAATGCGGTAGATGAGGCCATCAAGGAACTTAACTCAATCGTAGAAGAGAAGAGAATCAAGGCAAAGCTCAGCAGTGTGGGCAGCCCGCCCCTTTCACCAACAAGCCATGTTCCCGCCATAGCTCCGTCAATGACCGTTCGCGCAAGGTCAGAAACTCTCACCGATATTGGCTCAGCATTTAGCACGTCCATCACTAAGCCTCTAACCGCTGGCTCGAGCCCGAGCACTGCCTCTTCGCGCACCTTCGCTCAGTCACCGGTTCCGGATCTACGCAATACAATCACGGAAACATCTGAACATTCGACACACTCGAGTGCCACTGCCTTGCCTCAAATGATGGCACCAGTGTCTAAACCTCTGCAATCTAATATCAGCAAGACACCTACGACTCGAAAGGAGCGGCTTTCCATCTGGCTCAGACGTGTCTCCAATGCTTCTTCGGATGTCATTCCCTCGCAAAGATTCTATCAGCTCAGCGCCAAGGATATTGGCGTTGACATACATGCTGATCATACTCGAAGCCGTGCGTCGACAGACACGATTTCCACATTCTCAAGCATTGGATCGTCGGACACGGCGTACGCAACGCCAGCTACGACCGCGGTGCCATCTCTATCGCCTGCTTCAACTTTTCAGGAGACTCCGCGACCAAGCATTTCAAAGAGCGCACAATACGGACGTAGGCTACCAAAGCGCGGCCTGAGTATCGACACCACGCTCTCGAACGGATCGCGGACTGTGCCGCCAGCATATCATGAACTAGACCAGCATCCTGCTCTGGTCAATGGCGAGCTGACCCCAAGCCGCATTGGTGTTGCTTGTTAGCTCTGTTGAGATGAGTAAGTTGATGTATTTGTGGCCTTACAACTCGTGAATATACCGATTGTATGTTTCGAATTCATGGGTTTATGGATATTTTGGGATTGGGTCGGAAAAGCTGCACTGCCTTGCGGCTCTTGGTCTATTTGATACCCCTTCATCTGCGCCTCGTGCATGTACTCGCGCTGAGTTACATGAGGTGCCCTGAATTTATGTAGAAAAAAAATTTAATGCAGACAAATGTGCTAGCCGCGTCATATTTTGCTCATTCATGTTCGAGACCTCACACGCACCTTGGCTGCGCTTGAGATGCTCCTTCATCACCTCGAGGTGTTAATTACAAATACTGGCGTGTTATCTTCTTCAAAGAGTAAGCAGGTCGACCACAGAGCTTGTCTCTAGGCGGCCTCTTGAATCCAAAGGATTCGCCATATCCATTCCGGGCGGTAGCGACGAGGAGGCGTCAAGGTGCACGTGCATGCGCATGTGCACTTCCGAATGTGGATGACCCAACTTTTCTGATCAGCTCTCGAGGCCTCCACGACTGTCCGGAAAGTAACAGCCAAAGATGCATCCAGCCTTTCATTCAGCTGATCCAAGCAGAACGCCTCCAGATGACCCTCGTCCGCTCGAATTCTCTACACCGAGTTACGATAAAAGACGACAAGGAGAAGAGCGTGTGCGTCAGCTGCCGCTTTCGTTGTCACGCGCGCACGGCGAGCAGTGGGACAGAAGCGCAAAAAGGCCGATCGTTCCCCAGACTCTGGATCTGGCGGGCGCCTCGACGGCGCGGTGCCGAAAAGTCATACACACGCCCCGTCGTGGCAGATTGCGCGTTCTGTGGCTGACTAGGATTCTATTCTCTGTTCTCTCGGTGGGTGTGCTGCCCAATAGTGGGTAGCAAGGCGCAGCAGCTCTCGTACTCGCACCGCACCACGAGGCCTTACGAGCGGCTTTGTAGCTTTGTGTGTTATCAACTCAGCCCCACGAGGACGCCCGTGAGCCTGAGTCCATAGTAGAGGATACTAGCACTGAGTGGTAAGAGCTTTGCTCTGCAAGAAAACTGATGACCTGCAGGCACCATTCAAATTGGGCCATGTCGAATGCACTCGAGCACGAAAGATTTTGAAATATGGACATAGACACGTAGAATCATATGTTCTCATGGCTAACATTGACATGAAAATTGAGGACGCGCCATTCTCCACCAAAAGAGTACACGCAGCACCGAGCCATGCTTTCGTGTCCAACCAAAGTGGACGACCTAGAGTCTCCGCCCCATCTGACCCACCATATATCGTGTCCCTCCCTATCACCTTCTGATACGACGCCCATGCCATGATCATAAATGCCAAAGATGAAGTCATACATCGCCACCCAGGTGTATCGCTATCGCTCAAAGTATCATGTGGTAATACAAGCAGCTGCTGAAGGAAAAAGACGATTGGTAAACAAAAACAGAACAGGGGATATCCGAAATACCACCGTACTTATCTATTAGTGATGCAAGAAACAAAGCCAGGGTATACAGACAGTGACTCCTGTACTCCAGGACTCTCGCAAGTGATTGCGCTGTGTTCTATGTGCCGCACGTTCAAACCAGGCTTGAAAAGAAGTATATGCTGAGATATAGAGTCGCATGAGGCGAAATACAGGTGCTACTATGTACGACAGCGCAGCCCAAAATTATTCAAGGTGAGATTATTAGTGAAGTCCTAAAATGGGGGTGGTGGGTGAAGGAGTGTGGAAGACCCAAGGGTGGCGCATGAGCAGCTGGCAGGGAATGGCTTGCCTCGAGAAATGTGACCCTTGTCAACGTTTGGCCTCAACTGTGCGCCTGACTATGTGCGGGATACCGGCTAGGCTGAACATGCTCAGGAGGTGTACTGTCCTGAAAATAATGCATTTGGTATGGAGGGGCATTCGGAAGCTGTTGTTGTTCTCCGTAATCAGACATATCCCATGATGATCGCCCAGAAAGTGCTCCAGGCTCGTTAGTGTATTGCCCCGTGTTCGCAGAGGACGGATATTGGGGGGCCCAGTGACCTATAGCAGTCATGGCTTGGGATGTCTGCCTAACTGGCTCGTATGGGCTTGAAGTGACATCGATGGCCGCTCTGCTGGACACATTGCTTGACAAGATGGTGGAGACTTGGTAACTCTGCGACGCGCTTGAACTTGTAGTCGATCGTGGCGAGGTGCTCGGAACATGTTCGACGGCTTCCGGGATCGACACGGCGAATCCAGCAGTCGTTGAAGGGGTTAGAATGGCACTTGTACTCGCATAGCTTGCAGACTGTTGAAAGAATGTCAGCAGGCCATACCATATCCCTGCACAAAGGGTCACCTACGTATTTTCCGATGATCTTCTTCAGAGCGCTACTGAGAATCGACCACGGGAACACTTTAACGTCCTTCTCGATGTTCCTGGGCTTTGGATTTGGGAAGCCCATGATGAGCCGGAAGAAGCTCTCACTGTCCTCCTTCTGCTTCGAAACGGTGAGCGGCTTAAAGCCTTCCAAATTTCGCCTGATACGGTTTTTCTCTTCCACCGTAAAGCGGACGCCTACCAATCCTTCTAGGAGCTGAATGGCGTCTACGCTTGTGACAAAACATTCCCCTCTCTCTTCCCAGAAAATGCAGCTTACGCAGTGCGCACCCTGTGTGCGTTCCTCGACGGTAACCGGTTTGAAGGATGCGCGAATAATGCTGTCTTCTTGACGTCTATGAAACTCTACCAGGCGTCTCTTGGCTTTCTTCTCTTCATTTGTCCAGCTAGGAAAGTCGGCCATCGAAATAAGTTCTCCCTGGATATCAAGTTCTGCCTTCGCTGAAGGATATATCGCGTAGGGATTGAATCCCGGAGTGCGGAAAGAGGAAGTAGCCTGCGGTTGCAAAATTGACGTCCTGATCAAAGGCGGATTTGAGGGAGGTGTTGCGTTGGCTTCTCCATGAGAGCGGCTATCCTGAGGCGTTGCTGACATTCTGGGGCTAGGACTTGGGCGAGAAGTAGAAGAATGGACTCCATAAGCTCCTAAACTAGGAGATCGGCCTTTGATGCCGCTGTGCCTTGGGGGGCTTCCTGGGTAGGCATAGCTTGGCCTCTGAGTGATTGAGGTAGCATATGGACGCTGCTGTGAGATCGAACGTTCATAAATTGCCGGTACTGTGAAGAGCCCACCAGACTCATAGGTGAATGCATTTCCTTCAGGCACCGCTGCGAATGCACCTTGCGATCTAGGTTGAAGCGTAGTACTTGCAGAACGCTTAGCTGGAAGCTGAGAGTATTCTGATGTATCTTCTGCATACTTGCGCTTTTTATGAACTTCTAACGGAGCAGTGTAGGTCGAAAAGGGGGAATTATCGAGATAAGTGAAGGTATCCAGAGACTTCATGCCTAAACTCTGCCCGTTTTCGTCCTGCACGCCTAACAGCAGCGGCATAGCTGATTGTTGGGTAGGATCTGAATGTCGATATGGTGGTACAGTGGTTTGAAGGGTATAGTGATGATACGGGTCACGATAGAAGTTTTTGATCAAAGAGACTGCTGCAGCTGTGCTGCCGAACAGGATCGTGAACGAATAATTGCGTGTAGTGTAGTCAACCTTGCTGCGAACGCTAAGGCAAAAAGTTTCGCCTGGCCTGCCTGTATACGGGCCTGTTGATGTGATTTCTGGCGAGGGACGGGTTCTTGCAGCAATAAGTGCTGCAGGATTCGCCTGAAAACTGGTGTCACGCGGCTCGAACGACTGGTCTAGATATGGCATTTGGTGTGATGAGACAAGTGCATGGGATTCGCCCACCTGAGAACTTGGATACTGCGAGCCATAAGAAGGTTGCGTCGGGCCGGCGTAAGTCTGCTCTTGACCCAACCTTGTGGAGTTATAGCCTGGTCTCTGTGTCAGTCAAATGTTCATGCGCCTACTCGGGACGAGCCGGCTGTGCAATATTGACTAAGCCTTGACGCAAGAGGCCATATGAGCAACACTCACCGTACACATATGATTCTTGCGGCTTCTCGTAGCTCGACATGGACGTGGGGCGGTATTTGCCTTGCTCCTCACCACTGACTCTTCAAAGAGTCGGCCCTAGGACGCAGGGGTAAGACTTCTTTACCAATAAGATGTTGTTTGGTGGGAGTGCGAAGTTGCCTCGAGGCCGTTCAGGCTCCTGACGTAGGCTGTTGGTTAGCCCTCAGCCTAATGACTCTTCACAGGTACTAGGCAACAGCCACTCCCACAAGACAGCTTCACATTCTGTCCAAATGTTGAAAGTGGTTGGTACAACTAACTTACAGCATGAGTGTTTTCTCTGGAGTGGCCTGCGGTAGCCCGACCGCGCCAGTAGTCTGCTGCTAATACGCCCAGGCTGCGAGTTTATCTATAAAGTAGCGCTTGGAGCTACTTCTTAGTCCACACCCTTGTGTTGAAAAAAAGTTCGTATTCGGTTGCATAAAGTCCGGAGTACTACGTGATCGTCCGCAAGATGAGACTGTCGCAACTCGAGGACATAAAGGGACCTGACGGCACAGACAGGATTGTATAGAAGTATAACAGTGCCTGGCTTGTAGCTCAATGGAAGCCTTCGAGAAGCCTTTCTGTCAGCACAGTTACTAGAGTTCGATATGGCTAAGACAGGAGAGGACTGCGAACAAAATGTTTGAACACCCAGAATTTGCATGAAACGAGGCTGATCGTTTCATAAATCGACGGATGGATTCTTTTGCGAGGTAGAGTCATGATTTATTTTTTTTTCATCCTGGGGGTCTTACCTTGCAAACGCGCCCACGGAGCGACCAGGTTAGAACGCTGCGGACTTGGAGGTTTCCTAAGGGGTGCCTCTTTTTGAAATTCCCTCAAACCATGCAACAAGGAGTTGTGCCCGTGGTTGAGCAAGCGGTTAAATTCTGCCCAACACTCAGCCTAGATTCGGAAGCTGGGAGCGTAGCCGTGAACGAGCGAGTTCAGTGCAAGAACTGGGGACAGCAAAGAGAGCAGCCCTGCGGACCACGTCACAGCATAACCTAACGCTTGGCTTTTGAAGTCCAAGCATTTGTTTCCGAAGCTGCGAAATCTATTCACTCACGTAAGAGACGACTTTAGACATCCAACTCTGGGATACATCGACCAATCGGTGATCTGACGCAGCGGATGTTGGGAAGCAAACGCAGAGGGGATCCAGGTCCATGGGCGGACCTAGCGAAGGCTCTTAGAAGATGCAACGGAGCCGTTTGAGCGAAGGCTATTCAAGCTTAGAAGCGTCCGTTGTTGTGAGTACGAGCCGCGTGAAGATGCCGGATGCCGGGTTTGGGACGCGTGTGAGATTGACGACAAAGGTGGAAAGGATGTTTAAAAGAAAAAAGGCAGAAGGATGACAGGGTGGATGCCAAAAGAGGCTGAGGCTGGATTAGCTGAGGTTCTCAGTCGAATACTGAAGCGAATAAGCGCTTGATCATCCACTGTCGGTAGGCAATGAGAGCGTGCTGGAAGATGACGGTTAAGGGCAGTCGACGAAGGAAGCAGCCAACGCTTTGACAAGATCAGAACCAAGGTCAAGAGAGCTAACAAAGCAACTTGGGGTGCAAGAAGGTTTGGTCCAGCTGAAGAGGGCGGAGCCGGGAGGGCGAGATAGGCGTAGACGAATGACGAAGGGCCGCCTGCAAGAGTGATATAGCACCACTAAGCTGGCGCAAGAGACCGTTCAACAGCAGTAACGAAGAGCCCCATGATGAGGCGCCCCAAGCAGTACGACACAAGTATCAAGGATGAACCAGTCAGCTCGTTCGCCATGCGATCTATAACGTGATTCGACGTGCCTAGCTTCGCCTGCCGTCGTAAGGGGGAAAGTCGCCTCCGCACGTCAAACGAGGACATGGCGAATGTGACGAATCCGCGGTTCGCCCATGCAAGTGCTGCTGTTGGCGAGAAGGCTTTGTACTGGAATGACTTGGTCTGGCTTTGCGAAACTTCTAAACTTGTGCTATGCAAGGGAACGTTTTTCTCGGCACTAGCCCGCCGGGATCCGGCAAGCCACGCTCGTACGCTCCAGCAGCCAGGCTCGTCTGTCAGATCCTGTACATGCACAACCGCCCTGAAGCGGATCACTCGCCATGCACAGCGCACTGCGAAGCCGTCCCTATTTCTCGGTTTGCCGCGCATGATGTGCAGCGCCCCAGCAGCCGCGCTCGTTTCACGAGGCAACGAGTATAAGTACGCAACGACCTCGCCGTCCGATGCTACGGTCCTGTCCACGGCCACTCCACGTCGCCCTGTGCTCCAACCCTTGTCTAGGCTGCACTGGACGACACGTTTCTGTATGAGATGATCATCATGATCAGGTGGCCGGCCGCTACGCTGTGCAACGAAACGGGACGCTTCCAACGTCCAGGAATCACTCGTCGTCGACAACGTGTCCCGCAACAATGAGTCCGGCACGTCCGTCGCCGGCAAATGACTGTCGTCCCAACGAGGATGCTCCCCTTTTCAGACCGCAAGCAACGAGCTCGCCACCCCTTCTCAGCTCCCATCGAGGTGGGCAAAGCGCCAGCCTTGATCCAATTGCAGGCATCCATAAATATCGGTGCGCGACTCCTGTCAATGTGAAGCAAGAGAGCGCCATCTCGCCGTGTTACAACACCTCTTCGGCTCGTGTTGCAGATCCGCAGTTCTTCTTTTGGCTTGCAGAACGCCACGTTCGAATGTGGAAGTGCCATCGGCTCGTTCGCCACGAGGACTTTTCTTTGCTTATTCCGCCGCCATGTCGCTGAGGACCGGGTCAAGCCCCTCAGGCAGGACGTCCGAATCCTATCTATCATTTATTATTCCTGCGTGTATCTCGGGTGAGAAAATACTTAAAAAACCACCATGGATTTGCTGAAGCAAACGTGCATCTAATAGCCCCGCTTTACTGCAGAGCTTGCAAGGACACCTTGACCGACAAAGCAAGTAGACAAGCCCGTCTATTGAATGCCAACCGCTTCCTGGATTCTCTCGTCTTGCTTTCAATCTCCTGCGTGTTCAATCCGATCTTGACCTGCGTCCAAGCTTTTAGCTTGGGGCAAGCAATTACCTTGCAATTCCAGATTCCATGCGCCTCTTTGCGTTACACGTATGTCCTCTGAATTTTGTTGCCCACGGACATCTGCGAAGAAGTGCAATTCACCAATCACTGTCGTAGACTGGATAAGGCGATTTTCTTCCTTGGATTCTAGAGTCCAGCACATGGTCTTTACCCGCTTTGTTCCTTGGAGTCCTTACTGCAGACTCACTTTGTTTGTCGATATCACGGAAACTACCTCCAACAGAGATTGTATGGCGACTTTTGCGGGTCCTTCAATCTTGCAAAATTTTGCCCAATGCACCTTGTGAGACGGGTCGACGATGTACTCTCAACATTGCCACCATCTTTAGGCAGCTGATGAAACCACATAGCTGCACGCTTCTGAAGTCTTCATGCAGCCCCTCTTTGTTGCAAGCCCCTCTACGCTTCTTTGTGCCAATCAAACCTTGCAATTCCATACAGTCCATGCAAATCTAGAGGCGGTTCATCTTACGGTGTTGGTAGGCTCTCAGACCAGATAGAAAAAACAAACAGTGTGTTCATACCGCTGGAAGGGAGTTGTCAAGGAGAAAGTTAGCCCCAGAACGGTGGGAATCAAAGAACAACTTCCTTTACGAAGATTGTTACTGCACTTCGAAACCGAGGCTTTTTACACTGAATCAAGTCGGCTTTGTGACGTACATTAGAAGTGCTCGGATAAACCACGACAGGCGGCGAACTTGAAAGTCGCCGCAAGCAATCATAAGCGCGAATTAGATGTACTTCTTTTACACTACACACGAAAAGGTGTTCTTGCTTGAAAATACGTAATGAGATCGATATTGTTTGGCATTATTGATTATTTCGTTGTTCCTAGCTTACGCTCAGAAACTCAAATCACATGTCAGGTCGGGATTGCGGTTGAAACAACAAGCAAAGAGGTGTAAAAACAAACTTCACGGTTGTACCAGGTTGGCATCGGGCTTTACGATCCTGCACAATGCCAGGCAAAGCAGATACTGGACATGGTACAGAACGGCAGAACCAAAATGCCGGCCCCTTACTCGAGCAACACCCTGTCGAGGGCCCTGTCGACCACAGACCATCAATCAACTAGATCTGTGACTGCAGGATCTCTGTGGAGTGATAGGCCGATGTGCCACCCAAGAATTAGGTCATATAATCTTGAGGATGAAATGGCAATTGCGCTCGGCGCGGCGCTCGATCTTTGTTGATTGAAAAGGATCATGTTCACCCGTAATGAAGCATTATCCAATAAGGTACGACCCGAGCAATCTTTGATTGCTTAGCAAGTACCTACTCTTACGCGAAATAGGCTAAACGTGGTCGTTGTTAACAAAGTCCTAGATTCTTGGACAAGGTCGCTCCACACCACTGAAACGCCAGGGTTTCGGCTGCGTTCAGCGTCGTGCAGCAATCACTCATTCCAGACTGGACCGCCCCTGTCAACGATGGAAATGCCTAGCAGCATACTTCATCATCTGGACTTGATTTCAAATGCCGCCATCAGCAGCCCTAGATTACGAGGTCATGTAATTATCGAATTCTGTTGAGACTTGCAGAAACAAGTAGACAATTGACGCAGTACGACCGAATTGATCTCCCGGTTCAGCATCTACATTCTGTAAAATTTATCAGACAAGTTCAACATGGCTTTTCCAACGATAATGGGGGGTGCGCAATATTCTCTTCTTCAAAAGCAACACAATTCTCTATGTTCTGGGCAAAGTCTCACATCTCTGGCATTTCTCGGTCCTGCAATTCGGTCATAAATTGCAAACTAGAGTTTGCTTGAGCTACCAGAAGATAGATCGACGACCAATTTACCAAATTGCACCCCTTTCTTCATATCATCAAAGAGAGAATCGATCTGCTGGATATCAAGTCCCTTGACGACACGTGAAACAACGGGCTTGATTTGCTTGGATTTAACCAGATCAATCATGTCCTTGAATTCCTTCCTAGATCCCATTGTCGAGCCACGCAGATCAATGTTCTTCAGGACAGCACCCATGAGGAAGGGCATCTGCGGCCCTAAAGTCATGCCATACGAAACTACAACACCGCCAGCCTTCACTAAGATTAGTTTTGCAACTTTCTAACTAGACGGTGTGCTTACCTTTAATATCCTCATCGACTGACTTACAACATCTCCTCCTGCACCATCGATCACAGCATCAAGGTAGGGGCGGTCTTTCGGTAGAAGGTTCTTGAGCTTCTTTCCCCAATCCTTGTCTTTATAGTTTACACCACCTACAGCTCCAAGCTCCTTGGCTCTTTGAAGTTTCTCTTCGCTACCACTGGTCACATATACCCTAGCACCAGAAGCAGTCGCGAAAAGTAAAGCCATGATGGCAACACCACCTCCAATTCCTGTAACCAAGATGTTTCTCCCAGGTTTTGCATTTCCACTTTTGGTGACAACTGCTCTCCATGCTGTTAAACCTGTAAGGGGAATGCTCGCAGCCTCAATATCGTTCAGATGGGATGGTGCCTCTTCGAGCTCTCCGGCCTTGATCACAATGTAATCACCCAACGTGCCTGCTGGATTCACCTTCGTGCCACCAAGGATCTTGTAGCCCTGGGGGTCTTCGGGACCATCTATGTCATCTTTCCAACCTGAACCAGGATTTATGACAACCCGTTTCCCCTTCCATTTTTGCGCATCTGGGGCAGATCCTGTTGCAACTACTGTGCCAGCACCATCAGCGAGCAGAGGCACACCAAACCCAATTGCTGGGTAGAGATGCTGCCTGATGAACAGATCTCTATGATTCAACGCTGCGGCTGATATCTTGACGACTACTTCGTCGGCTTTTGGAGAAGGATTGGGAAGCTCAATTTTCTCAAGCGGGTAGTAGACAGACCCAGGCTTGCCTGGTATCTGGCGAACCACGATAGCCGACGGCATTCTGTAACAATCCAGTTGTGATCGAGTCCTTTCGAATGAAGGGAGCAGTGTACAAATGTACAAAGCGGTATATGTCAATAAGGTCTATTGCAATAGCATCTACCTACGCGAACCCCAGGATCCGATATAAGACTAACTTATGAAGTCACGATTTCCTGGCTCCGCAGTTTAAGCATTCACCGAGGCTACTCGGCTAGCGGAATGATGCCCGGATGCCCGATGAGACTGAGGCAACAAGGCAATAGAACGCTACCTACGTACTTTTTCGCAATTGAGCATTTTGCAACTTTCACAAGGTTGACCGAATAAGAAACTGCAAAACTAAAACGTCAAATGCCTCGTTAGAAATTTCTAAATGCTACACACAATTTCCTCGTATAATATCAATGTGTTTTTAAAGCCGCTCTATAGTTTATTGCCCGTCTTGTCACCCTAGCTGGCTGCGCTTTCATCCTCGCAGGTGGAGTGTTTGCTTACTCCAGGGGCCACCAAATAAGCCCTAGTATTCAATAAAGTCCGTGTGCTTCCAATTTCGACGCTTTTTCAAAGAAGGAAAAGATTCAACTGTCCCATTTCACGTCCAGCCACAAGCACAGGAGCATCAGGAATTTGTATTCGATGACCGAAAGATCCGAAGCAAGTTTGCTTACAGATCATATATCAAGAAGCAGGATTCTAAGACTGTTTAACAGTCATAGCACGAAGATTGGCTGACTCGTGAGCTCACCACTCAGGACATGGACCTATTCATTCCGGACTTTCCAGACGAACTTCGGACTACGAGATGATTATCCACAGGTTAATTTGATCTACAAAACCAAGTGGTCTAACTGGTCAGTACTATATCTCTGGATTAGGCCTTAGCTTTTCATGCTTGACCGCGCACGCGTCCCATAGATTAACAGCAACGAGAGGGTTTGAGAAGTCAGAGGAGAAATCTTCATCTGCTAAAGTCCCTTAAAGCTCATTTTGGATATAATCTACACAACGAAAGCGCAAGATCGCTGCTGCTATCGTATTAGACCCCAAGCTGGCTGTCTTCAAAACGGTACCTGATGTTCAGTCTAAAATCTTTAGCTCTTCCGATCACTCCTTGTAAGGAGTATAATACATATCGATTCGTTCATGACAAGTACACAGTGGATTGCTTTTAAGCCTCAAAACTTCACCCAGTAGATGATAATTTTACCACATCATCTTTTTAGCGAATTTTCACGTGAAAGATACGGCTTGAAACCTTATAGAATCGAAATCATTTGTTTTCTCCGTACAATCGGCTCGGAATCCTTTGCCGTCTTTCAAGGATGTTACACAAACAACTTGACTCCAATGTATCAAGATTCCAAAGAGCCATCGGTTTCTAAAGTGTAGAATTTTTGCGTACAAGGTCAACAGTAAAGTATCTGAAACGCATGGCGACTTCTTTTAAGAGCTTGGTGAACAAGACACTCCAAAGGCCGTTTAATACAGAGTTTTGGACGGTCATGATTGATCACATGATATTGTGATTTATTACGAATCTCAATGCCGAGTGAGCGAGATACTTTGTATTTCATAATTGAATATAATACAAGCCTCTACTTAGTAAGCTATTGAATACTATCTAAGTTAATACGGCGTCAATAATTATCTTCAATGTTTCTGTCGTTTTTTACCTACGCGGAAAAGAGGTCGTGGCTATGCAAACCTAAGGGCGCTCAGCATTGAGTAAAGCGCGGTTGAAAGTGGCTACGAGAAATTGTTTGTCTGTTAGTTCTCGGCACATCCTTGTACTTGAAGTTGGCTTTGTTCAGAGTGCGTCTCAACAGAACCGAACGGATGGATTGGGGGAGGGGGTTCTTCCACCTGATGCTTCTTATCTTTGTGCTCTCGTGAGGCAGAGCGGGCTCGATCTGAAACAGATGGAGGTTCCGGCCGATGAACGCAGTAATGGCAATAGTTTTTGTCCAAGTTGAATACGATGTTCATCAGACGGTTCAGAAAAGAGAGCATTGTATGCCTGGCTGCGAGACTAAAAAGAGTCTTTGAAACCGTCCTAGGGTAGTAGTTAATGAGCGATTTCCCAACCCGCTCTAGTTTTCCCAAATTACAAAACAGTTGTTGGTGTTGCCCTGCGGATGTTGACAGAGAAACGTTGATTATCAATGCTCTCTGCAACTTATCCTCAACCAATATTAGCTGCGAATGAGAAAGATCAACACTTTCCGAGCCATTTCCATCAAATGTCCGCCAATACTTGCGCGATTTGCGCCTTAAGCTTGATTTTTCCCAGTAATTCCCACAGTTTGGCAATCCTCGTCACTTTTGAAAAGCCTCACCGAGGCGGACAGGCCACCCACCCATTCTATCTGTGGCGTCAGCGTGATTGTTGCGGGCGTGTCGCGGCTCCATAAAATGATAGTAAAAAAAACAAATTCGCCTATTGACGGATCGCTTTTTCAACGATCCGAGACAAGCGGAGAAGAGATCTGGGCCCAGTCAACAGTCGTGGACTAAGACATTCCCCTTCGCTTCCACAATTTCGGAAAGATGGCGTTGATCCTGGCAGCCGTAGTTCTAGTCCTTGTGCGACGGCGAAGCGGATCGTGACATCCCCCCCCCCCCCCCCCCCCCCCCCCCCCACTCATCAATAGAGAAAACAGGCGTTTGACGATTTGAATTGCTCGCGAACGATTGTATAACCACTTGATCGATTATTGCATTTTCTGAAGTTTTGTCTTGTCGCTTCTGAAGAAGAATGAAGCGATCACCGACGTGGGGTTCAACTCCTCCAGTCTAGCCCATATCATTCGTCCCCCTTAACTATCGAAGAGAAAACAGGTGACGAGTTATATCGATAACAAGTCAGTATCAATCGCTGCGTCGAATGGGACGGATGGATATGCTCACTTAGTACATTCTCTCTGTGCAAATTTGGTATAGAAATAGGTTACAAATTGGAAGTCTCTGCACAGATCATGTCGTCATTGAGAACGTGACTTTGTGTAATTCTTACAGCCACAAAAGTCGTACGCACATATATGTATATGTATCTATATCATAGTTTTGATAGCTCCAACGCGAGAATTGAAAAACTTGAAAGAGAACGGGTGGTGGGTGGGATCTTGGTCATTCGAAATCAAGTATCCCTCGTCGATTATCTGGCTCAATTCTAAAAGCTGTATGGTACTCCATATAAAAAATTTCAGTATGCCAAAATGCAAAACTGTCTTCTTCTCACTGAACGTACAATCGTAACCCCCCAACAGCTCAATCATGTTGAAAACTCTTTCATGTCTTTAACATTCTTTCGACTTGTCAAAAAAGCGCATTCTGAAATTGTTCAGATCTCATGCCACGTGCTTTTGACTCAGTCTCTACTTTCGTCTTGGAGCCAAAAATGGAAGTACTTGAAGTTTGAAACTTGGGGACTCAAGTTGGGCTAACCAACTTCAAGGAGAGGAAATTCAAATTAAAATCACCTCCGTTATTAGTATCTAGATGACATTGACTAATTTAGCAGAAACTAAGTTAATAGCGGAAACCATTTGAGTTGAGAATATTGGAGATGTGGACGCTGAAGCAGGCTTTATTCTTTTATTATATCTCGATGCTAGCGAAAGCTCCAATAGGCCATACTCTCAATGATGTGAAAAAGGCTTCGTATTTCTCTGCCTGAACCATACAAAGATTGAAGACATATTGGTTTTATGTTGCCCTTCTCTTACTGATAAAGTACAAATATGCAATGGATTCTCATCCGGCTACCGCAAACCTTATCGCCACTTACACGTAGAAGACGTATAATTTTTCCGCTTAGCATTCCACTTTAAATTGGCCGACTTTGATTGACTTCGGAATGCTGTTTTTCTTGTGTGGCCGATGGACTTATTACGACCTAATTTCTCCCACGCCTTCTTCACTCTATCTAAAATCGACTTTTCGGGCTCCTGCTGTGACATCTGTCTACCTGACCAATAGAATGCTGGTGATCCATATGGACTCATTAGGTCCAAGTCATCGAGTTTAGCCTGGTGCATTTTCTCCTCGGGTGTGAGTACTTGGTTGCTTGTCCCGGACCAAAAAAAGAAAGGTGAAGCAAATGGTGAAGGAAGGTCAAGAGCAGGAGAGTCTTCAGACATTGGCAGAGATATTACATGTTCAGATTCGAATATGTTGCAGGAGGACCAAAGCTCAGCTGAAAGTGGTGATACAATGGGGGAAAGGGGTGAATAATTCTGGCTTTTCGGTTCCCAATCCTTCGATTCTCTTGTGGTTGACTCCATGTACTTCACCGGATCTGTGTGAGAGAGAGGATGCTTGGAATGATTAGGTGAAGAGATATGGGACTGTGATGGGTGGCTCTGCAGTGCACTTGTAACAGATTCGTACGGAGGCGGCTGACGAAAAGGGCGAACGTGCTCTGAACGACGGAAAGAGAAAGTATATTGAAGCTCTGGTGATGATATATCTCTTTGAGCAGGCCTATCTCTGCGTTGCTTTTTCTGTCCCGTTGTGAAGACCTCAGAAGCGAGGAAAAGAATTGGCCGGCCTCCTTCCGGGACGGACATAGTACGGGGAGTCGAATCAGAACGATGATATGCAAGAAATGTTGCTGCTGAAGGAAATGATGACATTGCTTTTGGCGAAGATATACTAATCGATCGACAGCGCAATGGAAGTAGAAATAAAATGAAGCATGAGCTGAATGAACCTTCCACGAGGCAAGAAAGTGCGGCCACAGTAATAGAGGTGATTTCTACTCGAGACTATAAATCTGGCCTAAGTGAGCAATAAATTCACGGATTTAAGGCAAACATTACTAGCTATTCATGACTTGGGGCTGATTCCATGCCTTTCAGGCGAGCAGTGTGCCAGAGCCACAGCATCGCCATGTCCGGCATCGAGCAAACGTGAAATTAAAGCATAGTCAGCTGTCCTTTGCATACGTCCAAAAGTGCATATTACAGAGAATCAGCTTCATCCAGCTCAAATTAAAAGTAATTGGAATTTTTATTGACTTTGCAAGGAAAGTTCCGTTGTTCGCAAGCTAAATATTCTTTCTTTAGATGTGGGTGAGGCTATGTTGGTGTGCATTCATCTCAGCCACCTCATGAGCTGAGAAGTAAGACTGGTTCTCTGAAAAACTATCTTTCGGTGTGAATCATTTTAATTTGAAGCTGATTTCATTATGTCCTTTTATCAGACAAAATCTCAACTCCTGAGGTTCAGAATGTCCTAAAATGCACTGCCGTGAGTAGAAGTCGCCAAGCGTATTAGAACTACGCCCTTCGACATTGACAATTGCTTCCCCTCATGTGCCAATTTTCATGCTTACGCTTTCAAGTTTTCGCTGCTTCTATGAACCTAATGCGACAAAAGGTTGAAATAGCTCCCTGAGGTTTCACCTATAGCAAGAAATTGCAACTCGGATCTCTTCAATTAGTATGTCTAATTTCGCAGAGGGCGGCTGTTCCTGCGGTAAACTCCGGTACATTCTTGAGAAAGCGCCAATCTGCACACATGTTTGCCAGTACGTTCCAAGTCTTTTTTCCTGGGCTTTCTGGAATTGACGCACAGTTAGTTGCCGATACTGTCAGCGTGAAACCGGAGCGTCTTACGCACTGAATTCAACAATTGAGACCAAATACATTAAGCTCTCCGGAAGTGTTGTACCCCAGTTTACACAAATTCCCACCAAAAGCGGCAATGGGCAGTACTGGATTAGATGCCCGGAATGCAAAATTGGCATTTTCAGTATTTACGGTAATCGTGACAAGCCTTACTGGATTCTTAGGGTTGGCACGCTTGACAATCCCGACCTGATTAAACCGACAGCGCATGTATACACGTCAACGAAGCAACCTTGGGTCACAATTTCGAACAGTATTCCAGCATTCGAAGAAGGTTACAATCCCAGAACGTTGTGGTCCGAAAGTATGCTGGAGAGATTCAAGGAGTGTACAGGTGAGATGCCGTCGGAAATTTGATAGTAAATCTGGAGTCCATACCAATGAAAATATGAATCTGAGGATGATTATGGTTCAGTGGACTCGATAATCGAATTTATTGAGTTCGCTGCATCGAAGGTTCTTCCATTGGAAAAAGTGATCGAGTCTTTCGTCGCTCGCAATCCACGTAGATGATTAAAGAGATGTTTTGAATATCTTGCCGTTTTCGCTCCCTGTTTGCACCCTCCCGCACCGCGGAAATTTGCTATCACGTCCTGAACCCCACATCAGGAAATTAGCCATGGCATATGAGGGAGAGGGCTGGCAGCGGAAACACTGTGGGATGACATGAATTTGCTGATGCTGACAGAGAGCAACGAGCCGTACGGTTGGCGGTGACCACGTACAGCCCGCCACAACAGCGACATGTTGAGAGAGCCAAGCAGATCAGACAAAGATAAATAAGTTTATAGACTCGGTCACAGCAGACGGAATTTGCCGTTCCGACGAGCAGAACTTCAGCCTCGTCTACAGGTGAAGAAAAGCTAGCCGTCAGCTAGCCGGTCACTTAAGCTAGGGCAAGTTTGTATGACCCGGCCAGCCCTTATAACGGCTGTGCACATTGCTCGTTCATGTGCTCAACGGTTTCGACGTTCTCAGGCTAGCGCGATCTGATTGCGATCGAACAGTGCAGATATTCCATCCTGAGAGAGCCGTTTACGCTGGGTGAAAGCTCCAAAATCGTGGATTGCAAACACTTCGGACGCTCAACAGGAAGAGAATGGCCGAGCCGCGTCTTGTCGAATGAAAACGTGATGACTTTGCTGTTCCTGCTTTAGTGACCCGCGCGGCATGGTGCTAGCGCTCATCGATGTCGGAGAATTTGCGACCTGGTCGCGTTGCGCATTACTTGGGACCAGGCTCGCAAGGTGGGAAGTCCTGAGAGAGACATGGCTTGGAAAATATCTTAAAGGCAGGCTCGGAGACGTCGTGGTGCCCGCGGCGTGTTCAACACTCTTGTCCCGGTTTTCGATCAGAATGGAATTTTGAATCGGAAAGTTCTTCAGGAGCTGGATCCGATGGATGCAGGCGAGGCGCAGGGTCAGTTCTTTTGCTTTTCACGTTTACACTACGCACGTGGCTTTTCTAAACTATGCCTCTATACACTATCCGCTTTGGGGGTTTCATGCAATGCAGCAGCTAATGTGCGTCATGCAGAGACGTCGGCGCAGAGCACATACACGTTTAACGCTCCGCTCGTCGACTCTGGCAGTTCCAGCGACGGGGACAGCGCGCTTGGCTCTGGCGCCTCTATAAGCGCCAGTACAGCAGTGTCTTCACGCATCTACGAATTCAGACTCGAGCATGGGCGCCGTTACCACGCCTTGCATTCAGACGCGGAGTACAATCTGCCCAACGACGAAGAGGAAATGGACAGGCTCGATTTGCAGCACCACCTGTTCCGGCTAACTCTCGACGGGGCGCTTTACAAAGCGCCCTTGCCCCCAGACGTACACCACGTCCTCGACGTCGGTACAGGATCCGGTATCTGGGCTCTTGACTTCGCCGAGGAGCACCCCAGTGCCGCCGTGATCGGCACCGATTTGAGCCCTGTACAGCTCCCACACGCGCCGCCTAACCTGCGCTTCTATGTCGAGAATGTAGAACAGGACTGGAACTTCGACCACGACTTTGACATGATCCACGCCCGAATGTTAGTGGTTGCCCTTAAGGACTGGCCCAACTTCTTTCGACAGGCGTTTGCTCATCTCAAACCTGGCGGCTGGCTGGAGATGCAAGATCTATTATCGCCAATGCCACGATGTGACGACAATAGCGCACCGCCTGACTCACCTCTCATGGTGTGGGCACAACTGATGCGCATGGCGTCACAGCGCACCGGCATCGATCTCGAGGCTGCAAATCGTTTCCCACAGCTCATGCGCGCGGCGGGCTTTGTCGATGTACAGGTGCAAACAGAGATCTGGCCGCTCAACCGCTGGCCCATGGACGAAAAGATGAAGGAACGCGGGAAGTGGGCCAGCGAGAATCTTACCATGGGTGTTGAAGGCATCTCAATGGGCTTCTTCACCAAGGTGCTTGGCTGGTCTGAGGCTGATGTCAAGGAACTTGTTGATCAAGTGCAGGCTCAAATAAGGGATAGAAGTAACCATACATATATGCCCGTGGTTTTCGTGTGGGCAAGAAAGCCTGAGTAGATTCATGGGGCTTTTAGGCATAACATTCTTGCTCAGCTCCACGTCTGTTTTGAAGCAGAGATGGTGATGGTCGAGCTTGCTTGCAAAAGCTTGACAGGAAGATTTGGAGGCTTCAAGCCATCTTGTACGGCCGCATGGCCCCTCAGCAGATTTGCGGCCGGTTTAGGAAATACAGCTCCTCATCAGAATCAGCGGCAGTCCCCACATTTCACATATGAATACTCGTCTGTCGAGTCGACAAATGGGATTTCGGGCCAGAGATGGAGAAATGGTCGTGAGTAAGGAGAGGCGCTGCGAAGTTAGTCTTTGAAACGACGTCATACAGGCTGAGTCCTTCTACCGTGTCTTTAGGCTCTCAAAGTTACCCGCGGGATTCTGGCCATCAATAACATGGATCATCGCCACGTTTGAGCAGCGATAATTTTAGCGTAGAAACGAGCGGGCCGCTACTGACAACGGATAATCCACCGTCATTTGAGGGTCAGGCCTTGCGGATGGCCGGGTAGGCGATAAGACGAGTGGCGGGCAGCGGGGCAATTCGGGGCCAGCTATGGAGTGGAAATGCAAAATTCTACTGTTGTCGGACTCGGTCAATCGCAGGCGACCAGTTTCTAGACGTGCATATTCCGCGGCCGATATCTCGCAACGATGTCCGCGTCGCCGAGCGGGCGCGTCGATCTATTTGGTGTGACTTCGACGGTGCACGAATGGTCGCAGCCTTGGCGATTTCCCCATGCGTGACGACGCGGATATCTCGAAGGCCTAGAAAAAAAAACTTTTGGACGAAAAGAAACGTGCAAGGATGTGTTTTCAACGGAACGCCCGCGGGACATACCAGCAGCGCTATCGTCATCGATATGGTGGAACGTGATGGAGCTAGGCCAGCTCCTGTGCAAGAAATGTGCTACACGCCAATTCTCGTCATCGCTTACTACGCAATCGCATTTCTCGGTTCTTGAATTAAACTTTCCGCCTCTTGACAACTTTGTCCTGAATCCTGATCCTGCTGCTTCTGTTTGCTCACTTAACACCCTCTGCGAGCGATCATCGCGGGCTCAACAAAGCTCGAATTTGCTCTCGCTCTCCCGGACTTTCTTCTTCATTGCCCACCAGACAACACCAACCCCACACCTACATCCAACCGCACCAAAATACAGCCACTTCGTTTCGCAACCATGCCGAAGCCGCCCAACCTTTACTCATTCGACAATCCGGATGCGCTGGCCAAGAACCTGCGTGCTTTCGTGCTGACTGCGCAAAACGAATCAATCGCGCGTCACGATGTCTTCCGCGTTGCTGTTAGTGGCGGTTCCCTTCCGAAGGTGCTCGCCAAAGCCCTACTCGCCGATCCCGACCCTGCCAGAGTGGACAGGGACACTCCAAAATATAGCAAGTGGGAGATATTCTATGCCGACGAACGCGCTGTGCCTCTAGACCATGAGGACTCAAATCACCGACTCGTCAAAGAGGAGCTGCTCGACAAGATTGACACGGAAAAGTATGGGAAACCAGAGGTGTTTCCTATTGATGTCAAGTATCTAGATGATGTGCAGGAGATGGCAGATCAATACGAGCAGACGCTTGTCAGCCGCTTCGCTGCCAGGGACAGCGTGCGAATTCCCATGTTCGATTTGCTGCTGCTAGGCTGTGGCCCGGACGGCCACACTTGCAGCTTGTTCCCTGGAAGCCCACTGCTCCGAGAGACTGAAGCCTGGGTGTTGCCCGTCTTCGACAGTCCCAAGCCACCACCTAAGAGGATCACGCTGAGCCTGCCTGTCGCGAGCCATGGAATCAAGATTGGGTTTGTTGCCACAGGCGGGGGCAAGAAGGAAATCATGAAGCAAATCTTCGACACTGTCGAGGGCAGACAGCTACCATGTGGGCTCATCAACGAGTTTGCGCAAGAACGGGTCAGCTGGTTCACCGATACGGCTGCTGTAGAAGGCGTGGCTTTCCCATCGAGGAAGGCGAGTCTGATATGAGATCTACGATAGCAAATAAAGCCAAAACAAGAAAAAAAAAAATTGGAATGGCCGAATACGGATGATGACACTGCGCTTCGGCACTTCCACGACATGACTAGATGATCTGATAGAAGAAGGATGAGCCAGTCAAGGTATATCTAGCTACCATTTCTCAGGCGTCCCAAGAGGGACTGCTCCAATCTTAACGACGTCCCATTTGATTAAAGGTCTTCTCTTCCCTCCACAATAACAGTTTCGTAAGGTTCATTACTACTGTTGTTATTATGTTTGTACTTGGCCCAACCATGGACTACATTACGTTCAACAATGCGAATGTGCCAGGGACGTTCCCATCAGCAAGGCCGTTCCTGTCATCATAGGCCGCCTCAAGTCTTTGATTTGAATTTTCACGCCAGGAAGTCCATCATCATTCTTAAGCGTCGTTCATGTTTTCCCAAGCTCGTCGAAGTATTTTAGTCCCCTTACACAGTCAATTGCACAGATTCGCAAGCACCCACGCATTCCCAAGCACGTCTTCACGTCATATCCCTTGCCTCCTCTCATACCCATACCATCGTCCAACGAAGAACCCATCTTTATAAAGAAAAAGGACTTCGACTCGTCCTTCAGCTCAGCTGCCCAATTTAAGGAGGCCTCTTCGCGGCAACCACAGCCGACAATCGCAACTCGGGTAGCCTCGTCTAGACTGGCGTTCTTCCCAAGGATAGGCACGGCATTGTTCGATCAAATTAGGGCCTCGTCGACCCAGCACAATCCCTCACTCGTTATCTTTGAAGCCGTAGATCCCACACGGATTAATTTACGCGGTTGCTCTTCTTTTAAACGCTCAACAATAATACGTGCCACGGACGCTGCCGCTGTCTTGCTCGATGCATCAAATATCAACATTACGGCATCTCTGATATTTGCTAGCTCTGCGCTCGAACTGCTCAATATATTGCCAGTGGGATAGACAAGTGCGTGAACAACCGGATCCTACGTAAAATTGGCAATGATTGAGCGAAAAACTCGTCTCAAAAATCATCTTCATCAACGAGTGCCGCGCAAGATCAGTCTTGCTCGCTTTCGGTGACAATATCGTGTGCCGTTTGTAGGAACCTTGCAACGCGTGCATTCGGTATTCCATCATTTCAATGACTTGGTCCTCAAAACGCCCGGCTCTGGTTCAGTGATCTCCTTATCAATCTAAAGCGTGCCTAGCGACATGTAACCATTAATCTTCGTACCTATATGCGCAAGGAGGCTGGTCGATGCAGTTACCACGCCAATTCCCAAGCATGAAAGACGACCGTGTTTTGTGGCGTCGTTGAAAGGTGCGGCATGAGATGCACGTCCATCCAAGTGAAAAGATGGCCTAGACGGACATATGTGAAATTTCTTGTAAAGAGCGTGAAAAACAAAGGGCGAATTGGAATAGAGGATGGTGCAAGCTCAGCCGGCAGAGGATCCTCTGGCTGCTCGACGAGCCACTGCTTCTTAAAGTCCCAGCGATCAGTGATTTGAATCACAGGTCTTGACATATTCATCCTCTCGACTTAATTCTTTACTGAGGACCAACCTCGATCAAAAGAAGCGTCCGAAACGGTCAGAGGAAAGGTTTATGCTCGAACATGGTTCTTCAGTCAAAGTACCCCGGATGCATGCCGCCTGAAAGTGCACGCCTCTATAGTAGGATGGAATCATAAGCAATTCAGTAAAGATTTCTTTATCTGGCAAGAGATCCGCTGGATCTAATATACGAAGCAGGCTGTTCAAATAGAGCGGGCGAAGAGCTAGCAATCCGCAGTTCTGCTTACGCGTCAGCTTATCGATCGTTTCTGCACCTTAGCTGACCGAGAACGTTTGAAGAGATCCCGAACAAAGTATGGTCCTCCAAGTGCATCATAGATGATATTTCAGCAAACAGCTTGCCACCGCTGCTGGCCTCTCATATTTGTCCTCCGACGCTGAGATCGACGGCTAGGCCCACCCACAGTCTAGACGATGTCTTCTTGTTTTATTATGTCGCTGGACTTTTGCAAAGACCAAATTCGACACCGCAGGTCCCAAAGTTATATGCGTAGTTGAAAAGAGCCTTCCCCACGTCTTCTTCCCAAGATATCCTACATAGCATTGTCCAGTCTGCCTATAATTTCGACGCAGCGTGACCAATAGGCTTCAAGGCCATAGGAAAGAGTTACAGCACTACGGAGCTTGGAGATGAAAAGTGCTGTCAAAGACAGCATTAAAGTTCGGCGACGGATATTAGAAAAATGGTTGCCATTGCTACATATTTCGGAGAGCAATGTAAAGTTCGCAATTCTGGAATTCTATCAGATATAAATGAAAGATAGAGTTTTTCCGGTTTCATATTCTAGAGTCGCCCAAGGTTCGAGCCACCGGTTCCTTGTGTATCACTCGCTATATTTCCATAACAATTCAATGCGACCTGAAAGGCTACCCAATGTTCTACTTATCTACAGATGGTTTAATCGAATTTTGCATCTCATTCGTTAAAAACGTTCACCATTCCATGCCATTGATCTTCACACCCACGCCCTGACCTGCAAGTACACCATTCGCTATCCCGGCAGTACCTTTGCTGTTCAGATGGCTGGCGTTGACGCTCTTTCTGCCTTTCATATTTTTCAGTTTGGAATCAAGCTTTTCAAATGGATCCGGTCCAGACTCCTCTTTTTTGATTCGCCACTTGCTTGTCCCAAGTACGGAATCAAGCTCTTCAACAGGTGGCAATTTGACATAAACCCAACCGTCTTCGCGCTCTTCCACAGGGAAAGTCGCGATATTCACTTCAGCGTCGTTGGCACATTTACCTGCATTTTCCCCCGCGAGCTCAAAGTTTCGTTTGTGATAGGGGCACGACACCCAAAGCTTGTTGTTTTTGATGTCGTCGCCAATTAGACCATCCGATAGGACAAACGCTCGCTTATGAGGACACATCTGCTGGGTGCAATAGTACTTGCCTTTGACCTTGAAGATCGCAAGCTGTGTATCACCGCGCTTAATCGCCTGGCTGTCACCTGTCGGAACATCCTTGAACATCTCGGCCTTAACAATCGGTTGCCAGGTGAGCTGACTCCATTTGGTGCCTCTGAAGTCTTCTTTGACAGATTCCTTCGGCCAGTATGCAGGCCGTGTCTGTTCTCGCTCAACAATGGGCTCGATAGTGTCGACAATGTTCTCTTCCGTATTAGCGAATTGGATGAAACCTTTTCTCCGTTCAGGATCCTTAACAACCTCTGTCCATTCACAGAAGTATGACTGGACAAGCTCTTCCATCTGTTGCTCTAAGTCGGCACAGATTCCAAGTTTATCTTCCAAAATGACTTCTTTCAGATATTCGATACCACCTGGCAGGTTCTCGATCCATCTTGCTGTTCGTTGCAGCTTATCTGCTGTACGGATGTAGAATGCAAGATATCTGTCCAGGATAGGAACAACATCATCTGGCGGTACGTCCTTTGCAAGGAGCTCGGAATGTTTTGGATTTGCTCCGCCGTTGCCACCAACGAATATGTTGAACCCTTTCTCAGTGGCAATGAGACCGAAGTCTTTGTTCTGTGCTTCGGCGCACTCTCGCACACATCCAGAAACACCACCTTTGATCTTATGCGGTGCTCTGATACTCTTGTAGCGTTCCTCTAGCCGAATGGCCATGCCAACACTGTCACCAACGCCAAATCTGCACCATGTGGTTCCAACACAGCTTTTGACAGTACGTAATGACTTAGCGTAAGCATGGCCGCTCTCCAAGCCACCCTCGACAAGGTCGGTCCAGATTGCAACGAGATCTTGCTTTCTTGCGCCGAACATGTCGATTCGTTGGCCGCCAGTAATTTTAACGTACAAGTTGTATTTCTTCGCCACATTGCCAATAACGAGAAGCTTATCCGCTGTGATTTCACCACCAGGAATGCGAGGCACGACGGAATAGGTCCCATTGCGCTGGATGTTCCCCAGGAACTTATCGTTTGTGTCTTGCAGACCACGACGAGGTGCATCAACAATGTGCTTGTTGAACAAAGACGCTGTGATAGAAGCGATTGCAGGCTTGCAGACTTCGCATCCAACTGAGTCTGGCTCTTTGCCAGCTGCTTTCATGACCTCTGGGAAGGTTTGCAGCTTTTTGACATGTATGATGTTGTACAGATCCGCTCGCGAGTACTCGAAGTGAGGGCACAAGTGGTTTTTGACTTCCTGACCCATCGACGCCATGGTCGAATTGAAGATACTTTGAACAAGAGGCACACAACCAGCGCATCCGGTTCCAGCCTTAGTACATGCCTTGACATCACCCAAGCTTTTGCAAGTGCCGTCTTTGACAGACTTGACAATATCACCTTTTGTAACGTTGTGACACGAACAAATCTGGGTATCGTCTGCAAGATCGCTTCCGTCGTCATCGCCTGCCTTCTTTGCACCCACAATCAGCTCACTCGGTGGTATTTCCAGTGGCTTCTGGTTCTTGACGAGAGGCACTAGTTTGATGTAGTCACTAGTATCACCAATCATCATACCTCCAAGCAAGTATTTGCCATCAAGAGTGAAAAGGTACTTCTTGTAGACATTGGTGAAAGGGTCCTTATACGTCAAAGCCTTGACAGCGGGAGGTGGAGGCCCTTCGGTGAGGGCCCTGACACGGTCTTTTGCCTCAACAACACCTTCCCGCTTGCCCTCTGCTCTTCGTCTCGGGAGGTGCTTTGGCCCGTCCCTATCAGCAAAGAAATCTCCAAAGCTGGCGACTTCAACACCTAGCAACTTGAGTTTTGTGCTCAAGTCCGGTCGTTTAAACGTTCTTGGAGTATGTGACTTGGCCTGGGTAAGATTGAACGCAAGAACGTCAGCCATCTCTACTCCAGGTGCGATTAGGCCAAATGTTTGACCTTCCCAGCTGGCACATTCCCCAATTGCATAGATGTCTGGCACTGAAGTTTTTAAGCCCGAGTCCACGATGATTCCGCCGCCTCTTTCAGCACATTTAAGTCCGGCCTTGCGAGCCAACTCATCTCGCGCACGAATGCCAATAGCAAAGCAAATGCAGGTACAGTTCATTTTCTCTCCGTCCTCAAAGACCACGCCAGTCACGTTATTGTCGTCGTCTGTGGTGATCTTGCCGACTCTCTTGCTCAGCATCACGTCTAGGCCCAGTGCACGAACTTGCTCCACAACCATTGCGCCCGCATCGCCATCAAGCTGTCGTGAAAGAACCCATCTGTTTCTCTCAATGAGCTTGACCTTGTCAAATTTCTCCAAATCCATCATTGCCTTGGCCGCTTCAAGACCTAGCAGGCCTCCGCCAACCACGGCTCCTATTGTGCCCTGTTTACTACTTGCAAACTCGATAAGCCTCTGCAGGTCATCAATCGTTCTGTAAACAAAGACGCCCTTGGCATCATGACCTGGAGTGTGTTTGGGGAGCAAGGCATCTGAGCCCGTCGCTAGGACGAGTATGTCGTATGCTATTGTTTGACCTCTAGCTGTTTTCAGAATTTTGGATTTGGAATCGATCTCTGTCACCAGGGTGTTGAGATGGTAACTGAGCGAACCATCTGGCATGCTGTGATACCATTCTTTGGGGTTGAGATAGAGGTCTTCGACTTTACGATGTTGAAAGAAACTTGTTAAACCCACACGATTGTAAGCCAAGTGGGGTTCTTCTCCGATAACGACTATGTCGTACTCTCGTCTCTTGACATCCAATTTTAAGACTTTCTCGCTATATTTTGATCAGTTTTGACTCTTGATCGTATCTTGTTGAGACTTACATGAACGCAACACCGACCATGCCTAAGCCAACGACCACAAGCCTCTTGCGCCCACCCTTCTCCGGCGGGTCCACATGGTCGCCCATTTCTTCCACCTTTTTGTGTCCTTTTGCCTTTAACCGTTCTGCTCGTTGGGTTTTGCTCCGGGTTTGACAATTTGATCTCTTCACCGAAGTAAGAGCGGCAAATATCAGGAGCCTGAGCGCGGCCTACGAGCTGATACCGATGTCACCGAATAGTGGAAAGTGCAACAAAGATGCGAAGAACCAAGATATATTAAGTCACGCTCAAATCATGGCACGAATGCATGCAGAATAGATAGGGTCGCGATCAGCAAGATAGGAATCGAAAAGGACGTTACGAAAGCTGAAGACACTTGTGGAATACGATTGAACACTGATCTATCTACCTACCCAAAGCCAGGAAAAGCGATTAGACATAGCAGATCCACGGCCAGGCTTGCAGCCATGCCGCGGAAACAGATCAAAAAGATCCAACCCAGAGCCTGCGATTTGCCATCGCCGGACATCACTGGTCGAGGGAAGTCAACTCCGTGGAGGACTAGCTGCTTTCAAGAGTGGTAAAGAACATAACCATCATCCTAGTATTTCCGAGGGACTAGGTTTGATAAGACGACTAAATGCGCGCATGGAAGTGTGGGCAGGTGAGGATCGCTGATAAGAAGAAAACCAACGAACACAATGTGGAGTTTGGGGGGAGATGCCAAGAGATGCGAGATAAAGCTGACGATCCAGAACGCGTGATCTCGGAGAAAATCTCCGCCACATCTTTCTTTGCAGGCAGAATTCTGCGTGCAGTCTGATTGGTCGTGTGAAGATTGCCATGTTCGGAAATTTGACTTCGTTATGTGGAAACTATTCTCAACCTCTCTGGCCGCGCCATGCTCAGACCTGTCGTAGTCCTTCTACTTCAACTAAATCCGATGTAACTCCTCCGCTATGCATGTAAACATATTTTTTTCTTTGGTAAAGGTACAGAGTCGCCAGCAGACGACCTTTGATTGGATCTAACCACGCTTATCGAGCTCGATGTCAGCTGCTTGCGTGCACACCTGTGCCTAGAAAAACAGCAAATCCTTGTCTTCCCAACCTTGACTGTTAAGAATTTTGTGGACATTCTTCTCCAGAGCTTCAGGACCACAAATTAGTACCATTGAATCATCCGTCCGCGGTACATGCTCCTCCAGCAGCGGAGGTCCTATGCGTCCTCTCAAGCCTGTCCAGTCTTCCGGTGCTTGCGTCAGGGTGTATATGAGTTTGCATCGATCTGGACTGTCATTCGCAAGCTTGTCAAGATCCTCCCTGCAGAGAATGTCTTCAACGAGGCGATTTCCATTCAGTACCGTGCACGAGGTTGGATCGTCCTTGTCTTGCATAACTGCTCGGAAGACCTGGAAAATGGGAGTGACACCACTGCCTCCGCAAATCATGAAGAAGTGCTTGACTGATCGATTTTGCCCTTGCACTGTGCATCTGCCCTTTCCAAGGTACTCAAATTTACCAATCGGGCCCTTAAAGTCTATAGAATGTCCAATAGGTATGGCGTCCATGGCCGTCGTCATTTTTCCACCCTTTCTCTCTGGTGTGTCAAAGTATATTTTGACTAGCACGTGAACGAAGCCTTTTTCACTTTGTTCTGAGATCGGCGTGTAGCTTCGAATGATGGCTTCCCGTGTGACAGGATCGCGTAATCTCATCATTAGATGCTGGCCCGTTGGTAAGCCAAGCACTTGTTCGTCGTGTTCAAGCTTAAAGGTGAAGATCCTAGAATCCCATGATACTGTCGTCTTCTTGTGCAATACAGCTTTGTTCCAAACTTTGCTGTCCAAAAATGTGGGTCTTGGCTCGTCTGATGCTGCTACGTTAATTTCTCCTTCTTGAAGTACTCTCCGTGATTTTTCGTCTAATGATCCGATGTGATAGTCTGGCATCATAAGTTTCGCAGTTTCGCTATCTACATGGAGTTAGTGATGCAAATTTAGGACAAAACGGGAAGATCCACTCACGAATCGCCATGAATTCGTCAGTAGCATCGAGTCCAGCGGCAGAGATAATGCTCTGCGCTCCACCAGGATGATCTTTCAAGAAAGCAGTTCCATCGTAGACCTCACCGTTCACCACAAACCATGGCTCCTGCGTGTGATCGTGTTTACGAAGATCGTCAATTGTGATTTCCTTGTTCACGCTGTCATTCGTCATTTTTATTTCTGCTGGTGCCTGTTTATTGACTTCGGAGGAGGCATCTTCGCCGTCGATTCGTTCCCCCCAGTATCCGTTTGTCAAGTTGCCTCCCATATTTTTAACTCTTTCCATCCAACCCCCTGGCATCAAGGCGGGCTGAGTTGGGTGCTCAAATCGCAAGTATTCCCCCTCATGACTTATTGTAACTCGGAACCAGGGGTTGTTCATCATACCTAAAACCGACCAATACATGTCTCGAGGTTGAACTTGAAGTGCCTCATCCATTGCGCGGACGAACACGTCCTTTGCGTCCTGCAAGTCAGTTACGGGTACTTCAAGATGCCAAAAGCACCAGCAAAATGATGTTTCCCGCCACCAGACGTCCAATGCTCCTCCATATAAATCTTGATCTGGAGCTGAGCGATACTTATCTTCCGGATATTCGATATGGGCCAGTCTCCAGGTTTTGCCCTTGTCGAGAGTTATTTCGACTCGCGTAACTCGCCTCCCGCCACCTCCATATGCATACCCCCTTAATTTGTATCTTTCAGGTGCCTGTGCTAGATATATTCGTTCCTCATGTTCAGGATAGGCAATCGCGGAATTAGTGTTCAAGTCGTAGATGGCGTACCTTTCGTCTTTCCACCAACTAGGGTTGTTGGCAGATTCTTCCGGAGACACCATTGTGGGTAGCAACCGGTTGTCGTAGTAGTGATACCAACTTGTGCTTGGCTCATCGCTCACAATCAACCTCTTAAGCCACTTGACACTCCTTCCACCAATCTGCCCGGGGACAACTACCCTTAGAGGTTTACCGTGGTCAGGCCTTAACATCTCTCCATTCATCATCCATGAGAGCATGACACCTTTGTTAGGATCCATGACCCAATTTAATTTCAGCGACGTCCCGTAGTAACCATTCGGCAACTTGTCAGCACCTTCCATACAAACATACCGTGCCCGCCTATTTGGTCGAGCTTTCTTTATTACGTCCGACAAGGCGATACCTGTAAACAGGGCAGTTGATAGCCCAGCGGGACCCCAGGAAAATCCCTTTGATTTGCGGACGACATTCTGTTCCTTTCGTCGGTTCCCTGCACAGACCAATGTGACGGGTAGTGTTATGTTGCGATAATCTGAAATCAGATCTCTGAGCTTAATTGTCATAGGATAGTCAACGAGCCTGGAACACGCTCAGCGAATGTTATAATATGTCAACTTCAAATGGCTCACCCTTCGACCGTGAACTCCCAGTCCAAGCACTCTTCATCCGGAACATTTGGAACAGCTCCATGATTCCGGACGTAAAACAAATCAGGACTCGTTAGGAAACCTTCATTGAAAAGTGCTGTTAATGGTGCCTCTACGTTGAAGGGATGAACACCAGTGAGCCGAATTAACCTTGGGTCTCTCGGCACGTGCGCATCTGGAGTGCTTTTATCGAGATCGAGGACGACCAAAGCAGGGTCTGATGGCGGGGGCAGGGGAATGTCTACGACGGAATTTGTCGATACCTCATCAGGCTCTGCTACCGTACTTTCTGGAGGACTAGGTGGTGGTTGTGGATATAATTTTTGCGGCTTTGCCTTTTCTTCCAAACTGAGGTTATCCATTTCGAGATACAAGATCAAGCAAAGGCCGAACGGTGACAATACAGGAAATGTTCTAGAGCATGGTAGAGGAACAAAAGTTCAGAATCTCAGGGTGATTGAACGTCAGTGAAGACGAGAAAAGCGAAACTAGAAAATTATTTCTCTCACGCAATCGGACTTTGTGGCACGTATGCCTCGATCTGACCTCCTTGCATCATATAGCCGTGGGTGTGCAGCGGAGAAAGCAAACATCATGTTTCCTTCTGCTGTCTAGAATCCCATCGCAGGAATCAGCCGCGGAAACTCGATACTCATCCCTACCATAATCTGGCCCCGAGAGGACTAGCATTTTTCTGAACTGATAAGAACCTGCAGAAGCATGGAAGCCCCGTTATTGGTTAGTACAAGTACTTAATACACTAGTGCGAGTTCCATCTTCAATTGCTCATTGCTCTATTTTCGAACAACGCTCATCATCGATACGGAGAAGCCCGTTGCGGATCTATGTTGGGGTATTCTCATGATATGACCGAAGCATATATGCAGTGTTCAAGACCATTTTTTTAAAACAAGTCGTTACTTAGCAAACGTTGTGAGATGCTGGTAGATTGTCGCCACAACGCGATATTAGGGAGCCGAGAGAATGAGACTCGATATTGAAGCAACACTTTGCGATCTCTTGCACACGTGCACATTAATTGTGGAGTTGCGATGTTTGAATCAAATTCAATGAGGTGAGGTCAATGATAGATGTGCGTTCTCAAAATGGAAAGGCCATGAGCCGCATCTCCGCGGAACCGCTCTTATTCGTTACAAATGGTCATACATAAATGTGCGCCGCTTCGCGGCGATCAGGAATCTGTGCACATCGCATTGGGATGTTCCCAATGCTCGCTGGATTGAGCGATTTTTATTCTTATCATCTCTTTTAAATGCCACATGAAATAGATATGACATCATCCAGAACAGTCAGCAAAAACTTGGCCTGGCCTAGAAAATGTCCTGCTTTAGTTTCTACACCCGGCTTGCCTCCCAATTATATTCCTTCAGCTCAATGCAGCTTAGACAAGCCGAGATGTGGTGGAGGAATAATCACAGAAAACAACATCCTTACATGCCACGATACGTCTGAACTCTCTATTGTCTATATACTAGTAATAAATATGGCAAGTGCGTTTGCGTCACTCCATGAGCTCGGGCGACAGATTGAAGTCATACGTCATCTCTTTAACAATCTGAGCAAGCTCATCAACAGACATATTTCCTTGTACCTTAACTTTTTGCATATCGCTTGGTACATCTATAGGTCCTGGATTTGTATCAATCTCCAGAGTTACCTGTCGCCGTGTTCAGTATCAGCGTAACCTGTCTCACACCATCAGAACAAGTTCAAACTGAAGGGGGGCTCACAGCTTCGTGCTCGCATATGTACTTTATGCCCAGCGGCGGAAGTTTGGTGAGTCTGTCTGCCATGTTATCGGCATCCGATTGCGAGCGTGGCTGCCCATTCTCTGGTGGCGGGTTTTCGTTCGTCACAGGAATGTCCTCAGTCCGCAGATTTTGATCTGCATCCGATGCATCCCCACGATCTCTCAGCTCACCGGAAGCACATAACGGCGTCTCTTCATCCAGGGGGCTAGCACTATTCTCACTTACAGGACCGTCGTTGACGAGGGCGACATCCATCATTGCCTGAAAAACTCCATCTTTAACCTTGTCCTGATCATACTGCTTCTGCACCTCAGTAAAGAAAGCCGTATACAACTCCCGTCCTTTTTCAGCGTCTGCAGATTTGTGAAAACTAGGCTTGTTACCCTTGTTGGTAGAGGCAAAGAGGGTGAATTGCGAAATGCAAAGAACTTCGCCGCCGACGTCCTTCACGCTCTTCTTCCACTAGGACATGCGTCGTTAGCGGTTGCGTATCGTTGTCAGAGTCTCTACGTTGAGTTTGAAAAAATGGAAACCATGAACATTTGATCGACAAGCTGTTCAACTGCATCGGCGACGCTTAAAGAGTAGGAAGATACAAGCTTACCCTACCACCACTCTCATCATCCCACAGCTTCATGTTCAGAAGCTTACCCGCTGCTCTCTCTGAATCCTGGATAGTGTCGTCCTTGCCCACCGCAGCAAGTGCAAGGACGCCCTTGCCGATCGACGCTATGAGCTTTCCATCGACAGATACAGACGCGGATTTAACGCGCTGCAGGACGACTGAAAAGGGTCAGCGCTGAGTGGTGTGATAAAACGACTCAAGGGCCATCTCTAACCTTTCATACTCCAAGGACTAAGTGATGTTGTGCGATGTAGATGGGTAAGCTACTGTGGGTAAGAAGGGTAGTATCGAGTTGTGTTAGCGGGGTGGTGTTTGATACGCCTTGTGGCGTAGCCTGCGACTTCTAGGGTGCGCTAGTTGAGCGACACATCTTGTTACAAATAGAGCAAGAAGAATAGGGAAAGTTCAAAGCAACGATAAATACTTGACATTCAGCTGCAAGCTAGAGAGCCAAGGGAAGACCATGTTCGGATATGACGACTCGAACATAAGGCGAATTTCGAAGGCTTGAAGTACGGCTAACTGTGTGGGTGATTGGTTCTTTGGTTGGCTCGCTTAGAGAAAAGGCTAAGCCGTATACGGATATCCCTGCGCTTGCCTTCGTCTACCACCCCATGTTCGCGACATCTCTCCATCAAGACAGACTGTGCAACACCTGCAACATTATACGGCGCCTAGCAGCCACCGGTCACGCGTCGCTCGCACACAATCAGTGTCACGCCATTTCTCTCATCATCATCATCTCGCGAGACTAACTTTGCCCTCTGCCTTTTGCCTAGCAGGCGTCCTCCCCCGTGAGGCTTCACATATCCCAAGCCATGGCGGCACGGAAATTGCAGATAGAGATCGATAAATGCTTCAAGAAGGTCGCAGAAGGCGTCGCGGCCTTCGAAAGTATCTATGAGAAAATTCAGACAGCCGGAAACCCGGCCCAGAAGGAAAAATTAGAGGATCAGCTCAAGAAGGAGATCAAGAAGCTGCAACGAGATCGAGATAGGATCAAGGCATGGGCAGCATCGAACGAAATCAAGGACAAGAAGGCGCTATTGGAACATCGAAAATTGATAGAAACTGTGCGTGTTTGCTGCTCGTCCCGCTGCGCCTGCCACCTTATAAGACTGCGCTAACAAGTATGTTTTCTAGCAAATGGAGAAGTTCAAGGCGGTCGAGAAGGAAATGAAAACAAAGGCATATTCGAAAGAGGGTCTGTCGTTAGCAACTAAGATGGATCCGAAAGAGAGGGAGAAGGCCGAGATGTGCGCCTATCTATCCGATTGCGTGGACAGCTTGGAACGACAGATTGAACAACTCGAGTCCGAGGCCGAAACATTGCAGGCGAATTTGAAGAAGAGTAAAAAGGGCAACTCGAGTGCTGATAGAGTTGCTGAGCTGGAAAGGGTGATGGAGAGACATAAGTGGCATCAACAGAAATTGGAGCTTCTATTGCGAACACTCGAGAATGGCGGCATCGATGCCGAAGAGGTCAAGAAAAAACAGGAGGACATCACGTATTACGTTGACCAAAACCAAGAGATTGATTTTATGGAGGACGATACGATATACGATGATCTAAACCTCCAGGAAGAGGAGGAGATATTTGGCATGGGCATTGAGGCTGACAGACTTTCTTCTCAAGACGCTCAATCGCTAGCGGATGACGCAGATGCAGATCAAAAACCTGCCGCAGGAGGAATAGGCAAGTCGAAAGCTGCAGAGATTGCACGAGACGATCGGCGAAGACCCTCGACACAACACGTAAAGTCTCCATTGCCCGCACTCGCAACGCTACATGCACCAATACCAGCGACGGCGAACGGGACAGCTGCAAGTGGTATGAAGCCAGCACCGCCACCAGCAGGTGGGGCACCGCTCAAATACGCATCTGCAGCGGCAGCGGCAGCTGCGAGCGATCAGAATGAGCTTGGAATCGCTCCATTACCTGCGCCGCCTGCGAAAGCTCCGCCCACAGAGTCATCACCTGCAACATTGCCAGCAGCTGTCAAAGCACCAAGTGGCGCGTCACCAGCAGTGTCGCAAGCACAGCCCTCCGCCCAGCCGACTCAGAGAAATGCAAGTCACGATTCTCAACCAATGGGGAAATCTCCTGGACCGGGCGCATCGCCTGCAGTGATTGCCAATGAGCCGGCTCAGTTTGGACCCGAGAAGGATAACAAAAGGCAAGAGAACAAGAAGGCGACTGAAAGCAGTACGGAAGAAGGGGCGCAGCCGTCAACACCTGCGCTCACTAATGGCGACACACACTCCGAAGTGGAGGAAGAAGAACCAATCTACCATCTCCCCTCGAGCCTGGCAGATCTTCTCGACGGCTTTGACATCACGAAGGACCCAAAAGACGCCTTCTCAGACCCAACATCACAGCGGTTATTTGCAGCAGGCTACTCGCAAGTACCCGAAGCTGCAGATATGGAACGTCCAAGGTTTTACCGGCCGCAAAACCCCTATCCATACACACCGCCGCATTTCCCCCAGGAGCCGTCGCCGATCTTTGATGATCCACGGCTGTACAGCAGGGTGGATACTGACACACTATTCTACGCATTCTATTACAGACAAGGAACTTACCAGCAGTACTTAAGCGCGAAGGCATTAAAGAACCAGAGCTGGAGGTTCCATAAGCAATATCAAACTTGGTTCCAACGTCATGAAGAACCGAAGAGTATCACTGAAGACTATGAGCAGGGTACTTATCGGTTCTTCGACTATGAAAGCACGTGGTAAGTTTAGGCTTAGACGCATGACACACGACGAAGAATGCGCGAAGCTAATCAAAGGCAAATAGGATGAACAGAAGGAAGGCCGACTTCAAGTTTCACTATCGTTGGCTGGAAGACGAGCTATGAGGAGAGGAGTGGACGAGTAGATGCACGTCTACTCAGCCACTCGGCAAACATGATAGCACTAGCTATTCTTCCCGGTCTGGTCGTGCATTCGACTTCACCGGATTTGTTGCCGTATCGCTAATTGACAAAGCTCAACGTCTCCTGTGGAGATGCCCTTGTTTTTTGTTTACCTATCTTTGTTTGCGCAAAGTGATCTATTATCTGCCTTTTCACGCGCCGCTTCTTCATCCCCTCTCCTACTGCTCGATTACCCAGACTAATTTTCCGGATTGCAAGTGAATCGCCGATCACGGACAGGCGGCTCTGTACTTACGCCCGGTTTATATGGCGCGAACAAACAAGGCAACCAAGGCGGGTGGGGTCATTTTTGTACAAGGCTGATAACACCCAGCGCTCCTCACACTCGCCATACATAGATGATCCTTAATTCCTTAGTCGTGCTGATACGTGTGTAAATCTCTCCTGCTTCACCTGTTAAGCGCCATTACCACAGCGATGTCAAGGGGGTAACAAAGCGCACATTTCCTCTCCAAAGAGCCACACTTGGAGGCCACCCTTGATCTTGTGAGACGCCACAATTCTGTCCTTCGTACTGTGGAGTCGATCGACGAATCAAGGGCCCTAGGATCAGTCACAGCCTCTTCATCCTCCGGGCGTTGGCCATTCAACGCATGCCATACCGCTCTGGTCCAGTCTGATGACCACCCCACTTGTACCGAGCAGCTAGTTGGGCCTGGCCCCTTCATTCTGTCACAAATCACTCAGCCTCACACATCTGCCATCCGGCACGAACGTGGATCGTCTGAGAACCTATGGTTTCCTGAGGCTGAGTCGCCATGCTGGTCAGTTCTGCATTGGAATCCCCATATACGAGCGAAATTCCGCGAGAAACGCAGAACGCAGAGCCTTAAGATGGCACGACGAAAGTATGAACTTCAAGCAGGGTATGGACAACCTCACCCAGTCTAATGCATGTCTGCGGCCTCAGATCCTGCGTGATGCGCACACGAATGGGGTTTTCTTTCACACGATTTGAGTATGGGCGTGGAAGCACGTTCATCATGAGCGTTGGTTTCCAGGCCCATAATAGGCTGCCCTGTTGTAACCTGCCTGCATGAAGCTCAGGTCGAATAAAACGATACCATTTTCACTTTTCGTTTTCATGGCATAATACATCGTTACACCGCAACTTTGGTCTGCTCGAAGTCAACAGCGGGACTTCACAGCCACGCCAACTACCTTCCAATGCCAGCTCACAGAAGAACGTAGGGGCATTGTTTGACTTCGTGTTATAATTTATTTACGCCGCGTCTTACATCTTACGTCCACTTTCCCTTGTTCCAAAAGTACAGCTCACAGCTCTGCCGAGGCGGACCAGTCCAACACCGCACGAAAGTGCAAAGCACGTCTTCGCTTACTGCCATCCTATATTCTATTAGTCGCCACCAGCCGTGGCCCAGACCACCATCACTTACTGCAACGCATGTCACCGCTAACTGCGCTTCTATGGATTTCCATCTACGGGCAAGTCACTGAAGCGGCTCACCGTCTCTTCTTGCTAACGACAATGTGCAGCAGCCATTTGCTTCCGGGCAATCTCCGTTGAGCCATGGGGAGGAAGAGTGGGACTCGGGGGAGCAAATAGCAACGCCGCAAGTCTACGCCGCGACGGGTGCTCCAACGACAGGCCAACAGTGGAGCCAACAGACTTCTCCTCCCTTAAGCAATTACTCCGCTACTTATTACCCGCCTACCACCGCAGATGCCGGTCACTATGCGTACATCGCTCATCAGACCGGCAGCTACCCCGTGCCGACGCCTCTCCAACCTCAGTTCACTCTCCAACCTCAGTTCAACCCTTACAATCGCGGTTTGAATCTGGGAGACTATCACCACGCTCGTCAACCCTATGAGCTTACTGCGACGACCAGCAATTCTTCTCAGGGATGGGAATCACCGGCGGTGGACAACTCGCACAACTACCCCTACAGCTCTCAACCAGGCTCAGAATCGGGCTCGTCTGAGGACAGGGACCCAAGCCCGCAGTCTGACAACGGGTACGTTTGTGCAAAAACATTTGGACTAGCTAGCATTTCTTTGGAAACGTCAGGCTCGTTCTATCCATCTCCTTCCCGAGCCTGACATTCAAATTTTCCACATCTTGGAAATCTCGTAGTCGTATCGCCTCGGTAGTACTCCCTTATACCGGTCCCTTTTCTTTTATTTTCTTTTTTTTTTGCCTTTTTGGCTTCTTTTTTTTTTCCTTTCCTTTCCTTTTTATCGTTTTTTCTTCTTTCATTTATTCAGTGCGACAATGCCGATCCTTTCTCGTCTACTGTTTCCTCCTGCGTCGTCCTCATGTTCGCATTTCTCTGGGCATTCATGATCACTTGTAGGACTGAAAAGAGCGCAGCTAACCTCTGCGTGCTTCTAAGCAGATCCACGGGACCGTCCTCATCGCATCGTGCCAAGACTCAAAAAAAGAAAAGGTTCGCCTGCTACCGCGTCGTGCAAGATTCGGGAGAGACGTGCCGCAAGGCGTTCGCCCGCAAGGCTGACCTGCAACGTCACGAAACCTGCGTGCACGACAAGGACAAAGTGGAGCGCATCGACTGCACGGTCAAGAAGTGCAACCGCAAGGGCGGAAACGGGTTCCTTCGGCGCGACCACATGACAGAGCATCTGCGTCACTATCACAGCAAGGACATACCGAAAAAGCAGCGTAGAAGCGTCCCCAACGCCGAAGAGGACGACGAAATTCCGCAGCGGCTGCGGCAGCAGCAGCCGGACCAATATGAATATTCGTATTGACGCTTTCCCGCACACGGGCTCCACCTGCACGCTGGTTCTTCATCACGACGGGAGTCGTAGCACCACGTCGACCTCTGACGTTTCAAGCTCCGACTGCGCAGATTCCAACCTTGCTGACACTTTCTTACGGTCCAATTCTAGCTCTTTGTTGCAACAGTCGTTCTATCCTGACTATCATTGAGGGCGTTTGCTGGTTTCCTTGTAGTACAAAACACAATAATCTTCCCTTCCCCCTGTTCTTCACGTGGATGCTGCGGATTTTATGTATATAGAAGTAGTGTGTCCTTGGCTTAGTACTTTTCGCCTCATTCGAACCTGATTCAGAATGCCTTGGTAGAGGGAAGCGGAGCGCATGCGATGTTGACGATTTGTGTGGCTCACAGAGTGGAGGAACTCACATCCCTTTCTCGGATATTCAGGGGAGTGGGATACGTTTCCCAGCAGCTTGTGACGATCTGCTTGCTGCTGTACGATAATTTTGTACTTATACTAACGTTTAATGTACTCAAAAGACGGGTTCGGCGTCCAAGTTAGAAGTGGTGCCATGTTGATATAACGCCAGTGCGGAGGAGAAGAAACCAATCTAACGCGCAAGTTAGGCATTGATCTATACTTATCTTTTTCTAGTCATAAAACCCATGGTCTGTGCATGTGCATTGCTGCCATACACAGAGCCGCGTCATGACCATATCCATTACTTGCTTCTTATCCTCTGGAATACAGAAACGCCGTCTATCATTCCTCGAACGACTCCATATCTCATGTGACCTCATAAGCTAGTGATTCACTCCTTTTCTTCGGTTTCCACGTCTTTCATCTCCTCGTCCTTTGGCTCGGCAGCTTTCTTGGCCTCCTCCTCGGCCTTCTTGGCCTCTTCCTCGGCCTTCTTCTTTTCCTCTTCAGCCTTCCTTCTCGCCTCCTCCTCAGCGCGTCGTTTGGCTGCTTCCTCTTCTTCCTTCTTGATCCTGGCTTGTCTCTCTTCCTCCAGCTTATCTTGGTAGCGCTGAATGACAGGTGCCGCAACACTGCGGACTTCCTCTATCTTGGCTACGTAGACTGCCTTAGTCGTATCCTCACCCTCCTCATAAAGCCAGTCCTGTGGAACAAATGTCAGCATGCTGAAGTTAATGACGGTAAAAGGGTCCATACCTCAGTCTCCGTACACTTTGCACGAATCTTCTCCTTTTCTTCCTCACTGCTGAACTCATCGTAAACACCATCAATCTTCTCCCGAAGTTCGTAAATGAATGACTCAAGCTCATTCTTCTTGTCTTCCGTGTCCTTGACAAGCTTGTCTTCCATCATCATCTGGTGTTCTCTTTCCGCAGCAGCGTTCTTGGTGGCCTGGTCCAGGGAAGCAGTCCCAGCAACAAGCGGCAGCTCACCCTTGCGGACCTGCTTCTTGACTTTACGCGTCTTTGGCGCTTTGTCTGCTGAGCCGTTTGGCGCGTCGGTATCCATTGCCTGGGCATTCGTTAGCTTTGCTCCTTTCAATGGATCGAGATATTCAGCCAAAGACGCGTTATCTTCAACAGATACCTTGAAACGCTTAATCGAATTATCGACAGGTGGGCTTGCGGAATGCTTTCTAGTCGATGATTGACTGGAAGCCTCTGCTTGTGCTTGTGAAGGTTGCGAAGAAACAGGGTCACGTACATCTCCATCTTTTTTCTCACCGTCTTTAGACTCTGGAATCGGCTCCTCCACCTCCTGTTCTTCCACATAGTAGCCCTGCTCAACATTAAGGACGCCGTGCGGGTTGATGCGTGCCTTCAGCTTGCAAATCATGAAATCGTCTTTTGCATCAGCTTTGACACCCTTGACAGAGAATCTGCCGATCCAAGGGCTGATCTTTCCGGGTAGCATCTCAGGCTTCGCGTACTTGGCTTCAAGATCGAAAGGCTGTTTCCTGTAAAATGTCAAGATCTTCGTGGATGGGATCGCGTTGCCCTTGTTGAAGACGGTCAAGCTGGTATCCTCGTCTGGGATGTCAGGAGATTTTTCCCACGTGAACTCGATTGGGTAGTTATTGATGTCATGAACGGCGAATTCACGCACCCGGAAGACCGGCGAGTGAATAGCGCAGCTAAAGGCGCACCCTCGGGCGACGGCTTCGTCTTGGTTCAATGTGTAGGAAAGGGGTCTGCCGAAAAATTGCTGGATTGCGTTTTTCAGACACGGCACACGTGTACAACCACCCACCATTTCGACGGCGTCCAGGTCCTCTGGCTTCAGTTTGGCTTCTGCGAGAGCTTGCTCAAGCGGCTTGGTAACACGGTCTAACAGTGGCCGTACGAGCTCTTCCAACTCTTCACGCTTGAGCATGCCTCGGACATCAACGTCATTCATCAACGACTCGATGTTGATAGGACCCGAAGAGTTGGCGGACAAGACTTTCTTGAGCTTCTCACAAGCTGCAAGGACCCGGAAGCGTGCCTTTGGGTTCTCGTTGATATCGATCTTGAAGTTTTCCTTGAACTCCTTCGCAAAGTGGTCTACGAGCGCCTTGTCGAAGTTTCGGCCACCAAAGTGTCGATCCGAAGCGGTTGACTTGACTGTCAGTTCACCCTTCTTGTACTCAACAATTGAGCAAGTGTAGTTGCTATTTCCGATGTCGACGAACGCGACACGACGCGGCTTTTCGTCCCCTACGGGCAAATCGGTCTTCGTGATGCCCCAGCCGAGGGCCACTGCGGTAGTATCGTTGATAAGACGGAGCGTCTTGAGGCCAGCAATTTCCGCAGCGTCAAGGATACTCCGCCGCTGGGCATCGGTGTACCAGGCTGGACAGCTTATAACGATGTCGGCGACGGGGAGCTTCAGCTCCTTCGCGGCCGTCTCTTTGACCTTTGTGAAGTACATGGCGATCAGCTGTGTGGCTGTGAACTTCTCTTTCTGCCCAAGGTATGAAACCTCGACGCCCACTTGTCCGTTGACATCGCAGAGCGGGGCAGAAATAAATTGCTGCTCGATCGCGATGTCTGGGTCGTTGAAGGAGCGGCCTGCGAGGCGGGTGAGGTTGCCCACAGTATTCTTGAGATTTGAGATTTCTGCTGTCTTTGCAGGCTCTCCTATGTACCGTGACTTTGGGCCGAAGCCTACCAGCGACCTGTTTCCTAGTTAGCAATGACGTCGAGAGCGTATTTCACCAGGACAAGCTCTAATCTTACGGTGTTGCTCGATTTGAGACTTCATTGGTGATCTGGAGTGTACGTTAGCAAATTTGAACGGCAAAAACCAAGGCGGCTACTGTCTGAGTATTTTTGTCGTGCTAAAGCCGTCACGTACTGCTGGTGGTTGCGTTCGAAAAAAAAAAAAAAATCGAACACACAGCACCAGGCGGCAAACAACGATGAAGCGAACAATGCCACGGCGTGCAGGAAGTCGGAAGGCGCATACTCACCACATCGACACCTCTATTTCTTGCGACGGCAATAACAGTGTTCAAACTGCCAAAATCGCAGCCCACCACAGACATGTTTGCTGGTGCGCGGATTCAGTCGGTCAGGAAAAGGATGCACAAGGGAAAATTGTAGAAGGGTGCAGAGGAACGGATTGCGAGCAGAAGAATTTGAACGTGTCAAATACTGGGTCAGATTCTGGCTCGGTGAGCGGTTCTGGCGTGGATGGGGGCAGGATCAGGCTCTGCGTTGTTGTCTTGCATGGATTCTTGTAGGACTTTCTACAGATTTCGACAGTGACGCTAGGCTAGCCCTGTTACAGAACAACCCACCCGCTTCTGCTTGCCAGGCCCCGTTGGCGCTGGGGGGGCCCTTAAGCGTCCGCCGTGTGGCGCACGTGGCGGTGCGTCTCCGTTTCTCTGCCAACTCCAGCATGCGCGACCATCAGCGCGTCCCGGTGAGACGCGTCACGCCCGCTGGGCTTCACCTGCAGCCAACGGACACAGCGCCATCGCGCTCTTGCGCCAGACACACGCCGTGGTGGCCATGGACTACCCTCTGTACGGCTCGACGCTCCATCTGTATCGCGCATCTCCGCTCTACCATGGCTCCAGTCCGTTGTTCGACAGCCTGCAGCTCCACGCTCGACGACTGCAGGACCACCTTGCGGACGACAATGCCAGAAGGCTCCTGTTGGCGGACCTCCAGCCTGAAATCGCCGGCTCCGGCAGCCTCGAAGCGTGTGAATGGAGCCTGATCGATGACCAGGCGTTGCGGGAAACTGTACGAGGCGATCCTGCCCGCCTGGATCCCAACAACGCACGTGGTGTCCACGTACAACTGAAGTTCGAGCGAGCAAAGTATAATGCTTTGTTGCTCGGCGACCGCTCGAAGATGTCGGCCACAAGCGGCTTCACTTCGCTGCCTCTGTTGCTCTTGCGCATGCCAGCCACGCTGAGAGAGCTGTTTCTTGATTTCCTTTCCAGGACGTTTGATTCGCACATCTTTCCTATGAGCCTGCGCTCTTCGTTCCTCAGTTCATCGCTGGAGCGCCTGCTGCAGCAAACCATTACCCGGGAGGAGGACGATGCCCTGCTCGACCTTGAATCGCTGTCAAAAGGTGTCGGCGTTCAGTTGTCCTTTCCAGCAGCAGCCCCGCATCTTAAGAGCCTCGACATCGTCATTGCCAAAGACGACATTCGCGAGTTCCAGAGCAGAGGCGACGGGCTATGGAGGCAGTTTCAGACAAGTAGGCCTCGCGACAATGATTGGGATGTCAGACCTGAGCGAAAAATCACCGGTCCATTTACAGCTGCTCTTTCGGCATATTTAAGCAACCACACCGCCATGGAATTCGACAGTCCGGCCGTTGTCATCTCTAAAATTGCTCTTGGTCCATTCGCGCTTAGTGCCGAAGGGAAAGTCAAAGTACTGTCAACATCGGCCGCAGCTACGACGTTTTGGGAGGCGCTGATTGGCGAAGCACATGGAACAGTTTTCGAGTCTGTGGGGGAAGCAACGACAGCATCAAAACCAGCGCCTTCCAAAGCACACGCGAGGAAGCAGAAGTTGAAAAACGCACCGCTGGAGACTCCATCACCGCATGGGCTGGTCGGTACAACTCAACGGTTGCGGTAGGCGGTCAGCCTTATGCCATGAGCGCATTCTTGATATATATCTGCATTGTACTATAGGATACCCACACAAACTTGGTTCGTTATTTAACATTCCTAAAGCAAGATGAGAATCATGCGCTCTGTTCATCCTCTCGATTTTCAGCATTTCTCGACCATTCTGGACCCCGCTAGTACATAAGAACTTCGCAGAGCTGACCAGATAAGCTACGATAGACCCTTGGGCGTTGTAGCCCAGGAGGGCGATTTGCGAGAACCATATCATTTAGTCTGGACTGACTTAGGGACGTACAAGGCCATTGTTATGACGAGGCGGATGACTGTTCAAATACGACGGCTTTCGTATGACTTGTGTTTATGAGCATGATCAACATGTATTCGAAAGCACCAACTACGCAAATAGTAAATTTTCAAATCACCGTGAAGACGTGGCTTTTGTGCTAGTTATATCAATATCCTGTTATCTGGCCGCCGATATGTTTGACCTTCGAACGGCAGTTGCGCATGCGGCAAGAGCGTCCCTGCCTCGATGGCGTGGGTGCCACCTTTCTACTGCTTCCAACCTGTTTGTCCGCATAAATCTTGAGACGCTGCGCTTGCTATCGAGCTACTGCTGTTATAAACCATTTAGAATATATTGCGAAACCCGATTTTTTTTTCTGGTTCCACAGGCGATGGAACATAGATCGCTGGGCAAGCGTCGCAAGCTTGACGCGGCGGTGAACAAGCCATTCAAATCGCCGCTGAAAACGATTGCGGAACAGAGTGGCGACCGACAGGTCCCCTCACCTTCAGTGATATTACCAAAAGGCGCCAACGAGAATTATTCGAGCATCACATCCGTGACACCGTCGCCGTCGGAGTCAACATCATTTACACCTCTCAAGAGCCATGTAAGACTGCACCAAGGGAAAGCCAGGCCGTTTGCTGCATCTGCAACATCGTCAGATCCTGCCGTGTCTCTTGAAATCCAAAATACGTCACATGAAATACGTGTCTTGGAATCAACCATCTTAAAAACGCGTCAAGATGTCGACACTCTCGATCAAGCTTTGCGCTTGACAGGGTCGAACAAAGACGCCGAATTAGACGAACTGACAGCCAAATGGCGCAAAGCCGCGCGTGAAGCAGCGGAGCTCGTCTTCTCCGAAGTGAGGGACAAGGTCTTCCGTATGGGTGGCGTGCGCGCGTGGCGTGAAAGACAGCGAGAAATGGCCGAATACAATAAGTGGGATGAGCCAATCAATCACGTCGACGAGGAGGTCTACGACGAGAACGGAGATCTCGTTGAAGTCCGAAAGGTCAAGAGTGAAGGACAGTTTGAAGAGGAGTGGGAGTATGACGCGAGAACGAAAACAGAAAAAGAGTACGAAGAAGACGGTGGCGATGGTTACAGCGACGACGATGTGAGTATTTATCCCTGAATTATCGAGTCCGGTTTCACTGACCAATTCAAGAGCTTCACAATGGACATGATGCTCAAGATGCTCAACATCGATCTCAGCGTTATTGGTTACGACAAAAAGAGGCAGAGATGGATTGATTGACACACCATCACGCAAACAGACCATGCTATTTCAGCCGTACAAACGCATCAGCCTTTGGGCATCAGCAAAGACTGTTCTTTGGGCTTTGGGATGAATGTGACTTTTTGCCAATTCGTCCGTGAACAGAAGCCCTCCAGATTGACCAAGCCCCTCGCAATACCTGATGTACACGATCCCAGCACATCGCAAGAAGGCATTTGGGGCCCATTCTATTGATGCCAGCAGAATTCATGGTGAGAAAACATCTCGCTCCACTCGCATCGCCTGACATTGACCTCGGGTAGCCGAAGCACGAAGTATAAATTGCTCTAATGTATGGACAAGGTGACCCCTTCAGAACTAGACGACCTGAATATTGGCCTAATCTGCTCCGCTCGTGCCATCCATGAAAGCAAGATAATTGGCGAAGGTGTTCCTTGACTTCTCTAACAGGTCTCTTCCATCCTGCTTCCATCGTAAGACACCAGATTTGAGATCGGCACTGGTTGGAGCTGTACTGGCCTGGTGGATTTCTAACTGCAGCGGGGGGTTATATGCTTCCCTGTTGGTCATGATGCGATTGAGGATGGATTACATGTACATGCTGCCCTACGACTATCGCGAATCACAGATGGTTTTGAGCGTGTTCGTGCATTTTGCTCTTGTACCTGACGTTCATTGATGTCCGCAGGGAGACCGGAGGCGTTGAATATTCTTCGCCAATGTTAAACGTACAGACTGGGTGGTTTGTTCAGATGATGGCAGCATGTGCGAGTCACATCAGATTTGCGTGACGAAGACTGTTGACGTGGACATGTGAAATGGGATCAACGGCTAACACGGAGAGGGCACCAAACATTAGAGACTCAAAAAGGCTCTCTTGGCCTGAAAGCTTTTATTTTTGACCCTTCAACATATCTCTAAGCCTTGAACCATGATTCCAGAATATAACACAATTCCAATTCGTTTCGTTCATTCATTCCTCGACATTGAGGATCTCTTGGTCAGAACATGTTGTACCGAAACTCCTGCTAAATCACCCAGGACATATGCTCTCTAATCGCTAAGAACGCTCACACAACAACAAAAAAAAAACGCCAATTGATGAATCTTGCCCCAGAAACAGTGAAAACTCAGGCAGCTACCTCACCTAGGACTTCGGTCTCGTTGGCCGGACTGCGCCCACGGACTGGTTGCCCCCCGTCTCCAGTCAACCGGTCGAGGTTGATCGCCTTCCAGCCTGGAATGTTACCGTCGACATCCAGAATCCTCCAATCGCCCGTCTTCTTTACGCCTCCATCCGGAACCGTCTTGGCCTCCTCTGTTTCCTCCTCGCGATCAAAGGCGCTGGTTTCGGCGACCTCGTAGTTGTTCTCACGCAACACCTCCAGAATCGCCCTTGCATTCAGCTTGATGTACCGCTCCGGAGGCTGCTCGGTCTTCAACACCCTCTTTATCAGCCAGCCGAACAGGATTCCGAAGTCGCTCTGTGATAGATGGGCTGACGTTGTCGGGTAAAAAAACCGCGGCCCAGGCCGCGAATCGCCGGGTATGTTCGACGTCAGGGCCATGCTCATCGCCGACAAGTTGTCCTGCCACTTGAAAAAGGCCTCCGACAGAATCGCAAGGATGCCACGACCTCCTGGGCCATTTGGAGCGAAGCCAGGCATTGGCTTCTCCCATAACTCCCTAGTTTGAGGCGATTGTAGAGGCAGACACCACATGTCCAGAAGAATGGCTGGGCTGTCCGGCGTGATTTGCTTCGAAAGGCTCGAGTCGGCGCCGGGCGAAAACAAGGGGTTATTAACCGCCTTTTCGCCCCGAGCAGGACCCCAGTACGTGCTCTTGAGCAATTGCGTGGTCGTGCAAGCGCCAAAGCTGTGTCCAGCCCAGATGATTGCGCCGGGCCTGTGGACGTCCATGACCCCGTTGAACATCTTCAAAACGTCATTCTTGTCCTTTTTGCGCCACGTGGTGCAGTTCGGATCGAGGTTGTCCAGAGTCTGGCCAAGATCCATTCTTAGCATTGCATCATGGATCAAGCCAAGTTCCCACAGCCGAATCTTCAACTGCTCATCTCTTCCAGCGTAGACCTCTGGAGAAGGGGTATGCGAATATCGTTTGTAATCGAGAATCTTGGCCGGAGTCTTGCTCGTCGCTCGAATGTACGAAACCGGAGCAGACCTGTCTCTGTGGTCGGGGGCAATCACAATGAGACCATGGCTTGCCAAAGTGCCACAGATATGCGAATACGCATTTCGCGAGCCACCAAGACCATGGGAAAACACCATGACTGGCCATCGTCCCGCTCTTGTCGTCGGCTTAAGTAGAGGGGCGTTACGAAGAGCCGGGATTGTTGTGTAGTAAAGCAGATGCGGGAAAAGGCTGCGAACATCGTCAATATTTGGCAATTGCGGCTAATGTTGCTCGGACGTACGATATGCCTTCAGCAACCAGGTTGTTGGCGCCTAGAAATTTTGCGTACGCTGCCAGCGACGCCTTCTGGGGACCTGGAAGCCATCGAATCGGCCTTGATTTGGTTGTTGGCTCGCACGGATAGAAGATTCGGAACGAGACCGTGGCGATATCAGAGCCCTCTGGTGCTGGGCTGGGTGCGGTAAGATCCGCTACGGGCAATTCAGCATCGCATGAGCCTACGGCAAAGGGGCCCGTGTATTCAGGGAAACTAGGGATGATGTTGAAGCTGAGCATTGCGGCTGGAAGACATCAACACCGGATGCACGAATGCGACGTACAGGACGAAGAAGCTGATCAAGCTGGAGAATAAATGGACGGGACCTTGGGGAGGAGACAGGGAGATGGCGCAGGTGTTTTACAGGCCGGAGGACGGAAGATGATGGAACACGCGACAGCCGATCTGCGAAGGGGAAAAAAACGGGCTAAATCAAGAGCATGACGTTGCAGCAAGGTACGCAGCCAATGCCCGTGGCCGAGCGTGAAAATCTCATGCATCGACGGAGGTATTCTTGCCTCCACCATGTTCGGCACGCGACCACCTTTCCGCTTTCGAGCACCAGAGGTACGTCATTTCCCGCGTTTGGCCTTTGCTTCTCACGTACAATAGCACCGTCCTGCTTTCCCTCGGCACCGTTCTATCCAGATCTCACAGCGATCGGCATCGCCGCGCTCCTCGCCTGTCGACAAACCACAGCACTGAGGCACCCCCACCCCGGTGCATGTGAGCGTGGGGGTCATCCCCTAACCCAGCACTCGCCTTCAAGCCCGCGCATGGCTTGGAGAAACCAAGCGCTGTTCTCTACGTTTAGAGCACTTCCACAAGTGTCCCGAACCCCAAATACACGTAGCTCTTCGCCAACAAACGTGCTGGACAGCGTCGCTCGGAAACGCTGTGAACCCCGATCCTTTCCTTGCCTGGGCCTCCCGCATAGCGCATGGTAGAAACCAAGGGAGGGCTTGGCCAGTCGTGACAACAAGCAAGTGCAAAAACAGTCCTTGTTTTCCAATTCCCGCGTTTCTAAGGATGACCGTCCTCCGCTGTAACAGAGAGCCCCATCATGTGCCTAAGAAAATGCAGACGCCCCCCTTCGCGGCAGGCAATGCCGAAGTTGCCATCACTTTTCCATTACAGAGCGACCTTCAGGGCCCTGGATAGAACGCTCCCATCTGATCTCTTGTCCATCGCGGCGTGGCCCAAGTCAACAGCAGTGGATACGTTCAACGGCATTCGACAAAGGCCAGTCTCCGTCGATCGCATCAATAGTCCGGGAAATTTACGTCAACCTCCTCCCTCCAAGCCTTGAGACCCCCTTTCACATCTCCGAACCAAATCTTTCCTCCCTCGTCCAAACCTAGTTCCTTGAACTTCCTCACCGCAAGTTGACTGTCGTTGCCCAGCCTACAAATCACTATCACTGGTTCATTGCTCTCACGTCCAATGTACTCCCTGACTTCGTCGATGAGATCCAAAGTGTCGTGGCCAGCGTTACCGCTGTTCAGCGCGTTCAGCTGAGAAAAGGGCACGTTGATGCTGCCGAAAAGATGGCCGAGGTCATATTGCACCTTCTCGCGAACATCGATCAGGCGATGCTGTTTCTCAGCCAGGGAAATTTCCTTGCGTTTCTCCGCATATTGCATCGCGGTGATACGCTCTTCTGGTGAAAGGAGGTTGACGGGGCTGGTGAACCCGCAGAACTGCACGTAATCCATCGACCCGGACAGAAGAGCGTCCGGGGTGATGGTGGCCTGGGATGAGCACGCTGCGCATTTGGGCGATCGCGACCGCAGTTTTATGGTTCTGAACTGAGGATTGCTGTAGGCGGAAAATATAAGCAGACTGGGCGGATTTAGAGCTGATTGTGGAAATGACGAGGTGCTGGCAGGCGACAAGCCTGGCAACTTCGGATTTGTGGACGTCTCTCCGGCGGTGATGACTTTAATCGCTTCCAGTGCTTGAAGAACGCCCATGGCGCCTACCACGGGCCCCAGTATGCCACCCTCGCCACATGTGACAACGCTGTCCGCAGGAGGCGGCTTTGGGAAGATACATCGATAACAAGGTCCACCTCCTGAGATCCCAGCTGGCCTCGCTGGGTAGTTGAGCACCATGATTTGGCCTTCTGTCCGTAAAGCGGAAGCAGAGACAAGAGGCTTGCCGAGGAGTACGCAGGTGTCTGAGATCAAATAGCGCGTAGCCGGGTTGTCGGAACAGTCGAGCACAAGATCGAACTGGGCGAATATCTGAAGTGCATTTTGAGGCTCTAGACGGGTCTTGTAGGTTACGTATTCAACAAGGGGATTGAGTCTTGTGTTCCCAGACAAATCAGCTTCATGTTCACCCGAGACGCGAGCGCCAAACGTAGACGCCTGAAGCATAACACATACTCTCTTAAGCCTTCTACCGCACTGTCGACCTTGCTCATGCCTACCCGGTGACTACGGTGTAGCACCTGTCTGTGTAGGTTGCTGAGTTCGACCTCATCGCCGTCCACCAGACCCAGCGTGCCCACCCCGGCGCCGGCAAGATACATTGCGGCAGGACACCCAAGCCCTCCAGCACCGACGATCAGAACTCTCGCGCGCTTGAGCCTGAGCTGACCAGGCAGGCCGATTTCCGGCATTATCAGCTGTCGGCCATAGCGTTTGTACTCGGCGTGGCCGAGGGGCCACTGCGTAGGCGGCTCGTCTGTAGGTTGAGCGAGAGCCGACAAGATCTCGGGCCCGTACGAATGGAAGAATTGCTCGTCCATCGACGCGGCTTGAGGATGTGGAGTCTCTTCGCGGGGGGTCAAGCCAGCGTGGAGCCTGGACGCGTCGTTCGCATCTTTGCGCGCCCTCAGGAGCTGGTCGCGGAGCGACTGGAGCTGCGCTTCAAGCGTGGCAATCTGCGCCTCCAGCGAACGCACGCGTGTCTCGTGTTCTGCCATGGCCTGTCATGAACAAAAGAATCTCCGGCGGGCCCTTCAGATTTGTAGACGTCACAAGTGCAGTGGTGAAAAGCGGATCCTGGTTACAGAACGGCAAGGCTAGAACTACCCCGCCTAGTTCTAGATTTTTCTGATGAACTAACCAATCATGAGTCAAAGTAATACTCCACCAACCTATGCCCATCTACCATTGACTTTGCAGTCTGTTGGGCATTGCATTGGTTCACGCAAGCTCATCTTCGCCAATCTCTGATCCTCCTGAGCATGTTCTGTACCCTGCGATGACGTGTACCTGTCTCCACATGAAGCCTTCTCACTGAATGGTTTACGCGATGAGCAACGGCGAAAAGACAGCCATTGGGGACCTACGAGGTTTCTATGGATACTTTCACGAAGAGTGATTTGCTTGAACCTGCGCGAATTGTGAGCTTGGGTCGTAATGATCACAGTAGCCAATTAAAGTTGGAATAGGATAGACGCTAAAGAACGAGAGTATCACGAGAGTCTCTTTGCATATATCATAATATACCGTCAACGATTGACATTTCATCTTTAAATGCTGATACCAACTTAGAGAAATCAGATGTACCATCGAATTGTGGATTGATCGAACCAAAAAAGCATTCTGCTCCCTGAGAATAGAGCTAAACATACGTCGAAATCAATAAGCGAGCATACTCGACAGTCCGTCAAGTTCCCTGTCCCAGTTCCTATGCTGCGAGATCGCAAAGAAGTAAGCGCCAACAAAGTCCTTCGCGCCCTTCGCAATGCTGATCGCCTCGCTGAAGCTCTCTGGCTTCGTTGCCTGTGCCGTTACCACGCCGTACGATTCGGTCACGCCAGCCGACTCGCTGAATTGGACTCCGGGTAGCTCGCATGCATCCTTGATGAATGAGACGGCCTCCCCGGTACCACCGATCGCCTTCAGATGACCGAAAGCCTCTCTCACCCAATGAATGGCACGGCCATTCTTCTTCAGAGTGGCGATGGATTGCTCACCGCCGGGGATGAACACAGAGTCGAACATTGTCGATCGCATCCCTTCGAGATGATGATCAGGAACGACTCCCTTGCCGTTTGATCTATCCTCACCGGCCGCGAAAATAGGCGTTCGGCGTGGAGCAATCGTGAAGGGCAGCGCCTGCGCTGCCTTCAGAGCGGCCTTGATACCATGGTACGCGATTGGGTCGTAACCATCTGCAATGATGATTGCCACGCGACGCGACGCGATCGTAGGAGTCTCTGGCACATACTCTAACTGACTCAGCCCTTTCGTCTTCTTGCCGTGATTCGCCCTTCTCTGCTCATGAGGAATGGGTCCGCCAACTAGCTCAGCCACCTTTTGAGCAAGACCAAGATCGATCTCTGCAAGACGGTCGCACATACGCTCGTACACGACAGGGTCGTCGCAGTGGTCTAGCTCAAAAGAAAGTGCCGCGGCCGTGTGTTGCTTTTCAATTTCGGATAGCGAATTGAAGAACAGTTGGGCTTGGCTGAAATGTTCCTGGAACTTCTTACTTCGTAATCTCGCTTTGATACCCATAACCTTCGCAGGATACTCCTCGAAGGCGCCTTCAGCTTTACTTGCAGGCGGGACGGCACCGAAGCGATTGGGCCAGTAATTGACGGTGCCTTTGGTGATGGTATGTCTGCCCTGGCCATCACGGTTATGATTCATAACCGGACAAACAGGTTTGTTGATCGGCAATTCCTGCCAATTAATGCCCAGTCTGCTCAACTGCGTGTCGAAATACGAGAAGTTCCTACCCTGCAGGAGTGGATCGTCCGAGAAACCGATACCTGGTACAACGTGCGCTGTGCAAAACGCCACCTGCTCGGTCTGCGTGAAGTACTCGTCGACGTTGCGGTTCAGCTCCAGCGTGCCTATGTATCGAATTGGCACCAGCTCTTCTGGCCATAGCTTGGTAGCATCAAGGATATCAAATTCAAAATCGTTTTCACGTGCTTCAGGAATGACCTGAATGCCGAACTTCCATCTGGGAAACGCTCCGTTCTCGATGGCTTCCCACAAATCTTTGCGGTGAAAGTCAGGGTCTTGACCGGCGAGCTTGAGGGCTTCATCCCACACCAAGGAATGCACACCGAGTTCTGGGGTGAAAATGAACTTGCAGAAATGCCGCTCGCCTTTCTCGTTGATGAGCTGAAACGTGTTCACGCCGAAGCCCTGCATCATACGATACGAACGTGGGATAGCACGATCGCTCATCGCCCACATGAACATGTGAGTGGCTTCGGTGTGCATGAACTGAAAGTCCCAGAAGTTGTTATGCGCAGTTTGAGCCTGAGGAACTTCGTTGTGAGGCTCCGGTTTGCCAGCGTGAATGACGTCCGGGAACTTCATGGCATCCTGGATGAAGAAAACGGGGATGTTGTTCCCGCTGCAGGTGGTCAGCGGCATGTATTGGACTATTAGTGTAGTTATTTAGGTACGTACACAATGTCCCAGTTACCTTCCTTCGTGTAGAACTTAACCGCAAAGCCCCGTACATCACGCACGGTATCGGCACTTCCACGGCTACCGAGAACGGTCGAGAAGCGCAAGAACACGGGCGTCTCACGGCTTGTGTCAGTCAACACTCCAGCGCTCGTCACGTCCGCGGCGCTTTCATGAAGCTTGAAGGTGCCAAAAGCGCCAGCGCCGCGTGCGTGGACGACGCGCTCTGGAATCCGTTCGTGGTCGAATCTGTGAATCTTCTCCCGTCCGAAATGATCTTCAAGTAGCATGGGGCCCGTCTTCTCTCCGTTTGCAACCTTCAGCCAGTCATCCGTGTTGGCCTGCTTGACGCCGAAATCCGAAGTGATCCGGTAATTCGGGTCGTGAGCGTCCTTTGTGACGGACGCCAGCTGGCCGACTTTGGCGCCATGTTCGTGATTCTGCAGTGCCTCGGTGGCTTTGCCAAGGCTGCTTGCTATTGCCGAAGTCATGCTTGATGTCGCGTCCTTCACCTTCGAGGATAGAAGATTCGCGTTTTCCATTCAAATCCCGCAAGACTTAGTGGAAAGGGCAATGATATAGAACAACCCGAGGATGCTTGGTGCAAGCTAAACATTGAATAAGGACCTCTTTAACAAAGCCAGCGTGACTGCAGAGCTTTCTTCGCAGCGCTATGTCATCATGATGCGCTGATACCTCTTCGCTTAACGTTGATTTTCGTTTGATGACGCAACCTATCGTCCTGTAGATGTCATGTATCAAGTGCCGGCAGTTGAGCTTCCTAGGGTCCCACGTCGCGATTGTTGCTTTTTGCCAATGGAGACGCCGCCGGCTTCCCTAATCACGTTGAGCTTGTATGTCAGCAACATGGCAATTTCTGAGATTCCCATGCCAGATTCCGATGTTCCGCTCTCGGTGTCAACTCCGAATCGCCGCTACGCACTCCACTCTTCGAAAGTCCCCTCAACGGTCATCTATGATCTAGTGGGGCTTTGTGAGGTAATCCTGACGAAATGCACGATTGAGACGAACTGCCCTGCAGCCTGCGATGTGACAAGAAGAAGGCTTGATTCCGACATGTGAGCACATTGGCGAGATGGCTCTCCGATTTTGATTCGGCGTTCACTACATATTCGGAACGGTGGCCGGCTTGACTGATCTAGACAGGCCATTGAAGTAAGCAGACCTGGATGCTACTTTTGTCGTCCAACGGTTGAGCTGATGCAGCTTCGACAGTGTTGGAAGACAATCTTATTTCCGGCCTCACCACATGGCCGATTGAGCAGATGTAGTTTCAATTAGTTCGAGAGAATGCAGTACCAGCTCTGGATCGCAGACAAATTTGACTCCATCTGGGAATGTTGCACTTTTTTCTCGAAAGGGTAATAGCCATTGCACATACACAAGGATGACAAGGTCCACGCAGTTCGATCGGGCTCGCGGAGCAAATTGAAAAGGGAGCCCAGTATTTTTCCCAGCCAAAAAGAATCGCAGGGAATTTTGGCTTACTCGGTGATTCCAAGCCGAGAGGTTGCCAAAGGCTCTTGTTACCTCTTCTCATCATCAGATTTGTGAACAACGTGAAACAAATGCACCGCCAGCGATTGAGCTAATTGCAAAAAAAAAAAAAAATCTTAATGTGGGATACCATCCCGTCGGAGGACCTGGATCACTACCCAGAGCGAAGGCGATCAAGTATGTTTTGATTCCTGATTCAGCTATTAGGACCCAAATCTTATTGCACAGGCTGAGTAGCTCAAATCAGCTGCAATACTAGAAGATAACACGATTTATTGCAGCACCCATGTTCTAACAAAGTAAAGTACAGTCCCAATGATACACATTCCGTAGGATTATATACAACCTAGGTATTACGCATTAGACCCTGTAGCCGAGCGCTCTGCGATCGTCGTACTGCCCCCTCGCGCTACCTGAAGGATATCGATCATCAGGTGGGGCAGCATCTCGCGGCCGCATGACTGGCAAAGCTGGTGGAGCCATCTCGCCGTGACGCGTAGGAACCATGCTGCCCGCGCGTGCGCGCGAATATTCTGGAAGCATATCAACTCGTGAAGCATCAGGTCTAGTGCTGTAAGCACGAGGAATCGGCGGATATTCTGCAGTGTACGCAGCATGCGGCGAGGTTCCTTCAACATATCGGCTTGGCACACGACGCTGGCTGTAGGCTGCGTTCTCATCCGAGTGATGAGTCTCTCGAGGACGAGGGGCAGGGGGATGGACAGAATATGCGCGGCCAGCAACAAGTGGATCCGCGGTTGGTTCTGGTATGTGTGAATATGCACGTAAACGACGATCAGCTGGCATAGGCTCTGGCATGGTTGAGTAAGCTCGCGATCTTGTTGGCTGAGCCATGCTGTATGGATCATCTTCATATGCTTCTGCCCGTTTCGATGGATAGCGGCCATAATAGTCCTCAGGATGAGCTCTCCGACCGATAGCGCCATATTCCTCTGGAACAAGCTCGGCTATGTAGCGATTGCCATAAGCATCGGTCACAATTTGACCTGGGCGTGGCGCAGCCGCTGAGTAACGTGGGTCATACGTATTAATCGCATGTGGAGACGGTGTTCGAGCTGGCCTGACAGACGAGGGCCGCACCGAGGATTCATGATACGCAGGAACCCGGGAAACAGGTTGCTCAAAATACTCGTAACGCGATGGCTGAGCACGGGGATCAGCATAGGTAGGATAATCATGACTAGGTGACATAGGCCGTCGTGCATGTTGTAAGCTTGCTACTCGCCGAAGGTCTTGACTCTCAATCCCACGACGAATTGGCTTTGGTGGTGGCATAACTACACGATCTGTAGCATCAACATCAGCGTATCTGTAACCGCGGGGTGAGTGCTCCTGATCAGAGATATAAGCAGAGCGTGCTCCCGTATTATGTGGTGAAGAATACACCCCGGCGTCAGCCTGGGCTCGATAGACGACGCTAGAGCGACGGGAGGGGATCGCGGCAAGCCCAGGTGCAGGTGAAGCAGGCTCTGGTTTGATGTACGGTTCTGGCGTGCTTTGCTGATCTTGGACCGCGCGCCGCTTGCCTTTTTTCTCCAACGGCTTCTCTGGAGTAGCTCTCTTGCGTTTCTTTGAGGACTCTGCCACTGCAGCTGCTTTAGCCTCCTTTCGAGCAAGGCGTTTTTGTTTCCTTATGTCTTTCTCGGAAACCGATTGGATGTTACCTTGAGACTCTGATTGACTACCAACGTGCGCCATATTTTCGCTTGTGTGTGCGTGCTGTATGCTACTGATATGAGATTGCATCGTGCGGGTCAAGTTGCCGGCAGTCAAAGGCGAGATGCGTGATGGTTGAGGTGCAGCCGGCGTGGGGATCTGGTTCACGGCTATGGCAGGCATCTGTGCCCGAAGATCCAGTCTGCTCGTGATGTCTTGCGGGAGGTTTTGTAACTGTGCGTAAGAAGTACGCTGTGTTGCAGACACGGCGGTGGAACGCTGTGGAGAAGGACGGGGATGATTGGACCCAAATGCTGCAGGCGCTGGCGGTTCATAATCCTCCTCCTCATCCCAGTCTGGTTCCCATTCGCCATTGGAGTTTGTGGCTTCTAAATGTTGAGCTGTCGATATCTTTGACTGGCCAGTCGCTGGCAAATTCCCATCTACCTGCGATGGTGGTTCATACAGATCTTCTTCGTCGTCAGAAATAACAATCGCATTATCCGTGTGGCCAAGCTGTGGCTCAGTATGCTCGGTAGACCAACTATTGGCCTTGCTAGAGTAGTAAGAATCCTCGTCAAAAGTATCTTCTGACGAGTCGCGCTTTAAGCCAGAGATGGGTGCTACTTGTGCATGAGCAAGGGCAAGAAGATTCAGAGGTATTTCTCTGGCATTCTTGAGTATCGGTTCTTCAGCTTTTGCATATTCTGCTATGGCTCTCTCAAGCTTCCGACGAGCCTCCTGGATGATTTTCAGACGCGTAGGATCGTCCGTTTTTTGCTGCGGTCCATTATTGGTCTTAGCAGGGGTTAAATTCGATCTAGTCGCAGGATGGGCGGTAGTCAAGGCCGCCGCAGATGACGAAAGGAGATGAGAGGACGCAGTTTTATCAAGAGCGGGAGGCCGAGAAAGAACTTCTGTTTGTGAGTGAGTGGAACCGGAAATGTTCGCAAGGGTTGAACTGCGGGACTGCGACTTTTGTGGTGCTTGCGTAAACGTCAAGCGTGGGTTCTTGCCGTTGCTGACATCTTCATGCAACTGGAGAAGCTTCTCATAGAACGCTTCGCTACGAGCCGCAGCGTCTGGGACAGCTGAGGCTCCAGTGCCATTGAGGTATGCGGACTCAACGCGTGTTGCAGACATTTCCTTCTGACCGCGAGGATCTGCCAACTACAGGATAGGAGGGCGTCTCTCTTTATACACGCAGAAGAAAGCACATTGTTATATGTATGGAGTGGATGTTTCCAGTGATGGTGTCATACATGTTGACACTCGTGTGCCACGATGGGTATGGAGAAATAAGAAACGCAGGTGTGCTGGTGAGATGGCAGCTGGTTGAACTGCTCAGTTTCGGCCTGAAGGCATTCAGGCGTGAACTTTCCCGCAGAACCACGACTATGATGGGCATCCGCAACTCTTTCGCTGGTGATTGGCTGCTCAGACGCCAATACTTGTCTTGGTCATTCTGTTGCCGTTTTGATCCATGTGTGAAGAGTCATAGGATTCACGGGGCTCTTTTTTAGACGCTGTTCTTCCATTTTTTAGATATAATCGCCAACGTGGTCAGTCATTCTCTTAAGCGGCTAGATTGGGTGTATCCCTTACTCGTCAGTAAATATGGCGCAACGAGCCGTGCTCTTCTTCGACATTGACAATTGCGTGTGTGACGAATTGCTCCATGTAAATAATAGACTATATGGTTCCGGCGCTAACGAAAGATCAGCTGTATCCTATCGGCACCCAAATCCATCCTATCATGTCTAATTTGATAGATAAATTTTTCATGACTCATCTTTCTCTGTCCGAAGAGGATGCCACAGCTTTGCATCAAAAATACTACAAGGATTATGGACTCGCAATCGAAGGCTTGGTGAGACACCACAGCGCCATAGATCCTCTGGAGTTCAATGCTCAGGTGGATGATGCCCTGCCACTCGAGGACATCCTTAAACCGGACGAAGAATTGCAAAAGCTTCTCGCAGACCTTGACACGACCAAGGTCAAACCTTGGCTGTTCACCAACGCGTATGTAACTCATGGAAGGCGCGTCGTCCGGCTGTTGGGTGTCGAGAAATACTTTGAGGGATTGACATACTGTGACTATGCCGCACCCGAGGGTCGGATAATAGCGAAACCAAGCAGAGAAATGTTCGCCAAGGCCATGAGGGAAGCCGGCGTTGAAGATATGAAAGACTGTTTTTTTGTTGGTAAATACTCGTCTCTTCTGTGAATTCTACCAAAGCTAAAGGATTTCCTAGACGACTCATACATGAATGTGAAGGCGGCTGCAAGTTTAGGCTGGACCGCAGTCCATCTGCTGTACCCGTCACAGCCCCGTCCTCCCACTCCTGCATCAGAATATCAGATCCAGAATTTGCAGGAGTTGCGGAAAATCTTCCCACAATTCTTCAAATCCACAAATTCAGTTTTGTCTTAGTAGCAAGGCCTTGAACAACGCGTGGTGACATCCAGGCAGTAGGGTCACGAAGACAACGAAAAATACCATAGATCTAAAAATGTAGAACGCAAATATAAAGCACCGACCTCTGGTTATCGTACAAATCCATGCTATCGTCAAGTTCCGTGTGGATGATCTCTCCTGCAGAGCTTCACAGCGAGCGCCTCGATCTCGTATGGATTTCAGTGAATACCTACTTGTTCCTCGTTTCCCGAGTTCTCCAGGCTCTCTTTATACCTCTTCCAAAGATTCTTGACGTCATCGCCACAGCAATGGCTCCAAAATTCCACCTCGTCGTAATTCCTGTCTCTCAGCCGATCGTTGATTTTGATGACCGTCCCTTCTCCCAATGTCCTCTCAAGCCAATCCAGGAAATAGCCAGTATGCTGATAACCAGCGTCCCAATCGCCGCCAGCTTCTTGCTTCCAATGAGGCGGTACGAAGTCAGCCCGTAGCCTCACAAAGTCTGCAATACCTTCTATGAGGCCTCCCGGACATGTGCCATTAGCAGCCCACTGCCAGCAATGGACCATCTCGTGGGTGATGACGCCTAGCATCTCCTGTTTCCTCCTTTCCATGGGTATGCTAGCTACATAGTCTGTCGAGAAGTGAATCTCCTTATGATCGTTGTCAATGTCCATGCCGGTCGTGTACGCTACACCAGGCATGGAGCGGAGGATCAACGTGATCGAACGTGTCGGTGGAATGTGGGAGGCTTCGGTGTATAAGAGGGAAATAACGGTGTCTACAGCATTCTCGAGCACGTTCGCGCAGTCTAACAAGCTCAGGAACGACCTTGCGCCCTCTTCCGATAGATCGCGGATTTCTAGTCGGAGCACTGGTTTACGAGTGGGCTTCGGAGGTTTGGATTCGATCGCTGGACATGGTGCCAGTGTCATTGGCAATTGGAAAAAAGTTGGTTGAACTGGCATTGCGAAGAAACGTTCTTATTTCTTTCGTCTAGACTGTTTTCATGGAAAGGGTAGAAGATGGCACGGCGGCGTCTGACCAAGGTGTGGAGTTCCGTCACCCTTTCTGGAGTCTCAAACCAGAAGAGCCTGTCGTTCTCGATCTTCCTTGGCTGCCTCGCCGAACATTTCCATGCGCAAACTTCTAGAGTCAAAATCAACACCTGGTTCGACGAGCAGGAGAACTGAGGGGCAATTTTCCACCGTCTTCTGTTTATGATGGGCCGTACGTCGCACACGCTTACAGGGATTGCTTTCTTCGGAGCTTTGAGCACTTTTAGTACTCAACTCGAGCCAAGCTCCGAGACTCCACAGCAGCTAGACCATAATCCCGGCGAATGTTCTCAGACGGATTTGGAAGTCTTGCAATACGGTGCTACATAGTCTCCATGAAGAGAATTCCCTTAAATACGGTCGTTGTGGCTAGCCCGCAATGGCCCTCTTTCTCGTTTCCCAGTCACGTTCTAATTCAACATGGCTTCTACCGCAACGCCTAGTCTGAACGACCTCGCTTTCCAGATTTCGGGCTTGACGTATAATATATCCAAGTTCTTGGAGCAGAATCGACATCCTGCGCCTTCATTTGCTGCCGATGGTCCTCCGCGTTTTCCAGACTCAGCCCCGGCAGAGATCCAGGTTGCTCGCCAGCAGCTGCTCGAGCTGACGCTCAGCCTGCACAATTTAATCCTCGGACCAGAAGAAAGAGTGCGAACACAAACCGCTGAGGTTCGTCTAATTGTTAGGCTGTACTTGTTCACGCTAACAATCAGCAAACGTAGTACGTCAATCCAGCGACGCTTCGATGGATTGTGCATTTCAAGGTAGCCCAGCACGTGCCCAAGGAAGGCAGCATCTCCTATTCGGACCTTGCAGCCGCAACGTCGCTTCCTGAGAACCAGCTCAAGCGTGTACTCCGCTATACGATGCTCAACGGCTATTTCTTTGAGCCATCCACGGGCCAAGTTGCACATTCAGCGATGTCACTGCTCTTAGCTAGCAGCCCTTCAATCCAGGACTACGTCAGCCACGCCATCGAGTTTAGCTACCCAGTCAGCACAAAAATGGTCGAGATGACGGAACATTACAAAGGTAGTGATGCCAAGAACGAAACGGCCTTTAATGTTGCTTTTCAGACGCCCTTGCCAATGTTCGCTTGGCTCAAAGGCGAACCTGAGCATAGTGAGCGCTTTGGGAGACTCATGGGTGCTATGAGAGCCGCACCCATCTACTCAGTTGATCATCTAGTAAAAGGGTACGATTGGGGTTCTCTTGGTGCTGCTAAAGTTGTCGATGTAGGAGGCAGTCTCGGCCACGCTAGTCTCGCAGTAGTCGACAAGTACCCCGATTTGAACTTTGTAGTTCAGGATCTACCTGAGGTTGTCGAGCAAGGCAGGGCCAAGATGCCAGATTCGTCGGCGAAGAAGCTGGAGTTCATGGGCCATGACTTTTTCAACGAGCAGCCGATCAAGGACGCTGATGTGTTCCTCTTGCGCCAAATCCTACACGACTGGGCTGATGCTGAGGCAATTACCATACTCAAGAATCTTGTCGTAAGCATGAAAGCAGGCTCTAAGATCCTCATTATGGACCAAGTTGTGCCCCCACCAGGTCTGTTACCAACGATTGTTGAGAAAGCGGGAAGAACGATCGATCTTGTAGTCATGAGTCACTTCAACGGCAAGCAGCGGGACCTTGAGGACTGGAAGAAGATATTCTCTGCAGCGGATGATAGACTTGTTATCACTAACCTTATCGTCCAACCTGGTAGCGTGTTGTCGATTATCGAGCTCTCGCTTCAAGACGCAGCGGTCCCCAATGGCCATTCTACAGTAGCTGAGAAGCCAACGACGAATACGGAGAATACGGAAGAGACTTCTGGAACGGAACAATCTGCTACGGCAGAAGTCATCACGAATGGAGCGCAGGTCGAGCAAGACAAGACGGATGCTGCAAAACCTGTCGATGAACCTTCCACTGAGCCAAGTGTTGAGCCTGTGGCAACAAGTGACAGCACAGAGCGAAGTACGAATCCGACACCGACCGCAGTGTGAGAAGTCAAATGCGTTTCTCTAAGTATTCTCGACCTCGTCCTATTGCATCTAGTGGAGCTGTCTGTGTGCGACGTAACATTGACAAACTCGAACAAAGCTATTTGAGCGATTGTCAAATACATTCTCCCTACCGTTTGTTTAGCCGACTGAAGACGTTCGAACATAGTGAGCATTCAATGAGTTGGATTTTTTTCGGTACACAACTCTCATAGGTCTATCTCTCATAGTCGAACGATAGTATTATGTGTCCTGTTTATGCTCCAGCGCGCTTTCCAATTTATTTCGTGCACAGAAGTGGTCCTCCAAGGAGCTTGGTGGCTTGATATCAAAACCCAGGTCTGAAGCTCATTCCCGCCCATTATGCAGTCAAACGAAGGGATTGATATAGCGTCACGCTCGGCGCTCTCTGTATAGTGTAAACGAGAATTTCTCTCCATGCAGACACAATTCGAATACCTTACTCGAAATTTCCCTCTTGATTGACTATCCCTTAAGCGTGCTGTCGCGTGTATGGTCGAACAACGTAAGTTCGGGGCTTCTGCATTGTGGCGTCATTCTTCGTGAAGGTCTTAGAAGTCGTGATTGCTTCCTCTCTCGCCAAACAAATTTCGGAATCGCTGGGGTGGACCTAAGGCATGCCGTTGTGGCCCATTCCATTCATTCCATCCTCGGCGGGCGGATCAAGGTCGGGAATTTCGATGTCCTTTGTGTCGATGCCGGTGGCTTGTGCCTGCGCCAACAGCTGCTTATACTGCACGATTTCGTCCTTCATGTGCTGTATGGCAGCATTAAGCACCAAGCTCTCACTCCGACCTTGACCCTCCATTCCAGGCACCAGGCTAGCAAGCCTGTCGAAGCCTTCCCGGATGGCCTGTCGGCGCTTCTGTTCGGAAGCAATATGGTTCGACTTCTTCTCCTCCTCCGTGAGACGGGGTTTTTCTCCTTTGGCAGATTCCGTCATCGCATACGGAATCTACGATGGGACGCTTTTGTGTGAAGTTCTTCGTTCGAAAGTTACGCACAAGAGGAGTTGTTTAAAGATCGAGGAACCGCGAGCGTAAAAGAGAATTCCAGAATGAAGCACAAGGCCCTATTTCAACATCTTGGTGCTTGGTCGGGCAAGGAAAAGGAGAAGGAAGTCAATGTACCTGCATTCGGCCGCGTTCGTAAATTTATCCGGACCCGAACTGTGTCATGTTCTGTCGACGATCGGTGAGGTCCGCCGGGTCGTGCATTTTCCCATTGGCATGTGACTGCAAGGGTTGCGTCCTCCGCCTTTTGTGGTTCGAAAGCGCCCACAGGTGAGCGAGGGCGCCGTTGCCAGCGACGCTCAGCGTTAGAGGGTCAGCGTCGGGGCCACACGTGCTCCGTCCGGGCCTTGCTAAACAACCACCTAGTTTCAGAAGCAGGGCACAGGCTAAGTTGGTGGGGAAAAGCAGAGACACAGTCGTCACCGCGAGCTATTCCTGGCGGCTCTCGTAATTGCAAGTTGGAGCAATCCAAGCGGCATCACAAGCGTCAATAACACACAAAACGAAGTCGCTCCCCAACGCTTCATACCTGATCGCGCTTCCTGCACTTGTGCGCCACACTACCATCGCTCTTGACTCTGCTGTTACGCCACTGCGCTCCCCATCGAACCTTCCTCTCCTTGTTCGTGCCGAACTCATTGTTCAGGTGCCCATCACCAGTTGCTCCTGCTACTTCTTCTCCTCCCCTCCTCCCCTCCTTGCTCCTGCTTCTGCTGCACCACCAGCCAATTTTTTTTTCTCTTTGCTCTAGTGCCAGGTGCGCACATCCCCGATGAGAGACTTGCCCGACTGAACAGGAAATGCTGTGTCTTCTTGCCTACAAACAACCTCGTTCACTGCGTTCCTGAGAAACCAGCACTCGAGCCTAATGTCGACACCGTCAAGTCGCGCGCGCGGATACCACAATCCCAGGCTCAGCAAAGTTGCTCAGGAGGGTCGCTTGCGGCGGGAATCGTCATATTCAAAGAGGAAGGCCGTCAGCAGCGAAGATGCCTACTTGTACGCTCTCCGTGTCGCTTACCTTGCGTACCTGCTTCAGCCCCGTCAAAAGAGGTTGCAACATGTTTCAAACACAGCGCAGCCGGCTCGGAAGTCGACCACGTCCACTGCTGATATTGTGATGGGTTTTGCGGGGCTATCCAACACCAAGAGCGCGAAGTTCCCTCATGCCTTCATGGCCGCCCTGGACAAGAGGCTCACCGGCGTCCTAATGGGCAAGGAGCGTATGCCGGAGTACGGCGATGCTCTCATCAAACGCACATTCGCCACTTTTTTGAACGAGTTCAAGAACCCCTCATTTCGCAAAATGGTCGAAAAGGACCGCAAAGTGGAGGACCTCGTATTGATTTTCTTCTCGCGGACGACTCAAGAATTGAGAAAGGGCAAGCCACCGGAAGACGAGAGCTGGAAGTTGATGGTTGACCGACATGTTGCACTCTTCTTACGCTTGATCAGCGCGATTTTGAAGGACAACGATTGGGCAAGGGAGCGACCAGAGTTAGCCAGTCGACTGCAATCTATGGAAAAGAAGCTGCTGGTACACGATCTCGACATTGTGTCTGATTCCACACGCAACGGCGGGGCTGGCGGCCATTCGATAGAAGTCGAGGTGCCTCTGAGCCACGAGCTGAAGGACATGCCTCTGGCGCTCGTGGTATCTAGGATTTTTAACCTGCCGTATGGAAAAGTCCAGGATGACATCGATCAACACAGAGGAGAATGGACAGAAAAGGCAGCTTTGCAAGATCTGAAGTTGTATCAAACCAGCCTCAGTCTAAACACTAAAAAGACGCTCAACAGTGACGACTTTGACACCGAAGAGGCATACGAGGCATGGAAGAAGGCGGAAGGGCCAGAAATATCACAGATGATGCTCGCTATCATGCAATCTAACATGGAATTGGCGAAGATGACTTCCGCAAGCCTACCACACTTGAAATCGCAGTTGGAGCATAATAGCCGGGAGTCAGGTTATTCAGAGACGTCTAGGAAGATGTCCGAACCGGAGAATAACAACGCGTACGTGGTTGATCAACCAGTTGATATGTCTGGCTTGAGTCTAAACAGTACGGTGGTTGAAGAGGACGATGCCATTTCATTCACTTTCATCCCACCTGATCCACGTGCTTACTACAAAGCTGTTGTTAAAGCCTGCATCCTCCACGGCCTGCAAGAGCGTTCAAGTAATCCCGATGAAGGTGCTAGTCGACAGCTATTTTCCAAACAATCGATGGATCTAATGGGAGAACTTGCGTTGAGATGGCGCATCCCAGGATTCTCGCGCCCGATATTATTCTTTGATGTTGTGAAAGATCTGTATACGCACAACGAAATAGACCTTGACACGTTGGATGCCGCTTTCCTGTTTATGAAGGAACCGCAACCGGACACAAAGAAATCCAACAGGAAGAGCATGGTCGTACAGGAAGTTGTTGCCGACTGGCGCAAGTGGACCGTCGCAGATTATGCCCTATATCAGAACGCACTTAGCGCGATACATGATGCGCTGCAGAGGGACCTGTTTTCACTGATGCTACATTGCTATGATTCTAAAATGCCAGAGATTGGTCCAATCATGTATCTGCTAGAGGAACATCTATACAGCGATGAGCTGTTTCCGAAATCCCCTGAAGATTTAGATCAATACTCTGGAGAGCTCGAACGAAGTCTCAAGGACAAAGCAGCTGAGATATATGCTGATTTGCTGGCAAAAAATGTACCAGATGACGCAGGCCAGTGGGAATTCTTCCACGTTATTCAGCTTGGCAAGGACGTTGTCAAATTGTCGGACAGAATCCAGAAACGGTTCCGTAAAACCCCAAATATCATGGGCGTGAGCCCAATGCAGATTCTTGTTTCTGAAGTTTTCCCCTCATTTGCAGCTGACTCGAGAGATCTGGTGTCAAGAATCATGGAGATGGCCAAAGAGAGAAATGAGGAGATTCCACAGCAGGATGGTTTCGATCTGTACCGAGAAATGGTAGAGATCAGAAGGGTACATTCGACTGTTCTGCCGGAAACTCCTTTCGCATTTCATATCGAAGGACTCCTGCAAGAATTCGTCTGGAGATGGATTGCCGAGACAGATAGTCGCATAGTCGAATGGGTCGAAAACGCAGTTAAGAACGACACATTTGCTCCGCAGGAATCGAACGGCGAGCTCAGCTCTGAGCAGCAGCGACATAGCCACTCTGTGTTTGACATTTTTCAGGCATTTAAGCAACCAATCGATCAGATTGTGAGCCTCAATTGGGACGACGATTTGCAGTATGCTAAGTTCATGACCGCAATTGCGAAGGCGGTAGGTGTCGGAGTGGCAAAATACTGTGATCTTGTTGAACAACAATTTACAAGGGAGATGAACAAACCAACTCCTGAACAGGAAGCGGCTGCAACGCAGACAAGACAGGAGAAATGGATGCAAATGGCAAAGGATCTCTATGCAAGCAAAGAAAAAGTAGAGCCATTTCAGTTCTTGCCCGAGGTATATGCTGTCCATTTCATATCAATATTCAATTGCTCATTATCTACAGTCACTGGTCAAGCTCAACAACATCGAGTATGCTATGCAGCAGTTGGACAAACTCGAGAAGGAGATTAATGTCGATGCCTGTGCAGAGGTCATTCAGAAACATGAACCACCGGTGCACAGGCGTGAACGTAAAACTGACAAATATGTTTTCACAATTAAGATAATAGAAGCAGAAGACTTAAAGGCCTGCGATGTCAATGGCTTGAGCGATCCATATGTTGTTCTCGGTGATGAATATCAGAAGCGTCTGGCAAAAACACGCATTATCTACGGTAATTTAAACCCTCGTTGGGACGAGAGCGTGGACATTGTTACGACAGGACCTCTTAACATCATCGCAACGATATGGGACTGGGATGCTCTCGGCGACCATGATTGTGTTGGACGCACTTCCTTGAAACTTGATCCATCTCATTTCAGAGACTATCTTCCTAGAGAATATTGGCTTGATTTGGACACCCAAGGCCGATTGTTACTGCGAGTAGGCATGGAAGGCGAAAGAGACGACATTCAATTCTACTTTGGAAAAGCCTTCCGTCACCTAAAACGAACAGAACGTGATATGACACGCAAAATCACCGATAAGGTAAGAATAGGTGCTCATACAGAATAGCGAATACTGATAACCTTAGCTTTCGTCATATATTCACTACATTCTTTCGCCACAACGACTCAAGAGCATGGTGTCGAAAGGCATCTCGATGCAGACAGCGATGAGTGCTATTACCTATTTCCAACAGAGAATCAAACCGCAAGCTGTTGCGACTGGACCGTCATCGGATGATATCGAGAACGCGCTCAAGCCACTACTCACGTATTTTAACGAGAACTTCGCCATTATGAATCAGACGTTGACAGGATCTGCCATGATCATGGTGATGACACGACTGTGGAAGGAGGTACTGCAAACAATCGAGGCACTTTTAGTGCCACCCCTCTCAGACAAGCCGTCAAATCAGCGACCCTTGTCCCACCAAGAACTGGACATTGTGTTCAAGTGGCTGCAAATCCTTTATGACTTCTTCTATGCAGATGGAGAAGGTGTGCCAGCTGATGTGCTCAAATCGCCGAAGTACTCGGAATTGAAGACATTAAATTTCTTCTACTTCGAGCAAACGGACGAGCTTATTCGAACATCAGAGGCAATGGCTTCTGCAACAACAAGAAGACAACAAGAGGCTTTTAGGCAGAACCGTATGAGCGCGCCGCCCACATTGACACCAATAGGTAGCCATTCCTTTGGCGGCGCCGCCGGACTACTTGGTGTTCCGTCACGAAGACATAAGACTATCATGCTGAGCCGCAATTTAGGGACGATGAGGAAGGCAAAAGAAGAGAAGAGAAAGCAAGCTCAAGCCGAACCAAACGATGACATCATATTGAGGATTCTGAGGATGAGACCTGAGGCAGAAAAGTACCTGAAGGACAGAAGCCGACAAAAGGAGAGACTTGCCGCAGCAGCTGCAGCGGAGATGATTGTACGACAAAGCTTGGCAAGTGGTGGGGGTCGAATGGCAGGTGTCCTGCCGAGACGATGATGATGACGACTTTCGCAAAGGGCGCTATTATACAATATCTGTGGGTATAAGAATACGGTTGATGGGACTGCACTCAATTACTATGGAAATGATCAAGTATGCGCTTTACAGAATTAGGTTTACTGGTCGGGTGGAGCTTGATATCCCAGCGTCTAATGATATTATTTTCAATACCGATATATTTCTTAACACCCATTTGAGATGGCCCGATCACCTTCCTCATGCCTGATGCCATTGGCTCAATGTCGATATGAGTTTCTTGGTCATATCAATCAATTAGACGCATAGAACCGTGGCGAAGCTTCGGATCGAGTTAGGGTTCCCCGCCAGATTATGATGCCTACCGGTGATCATCTAAGAAGCAATCTACCCAGGCAATTGTTACGCACGGAAGAACGTGATAAGTCGGACTTTCCCGATGAGGACCCCTTAACAAAACCACACGACCTGAAGTCGCGTCCATTTTCGTGCGTAAAATCTCATCCGATTCTATGAAATCTTCATAACAGAAATGACGAGTGCGAAAAATGCGAGAAAATCCGTCCGTGGAGTACGGAGTACAGTGAGGCGAATTGGCACGTGCCTCGGCATTTTGACCTCTTTTCAGATGGCGCCCAGACGCTTGACTGCATCCGCTCATGATCTACCCATGCCTTTGCCATGTGGGCTGAAGTTTCGCACGAAAGATGAATAGCTGAGGGGTAACACTATTCTCATCTGCTTAAACTATCTAAGGATCACGCCGAGGCAACTGCATCTGGGGTATGATCTATAACGTACTGGGCCCCCTACTTTGCGACTGTGTCAACTCAGTTAACGCCTCCGTATACGTCATTACCTTTTCTAAACGCACGATTGAAGTCGGAGACCTCTTTTAACATGAATGGCCACGCCGGAATGTTGCCCGAATACGATGTCATTATCGTAGGAAGCGGTATTTCGGGCATCAACTTCGCGCAGCGCATACAGACCTATTGTCCCCCAGGAACCACCTACACGATTCTGGAGGCACGGAGTGATATGGGCGGTACATGGAACTTCTTCAAGTATCCAGGTTTACGATCTGATTCCGACCTACACACTTTCGGCTTCCCATGGCGGCCTTGGAAAGAGAACCATCCGATTGCATCGGGAGAGGCAATCATGAAATATATGAGGGAGAGCGCAGCTAGCGAAGGCATTGATAAGAAGATTAGATACAATCACAAAGTTAAGAGCGCAGAATGGAGTTCGGAAGCATTGAAGTGGACACTGCATGTAGAGGTCCACGGACACGAGCACCTTGTTAGAGGAAGGTTTCTCATACTCGGTACTGGCTACTATGACTATGAGACGCCCATGAAGACGGTTATTCCTGGGTTGGAAAGGTTTCAAGGAAAGGTCATTCACCCGCAGTTCTGGCCGGAAGACTACGACTATAGCAACAAACGGATTGCCATCATCGGCAGCGGCGCAACGGCTGTGACCATATTCCCTGTTCTCGCAAAGACCGCACAACACGTCACGATAATCCAACGCAGCCCCAGCTACATAATGTCGTTACCTAGCAAGGATGCTCTGGGAAGCATCTATCATGCTGCATTGCCTGGATCGTGGGCATCATGGATTGACCGTATGCGATTCCTCCTTGTACCTTACGCCTTCTTCTACTTCTGTCGATACTTCCCGAATGTCGCTCGACGCCTTCTTGCTTATGCTACGAAGAAACAACTCCCGCCTCATATTCCTTTCGATCCACACTTTGTACCATCATACAATCCATGGGAACAGAGATTATGTCTCTGTCCAGATGGAGACTTTTACAAGGCGTTACGAAAAGGGAACTGTGACCTGGTGACTGGCACGATCAAAACGGTCACAGAGAAGGGCATATTGATGGACTCGGGTGAGACACTAAACTTCGACACGATCGTGACTGCAACGGGATTAAAGATCCACCTCGCGGGTGGTATCAACTTCATCGTGGACGGCAAACCCCTTCATCTGCCAGAAAAGTTTATGTGGAAGGGTGTCATGCTACAGGACCTGCCGAATGCATGTTGCGTCATTGGCTACACGAATGCATCGTGGACACTGGGCGCAGAGGCTACCGCGCAAATGTTCTGCCGTCTCTACAATTATATGAAGAGCAATGGCTATTTGGCGGCCGTTCCCAGATTAGAGAACCCAGAGGCCATGCCTGCGACGCCGATGCTTAATTTGAACAGTACCTATATTCAAAACGCACTGTCCGCCATACCAAAAAGTGGTGCGACGGGCCAATGGAAGCCTCGAAAGAATTACTTCTCGGACTTGAGAGAAGCAAAGAGTGGCGATATCACAACAGATCTACAGTTCTATCGGGCTGGGAGCTCCTTTGTAGCAGCAAATGGCAATGCCGATCGCAAACTGGCGAACGGACACATCTGAGGTCGATAAGCACAAGATTTAGAATGCGTTTGGTTCTTTGATCGTCTTGCTGCACGCTTCTGTAGTACATTGTTCGACCTTATAGTAGAAAGTGCTTAGACTAATCACGTTGCGCTTGAAATAGAAAAATTCCAGATGACAAAATGGCAACATTCCCTTGATCAAAAAATATGCAAAACACTTCTTTCCCCTCCCAGTCGTCTCCATAGAGACGAAAAGATTCTCTCATCACGTGATCAGCCAACACGAGCGCAAACTCTATCATTCGTCCTCGAGTCCACGTAGCCAGTTACGCGAGTTATCTGATGGTTGTGGACAAGTTGTAATTATCTATGCTTCCTTCCTTAGAATATTGACACGTAGTTCATGTTTAAGGATAAACCCGGCCAATCTAACGTGAACTAAAAGACATTGCCATGTCTTTCAGCTTCGGGTTTGAGGACGACGATGATATCGAATCTACAGATACGAGCAAACAAAATGCGCCAGTTCCAAAAAACACGAAATCAACGCAAAATGAAGGACAGAGCACGTCAGCGCCAGAGATAGCACGAAGTCACAAGATAGAGGATTTGGCATGTCACATTCGCGCTCAAAAATCATAGTCATTACTAATTACACACGGGTTGCAGCTATCCAGTCTACCATCCAAGATTGCCTACTCATTCGTTGAAATTGAATCGCCCAAGGGGAGAAAAGTGAAGTTGCCAAGAAGAGAACTCTTTGACATTCGATTGCAACTCATGGCTGAAGACGACGGCGACGAAAACGAGCAGGTTAGCCTTGACGAGAGCGATATCAGGACGAATGTATACGAAGGAGGATACAAAAGCTGGGAATGTTCTTTTGACCTGGCGAAGCTTCTGCTGGATCGTGGCCCGAGAAAGGACCTCGACGACTTATGTAGAGTTGATCATGTTGTTGAGGTGCGTAAGGTCTTCTCCAGCCCGCCAAATGCTAACATCTTCTAGCTTGGGTGTGGGACTTCGATACCGTCTTTGATTCTATTCCACTATGCTATCACTGAGGGCTTGGGGATATACTTTACCTTGACTGACTACAATGCTTCAGTACTTCGACTTGTCACCCTACCAAACCTGTTGCTCACCTGGGCCAGCACGCTGCCAGCTACTGACACACCATTTTCGCCTGAATCACCTAACCCACTTAAGGAAGCCCACGACAATGGTGACTTGGAAATTACTCCTGAACTTGTTGAAGCCTTCCTCTCCGCCCTTAGAGGCCAGGGTATCACGATAAATCTAATATCCGGATCGTGGTCACCCTCGAGACCTTTTCTCTCTCTTATCCCTACGGCACCCGAGATGAACATCCTATGCCTAGCTTCCGAAACAATCTATTCACCAGCGGCTTTAGTTTCTTTCACAGAAGCCTTGATCGGGATACTGAAGCAAGTAAGAATGGGCAAAGGCATCGTTGCAGCGAAAAAAATGTATTTCGGCGTTGGAGGAAGCGTCGATGCTTTCAAGATCGAATGCAGAGAAAGACAGGCTGTCGCGTATGAGATTGAGAATCACAATATAGATCTGGGCCAGCATGGGGGTGTTAGAAGGAGCTTAGTCGAAGTACAGATGCTTTAATGTAACGAAACTGAGTTTCCGTTTTGCTCTCTCAGCCCACATTTGACGTTTATTTATGCGATGACTTATCTCTGCATCAATAGTCTAAGCATTCTCCTTCCACGATCGTAGCATCAAGAGACTTGATCTTTCGTGTTACATGCTCGTCACCCTTTTCTATGGAGGCCGCAAAGCGCGCCAAGCTACGGATTCGATACAAGTGTTGGCGGACAATCTCGCTAGCTACAATCCCTAAGTTCCTCGCTCGTGCATTTAATAAATGCCCCTCAACGAACTGTGCTTCTCATCCAATATTCACTCAAGCTATCGTTGCTGCACAGTTCAAAATCTTCTCCGTCTCATGATCATTCACGCGATCACGTTCTCGTGACGTCAGCCTTCTGGACCCTATATAGGTTACTATGCATACGACCTCTACCCCACATAAAGACGTCGAAAGTCAAACAGCTAACATCTGGAGCTACGAGCTATTGAAATTGCGAAAACAACCTGTCGAAATGTTTTCCCGTAGAAAATCGAACGATCAGGAATCATACGTCTCTCAAATGAAAGACAAAGCTCAAAGCGTTGCTGATAACGTGACCGAGAACACGATTCCCTCGCCATCGAGGAAGCTTAGTTTTGGTTCAGGTGCTGAACAAGATCGTTACGCTGCACACTTCGGACTAGGCCACGACGGCCTGGAACGAATCCGACGTGCTGCCTCGTCGAAAGGCATTGGCGCAGAACAAGACCGCTACGCTTCTCATTTTAGCTTGGAAGAGGCAAAGATCAGGCAAGCTAAAGAAGCCATATTCAACAGCGGAGCCAGTGGGGCAGAGCAAGATAGATATGAAGCCAGGTTTGGTCTCGGTTATGATGGCTTACAAAGATTGAAAGCGCTAGTGAGATCCGAGGGTGTCGGAGCAGAGCAAGACAGGTAGGAAAAGCTCCTTCAAACCTGCATGCAGCCCATGTTGCTGCTGCTGCTGCTGCTGCTGCTGCTGCTGCAGGTCTTCGCTTTTGCACGACCGACGAAATGCCGCTAACGACGCTCACAGATATGATGGACACTTCGGATTGGACGAGTCGAAGGTGGAAAAGGCTTTAGAGGGGCTGAAGAGTAGCTTTAGGAGGTAAAGTCTGACTTTTAACTCCCTTTGGGCGCGCATGACACAAACCGCCTAGCGACGAAAATATTACCTTGTATAATAATGCTAAATAGTAACCATGCATCTTCTTAACGATCTCATGCAGGCACCTTCGAAGCCAACGGTGGAAGTGTGCGCCCATGCATATTGAAATCCCTGTTGTGCATCCTTCCGTATGTGCCAGAGTTCTTGTTTTGAACTCTTTGCGAGTAACCTCATTATGAATGACTCGTGCATGACGTGCTACGTTATCACGCACGCTCAATAAATCAGAAAGCGCCAAGCTAAGTATGAGCCTCGCTTGTACTCACATCACGGGTAAAACGCCTTGTCAGACATGACTGTTCGCGAAGCTCGGAGGCATTCCCACTTGGAGGTCAAGATTTCCCAGACATGGTGGACCGCGACGATCGAGGGGCGAGAACTTCTTGCTGTGACTGCTCATCTGCGAAGTATGCTCTTATCACATGCGACACAACATCTCCCAAGTCTAACCAGAGGGGACGAATGGCAGGCACGTTTGTAGATCGACCGATCGCAAGACGATCGGCTTGATACGCAACTTTGTGAAGGTTTGAGCAACGTTTTCATTAACTTAAACTCAACATCTCAAATCCTCTGCACATATTACAAGAACTTTCAGAGATGTCAACCATCCGGCGTATGCACAATGTGCACCGCCCGTGGCCTCACCACCGCAATTTCGCACTTGAAGCCACCGTACGTGCCGCTTCCCGTACTGTGTCAGCAACAACAAGCTAGTTTCGTAAGATAATTGTATACGATACAGCTTGCAGTCCACCCAATAAGCTTTATGCGAAAACATATACAAGCTTTATAGGAGCTCAGTCACCAGATTTATGAGCAAGATGGGAGCCAACTGAGGATCAGCCTTCAACACTGCGAGATTGTTGCTTGAACGGTGTTACGTGCTTGCCTTCATCAAGGCACATGCTTGAAAAATGGCTCATTTCAAAAAATGCGTCACAAGCGTCTCATAGTCTTAACGCGACTTAATTTTAACCTCGTCTTGCTCATCGACAAAGCGTCTCTCAAGGCTGCACTGCAGAACTCGAGTACGAAACACGGTGTCACGTAGACCATCATCGTCTCGATCGTCTTGCTTCTTGTCAGCATTGCTGCCTTTAAAAAAAGTCCTACGAATTGCTTTTCCAAACATTCCAGCGGGTTGAAATGATGATGCTGAGGATGATATACCTGGCAGGCATCATTCATCGACCAGTTTGATGATGCAAGCATGCACAGTTAAGATAAGGTATAGAACGGAAAGGGTTGCTACACTCTAGATGCTGTGTCAAAACCTGCCTGTATGAGTGCCTCGGGAGTCTTACCACAATATAGAGCCCAAGTATCTTTCCGCTCCTCTACGGCGACGAAGCCTTCCCAATGCTCCAAGGTGAGGCCTACTTCATCTTCTGTGCAACCAAAGGGACCCACGAGTTGTCTCTGAGCTTGTTCTCTACTTCCATACTTCAATTCCATCTTTCCATTGTCAGTGCAAGAGCTGAATTTGATCGCACAGATTTATCAGGACATGTTCTCGACGAGTCTGGTCCCGTGCGATTGTAGGTCACTTGCACCTGAAGCAAGAGTCCACCCTATCGAGACATATGTCGGAAAAAAAAAAAAAAAGAGAGAGAGAGAGAGGGAAAAACAGGAAAGAAAAATACTCTGCAGAAAATGTCACTTTCAATTCTATTACGTATCGAGGCCAACCAAGCTTACAACAGTCTTTCGATCTACGTAGATCCAATTGAGCGTCGGCGGATCTTGCGATATTGTACTGACTAGTCCCCGGATCTTAACTGGTTTGTTCAATCGCTCGAACATTGGATCGACCTTCGGCCTCTCTCCTACAAAATCGAGGAAGAATCCAGTAAACGGATGACAAGGTCGTGCCTCGCCTTGCATGGGAAGCGGTTTCTTCGTTTTCGGATCCTTGGGGGCAAGCCACAGCTTGTTCTCCTTTAGGACAACGATGCTGCCGTCGACCTGTTCGCGCTTCCGGGAGCGAGCGTCGCAATAAACATCCAGATGAAAGTCTCTCATGCGCAATTGCTCGTCACGGTCCTCTTTCTCCTGCTGGCGAACAGCTTCCGACGTTGCGACCGCTACTCCGGTCGACACGCCAGCGGCGGCCGGGATTCCTATCGCAAGGCCTAACAAATCCAGTACCATTTTTGAGCTCCAAAAAGAGATGAATTGTCAGTTGTTCCGTCTCGCAGACATCGTCCTTACAACTTTCGCGATGCTACTGCTATTAAGAAGCAGGTTTTTGATTCAGACGTCATTGGAGCAGGGATTGGCCATACCACACGATTTTACCGGGCACAAGATACTGCAGCCTCATCATCGGTCCTGACGGCAGCACCACGTGAAGGGCGGAGGCTTTGACCGTTTTGAGCGGCATTGCGACAACCCTGAGGCCCGGAAATTATTACAAAACATTTCTACCTGCACTTGACACGTCCTGAATTTAGATATCCCATCAATCACCTGATTTTTGCAGTGGATAAATTACAGAGTCTGGTCATGTCCAACTTTTCATGTTTTGTTGAACAGCCAAGGGGGTTTCCATCAATTTACAACGCGATTCATTCAGCGTACCAGCCTACCTGGCCATACTTTGTGAACTATTCTCTAAGGTGGGCCCCAGCAAGGGACAGAAATTTTTCCATCGATTTATAGCCTGGCCCCAGCAACGAGTGAGGTACGGATTCGTAAGAGCCACAAACCACCAAACCCCCATGTTACCGCTCGTTAGATTGATACCGGGCGAAGCTGCCTGCAAAGAAGGCGTAGGAGTTTGGCCAGGCGAGATATGGAACAGTTCGAGAAGCTAACGCCACCGACCCAGCCGGAGCTTTGTCAACAGGGGTGACTGCATATTCGGAACGATGGAGCAGTTAGCCAAGGCGAGGTTGAAGTCTTCCGGATCTCGTGATGATCAAATTTCCAATTATTCCCAGGAGGCACAGGCAGATAATACCATGCTTGATTGTTGCAGCTGATTTCATATTTGCGGCTGATTCGAGGTTGTTTCCACCCCCCCCCCCAAATAAAAAAAACATCGAATTGGTGCATGAGAATAACTCGGAGTTTTCGACCTGGTGGGACGCTCTTCGCTTGCGCGGGCCGCTAACGCCGGTCGCTGTCAGCCACTGTAGCCTACGACGCTCCAGTTGAGCAAGGTCAATGGCCATGTGGAGTGTTAACGTTTAGACAAGTAACGTCCAAAAGCTTGGATACACGAATTCATCCTCAAAGATGCGGCGCACTTGCTCCAAGATAAACCTTTCCACTTTTCCAACGTTCTTCAGAACTTGCTTTCCGTTCTCTTTCTCCCCAATTTCGCTCTCCACTTTGATTTCCTCCAGTAGGCCCCCGAAGGTCTTGGACCTGTCCGAGCCGGCGTCACCTTCGGACTCGGTGAAAGGTCGGTCTACGAAGGCCTCAGCATCCTCGGGGGACAGAAAGCACACATGGGCTTTCTTCTTGATGTATGCTAGGATAGCAATGCCATCAAATCGTAACCCAGTGATGTTGAGCTGAAGCGGAATGCCAACGAAGCTCGGCATGGGATAATCAAGAAGTATTTCAGCAGTCAAAGATAGCCGAAGATCACCGGCATACTCAACGTGGGCAACGACTTGAATGTCGTTAGGGTCTCTCTCACGGTCGAATTGTTCGCCAGCCGTGTTAAGCATCATACCAGATGTGTCACTCAGACGAGGCTTTTCCTCATTGTACGCGTCCATGTGCTGGTGCTGCGAATCTGGCCTTGATTGTGGGTCGCCAATCGACGAGGTATATAACGTCTCTTCCACGCTAGGTGGCGGCAACGTGGGGCGCAACGTGGACACATTGTCCGAGCGGCCATTCTGGAAATGAGCGCCTGCAACAGCAGCCAGCGGCGTGGCCGTGCCAGAAAGTCCTGGACCAAATGGTAAATGAAAATATGTCAAGTTCGATGTACCTCCTGGTATACCCGGCGTCGGCAGGCTTGAGAATAATGGGCTGGCTGGCTGATCCAATGGATGCGAAATCTCTCTCAAACCCCTAGTCCTCGTATCTACATGCGAAACGTGGTTCTCTGGTGCTTGACTAGCACCCTCGTTTGGCATGTCGGCAGCTTGCGATCGGTGGTTTGCTCGTGCGTTTGATACCCCTGCCGCTGACTGCGTTGTGGGTTGTTGCTCCGAGGGAGAGTCTTGGCAGCCATCACTTTGGGAAGAACAGCCGTTCTCATGCTCGTCGTAAAAGTCTGCCAAAGGGTCGCAAATGTCCTTGATTTCTACCTTTGGTGCTACGCTTCCAAAGTCGAACGCATGCACCTGGACGCTGCGGATGAAGCGTGGGAGTGTGACCTGCTGGAACTTTTCGTGAATGAAGGCGCGCACAGTCTCCGCGATTCGCTCGCCGTCCGGGCCACTTGTAAGCGCATCCCAATGTATGTCGACGGACATGGGGAGACAATTCTTGCTAGTTGACTGATCACAATGTTGCGCGGAACCAGGTTTGCGATCCGAATGGCTGACAAACCACGTGTAGCAGGTATGTCAATCGGACCACCACACTGACAAGGCTTGCACCATCGCCGCTGCTAGGCTGTACACGAAGGACGGGAGTTCTGGCTTCGGATGCGAGCCGAGGTTTCGAATGACGCGTGAGCAACGCTGGACGAGCGGGAACTGGTACCTGAGCGTTCGTGCAGGAGGCACAGCTTGTCGACAGTGTTGCCACAAGCAGCGACGTTCAGCTGCAGAAAATAGTCAAAGCAGAGACGGAACACGTGCTGTCCGTCGGGGATTCTGTCGCAAACGGCCCGTGTCCGCCGTGAGTTCCCCGGCACAGAAAATAAGCTTGGTGGTCCGTCTAAGCCAGCGCGGGCGAGGCCAGTGTTTGTAGCGTTTTTGAAGTGGAGCGACTGAGGCTAGCAGCGGTGTGGTCGAACGGAAGAATCCTTGGGGCAGTAAGACGGGGTTTGAATGCAGCCAGCTTTTTCCAGAACGTTTTATGACAACGATCTCGAACGTGGAATTTTTTGATTAAATGAGTTCAGGCTATCCTTGCGTCAGAGCAAAATGGCTCGGCGCTAACGGTCGATCATGCAACGAGCAGGTCGCCGTTCGAAGCTACCGAAAAAAACGCTGAGCAGATGGCTGTCAGGTCAAGCAAAAGGGCCTTTTTTTGAAGATTAAGGTTCGCGGAAGGGGACGACAACTGTTGATGCGATGGTGATTCGTCACTACACGGCCCAAGGGGATTTTGCCTTTATTCCGTCACGACATGTTCCTGACGAATGGCGTCGCCTTTTCCGCTATGCCGTGCATGAGGTTAAAAAAAAAGCAATCTTAAGTCCTCGCCTTACAAAGACCGCTGTCGCACGCTTGACGAAAGGCTCGAGTGGCTGGGAAAAAGCATTCTCTTTGCGGCCCGTCCCTCCTGAACGGTTGGAAGAAGCAAGTTCAAGTTCACGTAAGAAAATGTACAGCCTTAGTCTGGCGACAAGCTCAGGCCGTCGTCGAGAATGTACGTACTCAGGTCACTTTTTTTTTTTATCAAACTATACGACAAGCGCGACAGCTGTCACATGCAGCCTGCCGACTGGTGGCCATCTTTCGAGCTGTGCCTCTGCACCTTTCGAAGACACAAAAAAAAGAACAAGGGCTTTTCCACAGTTCACCGTGAGCATGGATCTAGAGAAGGTCGCACAGGGTGTTGGCTTTGTTACACGTCTCAACGGTTTTCCTTCCCCAATGTGCAACGCCCACAGCAAACTAAGCTAGATGCTGAGCGAACGTTGAGGGCGAAGGATCAAGCTCCTGGAAAATACAGAGACAAGAAGACATGGTGCAGAATCGGAGTTGGCTCAGTTAAATGCGATGATTAGCTGGGCAGAGCGAGATATTGCCTGCCCTGTTGGCCTCCTAGCAGCTTGTTCCGGCACCACTCGCCATGGAGGAATGAGTTGATTGCATGTGAAAACCAGCGTGCCGTCCAAAACCTGGAATTACACTTTCGAACCCTTTCGTAAGGGCGAATAATACATGAATGAAGGCGACTTTGAGTTCGAACCGTCTTTCGAGTTTAACGCCTGAGACTCGCCATGGTCTTCCACATGTCCCCGATGAGAAAAAAAAAACCGACGGAAAACGCCAGCACTTTTTATCATTGTCCGTTTACGCCATGAAATGCTTGTGTGTGCTTTGCTTCGCCCACAAACAAGGACCCGATACATCGAAAATTGGATTTGACGTGACAAGAATCAAAAAGTATTTCAACGACCCGCGTTGCTGCGTCTGCCTCCCGTCTGCGTGCGACCAGACCGTGTGGTGGAGGCGAAGCCGGCCGGACCAAGCGACTGCACCCTAGTCGAGAAAGTTAGGACAGCTATTCTTCCCACCGGCTGGTGCGCGGATTCATACTTGTCATCTGTCGCAATTGTCGCACTTTTCGTCGTGTTTGACTATCTTGACCTTCATATCTGAAGGGGGACAGGCCCGTCCCGCCGTTCTCGAGCTTGCGCAGTAAGCGTAGTCGTTGTCGGTGCGATGACCGCAGCTGAACTGGTGTATTATCCTGGTGCACATGGCTGCCGACGGGTTGGCAGAGCGCGCGGGCGGAGGAGAAATGCTTTTTCTTTCCAAAAGAAAAACAAAAGAAAAAAAAAGGTTTGGTAGCTGGCGCTCGAGGTGCTCAAGAAGGACGCTGGTGGATGAGAACGTGACCAATGTGGAGTCCAAAATCGGGAGGAGAAGAATTCGAGGATCGACCGTACGTGGTGAAGGAGGATTCTGCGAGTCCTGAAAGCTGACTCTTCAACCGTGTATCAGGATGTCAGAGAAACGTGTGTGTCGCAGACGCAAGCGGTGGCAGGAGATTTGGCTGGCTCTGAAGGCAGACTTGGTGGGTTGGTCGATTCAACGCAGCGTCAAGCAATGGATGTAGCAGAATACTGACCAGATGTTTTTCTTTAAAAAAATAAAAAAAGAAGAGCACCGCTCCCGACACGATGGTACTTTGTCAATATTTAATTTGCGTGCAAACGGCACCGACAACGTTTACAACTAACGGTCCACGGCTTCGTACCGGGGAGTGGAGCTCCACGCGCGAACTAGGATTATTAGCATCAAAGCTCAGCAAGGAGCCTTGACGGCAAATGCATATTATGAACAAGGGGTCATGAGGGCCCGGGGTTAGAGCTTTTTAGGGCAGCCAGCTGAAGTTCCGCGATACTGCTGAAAGAACAAGTACTGAATCGAAGGGAAACGTCAGACCAACAAAGACCCACCGGCGTCGCCTGACGACGGCCGGCGCCGAGCTACGGGACGACACGAGAGATCGAGCGCACAGCTGGCTGCGCGGATAATGTCCCAGCCCGGCCGAGCTGGCTGGACATCGACGAGGACGGGCAGAAGGGGGGCGCTTCTCAGTCGTTTGCTCTGATCAATCCGTCCGCAGAGCGACGGCAGTCAAGGGGCCTATCGGCTGCACGACTGGATGCCCAGGATCATCCTTTTCACCTCTCCCTAATGCAATGCTAAGCTGAAAGGGTGATAAAGCGCCCCCCCTTCCTTTCCCGTCCTGGCGAAATATACGCCGAAAAGAATCGTCAGCAGCCATACGTCCGCAGGGTCTTCAAAAGTAAGCCGGCGTATCTTTTTGTGGTACACTCAGCCTTATGTGCGCGGTGACCGTTTGGCGGCACGATAAGTGGTGCAATCCGCCGCCCTTTCATTCGACCGGCTCCAGGCATGTCGCCTCATCATGCCTCGCTCCTGCTCCCTCGGCCGCTGCTGATCGGCACCCTACTGGATCATTTGTTGTTTGTGTTTGTTCTGGCTTTTTTTTCGTCCGTTGAACACGTGCCTTGTCTGCTCCGATCTGAGGATCCTCATCTTGCTGGCTGGTAAAAAAAGGTTGTGGTGTGTGCGTTGGGAAAAGAGGATTCGAAAAAGCTGCATGCAAGCCACCAGAACACTCCACGCGACAACCCTTGACCACTTACCAGTCTTAAATTCCTTCGAGAAAGGCAGATCAAGCGCCTGATCTACCATAGACATGATAGGCAAGATGCTCCGCACAGTCTATTGGCGCTCGTGACGTCCCCCTTACATCCTCCCCGTGCGACGGGAGACTGCACCTTGAGGAACCTCGCAGCAGCTGACCTTCTCACCGTAGATTGACAGGCTGGGAGGAAATTCTATGTACAGCTCTCACGATCTTCAACTCGGCTTTCCTCAAAGACGATGACCCACAATCCGACCTCCTAGACTGATCACGCTACAGTGCCAATGCGCTGCTCTGATTTGTCCGCCTCCAGCGCGTCACAAAGGAGGTCACATTCCTAAAACCAGATCGCAAAACTTTGCAGACTATCGTACGTACCTTGGTGGCAATCCGTGCTGCGTCCAAGACGCCATGCTTGACCAAAGAAGCTGATTTTCGGCTCTGCTCGACTCCCTTGCAGCTTCGGTTGAGTCTCCGGATGAGCCGCCATGTTTCATGGCAAATCTGACGAGTCGTGGGCGCGCCGCACTGAGCATTTTCGGTCCTCAAACAGCATCGGGGTTGATCCACTCTGAGCTTGAAACAAGCCTCCTCCGTGCCTTGCAGCTGAGCTCGCCAGCAGCATGGTTGTTCCAGAACTTTGCCCACTATCAGCGTCAATTCTTTCATAAGCCCCATTCCCTCTGGTGAGAATTTGACTGTGCCTTGATGGCTGTAGGGGACGCGATGTGTTTACATTTTGCTAAAAGAGCTTTCTATTTGGCAGTGTTTAGGATACCTCTCGGTTTCCGCAGACTCCTTCATCTACAACGTTTGACGTGCTCAGAAAAAAAAAATTGTTGCTTGCGTCACGCAACGTAGTCAGCTAAGTGATACGATGAAAATTCGATCTGACTAGGCAAGTATTACACGGTTCATTTTGAACGCATGTCCAAAAACACGTTTAAACAGATCGCAATGGAAGTAATAGAAGAGAAATAAAGAACGTTCCTGGTGAAGAACCGAATTTTTTCTCTTCATTATTGATCCAATGGACACCGTGGCCATGTGCTCTCCTTAACAATGCTCATGTACTACTGAGTCGTCGACCCCAATGACATCCACCAACAGGGCTCTCGTGAGTCGAAGCAAGTTGGGCCTGGTCGTGCGTTCGGTTTTTTGCCCTGCTAAGTTGATAGTTAATTTCAGGTGCTCTTGCAGAGAGTCTTGACTCGACGCACGTCTGTGCCTGCGCCAGCTTAAAAGTGCTCAACAACATAGGAGAAAGTTTGTGCACTGTCCATAGCCGTTTTCTGGGGTGAGATGATCAAAGAACAGGGATGAACTGGCTACAGAACACGCAGGAAAGGGAGGCAGGTCTTGAAAGGCACGTGCCGTAGGCTGTATGTCAGACTTTTGAGGCAGTTTCTTCACACACACACACACCACAAACGGAACATCCTCTGGCGCCGAGCTCGTCCTGCTGATTGGGCCCGGTTGTGCGCCTATGCCACCGCCAATTGTGGATTTCTGGGCCCGTAAAAACAGCCGGATTCGCTTTTCCCGGTTATAGTCTGGAAGCCGGCTAACTTTCCTAGATTCCCAAGGCTACTTTCCAACCCCACATCAGGGAGAGATTCAAACGGCTAAGCAGCGCCCGTAAATTGATCAACCACACATTTATTGGCGCTTGCTGCGAAGAGCAATAGTCGCGGGCTTCACTGCGCTGACACAATTGCGCTCGTAACTTCAACCCCCGTTGAGGGTTCCTCGTGAGAGCTACAAGCAGCCGCTTGAGCACGGCAGCACATGCAGAATAATGACAAAGCTGCACATGCAGCGCTTTAAAACGGCTGTGAATATGTAAACCCAAGCGCGAAAGCTCAACGGCTTACCCTAGATTGCATATGCGTGCCTCATGATCATCTTACGATGTAAAATCGGGATACACGGACGAATGGGGATTCCATGATCGCATCAAGTACGGGCTAAGGGCCATCGTGGCTGCACGCAGGCTGTTCTGGAAATTGTCTGCTATGTAATTCCTTGAAATATCCTTGAATACCCGAGTATAAAGTTAATGCGAATGCGTACCTCATACGGTTCGGCTCCTGGGACACATAACTCAGCTGAAACCTCAAGAAAGTTGAATCACAAGACTTACCTCTTATTTTTTTTTGGCCAGCGCTTTTTCACCGCTTCAGGACACCTCAAAACAAGCGCCCTAGCGAACAAATAGATTCGTCAGCTCCTCCACGTGCCGTTTCACGGATTTCTTGTTTTGTCCCACTCGCGCTACTGTAAATTCGCGCCGAGCCTTTGGCATACGCCTTGCACGACGATCCGGCTTGGATTTATTGGTATAAAAGGAGCTCAGCTGTAAACAACCATGGCTTCAATCGACGCAAGCATTCTCTCCGAAATCACCGGGACGGATTCTCACATCGCCCCTCCAACCTCGCCCGTACAAACTACAATGGTTCAGACTCCAATCCAGGCATCTGCCCGACGGGATTCGGGTTTTCTAGTGCTCGCTCCTGTTCTCTCCACCGACTACCCCATACCACTGTCATCAGCGACCGCGCCATCCACTTCCGCAGTCGAAGTTCCAGCTACGGAGGCCGAGCCAATGAAGAAGGAGCGTCGCTCCAGCAGCGTCAGCAGCGGCGACGGTCTCTTCAAACGAAAGATCCTCAGGCTGGGACCAATTCATGGTGGAGATAGGTCGGGTTCAGACTTCGTTGAGCTCGACGAAGAGTGAAGGCACTGCGAACGCATCACGCGCTGTTGGTTCGCTCATTGCCAGGCTGCACCAGTTTGTACAGGCCAGAGATCAAACGGGGCTTTGTTCATCATGCATCTTTTACCAGCCGCCTCGCGTCATTCAAGTTGCGACGTCTTTCGCCCTTAGCGTGCCAATCCCATTTAAGCTATGCAGCACGTTGAGCAATCTGTTCATTTTCGGGGTATCTCCACATGTAGCCGAGGGCAGGCGCACGAAGTATTCGTATTCATGATTGAGCAAAAGGCTAAAAGGCGTCGGTGGGGTTGAGTGCGAAACTCTTACGAAGTGTTACCGATAGGACAAGTTCATATCATATGCAATCATAAATTATTCACAACTTGTTCTGACCCCCAATTCGTGACCAATGTATGTCAATCCTTCAGTCGTGCAGCATGTCGACCAATAACGAAATCACCCCCACGAAATCCCCACACCAACTGCAACCACGTCTTGAAACCTCGCAAATTGAGGACATCTGATCTTTCTCATCGCGCCCGGAAAATAGCCACGATCTCGGTCTGGAAGGTGTTTAGCTGCTAGCCATGACCACTGGTCAGGTCTTTGAATGCTTTTTCCACATGCAGCTACATGCATCGTCATATGCAAATCTAGCCAAGTATAGCACGCTCAAGTGCTCTAACTAAGCGCTACGGTGATCTTGAGTGAGCACATGACTTATGGGGTTGTTTGGCTTGGTATATGGCTTAGTGGCAGATCGTCGTCCATCTTTCATGCCGAATCGCAGATCAGGGGTTTCAAAAAGGAGTTCAGCCATCCTTACAGACCTGAAAAGCGGTATGTTGCAGTGATGTTGCGACCATGATGCGGATTGCCCCGCTGGAATGCTTTTTCAGCGGAAGCCAAGATGAATAGGCTCTCCGACTACGCATGGATAAGATCCTTCGCAGATTCCTACATCCAAAAAGAAATGATACAGCGGCTTTCGCTTGACGACCTGGTCAAATGTGGCCCATGTTCGTGAACGGTATTTACAAAATATCTTACACGAGCCGGAGGTAATGTTTCTTGGGCGTAAAGCTGTCAGGCATGAATTGCTTTTTGTTGTATTTGACAGGTCTAGTCCTGGAGTTGACGAACGTGCGAACGCAGAAGACCAGACCGCCAGCGACAGTCTTGCTGCCCAAGCAGATGCGAGATTTGCGTTCTGTCTTCAACAGCACACAGATTGCATATGCTGCGTGTTTCGAGCTTCCCTGCATGGGATCCGTCAAGAAAAACAAAAAAAAAAAAAAAAAAAAAGAAAAATCTTCTAAGCTGGGCAGCTCTGCGCTGTCACAGCTTTAGACCGACATTTTGCATTCGGTTGCCTTGCATCCCACATTTGCTCCATCCTACAGCTGCCTCTTCTACTGGCTCAAACGAAGAAACTATTCATAATTTGAATGTACAGAGCTGGTACGAGCTTCCCATTGGATCCGTTATCGTTGTAAGCTTGCATAACTTATGCGAAGAAGCATTAGTTGAGCCTAGACCCAAAACGTTGTGGGGGCCTTGTGAACCATGCGCCTTGAAAGTCGTGTTGATGTCGTCAATGCTGTGTCAAAAGTCAAAGTGCGAAGAGTTCCAAGATTCAACGATATGGGCATGAGTGCAGTCGATCGAACCGTTCAGAAACTGGAAACACAGCGGCAGAGTATGCCTGAAATGAATGGGTCTGACAGCAAGTTCATGAGCCAACTGGTTTTAGGCCACGCCACGTTGAGACGTTCGTAGGCAAGGATTGCTGAGACAGCGCACATAGTTACGGCTAAGGCCATCAGCAAGAAATCGTGGACGGCTTGAAATGCTTCCCGAAGCAAAGCGGCAGGTTGTCAACCGATATCTGTCTGGAACCTCGACAAGAGTTGTTTTCTTGGTGATGGCTTTCACCCTGCAAACGAACGCCAAATCGGTAACTCGAAACGAAGACTCAACCAGAACAGCACTGTGCTGATTGGAAAGGGATATGGAGACCGAGTGCTTTTCGGTTCTACGCCATGTCCTGTCTAACGATGCGGTATTTTTTGCGCGCTCTTGATAGGATAAACTCCCTAGTTTGCGAAATGAAGCCGGATACTCCCAAACATAAAAGTCGAGCACGTTAGCACCCAGAATGAGTCGAATGATTCTCGTTCGACGGATTTTTTTTTTTAATTTAGATGGCCTCAGCTCAGGTAGATGTGGTTCGAGTCAAAACTATTCCGATATTGGGCAAATTTTTAAGGATGGATCAAGAAAATGGCGCCACCTCAATGGAATGCGGCGGTGAGGTCAACACTGTCACGGTGAAAGTGACTACGAGTGATACTACAGTCATAGGCAACAAGTTGCGGTGCCGGTATCTACTACGGTGACACAGAAATCATTAAATTGAACGTTGAATATTGGGTTACGATTTCAAGCGGCTGAATGTAACTCTCGTCATGATTCCAAGAAGCACGCGTTCTCTGTACAACGAAATTACTCTGATTTATCACGTTCAGAGACCCACAAAATGAGGGGGGGAATCCTCCAGAACACGAACAAAGGTTCAGAGGCATGTCATGAAAGACATCGGATTTAGCCGCAGGTGTCCATCACAGAATCATGTTGTTCTCGATCTTGTGTCGGACCTATTTGCACATGATGCACGAGTAATACCCATCCGTTCGTAACCTATCTGCAAAAATTATTGGAAAAACGGAGCAGAAGATGAGTCTTCATTTCTTCAGAATTAGAAGGAATGCCATTCACAATCTCTATGGTTTTCTGGAACAACTTTGAAACCTCTCAGAGAGTGCACCCAAAGTGAGAAAAGTTTTCCGTCGTGGGAGGCAATATTTGCTGCACTTGGTCCACAGATTTCGCAGCGGGTGCGATATTTGGCAGCTTGATTGCGCGATCTGCTTCCAAGTTAGCAGATACTTCACTGATCCAGCTGACGTTCAACTTTCAGAACTGGGATCGCGTTACTGTCAGCATCATGTTCACCAAGGTTTATTCACGTCGGGAGCACTTTATGGGATTTTCCCCCTCCCAGAAAAGCTTGGAGTCAGAACAATATCATATTCTAGTATTATGAACCATTTTCTGCGCCAAAGATCAAACTTACAGAGATGTTTATAAAGACCATGTCGGTCCTTGTAAGTAAAGGTTCCTCTCAAGTCAAATTCTCCTTCGCATGTATCATTGAGAACATCTATATCTATGAACTTGGTGTTGACGATGATCTTGGTTCACAGCTCTCTTGCGCTTTGTCGACACGCATTTTGCAAGTAATGATGCCTTTTTTTATATGCGGATTTTCAATAATGCAAAACATAATGGTACGTATCGCGCTAAAAGTCTTGCTTTCGTGCGAAAACACGGACGTTGAACGTCGGGCTATTCATCGTGGCGCACGTCAAAGTTGCTAAATATGACAAAAGCCGTTGGCCAAATTACCCTTTGTCAGCTTAGAGAAGCCAACATCGCAACAGCTATCTATGTCAAAGGCGTTCTAAAACGCAAGGAATTGGAGTTATTCTTCTGTCAAAATCCGAGGCAGCTTTTCACAAGACATGAGCGAACACTTCGCGGCCTCATCTATGGGGATTAATACATGATACGCATGTTCAATTCATTTCCCACAGTTGTGTCGCAGCTGTCCAAAGTCACCAATGGTCTCGTGTGGTTCGCGGATGAACAAATCGGAAATTGAACATCCATATCCAATTCATACATTGTTTTCTAGGTATACAGCCAAGAGTGTGACAGAAAAGCTTGCCCAAGCTGCTACGCTGCTTTCCATTCTAACTCTCCTCCCAAACTGCTATTGCCTCTCAGAAACCTATCATTTCGGTCCATACAAGTAAATGGATACTGCATTGAAGCGTGTCTGCGAATTCAAAGGGCACACGTCTCGGTAATAAAGTTGTTAAGGGACATACCGAGGGTCCAACATCTGCTCCGTGGGTTTCACCTTTTCGTAGCCTCATTGTTCTCAAAGTTTAAATTTGAGTTTCAGGCTGTGGCTGAGAAAACTTGTTGAAGTAACAAATTTGAAATCAAATTGAGAATCTCTAGACGGCATGTCTCCGTGTGCCCAATGAAGAGGAGTCTTGTCTCCAACTATCCATTGCAATGCGTATCTGCTTATAAATGCTCAGTTCATCGCGCCAATCACCGCTCACTTCTCGGCCTCGGACTAAACCTTCGGAGGACAGATTATGGTGGCATCTTGAACATTTCGCCGAGAGTTTTAAGCCGCTTATGAATACTTGCAAAACTTGGCACGAAGAATCCAGTAGGCTATGAATTAGTTACTTGAAAGAAAGTAAAAGATTAAAACGTTCGTCTTGTTTATTTAGGAGCAACAGAATAAAGGCAAAACATTTCAAGTCTACTTGCTTTTCCATTCCTTTTTTTTTCTTTGAAAAAAAGTAGTCAGTGAGAGTAGTCATCGTGAATTCTTGTGAGAAGAAACGACATGACTAAATCGGCCTTCATTCTAGGCGCTGGACCTCGTGTTGGCACTTCAGTTGCAAATTCCTTGACAAAATCAGGCTATAAAGTTGCTATCGGCCGACGAAGTGCCTCTGAGACTAGTGATGGCACGTCGATCAAAGTCGACCTCTCTTCAACATCATCAATCACTTCCGCCTTCAAAGAAGTACAGTCTATGATCGGAGTACCAAGCGTGGTAATCTACAACGCAGCATCATTCTCAAAACGTGGCCCGGTCGATGATCCATACTCACCGGATGTTGAATACCTCAAAAAAGACACAGAGATCAATGTCTTTGGAGTCTATCAAGCACTACAAGAGACCACTAAGAATTGGAAGACGATTACTGATGACATTCCTAAAGTCTTCATTATAACCGGAAACATCCTTCCTTTCAAGCCGATTCCTGGCTTTGAATCACTTGGAGTGGGAAAGTCAGCAGCAGCGCATTTCATTTGGAGTTCCGTCATGAACGAGTCCTTCAGGAAGGCTGGATATAGATTTTATTTTGCGACCCAAGTTACACCCGACGGTGGACCGGTGCTTACAGGTCTGAGTGGCGAGGCACATGCAAGTACCTACTTGAAGCTCATTGAGCAGAGAGAACAGGGTGAATGGGATGTGAGATTTAGTGCGTAAAGCATGTGAATTATGCTGGAAATCCTAGGACACTATTGGCAATCTTCATGACTGTCTTTTCCCCGTCCCTCAACCCTTGCTCTTGGCTATTCCATTTCTTTAATCCCATGCTCTGAAGTCCTTGCTCACCGCCCCATTCACTTAGCTGTGCAACCGTGGGTCTATCAACATGTCTGCTCTCGCCTTCACCACCACCAAAGTCAGGACTCGGCTTGCCAGCTAGAAAGCAGTCTCTCTGTCTGAGGAGATAATTTGCCTATTACCACAGTTAGAACCATACGAATACAGATGCGTAGACGTCCGAGGCCAATCGCTCTAGACTAAGTCGATTATACATGCACGTACATTGGTTTCTGTTAACGGACAAGCGGGAATGTAGAGAACGCTTGAATCTTGAGAGCCATTATGAACGCTATCCACCGCATGTATTGTATCGCAATGCCATGCAACATAATCTCCTGGGGCTACTGCGGGAACATGAACCATAGTATGTTGCAACTGTAAATGAGGATGTAGCTTTGCATGAACAGATTGTCCGTGTCCAGGAGATGCACCTTGGATCTTCGGCTGCATCTGATATTAGCCTACGTAATTACGAATTCTTCAGTCTTTAGAACTTACCGATGTTTCGAGTTCCAATCTCCAATTCTCAGGTGACAGATATTGGTCTTCGCTAACGTCTTCGGCGCCACGCTTCGATTCAAAAAAGGGCCTGAGAAGTATATACGCTGTCGCAAAGCCATGGAGAGGATTCACCTTAAGATGGCCTTCTCCGCCTTTGATATTAGAGATGCTGAGCCAAGCTTGCTGCGTACGAAAGGCGGAGCAGTTGCCAACCCCTCCATACCTAGTAGTCAAAAATTAGCATCGCCTTTGAAATTCAAGCGCATAAGGAATCATATCCGCTGTTTTCGCGCACCATCTGCCTTGCGAACAGCTCTACAAATCATATTATCCGTAATGCATAATCAAGTTTTTGGAGTTGGTGGCTCTTACAAGTCAATCACCGCGCCAACACGTTTGTCCGCATTCCAAGGATCATATTCCTCCCATTTTCCTTCAAATATTTTGTCATACGTCTGCGCAAGAGCATAGCCGCCTTCCTCCCATCGCTCCAAGCTCCCACCATCCATGTGTGGACCAAGTGCAAAGGAGCTATCTCCAGGCTGCCGTATTCGGAGCCGATCCGCATAAGCAATGGGATGGCGAAGGCTAATCTCAGCCCTTTGTGACGCGTTCCAAAAGCTCATGAGGAAACATTGCGCGCTTATCACATTCGGGTGTGATCTCGCACGCAGTTGGGCTTCGCTCCAATACAGCTCAAATACTTGAGGATCATGCTGCGGAAATGCCTTGGTATGTGGATTTTTGGCGACATACTCTAGAATGCTTCGTTTGTACTCTAGAGCAGTCTGCTCGTCAACAACACCGCGGATGATGCACACACCGTATTTCTTGTACGCAGCGCTAAAATCAGCTCCAACCTTGCCCTTCATGACATCTGAGAATGAAATCTCCGGAATCAGCTTTGATCTGTGCCGCTGGATTGTGGCAACCTGATCCCTCAGGTGCTCAAGTAAACGGTTCCACGACGCGACAATAACATCCTCCCTACCGGCTAGCAACCGCTTCTTTAAGTCAGCGAAGCGAGGCTCCAAGGGTATTTCGACACCACCCTCTAGGGATGCAAAAGCATCTGATATGTCGCCTTCCCGTTTCTCGGTCCGAGTCTTTGTAGCTGGGCTCATCATGGCCATCGTCTTCCGCGATGATGGAAGACACCTCACTTGGAAGCGGGCCTGGTTTGCCAGAATGCGAGGCAGTGATTTAACGGTCGATGTGGACATTTTGAAAAGACATTGACGAATAGCCTATGGCTATTGAGGTCAGGACAAGCCATCCAGTACTTATAATGATTTTCCGAATCTCAGCAGCGTGATGGCCATCTTGATCATGGAAAGGTGGCGATGATTTCCGACCTTGGACTGGAAACTCTGTCGGAAGGATCTCCTAATTGGGAAGTGATGGGCTCTATGCATAGCTACCCACACTTCACGGCCCTCAGCCATTCTCAGTGGAATTTTATTGACGGAAGACCGCTAAAACTGGCGTAGTGACAGCAGATGAGAACATCAACGGAAGAAATTTTTCTTAGTTAATAGGAACTTGCCACAGCAGGGCAATTAGATTCATACTCATTCAGATCCAATCGCTCTCTGCCGGCTGCTTGCTGTTACCGACCTGCTCGTCCGGATGTCCCTCCCTTCATTGCACTCGCGAGAGGCGTTCTCGCTCTAGGCCCTGCTGAAGCTTCCCTCCTTAGCCTGTTCTCCTCCTTCATACAGGCCTCGAGTTGCCGCTCTTCGTCAATAGTCAGCATGCTTCCCGAAAGACTCAAGAAGCTTCCCTCTCCATTCGCCCCGGGTGGAGCGCAGTCCCAGTCTCTGATCCTAAAGCGCAGAAGTCCGCTGATCGCATTGCCCTGTCCGTCATACCAGGCACCCCATTGTTCATCGGAGCGGCGCATCGGTTTGTCGCCTCCTTCTGCTACCTCCCGATCTGCGATGAGCTTGCCGTTTTCTTCATAATATTCTTGCCAGACCCAGGATTTAGGAAGATGCTTGTAGTCGATAGTCACAGTGAAAAAGTTCCACAGTATCAGTGTGATATGCGATTCATTCTGAAGGTTCAAATAGCCCTCCAGCTCAAGGCCTTTCTTGGGTTGGAACACCAGCGCATCTAGGGTGAGCCAGATGTAAGGTGCAGCGCATTCATCTATCGCCTGCGCCATTGGCTGATCTTCCTCATCTTTGATAGTTCGAGCGAGCGGCGGACACGTGTGCAGTTTTGCATTGTTGTATGCCAAGATTATGCCGTCGAGTTGAGGGTGCCATGTAAGTAAAAGTGGTGATATGTAGTGCGCTAGAGCTCCCTCGAGCGGATATAGTTGTGCGACAGGTGGGATTGTGACCTTGAAGGACGCCGTCGTAGTTACGAAAGGTGATTCGAGTTCGGCGGGTAAACCAGGCACTTTTCTTGATAGTGGAAGTTCTTGAGCATTTCCGCTTTGTGATCTGCTCCCTTCGACCAGCTGAGACGTCTCAGCTTCTCGCCCAGACACACCATGCGATCTCCGTCTTGACTTGCTTAGTGATTCATGTGCCATATCTCCATTCAGTTTCTCTGCAAGGAAGGCCTCTGTTGAAGCTTCTGCGTCTGTGATGCTATTCCTCTGCTTCTTGCTCGGTGATGCAACTCTTTCTCCATCTGGAGTCAGCTCTTCTCGCTGCCTCTTCTTAGAAGGTTTTCCATTCTTGCTTATCGTATCGCCATTCAAATGTGCCGTCCGAGATCCACTTAGAAGTTGTTCAGAAAACTGGTTTGCTCTGTCTCTCTCTTCTGGCGTCGCGTTACTATGCTTGCTCTCTTTGACCTTCGACTTCGTCTTCTTATGCGACAGAGGGGTCGCAGTTGCCGTGGACATTTTTGGCGAGATTGAATATTGTTTTCTGCGGAGGTTATTCTATAATTGACATCCTTAAGACTTCTATTCCACGATCGGGTTGTTTGTGCTGTGAATTGATAGCCACAAAAAAAAGTTTCTATGCTGCGTAAATTTTCCGCAGGGCCTGTGATTGAGCTCCGCAAACCCCGACCGCAGTACCACTTCAAAGACTTCAAGGTTCGCTGATCATCCCAAAATGCGCTACAATCTCACTGTTACCATATAAAGATTCTTGCGAATGTATCATATGCTTTGTTTATTGTCGATTCGCAAGTTTCTAACGAGTATGTTATCTCACACTGGGATTATGACCTAAATCTTTAGGCTGTCTTCGAGTCGGCAAAACGCGATCGAACGCGTTTTCAGCTTCCAATAAGGTCCATTAGAGGATCTTTGGGCTTTCATGATTCTTTGTGAGGAGATCGAGCGTCTGCAGAAATGACAAAGCGCATCAAGCTTAAAGTCCAGCGAAATCGCCTGCCTGACGTTGACGTCGTTTGGGCCGTCAAAGATGTGGAAGGTCGCGAGCGATGCACTGTCTCTAAGTTGATTGCAGACGTAGACCAGTCCATACCTCTGGAATCCGGTGAATGGACACTTGACCAATACGTTGTCGAACTCGATGGCTATGAATGCCTCCACTATCAATTCGTCTCCGATGTTCTCAAGGACGGCGATGAAGTTATCATCCGCCCGCTCACATCACCTGATATCAAGGCGCGACGTCTCTGTGGACGCACGCAAATTACCGGAGAAGGATTCCACATACTAGATGGGGTACCGTATGGCATGCAGCCGAATCAGCGCCCCCCGCGACCTGGTATACTTATTCCTTCCCGCAAGCGTCGCCGTCCAGAGCTTGAAGAGGAGGACTACGATGACTCGGGTCCTGCTACTATTGCCGATATCGAAGATGACGATGAACTATTGGCTCATGTGAATGGAGGGCAGGATGAAGATACGGTCACTGCGAAGATTGAGGCACCTGGCAAGAGTAACCGTCGGATCAAGAAACAGAAGAACGTGCACTTCAGTTTTGTCAAGGACATTCCGGATTTTCAAGTTGAAGACGACGAGCGCGATGAGGACGATTCCGACTTTGACCCCGACACTGGGTCGAAAAGTAGTGATCTGAGTGAAGATGAGCAGGATGAGGACAATTCAGACGATGTTTCAGGCTCTGAATCTTCCTCAGAAGCGTCTAGTACCTCTGAAGAAGACAGCTCAAGCTCAGAGGAGTCGGATTTAGATTCTGACAGCGCAGCGTCGTCGCCAGAAGTCCTGTCAACAAAACAGGCAAACGGGATTCCTTCGTTGAATGGAACTCCAAATTTGCGAGGCATATCATCAGCCGAAAATAGTGCACCAAAGATACAGTTCAATGGGATTCCCTACAGCGGCAGCAGTAGAACTAGGGAGCGCAATAAGCGTCGCCGGATCTACGATAAAATGCAGGCACATGTTCGCTCTATAATAGGCAGCAAAGCAACCAAAAAAGAGTGTCACGAATGGCTGAAAAACAACCCTGATCAAGCCATGCGAATCCACCTTACGGTGAAAGAAAATTTAGGTATGGTAAGGAAGGACTCTGAAGAAGAGGGTGGCAGAATTGTCAATTCAAGTGGAGAAGAAAGTTCACATTTGATCGATCAGGCGAAGACAAACGTGGACGGCAGCAGCGATAACCAAGTGGTGATTCTTGATTCAAACAAGGCTAAGGCGGTAGAACGTGGGAATATCTATACGACTGGAAAAGAATCTGCCAACATGACTAAACGACGAGAGGATTGCCATGACAATGCCATATCTCCTGGTCCTGTCAATGGTTCAAACGATGCACCTTTGTCGAATGTTGAAGTGAGTGAGACTGTGGACAAGTCCCCCAAGCACACACCGCACGCAAGCGAATCTTCAGATATGAAGCGCGTCCGCCTTGATATAAATGGCTCTCGTCGCGCCATTTTCGGCGCGCTAGGTCAGCGCACGCCCAAGACACAACAGGATGCCGATCGCGTGCGCACAAGGCTGGCTGGTCTTGGCAAACCGAAGTCTGCAACGACTATGAAAGCGCCGGCAGAAGAGGAAGTTGATCCTCTTAGTGATGCGTGGCGAAGTAAAATACGACTTCTTGCAGTGGACTGTGACAATCCTGAGATCAAGCTAAGCGAGCCGCCGTATCCCTTCAAGCAGCGCTGGGATCCGAGTCAGCAGCGAAACAACTGGTGGACAAATGGAGGAAAGCAGCGAAAGAAGAAGGCAAGAAATAGCTATGGGCAAAACTGGGAGGAAGGTGAGGATGAATACGAAGGAGAATATTGGGAAGCAGAGGATTTCAGCGGCCTTGACTACGATGAGACGGAGGCTTGGGAAGGTGAAGAAGCCGATGAGCTCGCTGAGAGACGGCACGACTCGACTACCTTGGCGAAGACTCAGTCGCTTCCTATAGCCGCGGACGTCGTTGATGATCTGCCTAGCTTGCCTGCAGACATCTCCAGCCTGCCAAATCTGAAGGAAGAAGATCTCAAACAGGGCGCGCTTATCGCTTTCAAGCAGCTTGAGTGCAACCAAGCCACGAACTGGGCTCCGTTGTTATCTGCGCATCGCACAGCCGAGGTTGTACAAGAGATTCAAAACGGCGTCGTTGAAGTCAGGCTGGCAATTCGCGACCGCACTGTAAAGAACATACGGTATGACCAAGACGGCAAGAGAGTATACGAGAAGTTCGAGATGGATGATGGAGACGATGATGCAGAGGATGATGGGATTAGGGAGCTGAATTTTACAGACATGGTTGATGCAAAACTTCTCAAGTCCAGCTAACGTACCGGACGAAGCACAATTACCAGCGCATAATGCATGAACTGGGCTATTTGGCTGTGGTCATACGGCGCATGCGCCAGCGCGTATACGCGAGAGTATGTCAGTCTTTCGAGAAAGCTTTTCAAGAACCTCCGGCTGTTTTTGGCCAAGATTTTATATTGTGTTAAACAAAATAACCATGAGCAGAACCCACTTAGCATCTTTGCGACTGCACTAACTTTTATCACTCGGTCTGTAAACATATGACATGTTATGGTGTCTCGGTACGTGACGGACACGTGACTGAACGTGACTGTCAAAAGCTTGTCAATCCTCCTTTGCTTGAAGCCGTACGTCGCTTGCTTGGCCTCGTCACTAAAGGCAAACTAGACGTACACATGCAATTCGGTCGAATCATCGTGGATTCGAATTAGGGTCTCTGAGCTGACTGCCTCGTGAAACGCTCGGCTCTATCACCGTCGGATCGGAGCTGCCGTCAGGGCTCAGCTCGATATTTTTAAAACTAAGAGAAGGAAATTCCAACGCCATTTTTAACGCCATCGAGTTTGTTATTAGCACCATGCCGGCCGCGAGCCGGCAAGAATGGGATATTGTATTGGTCCGTCCATCTTAATCTACGTGAATTTTTAAGGATCTGGAGCGATCGCGACCGTAGGGCGATGATGGAGTAGAACCGCAGGCAGAACTCGAGAAACAATGACGAAAGGGTTGAAACTAGAAAGAAACAAAATATGAATGTGAGACTATGTTGGGATGAGAAATATTACAATTCTTGACATTTCGAGTGTTGATGATCATACGGGGCTGCGAAAAAATAAACCACACTTTACAATCTAGAGAGCGTATTGTTAAGAACACTTATTAAACTATCAAACATGCCATCCAAGTAGATTGCGTGCATCTTTTGGCTTTTACAAGAGTGAGGTGGTGAACACCGTATTTAGTGAGTAATTAGCAGACTCGGCATTCAGACTCGGACGCAGAGTCTGAGCTCGAGGAATAGCGGACCTACAGCAGCACACAAGAATAATGGAGATGACGAAGCTTTTCGTGTCCTACACTCGACGGGCTAGCACTGCAATTTTGGTATAAGAAGGATCTTCAAACCGTGCTCGATGTGAGACAATCTGAACTGATGAACATCCCTCGACAACGTCTCGACGATGTGCCCGCCCAAGGCCTCTTGCAAGTCCTTGCCGCCCAGAGCGTTACCATACGATGCCAAGGTCCGTGTTTCAACGGGTAAGGTCGTAGGGTCAAGAATACCACATCGTTCCGTCTGCGAACTGCGCTAAAGTGCAAAGGCGAACGAGGGGCTTCATTGTGTATATGCCCTACCGCGTCAGTTGCAAGGCAAAAGAAAAAAAAAATCAAAATGAACAGAGGCTCGTCTTGTTATGCTCCGACTTTTCCGGTAATTGAGAACTTCTAAGGGTCAGTTGGCAAGGGGAGTGTTCTATCACTCCACACGTTCGAGATGCGCTCCATGGTTATTTCTTCCATGCTCGTCGGACAGACCACGTCTCTAAACGTTTGTACCACCCTTGTCTGTGTGAGCTCAGACCGACCCGATGGATCCTTGGATAACTGGTCATCAAATTAGACGCATTGGAACGGGCGGATTGATGTATTCCAGAGGCGATTACTGTTTTCACAATTTGCGAGGTTTGTCTCGGACTCAATCACCATTCAATCGAGGTGATGTCCCGCACGACACTCTCGTTGTACCGTGGTGCCTCAAAGGGACTTTTCTTTTTTACAGGAGATGCTGTTCCGGATAAGAAAGTGAGAGAGTGGGAGGGGGATTTCAAGCTCGGCATCAAAAAAACAAATCTACGTCTCTTTAACGCAGTTGGAACTCAGATTCATAGGTGATATGCACATAAAGTTTTGAAAAGTCCAACCGCGTCTTCCCTGCTAAGTTGAGTCTGGAACCCTTTGACTTTAGCCTTATCGACACCATCCGCACCTAGCATGGACGCAACGATGTCCGGTCGCCTATGATTCCAAAGCTGGACAGTCACTGTCTGATCCTTTAGGTCTTTTGGTCCAACGACGAGTAAGAAGTTGTAGCCTTCCGTTCGTGCGAGGCGGATTTTTTTGGAAAGGCTGCGCTCACTTGAATCAAGGTCAAAGTGACAAACAATGGATTCTCGACTGCGCTCGAGCCCATGCGTTAGCATATATTCATGTTGAGCGCTCGGTCCAAGAGTGGAATCCTGACCGCAATCTGCCCGTGTGATTGAAGCTTGAATATCCTTGGCGTATGCCAAGACGGCATCATCCTGAGAGGCGGTAAGGAGAATAGCTGGACGCGGAGATATCCAGAACGGGTACAGTCCATCGTAATGCTCGATCAGAAGAGCCATAAACCGCTCCAACGATCCAAGGACTGCCCGATGAACGATGATTGGAGTAACTGGCCCAGGTGTTGCATGGGAGTTGTGGTCATAATCAGACTCTCCTCGCAACTCCGCATCCACATCGGGCGCTGCGTACTCTAGCCCGAATCTCTTAGGCAATTGAAAGTCAAGCTGAATCGTTGCGGTTTGATGTTCCTTGCCGTCGGAATCTTTGAGGATGATATCAATTTTAGGTCCGTAGAACGCACCGTCACCTTCGTTAACGCTCCACGCCTGACCGCTGTGGTCTAGGGCGGCGCGAAGTTGATCCTCGGCTCTGTTCCACTCCTCCAGTGTGCCAATGTAGTGTTCCTGCGGCCGGGTAGACAGGACGAGCCGGTACGGTCCGAGATCGAAGATCTTTGAGTAGATCAGCTCTATAAACTCTAGCGTCTTTTTGATCTCATCTTCAACCTGTGACGGCCTGCAAAAGATATGGCCGTCGTCCTGGTGAAAGCGTCGAACCCTAGTGAGCCCGGTCAATGCACCAGAAATCTCGTTGCGATGCAGTGCGCTGAAGTCTGCGAAACGAATGGGCAGGTCTCGATAACTCCTGGTCTCACTTGCGAACAGCAGGCAGTGGCCCGGACAATTCATCGGCTTCAGTCCAAACTCCTCATCCTCGCCAATCTCCACGTTCTCCGTTCTTCCGCTGGCGCCTCGCCCCTTAACCTCGAACATGTCTTCCGCGTAGTTTTCCCAGTGCCCCGACTTCTCCCACAGCGACTTCTTATAGATCGTCGGCGTGATCACCTCGCGAAATCCAAAATGCGGATAGAGCCCTCGCAGCAGGTTCTGCAGCTTGACGAACATGTCGGCGCCATTGGGAAGCAGCAATGGCGAGCCGGGACTGTAAGGAGACGTAATAAAGAGTTTTTGCTTCGTCGCGAGCTTTCGATGGTCGGCCGGGGGCTTGGGCGGATCGTGGGCAACTGTTCTCAGGCTAGGACTGGGTGGTGCATCGCTCTCGCGCAGCGCCGCCGTGCACGAGCATGGTCGCGCGAAGATGGAAGCGGCAATTCGAGTGTGATGGCGAAAGACGGAACTTCTACGGGAATTGAACAGCCCACGCAGAATGGACTGCTGCATTCGAGGCATTGATGGAGACGTTGGACGAATCGATGTTTTCCACAAGGGGAAAAGAGCTGGGTGAGACGCGCCAAGTGGGCCTGACGTGTGACGTAGTTCTTCTAGGCGTGGTCGCGACTCACATCAGGCACGCACCAGCCACCTACACGATGCTGGCGTTACTGCCTGTGAATGTTCAGCAATTTAACTAGCTCCCGTGAACTTGTACCCATTCAAAGGTCATAACAAACGCTTCGATTGGCAAATGTGTGTCCTTTTAGCTTGCTGGATTGCCGCGCGAAGTATTTCTGATCATCTCGACTGAAGCTACGTACGGCCCTAAGCAATTCGCCACCATCTGCCTGTTCACCTTTCTTAGCAGTACAGTTTGGATGCAAAAAATCCACATCTACTCTTTCTACGGAGAGCTCTATGACCCAACACTTCTCCGATGTCGATCGGAGATTGCTGGCATATCTGCGAGCCAAAGAAAGATTTACAGAGAACGATTCGATCATGGCAGGCGCTCAAAAAACAAGAAGTGACCTGGAACCTGAGCTAACTGACTCCTGGGCGCATTTTTCATCAGGAGATGACGACGGAGGGGAAAGCGGAGATAGTCTTGATATACAAGAGAGCGAGACCGATCAGCAATCGCCAGCACTCTCCACTGATCCCGAGGAAACGGACTTGCCCGACGTACAGTCCGCAGATGTAGCAACTCCGAATCCACGCGGTTCTGTCAGAAAGACGCGACAGCTACTCGGACCGCAAAATTCCAGCCCTAGAACACCGCAAGCAGTGCGCAGCTCGCCCCGACTACAGGTGCGACAGAGCTCCAAAGAGCCTGAGCTTATCATGCCCTCGATCATAGCATCAGGTTCGTTCAAAAGCTCGACACCAAAACAATCTCCTCTCTCGAACAGCGTAAGGGCGAGGAAAGGAAATGCTCTCTCGTCGAGCCGAGCAGGCCCCGCCCGTGCGACACAGGAGACACCAAAGTCGAATCAGCCAAAGTCTCCCACCTCTCGAAGGAGAAAACCTTCTCAAGACGGTACAGCTGTTGTTCCATGGATCTGGCAAGAAATTGTCCGGCCAACCTTGCAATATGCGCTTGGTGTCATCGGCCACACCATGGTCTACCTCAAACCGTGGTTTGGCGCGCTGCTGGCGATCTTCACCATCTTCTACGGGTTCAAACTTGTATTCCAGAGCTCGCTGAGTGCGCTGTCTGTCGTGCCTCATATCTCGAAGCTAGCTCCCTCACCTTGCAGTCTGCCGATCCTGAGCAGGTTGCCCATATGTGGGCCGCAGTCGTCGCCCAAGGCTACCCCTGAATTCGAAGACCTCATAAATGTCCAGTCGTCGTTCGAGGACATCCTGCAGTCAACAGCCCAGGGATCCATTCTGCCTCTGGAAATGAAGCGATCTGAAGCTTCGATACGCGACCTCAAATACGTAGTCACGTATTCTCATTTACCGTCCAAGGGCGAGCTCGTTTACGAGTTTCAAGGTTTTATTGACGTGGCACGCCAAGCGGCTGGGGACCTCACTAAGTTCAATTCCAGGGTTGGCCGCGCAGTCGATCACATTATCAGCACGAACAAGCACACGCTTCAGGTCATCGACGGCTTTGTCAGCTTCGAAGCGTCCCAGGGCGTGCTCAGCAAATGGTTGTGTGGATCGTCCGGTCTGACGCAGGATCATCTCCTGCGTCAGTATCTCTTGCATACAAGTCAGGTGGAGGAACAGATCCAGCGGCTCATCATTGAAGCGCAGGTACTCCTCAAGATCCTGGAAGACCTGGATGGCAGACTGGACGTCATCCACAGCATCGTGACCCGAGATGGCGTACACGTCAAGGACTCACGGGACGAGCTGTTTGCCCAGCTGTGGACCAAGCTGGGAGGCAACAGGAACAGCGTCCAGAAGCTCAACGAGCAGCTGAGCTTGCTGAAATCGGTCAACACGTACCGCAAGGCGGCATGGTCGCACGTCACGGCCACTTTGTTAAAGCTGCAGGCAATCTCTGCAGGATTAGAGGATCTGCGAGAGCGTGTTGCGTTACCGGAGACTGTGGGAGTGGAGACCGTGCCACTACAGCAGCATATCGAAACGATCCAGCTTGGTGTTGAGCGACTCGAGAGGGTTCGGGAGAGCTCGAGAGGCTTGGAGATGGAAGGGCAGCGCAGAATGCTAGAGAATGGCGGAGTGCTTGGGAAAGATCGACAGGTCGAAGGGTAAAATGAGGCAGTGTTTGTTTGGCTATTCGATCTTCTTTTGATGTCGAAGATCAGGTTCCGTTTTGACGAAATTACTGGATAAACTTGAAAGATACCCATGGTAATCAAATGAGAAAACGCTCGGCACGACAATTCACGAACGGACAAGTACATGCATGGACTGTTTATTGCTACATCTTGAGAATCATCAGGATCAACTTTCATCTCTCTCTCTCTCTCCGATGTAGCCTTCGTGATCGAAGCCATGATCCGCTTTGCTTTCCTCGGATGTAGTCGTGTTTCTTTATCTGGAGATTTTCAATGTATACAGACTCCTGAAAGCAAGAAGGGAGAGCTCTATGCCTATGGCACCATGCATCCCGTGCTTTACTGTGGAGTTTCACTTAATTGTTTTCCCCTACTGTGGCATTCTTCTCAGCAATCGTGTCGTTCTATGTTCTTCACATAATGAATAATCAAGGCCATGTCTGCTTCCACAGTTCAATAAAGAAGGTATTATCACCGTCACCATCCTCATCAGCGATGGAGAGCTAAAGAGGAATGCGAAAGCTCTTCTGGAACCGGGACTTAATGGTAGTTGAAGCATGTTTCGGTTCACCAAGTGCACATAAGTGAATTAAAGGCTTTTGTAACGTCACTGTTTCCATAGATGTTTTGATAAGGCCCGCCTGCATTTAGCTTTTGTTAGCGTGTTGCACTTGTGACTTGACTTTTGCTGTAAGCATATTGTAAAAACACACCTGAGCAGTCCGATACGTCCTGGTAGAGCCTGCAGTGGTCTCCTATAGTGATACCCTTAATGGACCACTGAAAAGCTAGTAGCACATTGGCCTCCATAATGGCCTGACAAAGGCTGTTTCCTGTGCAAAGGCCCACGCAGGTACCTCGCCCGCTATACTTTTTAATACAATTTCTTCAGTAATGATAAGCCATCGATGACGATGGATCATTGCGAATATTCTGTGCGATCTGATCCGTTGCAACGGGACGGCAGCAAAAGTAACTCACTCTTTCATGTCGCAAAACTGGTAGCAATGGGTGTCAGTCGGTCTATTGACTCCAGGAAAAGCTGGAGCAGCTGCGACGACTGAAATAAGGGCGAAGACCAAGATAAAAATCTTGATTGTGAGCTGCTTCTTATGGATCATGGATGGTACGTTCATTGTCATTATGTAGACTTCTTCGCGGAAATGTTAAGCGGATGGGCCGAAGTGGAGCTTGGGAGACTGCTTGTAGTTCGCCTCGCGCAAATCAACATGCCAATGTGGTTCTTAAAGTCGATGGTGCACAAAGAAAGTGAAGACCGAAAAGTTCAAGCAATAGGTTACAAGCGTCATCTTCGGCATCAAAGCCGGCACCGTGAAGGTTGTTGGGACCGATTGAAAGCGATATAGGCAATTACGAAAAGTAAGGAAAATAGCAGCTAGCCAATGCTCGTCAAGGGAGATGATTGTGAGGAGTTACCCGGCCAAAGCAGGCAAGGAACTCGAACGGACAAGATACGATGCGTCAGCACCTCTTATGGCCGGTTCGACAGCAGCTTTGCAAGAACAGCGCAGACGAAACCAGTGTTGAGCTGATTGAACGCTGGGGAAAAAATCGTCAACACCCAACGACTGCTCCTTCCCCTTGAGCAATCTTGGCTTGTACGTCACGTGCATGTCGACATAGTTTGGGAAGGAGCGCTCGTCAGAGACTTTCCCGGCTCGCCATAGCGAGGGTTGGATTTCGTGTTCGTGTTGATCATGATGACGACGACGACGACGACGACGACGATTGTGATGAAGGTTGCTTTCGTTTGGGACTGGTGTGCGCCGGTGGAAAAAGAATTGTATCAGACTCACGTAGCACTCCCAATGCTTACCGGTGGAAAGGAAGTTGCTTGGCTCACCGATGGAATGGCGAATTGCCTTTCAAGGAGAAGCCGCAGCTGCGAAAGCAACATTGAGTGATTCGTGAAGATGGAGTCAACACGGATCGTGGTGATACAACGCCTCGCACATGCGCAGTCCAGTTCAGACAACGTAATGATCTCGGATTCGTGAATAGCGTACGGAGATTGGGCATGGCGCTTGGGGATAGCGACAAGGAAGCAGAATTGCTGAAGTCGGCGACGGAAAACGGGAAAGCGCGGAAACATTAAAAAACGGAGATTACAAAAAAAAAAATGCGTAGACATGGCACCCACCTCACGTTAGAGAATATGGTTGCACGTCAGTGGATGACTCGCAGCCGCACAGAACGGAAGGGGAATTAAGTCGATCAGCGCGCCTGGGATGAGGTTTAAATTTGACAGCTATAGCATCAATGCGATATAGCGATATACAAAGAGCTTTTGCATGACGTGACGGAACGCGTTCACGCTTTTTCCATGACTCGACCGTTTGCTCTTCACCGACTTTAGGCGCAATTTGGCATTCAAAGTCGGGCTAAGAGGAACAGCAACCACATCTTGGTTGCCACGGGAGGTGGCGGGCGAAACCGAAACGCAATTCTTCGCAGTAGAATGAAGGCAGCTTCGCGCATCAAAATAAACAGTGTTCTCAGAGCCACATGTTAAGAAAAGCCGGAGGGCTACGCGACAGTGCTTGCAATTGCAGACAGATCGGGCCACACGCGATCGAAGCACAGGACAGGACAGTGGGCATCCCGGCATGAAAGGTCAGCTACAAGAAGGAAAGAACGGACAGGTACGGAGAGAGAAGACACAAGAGAGATCGATCCAAGCTTTACTTTTGCACGCGCTGCTACGACTGTGCACTGCAGGGGGCTCCCACGACGCATAACGCCAGCATAAGGGCGCGCGGTGCGGTCCAAAATTAGGTGCTAAGGCAGCAGCGTGAAGGAATCAATCACGAGAGGGAGCCGGGCAAATGAGACGACTGTGCATGCAAGCATTCGAACGTGCATGACTTTTGTTCAGGGAGTAATGCAGAGCGCACCGGTCCAGGGCAGGGCCAGGCGACTGACGGAGAAGGCTGTGTAATGAGCGGTGGGTATGAGCGGCAACATGAGCAAGTGACGTGTATGAAAAGGTGGGAGATGCCGTTGGTGTGGTGGGCATAGCTAATGTTGACTGCGAGTCGATCACGGCTTGCTGACAGCAGTAGGCCTGCGGCGGGCAAACGCTGGGTGCCCAAGGCTGAAAACGGACGTCTCGAACGGCGTGCGTAGTCGAGCTGGGGACGGGGCGAAAGGGGAGCCGCTGTAGAAGCCGACGGCGAAGACGAAGCCGCAGACGAAGCCGCGGACGAAGACGAAGCGAGCTCGGCTGCGGCCGGCCAGCAGCGACACGGCAAGAGCGAAAGGGAAGAGTCCCAGAGTCGTGGATGAAACCGCGGTTGCTCGTGGGTGTCGTCGCGTCGAAGAGGGTTGGTGCAGGCTCCGGGCGCGGGCAGGAGCAAGTCAGGTTTCATCGCCCAGCACCGCGCAGAGGGAAAGCGCGCGTAAGGACCTCTGGTCTTCGGTCGCAGGCAGGAACGGTTACCCCCAAGGCAAGGCGCGGACGGGACTCTGGCCTCTGCACTGCGCTTGCTCGTCTGGGTGCTCTGGGCTGGCGGGCTCGGAGTACCGCCCAAGCCGTTGCACTTCCAGAGTGGGAGCCGGCTGCGAGAACGAACCTGAACGCGGGAGATGCGTCCGGGCAGAGCAGGCGTGCGCGCAAACGCGGTGCTGGAGACAAGCATGACAACGCAGCCGGGCGATCAATGGGGAGGGCGTGGGCGTCGCCGGCGCCGCTCACCTCGGACGCGGCGCGTTGTGTTCTGCCGCCGCTGCTGCTGCCGCCGCCGCTGATGCTGCTGTGCACCAGCTCCCGGCGACGCGCACAACACCGCAGCGTGGTGGTCGGCCAGGGCCCCGGCGCCACCAGCTTTAGCTCGGCCAGTGCGTTCGACCCTCCGCCAGCGCCTGTGCTGCCTGGCCCGGAAAGGACTAGCGCGGCCTTTCCGGGAGATTAGAGAGGCCAAACCGATCTTTCCCAAGCTCAGCTCCAGCGCCATCACCAGTCCCGCGTCGGCTGCACCTTATTCTGACCCAAACTCGCCGTTCTCCATCCATCCTTTGTTTCTCTGCGACCACACCGTGCCTTCGATCCTTTTCTTTCCTCGCCATCGAGGTGCTCTCCTCCCCTCCCCCCCCCCTATTCGCGGTGTCGGGTGACCCTGCGCGGTTACTGCCCATCCCTCCTGTCATTCTCTCTGGGCCACCAGCAACCCGTCCCCTTTCTCAATCTCGCGACGCAGAGCGCCGGCCTGAGGCACGCCTGCTTCTTACCACCCCGTACTGCACCTGCGAGATACGGTCCCTTTCTCGCGCATTCCGATCGCTGAGGTGATCAGCCTGAGACCGAATACACACAGAGACGCCCAACCTCTGCATTTCGGATCACCTGTCTACCCGCACGAAAACAGCCCACTCGTGCCTCGTCTCGTCCCGGTTTCCATACGCGTCCGGCCGTCGGACAATGTCTTCGACTGCCGCCGTGCAGCCCAGCGCTCCAACGATCTCACAACGACCCTACTCAGCGTCGCCGTCCTCTTCGTCTAGGCCGGAGCAATATTACCAACAGCCGGCTGCTGCTGCTGCTGCGGCCGCCGGCTCCTCATCAACAACCCGACGAGCCGCCCGTCCTAGCAATGGCGCCTCTCCGCAGACACCAACGCAGCCTTCACCGGCCGAGTCAAGCTCATCATCCATGACGCCGCGCGCAGCCGCCCTACCCAGCTCGTCGAACAACTCGCCTGTCGTGACAATGGCGTCTGCCAGCGGGCCTCCAATCGCTCCTCCTCCGCGAACATCGTCACACAATCGGAGTAATACTGGCACCCCGGAAGTCGGGCGCTCGGCTGCAAACGCAACGCCCACCGCAAGTAGCGTTGCGAAGGAGTATTCGAGCTCAAACTCGTCCCGCTACCCGCCCACGTCGACGGCTGCTGCGGCTGCGTCCGCGAGATCACGAGGATACCCTTCGCCGAAGGAACCTGTTACCTCTAGCCCGCGTATGGCAACCTATCCTGCACAGTCGCCGAGCCATAGCCGTTCGGCCAACTCTGTTGGCCAGCCGCCAATGGGCTCTGACCTTCCGAGGGAAGACAGCACGATTATCAACCGCCTGATTATTTCGGATCCTCAGGAAGACCTTGCACGAGACATGGAAAGAGTCGCTGAGTCGCGACCTTTGCATTCTGATGGAAACACAACGCCCAGAGCTGTGGCCCATGTGTCGATGCCACCAGGGAGTCTAGAGGACAGCACACGCAGCTCAAGGACGCGGCAAGAAAAGTCGGAAAGGCGCCCAAAGGAGATGCGCTTCGGCGATTATATCCTTGGGCAGACTCTGGGTGAGGGCGAGTTTGGGAAGGTGAAAATGGGCTGGAAACGAGACGGCGGTGTCCAAGTCGCCATCAAGCTGATACGGCGAGACAGTCTGGGCTCAAATCCGAGCCGGCTGCCCAAAATCTACCGCGAAATCGCCATCCTTCGAGAGCTGCAGCACCCGAACATTGTACGATTGCACGAGATGGTCGAGACAGAAAGACACATTGGCATCATCCTCGAGTATGCATCGGGTGGCGAGCTCTTTGACTACATCCTTCAGCATCGTTTCCTCAAAGATAACTCCGCCCGGAGACTCTTTGCCCAGCTTGTCTCCGGTGTGGGCTACCTCCACAAGAAAGGCATCGTTCACCGTGATCTCAAGCTCGAGAATCTTTTACTCGATCGCAATCGCAACATCATCATAACCGATTTTGGCTTCGCCAACACGTTTGACTCCTCTGATGAGTTGACCGAGGAAATTGAGCTTAACTTGGGCAACAAGGACTTCGTGCGGAGGATGGGCCTAGACATTGTCAACGAGGACGGCCACAGAAGAGGCGATCTCATGCAGACAAGTTGCGGCTCGCCCTGTTATGCTGCACCAGAACTTGTCGTCAGCGACTCGCTTTACACGGGCAGAAAAGTAGACGTTTGGAGCTGTGGAGTCATTCTGGCAAGTGCTTATCTTCTTGTTCGCCTTGCCATCTAGCTAACGAACTGTAGTACGCTATGCTGGCAGGATATCTCCCTTTCGATGATGATCCTGCGAATCCCGAAGGGGATAATATTAACCTCCTGTATAAATACATCGTATCCACCCCGCTCACATTCCCAGAATATGTCACACCGCACGCAAGGGACCTTCTTAAGCGCATATTGGTTCCCGATCCACGCAAGCGAGCCGACCTGTTCGAGGTCGCCCGTCACAGCTGGCTGAGCGAGTACGCACATGTAGTAGCGTTCATCACCAGCAGCACCACATCGCCTAGTGATATCTCGAATACAACCGTTCCACCAGGTAAGAGGATTGGACGTGACACTCTCCATGGACCAGCGAACTGACTTCAGTACAGAAGATGCATTTGATCAACCACACCTCGCCCGTAGCGCATCTGTTCGCGAACCAACGAAAGCGCACAACGCGGTCGCGCAGATTGGTGGCCTTCAGAAACAGGCGCCAATGGACAACGACAAGACTAAGACTGCAAGAGATGCCAAACGTCGCACAGTGCAGGTGGAGTACGTCGCTCCAGCGTCTGCTACTGCACGGGGCGATCCGTCAAAGACTCGTGCAAGAGACAATACACAAGGTCCCGTCGAAGTACCTCTTCCTGACGGCTACCCTACTTCTGTGCGGCCTCAGGAACGAGCCACAGCAGCAGCGCCAAGCTCTATGCCTCCACCATCACGTCCTGTTCGTGGCCAAGTGCGAGCTACGTCAGAGCATGTTTCTGGGGCACCATTGCCGCCAGTACCGAATAATCGTCCATCAACACAAGGTTCAATGTCTGGAGCTCGTCTGCCTTCACGTGGCAATTCTTACGGTCAGCCGGCTGTTGCTGTTGCCAAAGATACTGCACAAGGAAGATTCTCGCAGCCTCGAGGACAGCAGTACCCTGTAGGACCAGCTTTGGGTAGCGAAGCTCATGAGCATGATTCGAACAATTCGGATGCCTACTCCAACGACCCGAAGAGGAGTCAGTCTAAAGGTCGTGGTCACAAACGATCAAGCACTTTGGGTGAGCTCTTCGGCAAGCGTGGTTCTATCTTCGGAGCCAAGGAGAAGAAGGAGCCATTCTCACCCAAGGAAAAGCCACCTCGATCACACCCACCGGTCAGCATGAAACAGCCAATTCCTACTGATGTTGAGCCACGACGCTCGACCGAATCGAGACGCACATCGTTCTCTTTCAGCCGCAAGAACACCAATGACGGTGGCAATAGGTCATCCAGACGGTTCTCATTTATCCCTTCTGCCCTGTCAAACAGCTTCAGCAACAACAGAACAAGCGCGCCTATGCCACCTGACACTGCTGATTCGGACAACAGCAGGTACAACAGAATGGACGGCCGACCAAAGATGGCATTTGGACGTGGTGAAAGCCGCTCACCAAGCAGAAGTACTACTGCCAGCACGATACCCGTGCTTGGCGACTCCTCATTTGACGGCAACAGAAGGGCTCGTGACACTCCTGGCCACAGACTAGTGTCGACCTCATACCCGAACGACACCGACACCGACATAGCGCAGCACAATCGTCTACCATCCTCGACTTATCCACCACAGGATGAGAATTTCGATCCCAGCGACATGCACTTCCCCGCTGAACCAAACACTGGCGGTGCATACTATCGTCAGGTCAGCGGGCAGTCCACTGTACCCTCCATGCAGCAGGATGAACATGGACGGTTCAGACCGTTGTACCCCGTCGGCTTTGATCCTGATGACAAAGGGAACATCGCTGGTTCACCATCGAGCTCGAGACGTGAGAAGAATGTGCTTCAAAAGCCTCATCGGCAATTTCCCGATGCGGGGGGTGCGCATGGCGGAAAGGCGAAGAGGGTCATGGACTTCTTCAGAATGAGGGGACGAGCAAGAGCTGAAGCGTAAGTTTTGCACCATGCTCACGGCGTTGTTGCCAGTTTTGGACTGAGGAAGTGGGGGAGGCGGAGAGAGCTTGAATCTATGGCATTCGGCCAGAAATAAAGCATCGTAATGCCCAGTCGACAAGGGAACATCAAGAACTGTCGATTTGTCCGCTGTCGTCAAACGTGCTGCACTGGCTTGCACATATCTCTTCTTGGAAATTTGCATACTAAGGGCGTTTACATTGTTTCAAGGAAAGCGAGAATTACACCGAACAAATTTATTCTTGTCGATACGTGTCCAAGTATGCGTGTCCGTATCGTTGCTGTGCTGTGCTGAGCCGTGCAACACTTAAGACAGACAGGGGTAAGGGCAATCAGATTTCTTGCTGTACGGACTGGGAGGAGACAGGAAGAGAAAGGGGTTTAATTTTCTGTTGTATGTTATTCGATGCGAGAGATACCGAGATCGTTAGTGTTGAGACTTTCGTAATTTGGACGAAGCATTCGCTGTGTTGGCGCCGGAAGGCTGACACAAGCGATAATCTTCCCCTCAAACGCGACTTTGATTTTTGAAAAATTTGCTATCTCATGATTTCTTTTATTTTCTAAAAAAAAAAAAAAAAAAAAAAGAGAGAGAGAGAGAGAGAAAAGGAAGGAAAGCAAAGGAACAAAGACGGGCCAAGGTAACAATCGTCATGCACATGGCCAACATGGTGCACTGCGCAACCGTCGAACGTCCATCAGTGGAGCAACGCCCGTCGAGTTGCCCTCTCATTTGTCCTCTCTCGTGCCGACTACCAACCATTCCCGTGAGTTGACTTACCGTTTTGCCTGTACAAGTAGCCAACATGTGGAGATGGCTCTTCCTTTCGTGGCCTAATATTCCAAGAACTCCACAGGTACCGCTTCCCGTAGCTCAATGCAGCCAAGATCCGCAATGCAGGACAGGTTTTCTTCCCCACACTGCAGCTACACCTTGATCCGCGTGCTGAACGTCATACACCTCTTTCATTCCATTTGACTTTCCAACCTTGCCGAGAGTCACCTAGCATGGTAGCGGTCGAGCCCCGCCTCCTCTCTTGCTGACCCATCTTGCATGCCCGGGAGCAGCCTTGAGCGAATTGCATGCCGAAATCGTGGGAGCTTCGTTCGACTCCGTTGCAGAACATCTGTTCGTCCGCAAAGGCGTGACGGCATTCGAACGGAGCTCTTTACCGACCGGAGGGGGAGAGAGCGCACTCGCTACGGGGAAATTAGAAAAAGAAGAAGGCAAGCCCGTAAAAGTCCACTGCTGCTTCGCCAACGAAGACAAAGCTGAAGACCACGCCACCCTCCTCGTCCCGAGTGCTGTCCTGCAACGTTGCAAGGGCCGCAGCCGATCGCTACCTTAGTCTGGACGTGATTTCTCATTCATCCATAGTTCGTCGAGGGAGCCAATGTTGCATTCAGCCTTGCTCAACGCTCATGCACCATCCCGCTCCTTTCCACGGCGCACAGCGTCATACGATCCCGTACATGGCTGTCCCGCGGGGAAAGGGCCAACATTCGAAGAATGTTCTCCCGCATCTGAGCATGCGTGTGGCGATCTTTCACGGAGGGAGAGGAAGGCGACGGGGCAAGCTACAAAAGGCCCACGTTTCCCTCTCTCCTCACTTCCTCAATTGATCGTGGAGTGCGCTCTCGTGCTGCTTCCCGTCGTCTTCCTCATCACCCAGCAGTATGGCTCCTTCGCTTTTGGCCACGATCAGATTCATCCTTATTTCTAGCTTCCTGGGCTCACGATGGGTTCACGCCCAGTCCGAAAGCCCGACGTCTACCACTGCCTCCGTCCTTACGGCTACCATTGCTGGTGAAATCGTGACGTATTCGCCTCAATTTACCGTGCCGGCGTCCGCGGGCAACGGGGCAACACTGCTTCCGAACATTTTTGATCCGAACGCTACAGACGCGCAGACCGTCTGTCCAGGCTACAGCGCTAGCGACGTGGTCAAAGGGGACTATGGGTTTTCGGCCACGCTCACGCTCGCTGGGAAGGCTTGCAAGTATGTCTTGGAAGGTACAGACAATCTTTCTGGTCGCTCGGCTGACTGATCTCCAAGTGTATATGGAAACGATGTAGAAACGCTAAATTTAACTGTCACGTACCAGAACGCGGACAGGCTCTCTGTCTACATCCGGCCTGTGGAGGCAACTCTAGACTCCACCAACACGTCGTGGTATATTTTGAACGAGACCTTGGTTCCAAGACCTGGGGTAGACAGTGACGCGGAAGCTTCAACCCAGGCTAACGATTTGGTGTTCTCTTGGAGCAACGAGCCGTCGTTCTCGTTTTCCGTAACAAGGAAATCGACCGGCGATGTTCTTTTTGACACCAGCGGGAGCGTGTTGGTTTTCGAGGATCAGTTTGTGGAGTTTGTCACGGCAATGCCCGAGAACTATAACGTATATGGACTGGGGGAACGTATTCACGGGCTTAGACTCGGTAACAACTTCACAGGTTCGTGCGAAGTCGTTTTTGAGAGCCTCAGCTGACAGAAGGGGTTCAGCAACAATTTACGCCGCGGATGCTGGTGATCCTATAGATCAGAACATATACGGATCCCACCCGGTGTACATTGATACACGTTACTTCGAAGTGGGTGAAGACGGGTCGAAAACGCTGGTGACTAGCAACGAGACAAACTCCAACTCGACGTACCAGTCGTACTCTCACGGCGTGTTCCTCCGTAATGCCCATGGCCAAGAGATTCTGATGAGACCACAGAAAATTATCTGGAGGACAATTGGTGGAAGTATTGACCTTTACTTCTACGATGGCCCCACCTCTCAAGATGTCATCAAGCAATACCAAGAAGTCATTGGGTTTCCAGCAATGCAGCAGTACTTCGCTTTTGGCTACCATCAGTGCCGATGGGGTTATCAGAATTGGTCTGTCGTTCAAGATGTGGTCGATAACTTCGCGCGGTTTGGCATCCCACTCGAGAATATCTGGACAGATATCGACTACATGAAGCACTATCGTGACTTTGAGATGGATCCGAACACATTCCCCGTCAGCGAGGGGCAGGCGTTCTTGTCACAATTGCATAAGAATCATCAGCACTACATCCCCATTGTCGACTCAGCAATCTACATCCCGAATCCGGACAACCAAACCGATGCTTACCCAGTATACAACCGGGGAAATGACTCAGGGGTCTTTTTGAAAAACCCAGATGGCAGTCAGTACATTGGCAACGTGTGGCCTGGTTATACGGTCTTCCCGGACTGGCAAGCCGGCGAATCCGTGAACTGGTGGTCCGACGAAATATCTCGGTGGCACAAGGACATTCCGTTCGACGGAATCTGGATCGACATGTCTGAGGTATCTTCGTTCTGTGTCGGCTCGTGCGGCACTGGCAATCTGTCTCTCAACCCTGTGCATCCGCCATTCAAGCTGAATGGCGAGAAAGGAGATTTGGTTCTGGATTATCCAGAAGGTTTTAACATTACAAACGCAACAGAGGCCTCCTCCGTTGCTTCTGTTTCCTCTACTCAGTATGCAGGCACGGCTACAACATCAACCGCCACGGGTACGGCTACAAGCACTTCCACGTCAACTACTTCCTACCTGCGTACAACGCCTACTCCTGGATCTCGCAATGTAAATTATCCTCCTTACGTCATCAACAACGTGCAGGGTGACTTGGCAGTGCATGCAGTTTCTCCGAATGCAACACACCACAACGGTGTTCAAGAGTATGATGTGCACAACTTGTTCGGTCATCAAATTCTCAACGCCACTTACCAAGCTCTGTTAGCCGTTTTTCCGGGCAAGCGACCTTTTATTATCGGCCGGTCCACCTTTGCCGGAAGCGGCAAGTGGGCAGGACATTGGGGAGGAGACAATTACAGCCAGTGGGCATACATGTTCTTCGCTATTCCGCAAGCATTGAACTTTGCTATCTTCGGTTTCCCGATGTTCGGTGTCGACACGTGTGGGTTTAATGGTAATACGGACGAGGAACTTTGTAATAGATGGATGCAACTCAGCGCCTTCTTCCCCTTTTATCGTAACCACAACGTCCTCGCTGCCATCAGCCAAGAACCCTACGGTGAGTTTATCAAAATTTTCTCTTGTTCTCCAGAAAAAAAAATCTTCAACGCTGACATCATTCGCAGTCTGGGCGTCCGTCATTGAGGCTTCGAAAACCGCCATGGCTATCCGTTATTCACTCTTGCCGTATATGTACACATTATTCCATGCTGCCCATACAACTGGGAGTACAGTCATGCGTGCATTAGCTTGGGAGTTCCCCAACGAGCCAAGTTTGGCGAGCGCGGACCGCCAATTCCTTCTTGGACCGTCACTGATGATCACGCCAGTTTTGGATCAGGGCGCGACGACTGTGAATGGCGTTTTTCCTGGTGTAAAGGAAGGTACGGTTTGGTACGATTGGTACACCAGATCAGCTATGAACGTGTCTGCTGGACAAAATGTCACCATCGACGCTCCTTTGGGACATATCCCCGTCTTCGTCCGCGGCGGCTCCGTGCTCCCTCTTCAAGAGCCTGCTCTGACGACGTACGAAGTCCGAAACAGCCCTTGGAGTCTTCTTGTCGCCCTTGACGCCCAGGGCACAGCTGCAGGGTCACTTTATGTGGACGATGGGGAAAGCCTTGTTCAAAATGCCACTCTGAACGTTGCTTTCTCTGCATCAAATGGCAGCTTGCATGCCGCAGCTATCGGGACCTACAATGCTTCTCAACCATTAGCCAACGTGACGGTGTTGGGTGTAACATCAACGCCTCAGAATCTGACGTTGAATGGCCAGATGCTGAGCAACGGGTGGACATACAACTCCACTAACAAGGCATTGACCATAACGGGACTGAGTAACAGCACAAGTCAGGGCGCCTGGGCACAAGATTGGACACTGAAATGGAGCTAGCTCGGATGTCTTGACGAAGAGATATGATGACAGCCATTCTGCCTGTATATACGCACTGATCATATCTTTCCAGACTTTCCAACTCCGTTTACTTTACGCTTCGCCCAAAACTGGGCAATATCCTTTCTTTTTATTTTTCTTTCTTTTTTTTTTAATATCCATTCCGATTTCAACACAGATGAATTCTGTCACAGATATGATTCCGCAGAACATGCTGCTACCTGTCCAAACCCAGCTTTCAGGTCCCGACAGTGAAGTCGTAATTACGGGGCGGTATCCAGTCTCCTTACTCATCTCCGTGGCTTGAGTCATGGCAAAACGCGCTGCGTAGTCTCAATCGTGCTTGTAGTGGGTGCTACCACCATCTTCGTAGCCCTAGTCCCTATCAAACGCTTAGCCTTTACTTTCAAGGGAAAATTCCCTAGGGAGAAAGGATGAGATATTCGTCTGACCGCACTCACATCAACGCGATCGTCGAACCCTGAGAAACTGGGGCCATTGTCCCAATCCAAATAACACAAACTGTCCAAATCGTCGTCAACATCGTCGTCGTACCAGTCTTCCCACCCGTCGTCATCTTCCCACTCATCGTCGACTACAAACCTTCTCCCACGCAACAGCCTCGAATCTCTTCCCGAGCCCGTACCGTAAAATGATGAAGTGAAAGGGTACCCCCGCCACTGGCAGAACAAGCCGTAGCGGTCGTCAAAGTAGTCATCGCAAGCGTCGTCGCTGTAGCGACGATACGGAGACGAGTAGAGAAGCCGCGAGCGAGTTCGCCCGTAGACAGGCATACGCACGCGCCTGCTACCGTAGCGAGACGAACGCCGCCCAGACCCGCAGCCGGACCCGAAAGACGAGTAGCTGCTGCCGCCGAAACCGTCGACGAAGCCTCGTCGTCGGCCCCAGCTGCCTCTTAGCCCTCCTCCTCCGTATCGGCCATACGATGGGTCGACCCAACCACGATATCCTCCGCCTCTTTCGGAACTGTACGAGACGCCGCACCCTGCGGAGACGGAGCGCCTTGGGCCACCGTATCCCATGTACCCAAAAGCGCCGCCGCTGGCGACTGGAAGGTAGTATCGTCTGTCTGCTATATCGCCGTAATAAGACGAGAGTCCACTGTAGCCAAGCCTAGAGCCACCCAGGACGTCCCCCGGCTTCCTGGAGACGACTCTACCGTACGCGGACGGCATCCTCTCGCTTTTGGAAAGCGGCTTGTCGAGCAAAGATACGCGGGAGAACCGAAAAAAAGCAGCTCCGTTCGAGTGGCGGATATCAAGGCGTAGAATGGAGGTGTCGAGCAGTATATATATATATGTGTGTGTGTGTGTGTGGAAAATAAGGCTGGAGACTTTCGTGGAACTGAGCAAGAGTTCAGATGGCGGAAGCGCGATATGTAAATCCCGTGAGGAAGTAACGGCGGATGACGCGCACAGATATAGGAGAGAGAACGAATGGAAAGGCAGACATCTGTGTCACGAGCGAAGGCCGTGCAGGGAGATTGAATCAAGAGCCTCGACGCCGACCCTAGAACGTACCTGGACTGGAGTAATAGGGCGAAAGCGAGACGTTCGACAACTTGACCAGCAAAGTAGCGATCTCGTTGGACCGATCTGTCTGGTGGGACGGGTGTTAGCAAACAAAATCGCAAGGGACAAAGTCCACGCACGGGGCCGCGAAGCGATCGCTCCTCGCGCGGGTAAGCTATGGCCTGGAGGTAGCAAACTTGGATATGAGTGTCCACAACTCTTGTGGTACCTTGAGGTTCCAGTTTTGTTCCAAGCCGTTGGGGTCATGGGATCGCCATCGTCTTTGTCGAACCAGGACGCTAACAAAGGAAATGATTCGTCTGACTCGATGCTGTGTTCTTCTCCACACTAAAGTCGTAAAAGATTCGCTGTGATTTGTGCATACATCTATCATTGCCCTTTTTCCAACGCCAAGCTCGTCCCAAACCTTCACGGAGCAGCATACAGTACATAGATTATGATTTCTCCATCAGAACACGCTGATGTAGTTGTTTATCCGGTCCTTCTGATTCTGCGCAATGCATTCGGCGATCCAAGTGATGTTCCGTATTTCCTGCCAGGTATTATTAGACGAAGATTCACGTGAGGTTCATCAGAGAGGAATCACATACCTGCTCCCTTAGCTTAACCCAAGCATACACAATGGCATGTGTGAACTGTCTCGTGAACGCCATTTTCGCCATCTCCATCTCTTTTTGGTAGAAGAGATCCTCCAGACTCTTGTTCTCCTGCGCCGTGCCACCAGCCATGTTTCCCACAGGCCCACCACCAGAGCTTTGCGATAGGCCGGTCTGGTCGAAGAATGTTTTGTAGTCCTGAACAAGATCGACCGCTATCCGGACCCCCTCGATATCGTCTGCCCTCGACAACATAAGGGTACCTTCCGGATGCAGCTTTCCGATGTTGGGGTACAGCTTCCTGCGATCTTGCTTGGACAGTTCCGTGCCAAAGGAGTTGAGAGTTATGTTGATGCTCCTTCTGTCCGCCTCAAAATCCAGCACCTCACTCATAATCTCCGCAGTCGGTGTACCCGCTAGCTCTGGATCCGTGTTCACATATGCGTAGAAGTCTTCGAGGTAGTTTTTGTACAGTGTGTTGCGAATGATCTCGATGTTGAGCTCGTCCAGGTCCTGGTGGCTCAGGCTACCTTTGAAATAAGGTGCCAAAGGCGTCTCGATAAGGACCGAGTTGTAGAGCTCCTCGATGTTGGTGGCCACGCACAGCGCCGGCATCGTCTCGAACCAGCCAAGAGGATGGCATCGCTCCAACAGCTCGCGCGTGTCTCGCTCGTGCAGGGTGCCTGTGATGAGAAGAGCCACGTTGTCGATCATGTAGCCATATGTAAGGTACTCCATAAACTTCGACAGCGAGCCCGTGGCATTGGCCTGGATGTAGCGGAATTCAGCCACTAGCTTCTCCGTCGTCTTGTCTGCTAGAGCAGAGGTCGAAGGGTTAGGAGGCAAGGAGCTTAGAAAGTCGCCATAGGCTGGACCTAGTTGTAGCTTCACATCTACCATGGAGGATCAGTACGCGCTGCTGCTATTCGTGAATCTGGCATGGGGTAACAAGACGCACCATCGATGGTCTCGCATTGGGTAAGGTTGTTATAGTTTTGGCTGGTAAGGAGGGCGTTCCTGTATCCTCGGACGATGCCCTCCAGGTAGCCGAACTTGACATTGTAGAACATGCCCTCCATGATGGGCAACAGCAGGTTTGGCGGCAACGAATGCGACTTCTCTGGGCTCTCTTGAGGCGGCAGCTTTGGGATGCTTGATGGCAAACACGAGGAGCGGAGCTTGGCCCGTTAAGAGGCCCGAGCGTTGTACATATCAGAACTGGTCCGTCGGGAATTCGCCGAAGCAGGACAACAGGCTCATGTGGTAATGAACTCCCCATAACTTCTGCATTGTAACTTGATGATGCAAATTTAGATTTTAAACTGGTATGAATTCTACTTTTTGACAATCTATGTTTATATCAAATCGAAACGCCGTGCACGCAACGCTCTACAAATTGCGCATCGTAATCGTCATCGTCATCAAAATCATCAGCAGCAGCAATTTGAAATGCGATCGCTAGTACACCTCAGAAAAACTCTTCCTGTCCTTCATCTTCGCCTCTTCGACTGCGTCTCCTTCACGAAGCGGACCATCTTCTCCATCTTCGCCGTCCACATCGCCGAGAGCATCTGCCCTTTTCCCTGCATTCATTCCACTTTCCTCCATCATCTCCACCTCGCTCTTCGTGTTTCGCCTCCGTGCGGTATGGGCATTTGAGCTGCCGCTCCTCTTGGTGGCTCCTCTGCTTCCGCTTCTCCCGTTTCTTGTGACACTCCCACTACGTCCGTTCCTTAGAGGACTTCCGTTTTTCTCCTGCGACGAGACTGGGCCCTCGTTGATTTGCGACAGTGTGCCACGACTTAGCTCCGAACGGATCGGAAGTCCTGAATTGGACATACGCTTAGCAAGCTGATGCACATTGGTGTCGAACCAGTCACTATCATCTGCTTCATCGGAAATGTCGTTTGGAGAGCCGATTCCCGACTGAGATCCTCCTCCGTCACGTCCCATCCTGCTGATATGGGACATAGGCCCTCGGCTTTTGTGATGGCGGAGAGGCAGTTGCAATCCTGAAGAGGACTTTCGCGGAGACGCCATGGGCGAAGAGTCGGCGTCAGCATCGGCGTCGCTACCATCTACATCGTCATTGTTAGTGTCTTGTCTGGGGGGTTTCTCAGTGCTGTGGTGATGGGCGTGATGATGGTGATGCGTGGTCGTACTCGTAGCCTCCTGGGATCCATTTTGCGTAGGGTTTGTTTTCGTTTTTAAGCTGCTCTTCCTTGCCAGTCCAGATTCTTGCCCTGTAGTCGAATGGTCCTCCTTTTCAGTAGTGGGCCCTGTCCCCTTCGCGCCGCCGATAAAGTCCTGCGTGTTTTGTCGTCTCGGTCGCCTAGGGTAATCCATTTGCGCATGATTACATCCCATCGCACAGCCTCCCCACATCCTCGTTGGTTTTCTCTCCGCGTCCGCCTTTGCTAGACTTGAACTCGAGTTGTTCGCCGCTGTTCTTCTCTTCAGATCACTCCACGTGCGCATCTCGTTCTGCAAAATGTACTTTCCGTTTTCCATGTTCTGCTTCATAATGATGAACTCGCAATGGTTGATGTTACGCAGATCCTCAAAATATTCTACACTCCAATGATACCACTTCATGAGAAACACACGAGTCATCAGCCCATGAGTTACAAGAATACATACAGATGGAAAGTCAGGCTCTCCAATCTGTCGCCAGAGAGACTCATTGAAGCCGGAGACACGGTCGTATGCATCAGCAGCGCTCTCTCCGTTGGGTATGCGGTAAAAGAAGTGTCCGTAGTCTGCTCGTTCTTGCCACATTCTTTCCATCTCCGCACTGCACGGCTGAAAGTTGCCAAAGTCCTGTTCACGTAGTCGAGGCTCCTCGTAAACCTTGATTTTGTCCCTAGGGAACGGGCTAGGCCCTAGCTCATCGTCGTTGCTTGTCAAAGTGCGGAGGATGCCCTCGGTTGTCTCTCTAGTGCGACGATACGGCGACGTGAAGAATTGAATGGTATCATCAGGTTTAAGCAAAGCTCGCAACCTGCGTCCGGCGTCTTCAGCTTGCAAATGGCCCTCGGGCGTGAGCTTAACTCGGTGGTCGGGTATATATTGGTGGATATCACGGTTTTTGTTGCCTTCAGACTGGGCGTGTCGAATCAGGATTATCATCTGGTTACCCGGTGTTAGCGGGGCGATGGTCCGGAGATACGCCTGTTGGCTTTGGCTTGTACTGTGACTAGTACTACCGGCCAGTAGCTGCTACATACTCTTGGTTTCCCCATTCTGCTGGTGTTCGTATGTGTCGTACGGTCTGGGGTGGACGGAGGAGTAAAGTTGTATTTCTTGGGCTTTTGTATGTCGTCTGAGGTATCGGAGTGGGCGCTGCTGGTTCCTGGCGTGGCCTGACAAATGTGTGCGGCGACAGCCTTGAGACGCCGCTCACTCTGGACCCTGCGGCTCAGCCCTACAGAGTCCGCCATCATTGATGTCTTTTCCTTATCACGTTGGTGGTAATCACGATCCTTCCTCGACGTCCACGGCTCGTCAACAAGCGCTCAGTCTCGCCCACTGCTCCCGGGATATCTCATTTGAAGTTGCGACTCGCCCCTTAGCGAGGCTTCAAAACGCCCGCAAAGCCCTTGCGTAGCTCTCAAGCGCAAACGCCTGTTTCAACTGGCACACCGAAACTCACCTTTCGGCTTTCAGCGTCTCACCTCGTGCTAAACGCGACCACCATGTCTGAACCGATTCCCGAGTCAATACCAACATCTGCAGACCCAAAGTCCCGGCGTCCAATCAAGAAGCGGGCTCTTTCACCCATTTCTAAACAAGCCGCCAACGTAGAAGCGCTCTTTGCGAAACCTGACAGCCAGAACCTGGATTTCACACGACCTGCACCCAAGACCCTACCCCCACCACCAGAGATCGTCACGAATGTGCAGGGGTCGAGTGCGGGTGCAGGCAGCGGTGAATTCCATGTATACAAAGCGAGTCGACGGAGGGAGTATGAGCGTGTGAAGGCGATGGAGGAAGAGGCGAGAAAGGAAAAAGAAGACGCAGAGTATGAGGCCAAGATCGCGGAGATGAAGAGAAAGGATCAGGAAAAGTTGAGTAAGAATCAGAAGAGGAGAGCAAAGCAGAAGGAGAGGCAAGCTAAGAAGGGCAAAACTTCGGACGAAGCAGCTAATGGGAATGGCAAAGTGCAGAAGTTGGGCCTGAATAAAGTCAACAATGGGGAAGCGAAGGCGTCCAAGACTGAGGAAGCGGATGGTGAGGAAGTCAAGGCCGTGGTTGCGGATGAAGAGGTTGGCATCACGATTCAGGAAGACGATTGACGACAGCTGAACTATGCGTCGACGAAGAAAGCTAAATTGAGGAGAGCCCGCCAGGAACCAGTCAACATCGAGCCGGCAGGATCAAGACGCATAATTAGTACCATGCGTTGTACTTCGAACGTGAAGCCGTCAATTCTTGTCGCCAGCCCCAAAAGCATAGGGCCTGCGCGGAGATGCTAAATAGGATCAGTCTGTTCGCTGAGACAAATATAGCGCACAAACTCAGGAGCTGAAGTGTCAAAAATACTCACACCGTGGAGTGTAGATGCTCCTGTTGTTTGCTTAGGTTGGTTCTTTGGTACTCGGTCATCAAAATCTCGGACAAGTAGTATTCGTTCGTCTAGCTGCGACAACTAACCTTCGACCTCTCATTTTGATGTCAACTGTAGGGATGAAATTTCCCTGCATGTCCGCCACACATATCAATAAGTTTTAATGCCTTGATCTAAACGATAGAGTTTGGTAGTTCGATTTAGAAGAGGTTGTTGGCCACAAATATGGCATTTAGACCGGAATACTTGAAGCGAGAGTTGCTATGCATTCACGAAATGACCACCTTGAGTCTTTAATGTCTGCATGTTGAGTACGAGTCGGAATTTTTGGTTTTAATACGGAGTACTCTCCAAGTTTACTGAAAAGGTATAAGACGCCTCTTCGCAGCTGTATTTTTCCATGAAATATATAATCATTTCTTCTGTCTCTTTTTTGACGTATTATCTGCATCCTTGAATGTCCATCCGCTCACAACTATTTCAGCGTCGTCTTTATTCCATTCCACAGCGCAATATTGATTGATTTCATCTCGACCACGCATCCACTCCGCAGCAAGTGCACCAGTTCGAAACCTCAAGGGCTGTATTCCCGCCCTGACTTTAAGACTCATTCCATGATCTGCACCTTTGACCTCCATCAGCCAGCTCGCTGCTTTCATCTCTTGCCTTACGCGGTTCAGTTGTTTGAGGTCACACATGTCATCCTCGCTGCCAATTATGAAGAGGACGTCAACATTCGACGGCAGATCTACTAAAATCTGCTTTCTTGGATCTCCTTCAACTTTCTTCTTTTTTGAACCCATCCCGGCGCTTAGAGGATAGCTTACAAGCACCAAGACTTCCGGTCGTTGGTCAACCTCGCATTCCGTAGCGGCAATTACGGCAGCCCGAGATCCCATACTACGTCCGCCGAAGCCGACAGCTCTCCCTTGGTCGTTCATAACAGCATGAAATAACTTCGTTCTGTGCGACAAATTCATCGAGCCTTGAAAGCAGACAACATCATCCGCTGCAACGCTTGCAAAGCCTGATACAAAATCTTTGGTGGCCGGATTCTCGATGCCTCCTCCAGCTCCATGAGTGAAGATCAGGGAAACCCTTCCATCTGTACTATTGGTCCCAGAATGTCTTTCGCAGATGATGTCTTTTTCGTTGAACGGGATCTTCAGTTGATGGACACCTCTGTTCGTGCTGTCTTCATCAGTGGAGCGCAGGTTTCCAGTTTGATCCTTCAAGCCGCCGACTACGTTCTTGGCCTCGTCACCAGTTTGCTTTGGAGGCTGAGCCTGTCCACGTTTTCTTTTCATCATTGGTGTACTTCAACGTCGCCAAATTTGGGAACATCGTCAAGCAAGTGGAGAGGAATCAGTCCCCAGTCAGCCTGAAGACGAAGGTGGGGGTCCTCGAGGCTGAGCTAGCCGTTTAAAGTAATTTAAACGAACATTCGCTTTGCAGGGTCTCGATTCTCTTCCAACAATTTTTTGGGGCCTTGGACAAAGGCTTCTGATATTATTTTGCACACTTCATGGACGCTCGTAAACACCTTCGTGGCCTTGGCTGGAAAGGTGAAGGCCATGCAATTGGCAAAAACAGCAATGGGCTAACGAAACCGCTGCTTATTACCCACAAATACAATAACCATGGCTTAGGCGCGAAATCACAAAAAGAGAAACAGGCAGATCAGTGGTGGCTCAATGCGTTTGACAATGCGCTCAAAGACATTGGAACGGGGAGGGAGAGCTCACTCTACAAGATCAAGGAGAACAGTGGCAGCAATGGACTCTACAGATTCTTTGTGAGAGGGCCGGGCTTGGAAGGAACGTTTGACAATAGCGGTGGCGATAGCACCGGTACAAGCACGCCAACGGAAGGACAAACACTTGAGAACTCAACCGTTACCATGTCGGTCGCGGATCTCCAGAATTCACATAAGATGAGTGGATCCGACAAGAAGACCTTGAAGAAGGAGAGGAAGGAGAAAAAAGAAAAGAAAGGCAAGAAGCGAAAGCGAGATACGGAAGATCCAGTAGACAGCCATCAGGAAGAACCGGAATCGGGAAGACCAAATGCTGTTCTCGCAGATGACGATGACGAGCCCGCAAAGGATGGCACGGCGAAGAAGAGGAAAAAGAAGCATAGGAAGCAGGACAGGCAGGAAAACGAAGGAGACGAACGTCCTTTAGAAGCAGTGAGGAATCAAGATAGGTCGACGGAAGGCGCTCCGGAAAGCGAATCCATAGACTCGAAAAGAGCAGAGAAACGTCGAGCAAAAGAGGAGAAAAGGGCTCGGAAGGAGGAAAGACGACGAAGGAAAGAGCAGGCGTCTTCGCAAGCTGGCTAAAAGAGACAGTGGAAAAAGCAAACAAACAGTAATCAAGTCACCCAAGTGAAAAGGCATGACAGTGGATGAGATCAACAACCATGTTTGATCATTGCTTCCACAATATTTGACCGGTAGGCTGGGGCTAATCGGCAGTGCTCAGTGTAAAAGCGTACATGACTTCATCTCAGCGCCCAGCCGGAGCGTCGCATGGCATGCCTCGTTCCAAAAAAGATAGCATAGCGATATTATGAAGTACGAAGGGGCAAGCGGTATCACTCCTTAAAATCCTAGAGAGCTTACAGGAGCAGAGTCAGATTGTCACTCCTGCGACTCACCCGCAACAATGTATCTCACAGCAAATATGACCTCATGCTCCGTAAAATTTCCCGCACGGCTACTCCTGATGTGCCTGAGCACGCTGCCTTTACCTGCAGCAGTGAGCCATTCTCCTTCCTCAGCAAAGCTGATTACACAGTCCTTACTAAGTTCTGGCATGCGCCAGGTCGCTCGAGTTTCCTCCAATGGATCGCCGAATTTCGACTGAGGTTGTGGGCCTGTGTTGAGTGACAATGGCAAAGACAATGCTGATCTAAGCGAAAAGCTTGCGTCAGGAAGTCGCGTTTGATTTGTGGCCGGCTGTGGTGCAAGCCCAGCCGGTAGAGCTGTGCTGAGTGAAGTAGATGAAGCCGCAAGTGATTGGACCTTTGTAGCAGCATTCCAGGTATTAACATTTCTCAATCCAAATACAACTGATTCGTCGAGCGGCTGATGATTCACAGACGGGCTTAAGCCCAGCCTGCACCTCTTTTGGAGGCTGTATGGTGAACTGAGGACCTTATCTATGATCGGCGCGTCCTTTCCGCCAATAAAAACACGTTTTATTGTCCACATATCTTTTTCCTGCGCCACTAGCTCTCCATCTGCAGTCTGAATCTCAGAGGTCGGTGCTTGCTGCTCTGCTGATGTCGTATTTGCTCTCTTCCTGAATACTCCGCGCTTAGTCATTCCCATATACCCGGATACGCTCTTGCTGCCGGCGACTGCACCTGGACGAGCATTCCAGGTCCCATTGTGAGATGGAGACTCGCTTTCATCGACCGAAATAGTATCAACAAGGCGGCGCTTCGTCATAGAGGTTGAAAATGGAATACGTGCAGAGTGTGAACTACCGGTTTGATTACCTCTCTGTTTGCGAGCTTCTTCAGCTTTGGTAGGTGTAATCGCAATGACGTCGTTGAAATCAAGCTGAGGGACAGCAGGGAAATCTGGTAAGATACGACGGCGTTTTGACTGCGTTGAAGTGCTATGTTCTGGGGCCGATGTGAGTGTTCTTCGCCGCGACAGATCTCTGTATGTAGCTGGGGTTGCAACTTTGCGTTTTTGTCGTGTCGTAGCAATGCTTTCGGTCCCGAGTTTCCAAGTTCTTGTTATTCTTTCGTTGTTGGGCGTAGATTTCATAGTATTTCCGGCAGATAAGTCATGACTCTGTTGCTTTAGAAGTTGGTCCCTCTGTCTAGAATTCTGTCAGTACTATGATGATAACATTAAGGGGAGGTGTAGCGCACTGGACAGTCTGCCATACTTCAGGCATGCGTTTAAAATTCTTTGAATCCCAAAGCGGCTCTGGGCCAGACAAATATCGATGGGGGCCTTGACCTTTCCCACCTGAGCCTGCAGTGATGATCACGTCTATGACACCGAACTTATGACCTCCTGGCTTCTGCATATGCCTAACAGACTCGGGCATTTCCATCGATGCAAGGTTTGCCAAATATTGACCAAGGGGGCTTCTCTCTTCTCGCGAATTGTATCCTTGTTCTTCAGCACGTCGCAACAAGGCTTTGCTCAAAGCGTGCCATCTCTCTGCGGCCCCTTCTGTAGCCATCTCATCACTCTTGACTTCTCGTAAGCCTTCTTGTGTGTTTCGTGATGGTGGCAGGATAATCCACGGTCGCTCGACAAGCAGCCCTACACGCTTTCCTGAGACAATACGAATGTTGCCGTCTTCAAACAGTGGCTGCGTTGTTCCAGCCCGGCCATATCGATATCGAGCGGGTTGAAAATCGCTCACTGCCAGCTCGCCATTGAAGAAAACATCATATTTGACACATCGAAATTTCGATTGACTGCGGTACGCTCCCTTTTTTGTCTCAAAAGACGGCAGAAACGTCTTCTGGGGCAATTTGATGACGAGACCAAGAGCTCTGGGTATAGAGATGTCCTTTGATAGCCCTGACCCGCGGCTTGATACAAGCCCACCAGACTTTGACCGAGTCCGTTCATCTCCAGAATCAATTTGACTCACGGAGGTCTGTTTCTGGCTGGCTTCGTCTTCACCGCCTTGGTTTTGACTGACCTGGGCTTTGACACGCTCATCTAGTGTAAAGTTTTTCGGCTTGAAGCAGTCGCCGCCAACTTGAACAAGATAGAAAGGAACATCGCCAAGGAAGTGTAGTCGTGTGCTGTCTCCAAAACAAGGAACATGAGTCTCGGCCAGCGCTGGTGCGGTCAACAGAGCTTGCTCGGCACGTTTTGTGTCGCTGCCCGCTGCATTTTTGGAACGCTGCGGTTTACTCGAAGTGCTGTCCACAAGGCTGTATGCAGCCAGATGAACGCTAGTTCCCAGAGGTTTATATGTCGGCATTATTTTTGGTTGAGAAAGATCCAGCTTGCCAACATTGCACTGTAAGGGTGTCAAGGTGACTAAACGCAACCATGACTTGGTGAAGAGTGACTCTTTAAGAATGAGCCCTTAAGTCGGGTCAAGCGCATATTACCACGGCTTTGTATGGCAAACAGAGCAACATATCTTTCAGATCCCCATTGAATTTAAGAACCCACGTCAATCGTTCGAGATGATGCCAATAGGGGTATTGCCTATTGTGTCGCCCAACTCAACAACTGTTCTATCGTAAACCTTTGCGACACTCATCTCGATATCGGTAAATTGTTCACCACTCTCTGCAATTGATTCATCAATGTCCATCTCGTCAGCAGTGTCCAGATCAGTGACGTCTTCTACTCGGCTTGCTTCCTCCTCGTCATCGTGCCCGCTCATAACTTCTGCAACCACGCCTCTCGTCCTTTCTACAATGCTTTTCATGCGTACTTTCTCGGTCCCTGTCACGCGTCTGCCGGTGTCGAATCCAGGAAGAGTCTCCCCTGTCTCTACGTGGCGACCCTGTAGCAAGCTCGCAAAGGCCAGGTCGAACCGGTCCAGCAATCTGAAGGTTGGCTGCGGCGCAGCGGGAAAGCTAGATATATACTGTTCGACCATGCTTGCCAGCGTGAGCAGGTAGGGGACCTGTAACGAGGGCGTGCCCGAGACCCAGATCAACTCAAAGAGCTTCTCCACGTCCTGCACAAGTTCTTCAAAGTTTTCATATCCTCGCGATGATGCGTCTTCGTTTTTGTCTGCCATGCTAGTACCACGTTTCGCATAACGGCGTTCAATCTTCAGTATCCCCTGGTCTACGAATCGAATAAATGCAGACTCTTTCGCCCCACCTGGCTTCAGAGGGTGTGCTCGCGGATGCGGCAGCGCTGCTGCGACTGTGGACCCGGAGGCTATTGATGAAGGCGGCGGAGAGAGCATCTGATCCGGAAGAAAGCCACCACCTCTGGGGGCTTCGCGATGTAACGCCATCGTGCAGTGTAGCTAAAGTTTGATTATGAAAGTATGCGAACAGAGTCTGACGTCTTACGCTACGCATCAGCTACGTACAATTTGAATCAATAAAATCTGGTTCGCATTACTTATGATTTATGCGAAATGGCTTGTACAGGATTTTTCCCGGAAATTTCTCAGAACTTAACTGCAATCATTGTGGAGCCACGATGTTGCAAGGTGACGTGAAGAGCGAGACGCGTTCAGGTAACTGTACAGACATGAATGGTCAAAGCTTCTTCACGTGTCCGTCAGAGTCCCGGCTTGCTGTTCCGCAACCGCAGAAAAGAGCACTGTCAACATAACTAGATATAGTCTGGGCAAGTCGTCATTACCAATGAACCTCCTGAAGGCGTAGTTTGTCAATTGTTTCTCAAACTTCTATTCGATACAATGCACTTCAATTGTGTGGCGCGACTTTCGAAACTGCAGCACTCAGTTCTGCTTCGTTGATCAACTGAGCGGATGAATTTAGATTTACCAGAACTACAGAGTCCGAAGGGGAAAAGGGAATTTCCTCGATGTTCAGCGTTTCTAGACCACAGTAGACATAGGACATGCAATCGACTGGAAGACGTGCGTTAAACAGAACTCCAGCTTTGGAGTCCGCTTCTGGATGTCTAGACTCTGCTAGAATCGTCTATCCTTTGTCAGCCCGCTGCTTCAAGTTCTGTTTGCGGCGCAGCAGCTCTACTGTCTCGTAAGCTGGTACCACGAGTGCACTTATGATTCCTAATACGTCACGCAGCGTGAATATATACGCCTCTCACCCCACTTCGTGATGAAGCCATAGCAACAAGCTTTACAAACACAGCACAAAAGCGTGAACCACAAAAATCATCAGGACTTTCTTCACGTACAATCCGAACGACGAGAAAGAAACAAGATAGCAAACGCAATGGCATCTCCAGTCACCATCAACTCGACATCCCAGTTCCACCAGCTGCTCAAGTCGAGCACCTTCGTGCTGGTCGACTTCCACGCGACGTGGTGCGGGCCCTGCCACGCCATCCGACCCGTGTTCGAGGCGCTCGCGAAGCAGCACTCCGCGCCCAACTTCACATTTGCAAAGGTCGACGTGGACGCGCAGCAGCAGCTGGCCCGCGAATACTCCATCACGGCGATGCCAACCTTCTTGCTTATCAAGGACGGAAAGGTGGTCGAGACGGTGCGGGGCGCGAACCCGCCGGCGCTGAAGCAGGTCGTCGAGCGAACGGCGACGCAGGCCAAGGCGGAGAGCGCCAGGAAGGCCGAGGAGGCGAGGAAAGCTGAGTCGGCCAAAAGAACCGATACCGGCTCGCAGGAACCAAACAACGTGAGCGTCAGCGGTAGCTATGGTATCACCAAGGGCTCGGAGTGGAAGATGAGCCTGCGGTAGAGAAACCGCTCCTAGCTTGATCCCAAGAGTCAAGTTTGTTCGACAAATAGGAAGGTCTCTGCTCTTGTACCGCTTCTGTCCCAAGAAAAAGAAAAAACAAAACAGAAGGAAGCACTTCTCATGAATTACGAATATGTGTTATTATTTTGCTGTCACCGCGGGGCGGTTGCAAGATTATAAATGTACGTGGCGGGTTTCTGGCGTTAGATTTTCCACATCAGAATATTCAAATTCAATCAGAACAAGAACGACTTGACATGACATTTCATGCGTTTCATGAACATGCCCGCTGAGTTAATGGCCAAGCCGCTCCGTTTTTCTTTTGTCCCAGCACTTGTCTCCCACCTTGTTTTCCACTGTTATCTGACCTTATGCGCTCTGTCGTTGCTCTCAAGCCTGGAATACCAAAGGACAACCCCGCTTCAACAAACTTGCTGCAAACCGATGAAAATAAGATAATTCGCTCTGACTGATGTGAAGAAGAAAGGCGCAGCGCAAGAAACAGCATGCGCGTCGGCAAACAGAGATCTTTCACAAGGTAACGCCCGGCCCCCCTTGAGAACTGAAAACGTTGAAAAACTCAGGTGTCTTCTTTGCTGCTCTCACGTACCTCGTGACGATAGCCGTCAGGTCAACGTGCTCAACACCGAGGACAGCTAATTGAGTTTTTGTCTTGATTCAATGTGCGTGAGAACGTCCAAAAGTGAGTGCACATCTTATCATAAATCAGCACGTAAGCCATACTGTGCCACTGAACGCCGTGAAGCGAGATCTGGGTGAATGACGAGTTATGAGAAATATGCGCTTTGACTTCAATGACGCTGCTGGCAAGTTGACCTTCCGAGATAAACGTCTTTGTGCGTTGTCGGCCAATTATGAATACGCTTTGTCGGTGGTGTTGTAATAAAGAGGATAAAATGAAATATCAACTTAATTAATGCTATGCTATCGCTATGCTGATTGCTATCGCTATTTGTAACTCGCTGCTTGCCTGCTTCCTCAGGCAATGGGGTATCAATAATCATCATGAGTATAAGAAATCACAACAAGACCTGCCCCTCATGATTTGGGCGGGAAACCCATCTCCGTCCAGTACTTTGTGGCAAATTCGGTTGCGAAGTCCATAAAGTCTATGCCTTTAGTCATATCAATGATGTACTGCGGCGCTGTGATGAGCTGATGCTTCTGCCAGTCGATGCTGTCGATGACTGCTAGAGTATCCGGATCAACAAGGCTTGCGGCTGAGACAACAAAAGAATGGGGTTTGGGGTATTTTGGGTTGAGCTCTGGTATTTGTAGCACCGGATCCGACATGAGCAGTTCATCTGCAGCTTCTGTGGTAGGCTTGTCCATCTCGTCTGTCGGGCTATGGGGTGGTGTCAGGATTGCCGGGCTGCTCGACACAGTCTCAACAGCTCTAAGACCAGAAGGTTTTGCTGGAGTATACTTGTGTATGAAGGGGGTGGCCTGTGATGTGGCTGGTGGTGGAATTGAAGCTGATGGAGCTATTGCCGTCGAACAAGGCTCTCCTGAAGCTGCTGCCTTGTGGACCGACGCCCTTACAGGTGTGGCTTGGACACTTGGCGTTGTAGTGGGCAGGTCCTCCTCCTCTTCTTCATCAGAAGAGTCAGAGTCGAAGACCCAATCTGGTATGCCTACCCAGTTCCGCGAATTTGGCGTTGTGGCCTGCATCGAGTTGGGTGGCTTGGGAGTTGATAAGAAAGATTTCGCAGGAGTGGACGGAACATGATCTTTAGTTTCGGAACTCATATCGACGTCATCATCGTCGTCTCCGTCCGGCACAGCAAACGTACTGGAGCTTGTCTGCTCGTTGGTTTTCAACTCCGGCGCGCTGGCAGTAGAGACGCTATTTCTGGAGCTAAAGAGTCTTGAAGCTGGCGTGGAGGCAGCTTCTTCGTGAATATGGTGATAATTCGGTTCATTTGGTGTTGGACAATTGTAGCCCACTGGAGTGAGTTCAGCACGAGTACGCTTCTTTGGTGTCTCCTCTTGAACCGAGTCGTCTGTAGGCCGCTTTGAACCAGCCACCTGCAGAGCTTTGGCTCTGTTGCCTGGTTGGCGTGCTCGCCACAACTCGTAATAATACTGGCGACGCAGCGTCTCTTCTTTGAACTGCTGCTCGCGCCGAGTCAGAACACGCACACCTCGATCAACCTCTTCTTCAAGCATGCGCAAAGTACTCATGTCAGCTGCTTGTCTTTGGCACCGACCGACCGTCCAGTAGCGATACTCCTGGGGAATCTTCTCGCCGTCTGGTCCATAGAGTGCCGAGGACGTCGCAGAGCTGCCTGAACCTGACAAGTTGACCTTCCGACGAGGAGTGATTGTGATCCTTCCTAGGAACGGAGTTGGCGCTTCTTGCATTGGCTTGTCCGTATGCGAAGCATCCGTCCGCGGCAAGATATCTGCAAATAATTTTTCTGCAGTTGGTTTTGACTGCACCATGGACGAGGAGCCGAATGACGCAGGCTTAGGCGTTACTGGAGCCTTAAATGACTCCGCAGGTGCCGTCTTGTGGACTGGCTGCGTCTTTGCACCACCAAAGAGGCCTGTGACCTTGGACACGGGTGTTGTGAGAATCGAGGTGAAGCGTGACAGGAAGCCTCCACTCTTGGACATGCTCTCGATCTGAGAGGGTTCTTTGTGCACACAACTAGTGGGCGTAACTGGTGACGCAATGGATTGCAATGTGGCTGATTTCTCTTCCTGGGCGTTCGACACCACCAGGTCCATAGTCTTTGGCGATAGTGAGTTTCGAGGCACATGGTGCTCGCTTTCCGTGGCAGCTTCTGACGACGGTGAAGGCGAAGATGACGGTGATGGTGATTTCGAGGTCCGTTCTTGCGTGGATGGCGTTGGAGATGAGGGTATGACGACGACGTCGTCCTTCTCGTGAGACTCGACTGGTGCTGAGGGCGAGAATGGTGACGAGGGAGTGTCGTCATTTTCGTGCTGATCTTGCTCGGCCACAGGCGAGAGCATGGACGGGACAGTGCCCTCGTCGTCTTTCGTCCCAGCCATTGGTGATGGAGAGGCTGGGGAAGGGGCGTCATCTTCACGAGTGTCCTCGACAATGGGCGTGGGAGGAGCGGTGGACAGCTGGGGATCAGGTGTCTTTCGCGACTTCCTCAAGATCTTGTCGGGTTCATTGACGTGCAGCAGCGGCTCGTTGGAGGTTGCCCGCGTGCTGCGTCGAGATGGAGCCGCACCAGTACTAGAGCTTGCATTGGCACTGGAAGCCGTAGACTGCTGTGACTGAGACGATGCCTGTGCTTCTCTCGACGCGGCTCGAGTCGTCCTGCGAGTGGGAGCAGTCCGAGGCGGCGGCGGAGGAGCTGCTGCTACTTCCTTAGACCTTGCTCGAGTGGCTCTGGTCGAAGCTGCCGGTTTGGGGACTGCCTTGGTCCTTCCCTTCTTCGAGGGCGCCATCTCGAGAAAGAGAGCCTGAGTGTGTTATTTTTCTTGGCTCCGGGGACGGCAGGAGCAAAGGGCTGCTGCTGTCAAGTCTTTGCCCTCGATGCAAAGTCGGAAGGCAGGACGCGTCCAACGCAGTTTCCTGCAGGATTGGGTGTTGTTGCTCGGTTTGTTGCTGTCGTTGTTGTTGATGTTGTCAATGGCAAAGTTGCGCTGGCGGACGAGACGAGTCGAGACAAAAGTGAGAGGGAAACAGTTGAGGATCGCGAAATGCCAAGCAGCTCGCACTAGACCGCATTGGGTTCGTGGTGGCCTCAGGACGTCGCGGTGTTGCTCTGCTGCGCGACGTCTCGTCAGCTGAACCGTGATTGGCCGGGCAGCAACTGCGAAGAAAATCTTCCAGCCGAAGCGAATCGGGCGGAAAGCAGGCAGACCAAGCGTCTTCGCGCTGCACGCTTGGTCCAGCAACAGCTGGTGTATGCTTGCATCGTCGCTTGGAGGAGATGGATTTTTCCGTAGCTTGCTGGCAACCGGCCGCACTGGGATGCGTGCCAGAGATTGCATTCACCATGAGCGCACCACCCGACAGAGCCTCGAACGCCCTCGGCGAGCATCCAATGCGGGCCTGCTGCATGCGGGTGTGCCACCGGCTTCGTCTGTCCAGTCGTGCTGCTCGGGCGAGCAAAGGCTCGAGAACGGCCTTGCCACCAGGATCTTTGCTACTAGTACCAAACTTTTCGCACCCGAGAACCTCGTAATGTAAATCAACATGCTCGTCACCGTCTGTTCGAGTTCCACGCTGCCTGCTCTGCGCAGACCCGAGCGTTGACTGCCCCTCAAACCCTGACATCACCTCGCTTCCGATTTTTTTTTTTCTTCTCTCCGGACCCTTACATCCCGCCTTTCAAAACCAGACGACCGCTCACTCGACATATCTTTAGTCTCCTTAGCCGAGGGACTCCTCCCGTTCGTCTGCTGCTCGCCGTCTTGCCAACTTGACGACGAGTCCAGGGCAATTGGGGCCCTCAGCATGGTGCGCAACATTATCGTCATCGGCGGGAACTCCCACCCCCAGCTCACCGAGCAAATCTGCAACCACTTGGGCATTCCACCCGCTAAGGCCCTCCTTTCCAAATTCTCCGTGGGCGAAACCCGTGTCGAGATCGGCGAGTCTGTTCGTGGGAAAGATGTCTTCATCATCCAGTCGGGTGGCGGCAAAATCAACGACCACCTGATGGAGCTTTTGATCACCATCTCCGCCTGCAAGACAGCCTCGGCCAACAGGGTCACGGCCGTGCTCCCGCTCTTCCCCTACTCCCGTCAGAGCGATATCCCCTACAACAAGACCGGAGCACCTCTTTCGAAGAACGGGCACGCCAGAAACCAAGGCAGCTACACATTCGAGAGTCGTCCGCAGACGCCCTACATATCGCCGAGCGACGCTCGTCCTAACAGCGAAGTGCTTCACAAACGCATGAGCGAGCTCCAGATGAGCAACGGCGTGTCGAGCAACGGCGGCAAGAACGCACGCTTTGCTGACGGCCAGGTCAACGGTGACCATACGGAGTCTCCCAAAAAGAACACTTCTGATTACTTCGAGCAAGAACAGGCCGCTGGCCGGTCGTCAGTGAACGGCATTAAACCAGCGGACAATCAAATTGTCGCTGATCGTTCGAAGCCGCCTGTTTTCGAGCCACAGCGAGGTTACCGGCAGTGGGTTGCCCAGGCTGGCACATTGATTGCCGACCTCCTCACCTGTGCAGGAGCAGACCATGTTATCACCATGGACCTGCATGATCCGCAGTATCAGGGATTCTTCGATATTCCCGTTGACAATCTGTACGGGCGCCAGCTACTCAAGCACTACATCAAGTACAATATCCCCAACTATCAGCAAGCAGTTATAGTCAGTCCGGACGCCGGCGGCGCGAAACGCGCCACAGCCATTGCGGATGCTTTGGGTATGCCCTTCGCGTTGATTCATAAGGTTTGTGTGTCTGTCGTAAGGCACAGTTCTGCACTAATCTCCTACACAAGGAACGCCGCCCCACTCAGATTACTGAGCGCCAGAATGCATCCATGATGCTTGTAGGCGACGTGGCGGAACGCACCGCCATCTTGATTGATGACCTAGCAGATACGTGCAACACAATCACCCGCGCAGCCAAGCTACTGAAAAAGGAGCACGCTACCAGGGTCGTAGCCCTCGTTACCCATGGTATCTTTAGCGGCGATGCTATTGAAAGACTAAAGGCTAGTGCTCTGGATTTGGTCGTCACGACGAACAGCGTCGATCAGAGAGAGCATAAGGCGTTACTCGGTGACCAGCTTCACGTCCTCGAGGTTGGTCACGTGTTTGCAGAGGTATCCCTCCGCCATAACTTTCACCTTTCGCCATTGTACACGTGCTAACCGCGGACAGGCTATACGTCGTGTACACCATGGTGAAAGTATTAGCGTCTTATTCAACTACGATTAACCTTGCGAGATCCACTCCTGCTTCGAGGCGCAAAATTGGACAACACAGGTTAATTTGGACAATACGGTTAATTTCGGTGGATAGAGACAAGCAAAGACGTGGGAGGTTTCTGTTGAGCTAAGGTCATAGGAGAGAATTTTCCACAGCAGTGACTTCCCTTCAGAAAAGCAGCGAAGACGCAAAAAAACAATCCTTTCAAGCTTTCCTAGTATCAAACCATACACTCCACCATTTGCGTGGGATCTAATTTTTTCCCACTCACCAGATAAGGGGATTGGAGCTGCGACGGGCGTAAAGAAGCACTCAAACAAATACCTAGGGTTAGGTGATGTGAAAACGCGCTTCTGATAACATGTCACCTGCTTTTGTAATAGGATAGCTTTGACTACACCAGCAACGGCCCAAGATGCCCTGTCTGGACAAAGAATTGAGCTTCGACCTGCACTGGACGTGCACCATCGTAGTGCCTCTCTCGTTTCTGGACCGCTATTAAAAGCATCGCCTTCCATTCTGTTAGGCAATATCTTGGAAAGTAGTCAAGAGCATGGACTTTAGATGGTAGCTTCTCCTGATGCGGTTCGATAATACTCAAGGCAACCTTCTGAAGCTAGATGTGTTATGACAAGATTAAGAGGCGTAAGCGACAAAAAGGAATTTTACGTTCGAGTTGATACCTTTTTCGGCCTAACATACAACAAGGAAAATTTATCATATTATCTGAAAGAGCGAATAGAGCCCTATGATTTGCACAAGGATCTCGATTACAAATGAGAAAAAGCTAACGATTCAGGGTATCTTCAAATCTTTGACTTCTTTGATTTCCTAATCATTTGTATAACTTAGCCAGATACTTTCCATAGTATTCTTTAGGCACAAGCACGTACGCTGTAGCCGCAGCAGCTCCAAAGCCTAATAGTGCTGCCATGCTTCCAAACACACCAATATCATTACCCTCTCTGTCGAACGACGCCTTGGGAGGCGGCGCCAAAAACTTCGTCTTCTTGTCGCTGTATGGTGGATACCGTGCCGACATCAGGCCCTCCATCCACGATGGCAGCCCGTTCACGTACGTACGCAAGTGCGAGAACGTGAGGATGCCGTACGGGCCGTGATAAGCTCCAGTGCCGGAATTGCCGGTGCCTCCAAAAGGAGCGCCTTTGGCGAAGGCATGGAGTGCGCAATCATTGAAAGTGACACCACCGGAAAGCGTCTCCTTGCTGATGCGATCCTTCTCGGCTTGGCTCTCGGTGAACGGATAAAGCGCCAAAGGATGCTCGCCCTGGGCGGTGAACTTGATGGCCTGATCATATGTCATATCAACAACGGGAAGAATAGGTCCAAACAACTCTTCGGACAACAGTGAGTCTCCTGGCTTTACGTCCACAACAATGGTTGGCGCGAAATAGCGTGTCTTGGCGTCACGCTCGCCTCCATACACGATTTTGCCTTGGGTATTTTTCAGCAAATTGTCCAGACGGGCCCAGTTGCGGTCGTTCACGACATGAGTGATCCACTCTGGCCTGTTTCCCTTGCCGCCGTTGAAAGTGTCAAAGTAGTTGGCCATGCGGGAGACGAGCTCCTTGCGAACGCTAGGGTCAACGAGGACGTGGTTGACGTTGAGACAGACCTATCGCAAAGTAAGATAAATTGTCGGCTGAAAGCATGATGCGAAGCAATCGACGTACCTGACCGGCGTTCATGAACTTTGTTGCGGCAATGCGCTTTGCCGCGAGCTCGATGTTGGCATTCTTGCTGACGATGGCTGGACCTTGGCCACCAAGCTCAAGTGTGACGGGCGTAAGGTGCTTCGCAGCCGCGGCGTGAATGAACTTGGCAACGGCTGCCGACCCGGTGTAGAAGATGTGGTCGTACTTGTGCTCGAGGATGTAAGCCATCTCCTTGGGCCCTGCGGTCACGCACCTGATTGCGCGCTGGTCGAGGTATTTCGGAATCATCTCCATGAGCAGATCTTGACTTGCCACGGCGACGTCTGACGGCTTCAGGATGACGGCGCAGCCCGCGGCAATGGCTGCAACCATGGGCTGGAGCAGAAGCAGCATCGGGTAGTTCCATGCGCCGATGATGAGGGTGACTCCGAGCGGCTCCTTTCTGACGGTGGTTCCCATCATAAAGTTGAGAGGGTCGAATCGGAAAGGCTTCTCATCCTTCGTCCAGGCATCGAAGTTCTTGATCGTGTCGAGGATATCGTGCTGGACGGCAACGATGTCGGCCATGACCGACTCTTGCTTGTGTTTGTGCAAGTCGTCGTACAGGGCCTTGCAGATGCGCTCCTTGTTGTCCTCCATCATCCAGAATGCCTTTTTCAACTGCTTGAGACGCCATTTCTTGTCCTTGGTGATGCCAGCATTGAACGCATCACGGGTCGACTTGTAAGCCTGCGGACCGAATCAGCACGTGAGCAGAGCGTCCGTCAGTCCATTAGCACGCACCGCGTCAAACTCTTCTGGTGTTGAGAAGCCCATTGCGACCGACGTTTGGTTGTTCGGTCCTTGGCGTGCGAGCAACCGGCGCAACAATAACGTCGGAAACTAAGTCGGACGTGACGCACAGAACAGAGGCAAGCAAGTTGTCACTACACCCAAAGGGCCTCAGAAGAATGAAAAACAAACTATAAAAGAAATAAGACTTGAGTCTGCTCCAGAGCTTTCTTCACAAGCAAGAAAAGTAAATCTCCATGATTATAAAAGACGTCCGATCCGGTCGCCGGCATGGCTGAAACCTGCCAACCGAGCCCATTGCCCTCTCCCGAACCCCCCCCAGAACTCCCCGCATTGGAAGAAGCAACCCCTGCAGGGCACATATGACAGCGACATGGTCGAGTGAAAGGAAATCAAAATGAAAGAAAACGAGTGCCCACTTGAGAAAGAGAGCGCCAGGCCATCCGTATCTGACTCGATGCATGCGAGCAGCCAGCTTGTTTGCACGCTGGAACCACCCAGTTTTTCATTTGAGGCAGTCCGCCCATGGCGCACCCTTTCCCGCGCCCCCCCCCCCCCGTCCTCTCGTTCCCTTCCAAACGGTCGGCTACTGCCGATCCCAATGGGATGACCGGAGCCTTTGCGAAAAGGACCTGCGCACCGAGTTTGATTGACGAGCTCCTTCGCCTTCAAAGACTCGACGTGCAGAACCGACCGCCCAAGGCTCGCACGCGGAGCGCGGCCCTCGGTAAAGCAGCGATAAGGTCCGCAGCCCGTCCTGCCGAGAGAGCTTTCGCTTGCGCTCCCGCCGTGCTCGCTTGGCCGCTCGGTATCGACGACGACCCGGCGGAAGCCGCCATGTTGAGGCAACGAAACGGCGTGCGTTTGCAGAGCCTTTTCCGTGAAAAAAAAAGACCGTTGCGGTGATGGACGGGCACGTCTCTAAAAAAAAAGGGTGTGCTGTACGTCATGGATAAGAGTATGTATGCACGTATGCGGTCACTGAGGGAGCGGTATCAGATCGGGTAGAAGCAGGATGGAATCCTCCCAGCACCTCGCGCTGAGGCGAACCACATGGAGGGGTTTTCCCTTTTAAAGTTTTCGCATGCGGCTATTGCCCGTTGACCTCGCCGTCCCTGCCCTTTTCCTTGAGCAGCAGCTTTATCATGTCCTTCAGTTCGTTGACCTCCGCCCTCAACCTTCGGCATTCGCTCGTCGCCATGTCAATCTCGACGTTTGGCTTGCTGTCCTCGACCTTTTTGCCCCAGCCGTCCGACTCGAAGTCGCACAGGTCCTGCACCTGATCCTGCTCCCACTCCTCGATTACCTCGTCATCGTCGTCTTCCTCGACGCCCCTTCTCTTGTTGACTCTCACCCTGTGCGCACTTCTCGTCTCCATGGCCGCGGTGACGAGCAGCAACGGAGAGTAAATTACGCCCATGACGTAGTCGTTGATGCGTGAGTACGTCTTTTCCGACAGCCACCACTCGAGAGGCAGGATGAGAAAGAACATCTCGATGAGGTTGAAGGGTGGGATGAAGACGTTCTCGTCCGGGGCGCGAACAAACTGCATCGTCTTTTGGGCGAAGAGGGCCATGTACTCGTCGTCGGCATTGTCGGTGATGTCCTCGTACGCGGAGTTGTAGAGCGCGATCAAGATGTTGAGCAGCACGACCATGATCACGAAGCAGTAAATGTAGTACAAGACGAGACCGAAGGGGTGCTAGATAGAGTTCACGTTAGACCTTTAAATCGAAAAAAAAGAATCCAGAACAATGAAAAGAGAAATGGTCGAAGATGCTTACGCCAAAGTTGTCGAAGCCATCAAACTCTGGGCTCCCCATCAGCGCGTTGATCATCTCCTTGACCACGAACCCGGTCGCCGTCAGGTTGTTGTCGACCTGGTCGAGGCCGATGAAAGCCTGCAGAAAGCCAACGCCGATGACGAAGAGCAGGATGAAGAAGATGGCCGACTCCCTCATCATGACCTTGAGAACGACGAGCATGGTGCCGAAGAAGCGGGCCGTGTCGAGGTAGAGGAGCAGGCGGCCCCAGAACATGGGCGCGGTGACGGCGAGGAAGTTGTAGCTGAGCTCGTTGAAGCGACCGCGCCCGTCGGAGTCGAGCGGGTGGGCGAGGGCGACCATGCGAAGGACGAAGGAGACGACGAGCAGGGCGTACAGGGTGCTGTTGAACACGTTCCAGAAGCCGACGTAGTAGCGGCCGACCTTCCACAGCTTGGAAAGCTCGTCGCACACGAAGCCGAGGGTGAAGATGTAGAGCAGGCCCTCGACGACGTCGAGGTCGCCGGACGGGTTGACCGTGTTGACGACGCCCGTGTACAGGGCCAGGTAGACGATCGAGATGGCGATCTGGACCACGTTCTGGTACAGCGGCACGCGCATCCGGTCCGGGTCGAAGTGCGACCAGTAGTTCGTGTTGGCGCGCTTGGTGTAGGCCACGAACGTGCTCGGGTCCTCGTCGTCCTGAACGAGCCAGCCCTTCCACAGGTACGAGATGCACTTCTGGTAGCCGCTGCTGCCGATGACGCGCAGCGCGTGCAGGTCCACCGCCTTCTCGACCACGTTGGCCGGCGTCGTCGCCTCGCCGTCGACGATGATGGAGTACCGCTTCAGCAGCACGTCTTGCAGAAGGTAGTCCATGTCCTCCTCCTGCTCAATGATGGCCTTGCCGATGACCTCGCACGCGACCGCCCGCACGTTGTGCATCTCGGCGTCCCACAGCTCCAGGCGCGCCATCCGCTTGAACCATCTCTTGCAGATCAGCAGGCAGAAGACCACGCACGACCGGTACTCCTTGCCGCCCGCCTCCCTGGCGCACTTGACCACCGCGGGAGTGATGATGGACGAATGCGCCGTCGTGACTCTGGCTTCCTCGAGCTCGCACGGTATCACCTCTTCGATCTGGTGCTTGAGGCGGAGGGCGACGCGCATCACTTCCTTCGCGGGGAAGGCCGACGGCGGCAGGTCGTTTCTGCTGCGTGGGAGCACTGTAGATTCCACTGTCAGTTGCGGTCCATGGCGTTGGCCTTGATCAATTTGCCCTTACAGCTCTCCAGCTCATCTCTCCGGGACCCTTCGCTGCCAAAGAAGACGCGGTGCCAGTCAACCATCTTTCCGCTCTGATCAGCGTTCTTTTACACGTACGCTCCGAGTCAATTGGCGGTTTCGAACGCGTGAATAGTCAAATGCATAGAAAGAGGGTGCTGAAAATGGCCGCCAAAGTTCACGTACGCAGCTGGCGTCGTCCAAAAGTTGGCACTTCATCCCCACCTTGCTGCTTCTAGAGCTACGCGCTTGGCGCTGGCGGATCTACGTCACTGGCTACAGGGAAGCGGGTAACGGGCTTTCCCCATCCCGCGTGTCTCACAATTTTATCGAGGCCTTGAGCAAGCTGCTAAAACACCTGTTTGAGATGTAGATGCAGAGGCTATGGGCAAGCGAGAAAGTCAAAATCTTCAAGTCTCTACTCGGACTCTTTTTTTGGTTTTCTTTCTGCCCGAACGCTACAATGCCAATACCATACTATTGGTAGCAACGCCCTTTCCACCGTAGTGCTATTCATCACAATGCTTTTTGCCAATGTGCTTTTCTGCCGGAGTCACACGAATCCGGTCCGTTGGTTCTCATTTATTGAAAAATCCACAAGCATGTGTCTTTTCAAGAGTCGTAGCTGCCGCCGTCGACATCGTTCAATTGTCATTGGCAGAGCCATCTCAAGCTTCAAGCTCACCGTCATCCGAAGCATCGCTATCTTCATCTCCACTGACTTCCGCATTCTCCCTCTCTCTCTTGTCCATCAAAGCCTGCAACTCAGCATCGTCGCTTTCCGTGACCGCCTTGGGCGCCATCTTGATGACACATTGACCACCGTTGCTGCTGATGCTCTTCTCCACCTCCTTGATCGCATCCTCAAGCACCTGGATACCCAGATTCTTGTCAAGACATTGCGATGTGAGAACGTAGAGCGGAGGCGAGACGAGCTTAACTTTGACCTGCGTGTCGGCTGTGTTCTTGGCCTCTGCCTGACGCAGGGCATCCTTAATGGCGTCGATTCCGTTGTCTATTTGTGTGCGAGAAGCGTAGTGTTAGATGTGCCAAATGCTCACATGACGCCGGAGCTAGGGGGAAACTTACAGCCGAAGCATGTCACTTCGACATCGGCACGCACTTTGACAGGTTGCGGCATCAGACGCTTGCCAATGTGCGAGATGAGCTCTGCCTTGGCGACTTCGCTTGGAAACTCGATGCCCTCCCACTGCGTTGGCACATGGTTAGCGACGTTCGCGCCCCGTTTCGTCTCAGCAGGAGCAGCACTCACCACGTCGGGATCCGTGATGGACAGCTTGAACGCATCAAGCATGTGGCCGTACTTCCGCGACAACGGCCAGCCAATCTTCTCGTACAGCTCCAGGATGGGGATCTCGCACTTCTCGGCAGTGTGGCGAAGCAGCGAGTGCGACAGCTTCGACTTGTTGTAGCGGTCCTCGCACTTGATGATGTCCTCCGGCGACACTCGACGCTTCGACAAGTCAATGTAACCTGAAATTCACGCGATCAGCACGTTCCATATTTCTTGCGTTCTCTTATTTTTGTTTTTTAAAGGCAACGTTGCCGGCAACACGGGGAACGCGCATACCCTTCTCTTTGTCCACTCGCAGCACGACAACGACCTCGTTCCTGCCTACGCGGATAAGCTTCTGGATGGATCTTATACGTCTTCGGGACAGTTCGCTGAGCAAGATCAGGCCGTCGATGTTGTCATATTCGAGCAGCTTAACGTATGCACCCATTTCTGCAATCTGTGCGTGTACGCGCAAGTGGTCAATATCGTTGGACTCTTTTCTGAGGGGGTTTCACAAGTCTTTCTGCACAGGGCAGTACGGGGAAAAAAGTAGTTGAAAAATAGTTCGACTCACTTGTTTGACATTGACCATCACAAAGGACTCCACCTCCGGATACTTCTCCTCGTAAAAGCGACAGTTTGAGAACGACATCTTGGTTTGTGCGCGTCCGATATTCGTACGTGGCGTGGTTTGCTCGAGGTCGAATACGGGCCTCGTATGGCGATTCAGTTGGATGTTCCTCCGTTCTAGCGGCGACTCGGGCAAAGAGGGATGCAGCACTTGGCGGCGACGGTGGTGCTGGAAGCGTAGGTGTAGGGATGTCGGACAGTTTCCTTATGACTGGTTTTCAAAAGAACTTGCGATTTCGAACTTTGGTGGGGCGCGGGCCTTTGCCGCACACTGCCTGAGCTGAGGCCACGGCAAACCCCACGCATGCCTGAACAAGCACGCTTACCGATTGTGAACGATAAAACATATGACGAAAGCGACGAGCGAAGACGAGAAACTCAGAGTAGACATTTGCAAATACTAACTGGTAATCCAAAATCTTCACCCCTCCGGAAGCTACCGCCTCTTTAATGCCCGAGCGAGTGGTGACAAGAACGCCGCCAACGCCGTCCGCCCCCCCTAATCCAGAATGGATATCATCACAAGGGTGACCCGACCAGTGACCCACACTCCTCAAACTCCTCCAATTCCTGCTCGCGAAGAGGAAGAGGCTGCACCATGTACAGAAAAGAATAAAAATTAACGCGTTTACGCACGACATACACAGCCAAGCACGATTCGTAATAGACCCGCGATTGTGGTCATCTCTCACCCATGATCCGTCATTCATCGTGGCCACGGACGTGGTTGCGCCGTCACTTCAGTGCTTCTGCAGGATGGCCTCGTACAAGCTGGCCAGAGCACCGATGGCAGTGCCGATGAGCACGCCCTGGTAGCCGCCGAACAGGGCGCCGTCGACGCGGGCGACGGTCTCGTCGCTCCAGAAGCCGTTGAAGCGGAAGCCTTGGGAGTAAACGAGCCAGGTGACCAGGGCCTTGCTGACGTTGTACGTCAAAGGGTCAAATTTGTAGACGTGCGGCGAGGAGCGAGTCCTTGCGCCCTGTCCCCTGATGGAGAGGGAGAAGTTGAAGAAGTAAGCAAACAGCAAGGGCACGAAAAGCGAGGTGGTCAGCCACAGGGTCGAAGGTGCCCAGAAGAAGCTGGTGACGAGGACGAAGAAGTCCGGCAGCTTGACGGCGTAGGCGTGCGACTTGATGGCCGGTATGGCGGGGATGTCGAAGGCGTAGCGCCAAGGGAAGGTCTCGGTCTGAAGACCGACAGCCTCGATCAGGTTGCACAGCACCTCGATGGCGACGACGGTGCTGGCGGTGTCACGGACGCCCTCGATGGCCTCGGTGGTGCCGGACTTCTTGTACATGTCGGAGAGCTTTGTGGAGAAGGAGGCCTGGCTGCGAGCAATGTAGTCCGACACGACCTTGGGCGACGGCGGCAGCGGCACGCGCTCGGCGATGCGCTGGACGGCCCTCGGCGTACGTGTGGCAAGTGCAGTGGAGGTGTCTGCAGCGGCATCCTCAGCTCTGCCGTCGTCACGAGTTAGCATGCAGACGATGGACGCGCCGGCGCAAAGCAAGCGTCGTTTGTTTACATGACGCGACTCACCCGTTGACGGCGTCGGCAGCCTCGTCCTTGACCTTTGCCACGATTGTTTTGCGGCGGCGCGCCGTCTTGAGCTCGCCGTCAGCATCTGGCACCGATGGGGAGGAGACTTGTCGTTGCTTCTTTACCGGAGAGCCTCCGCGTTTGTAGAATTCGGCGAAGATGGGGTTGCCGGCGAACTTGGACGAGTCGGCGCGTAGCTTCTCGTCGAGCGCGGTGACGAGGTCGTCCTTGAGCATGTCATCGTACCTACAGAGCCGGCCGGTGTCAGCGCACTGCTTGAGGAGGAAGGCGCAGAGCGCGCGATCAAGGAGAATGGACGCGCGCAGGTGGCGAGGAGGGCGAAGGGTGAAGCACGCACCCGCTCAATCCGGCCTGTTTGGCCATGTCCTGAAGGTCTCCCTTCTTTTGTTTTGACAGATACGTGGTCATTATGGCGAGACGCAAGCGATGATTGATTGGGAAAAGGAGCAGAGGCGCTGGCGAGCGACACGACGGACGCGTGCGATTGTGTATGTGAGCGGTGGTGGTGGTGGTGGCGGGGGGGGGGTATAATTGGCAGGATGGGTTTTGCGGGTGGAGAAGAGTCGGTGGGGAGGGGGGTGCCCGGCGGGAGGCTGGCGGGAGAGCTGAGCTTTGGTGTTGTGAGGTCCCTGCGAAAAAGCGGGAGGCTGGGAGCTGCTGCGGTCGCCCCCGGCGGTCGGCGGGCGCCTGGACGGGCGACGCCCGCTCGCCCAACAGTCGGCCGCCAGAGAGCGCGAAGGGCTCGCGCCTGCGTCGCTCCTCATTTGCTGCTCTGCCGCTCTGCGCCCGTCGTCACGGCGCAGCGCACAACGCACACCATCCGGCAATCTCAGCACACCCGACGAGACACGCACCGCAAATTCATGTACTTGTGCGCGCCGCTCGTCCATCTGCAAACCGAGCTGCAGCGCACGTCTGCTCCCGTCATGACCTGCGGTTGCTTCTCCTGCCTCTGCTGCCCTGCTGCCTCAGCTGCTCCCTCCACGCCCGCGATCAGAATGCGGCCTGCTTCCTCGCAGAGAATACCTGTGTCTCTTTCTTTCCTCCTGCTCTTTGTTTCCTTCCTCTGTTATCGAGACTATCCCGACCGTTCAAGCCGTCGTTGAAGCCTGCGCTGTGGACTCTCTTTATGGACTCGCTTTTTGAACTGCTCTAGTCTGCCTCTTCGCTCCCCTTTTGTCTCCGACCGGTTGCTTTTCTTGTCCAGCCTGACAAACACGCTCGCAAAGGTGATGAATTTCCCAAGAAGAACATCGCGACGGTTTGGGTAAACACGGTGTCGAGAAACAACCTGAGTGCGCTTCCAACGCGTGGAGGCTGTGCTACGACGCAAGTGCAGCACAGCCAGCGCTCCCGTCTGCCGTGAATCGTTCGCGCTGCTGTCTGCCCGCATCGCTCTGCTGTGACCCTCTCAACTACCACGTGCATTTCTACGTTCCTATCCCGCTTTTGCCCCCCAAGTGGTCCTGAAACGGTCTGGATGGCGTACCTGAGCCTCCACCTCCCAAAGCATGTAGCGTGATGGCGTTCAAGATACGACAGGCAACAGCTTGGCGTGCCAGACTATAAAACCATCCCCCAACCTGTTGTCAGAACTGGCATTCATCCACAAGGCTTCAGTAAAGAAGAAAACACCCTCTTCAGGCTCATACGTGACACGGCTGGGTCTTCATTGCTACCTAACTTCCACTCTCGTGCTAGTCGCTAGGCGAACGGTACACCAGTCCTGACATATTACCGGACGCTTCGTTGTGCATGCTTTGGCCCTCGTCTCTCCATATTTCCTTTTGACAAATAGACCGAGCTGCTGGCCCACGGTCTGTCGGTGTTCCGTATCTCGACCTGGGTCTCGAAGAACTCAGACACATAAATCTGTGCCAACTAGCGCAACAACTCTTCGCAAAGTCAAAACCATAGTCATCATGGCGTTGCCGCACGGCTACATCTGCGGTTGCTACTTCCTGCTGCCTCCCATCAACGCGTGGAGCTTCCCGCAGAAGAGGTACATCGCACAGGCTAACGCAAAGGTGCACACCACAATCCTCGCCTCAACCTCGCGGACGACCTTGACACAGACGTTTGTAAACCCGTCTGGACATAAGGCCATCAAGGAGTTGAACTACAGCTTCCCACTGTACGATGGCGTCTCGGTTGTTGGTTTCACGTGTCGGATAGGTAACCGCACAATCGTCGGGGAGGTCAAAGAAAAGGAAAAGGCCCGCGCCGTCTACAAGAAAGCAAAGGAAAGGGGAGAAGTCGCCGGCCTGCTGGAACAGTTGCCTGAAGCCTCCGATGTGTTCCTCACAAAGCTGGGAAACGTACCTCCAGGAGCTTCCGTCGTGGTCGAAGTCACGTACCTGGGCGAGCTGAAGCACGATGCTGAGGTCGATGGCATCCGCTTCACAATCCCAACGTTTGTCGCTCCCCGCTATGGAAGCTACCCTTCGGACGTGTCCAGTTCCTGGGACACCTCGGCGGTTGCAAAGGGCCTCGAGGTCACCGTAGACGCAGAGCTTGGGGAGGGGTCCTACATCCGCGAGATGCGATCTCCCAGTCATCCTATAGCCATCTCGCTGGGCACCACTTCCCTTGCCAAGGACGCTGATCCGCAGCCGAACAAGGCGTCCGCGACACTCAGCCTGGCCTCCGCTGAGCTTGACAAGGACTTCGTTCTACAGGTGGTCGCAAAGGAGACGGCTGTTCCAAAGGCAATGCTCGAAACCCACCCCACGATCCCAGGCCAGCGCGCACTCGTGGCAACTCTCGTACCCAAGTTCGCACTTCCAGCTGAGCGCCCGGAGATCGTGTTCGTCTGCGACCGAAGCGGCTCGATGATGGGCAGCAAGATCGCCGCCTTGCGAAATGCCCTGAAGGTCTTCGTCAAATCTTTGCCCCTTGGCACCAAGTTCAACATATGCTCTTTCGGCTCCAACTTCACCTTCCTGTGGGAGAAAAGCAGCTCTTATTCTCAGTCCAGCTTGGACGAGGCAATGAGGCACATCGAGACCTTCGACGCGAACTACGGCGGTACGGAGATGTACGAGCCAATGGCAGAGACCATCAAGCGCAGATACAAGGACATGAACCTGGAGATTTTCCTTGTGACAGACGGCGAGATTTGGGATCAACAACGTTTGTTTAATCTGCTCAACGAGGAAATTGGCGTGAAGGGAGCTCCCATTCGCGTTTTCACCCTCGGTATTGGCGACGCGTTCTCGTCCTCGCTGGTCGAAGGCGTCGCTCGCGCGGGCAATGGCTTCTCGCAAGCGGTGGGAGAGAACGAAAAACTTGACAGCAAGGTCGTTCGTATGCTCAAGGCTGCCCTTTCACCACATATCAACGACTACACCTTGGAGGTTCAATATGAGGATGGCACCGTAGAAAGGGCTGTTGATAGTTTGAAGCTGACGCTAGGCGAGCCAGCGAAAAAGGCCTCGCCTTCCTTCAAGGAAAAGATCAAGGCGAAAATCTCGCTCTTCGACACGTCCGTTGACCTTGACGCCAGTGAGCCGTCAGCCAAGAATGAGGATGGCCAGGCCAGGTACGATCATCTGCCGACCATCGAGCCTCCAAAACTCCTCCAGGCCCCGCACAAGATCCCTTCTCTGTTTCCGTTCTCACGCACGACGGTCTATCTCCTGATCTCTCCTCTTGCAGAACAGAGCACTCCAACCGCCGTTGTTCTTCGAGGGACGTCTAAACACGGCCCACTTGAGCTCGAGATCCCTGTGCAGGTGTTGCCTAAGCCCGGACTGACCTTTCATCAACTTGCGGCAAAGAAAGCTGTGCAGGAGCTTGAAGAAGGCCGCGGCTGGCTTGCCAGCGCCATGGATGCTTCCACGGGAAAATTATTGAAGATTCAGCATGAGGGTCGATTCGGCGAGTTTGTCGAGCGCGAGGCGGTGCGTCTAGGTGTGATGTTCCAAGTCGGCGGCAAGTTCTGCTCCTTCGTTGCGGTAGAACAGAAGGATAAGGACGGTGATAATGCTGTTGAGAACGCCGAAGATTGGGAGTTCTTGGACGACGAAGTACGGAAACTGAATCTTCAGGGAGGAAGCGACGATGAGGCTGGTCCTCCTGGCTTCAAGACCGGTGGTCGTGGAGGATTGATGGCGAGTGCAAGACATGGCCTGCGCCGTAGCCGATTCGCCGCTCCAGTGGCAGCGCCGGGTGGTAGAGCAATGTCCGGATCGGCAGCGACAGCGCCTGCGCCTGCGCCTCCGCCTCCGCCCACATCAAGCCTGATGTCTTACGGCGTCCCCGCCCCTTCTGCTCTGATGTCTGCTCAAAGCGCAGCGTCCTTTCAGCAAGCAGCGCCTCCGCTTGGCGCTCGCACAAGCCCTCAGAGTGGGTTCGGTGCTGCAGTCTCATTGAGGAGCGGCAGTTACGATGATGAGGATTATGCGAGCGATACGAGCGCCGGGTACGATTCTCCTCAAAGCAGTCCCGCCGCCGACCTGACCGCGAAGCCGTCAATCGAGGATGTGATCACGCGTGGCTATGAGCTACCAAAATCAGAGAAGTCGAAGAAGAGGAAATCTGCTGCACCTTCAGGTGTATTTGACAGCTTCCGCTCTTCGCCCCCACGACAGCCTGCCGACCCACTCCAGGTGCTTATCGAGCTTCAGACCTTTGAAGGTTATTGGGGGCTAGATGAGAAGCTTTGTGTGGCGGTGGGCGCGGACATGGCGACGGCTACGCAAGAGGCTAAGAGCATAGACATGGACACAAAAGTGCTGGCCACTGCTCTCGCGGTATATTTCATGGCGACGAAGTTGAAGGACGACGAGGACACCTGGGAGTTGGTCGTGGAAAAGGCCAAAGGCTGGCTAGAGATGAATGGCTTCGGTGAGGATCACGACGTTTGGAAGATTGTAGCTGGGTTAATCTAGGTCTACACATCCATCTTTCCTTTGCACACAGTAAGGGACACGCACCAGAGGCGTCGCCGCGCTCTGCCCTGGAGACGAAATGAATCGGTAGTAATGACAGTTTTAAATAACAATATTTCTCCATCGAGCCACGGCCGATTGAAATTGAACTGCCTCACATCATAGAAATTTAATTTCCAGTGCACACATCATTCCTTGTTTCGATTTGCTGGCACGGTTGGGGGGCGTCATGACCGGTCAGTCTGACACCTTTCTGCACCTTACGCTGGTACTTACTACTGTCTTTCAAGATCACTGCTGGAGCTTTCGAAATGACATCCTTTTTAAATCTTTTCTTTTCTGCTGCAAGCGCCCAACGGTGACGACTGCGGTTCAAGCAACGTCGTCAGTTCTTTGACGCCTGAGAACCAGACGTGGAAACGTGATCATTCGTTCCATCTTTTCGCTTGAACCAAGCTACGCAACCCGTTGCGCTCTCTCTCTCTCTCTCTCTCTCTCTCCCCAGGCGGCCCCCCCCTTTCTACCCTTCGTACCGCCCGTCCCCTTGAACGCCTTGAACCGTCTGTCAGGATCGAAGTTCTGCAGGGAAGCAGGTGAAACTGTCGCACAGACAAAGTCATTCGAAGCTTCGTGCGCATCCGTGACGGGGCAAAGAAAACCAACGAGCAACCAGATGGGACGAGGAGTGGTGCAGGTCCCCGCGCCCTAGCTGCTTTTCCTCATCGTTGGACCTTCTCCCAGCTCCTCGCGCGTAAGGAGAGCGTCGTACGGCGAGCGCAACAACCAAAGGGGGGTTTCGTGCTACCGGTCCAGGGTGGCAGACCAAAAAAAAAAAAAAAAAAAAAAAAGGTCCGCAGCGCGTACGCCCTCCATTTGTTTCTGCCTCCCGTCTTTGGTTTCTTCCTGTTTCTCATCTCACACGCCCTCCCTCCTTTCGAGGCGTCCTGGTCCGCTGGCGAAAAGGGCTGCAGGCCGGAGAGGAAGAGGAACAAGGGACTCTCTTTTTTTTTTGCTATTTTTTGTTGCCCGTCTTGCTGCAGCTATGAAACGGGACTTCGACACCATCCGGGAGAGAGAGTGTGTGTTAGGTTGCGTGAGGCCTTAGTACAACTCCAGCTCGTTCCCCCAACCACTCAGACGCTTCGTCTCCACCCCAACCTATCAAGAACAAGACGAACCAAAAAGGGCCGCTCCCGCAAGGCTGGACAGAGGCTCCAGAGGCGCGGTTCCCCGTCTATTTTCGGAGACTGTACAGCTGCGCTTTCGCAAGTGGCTGTGCCTACGTTTTTCCAACGCTGTCGTGCAGGCGCTTTTTGTATTTATTTTTGGAGGGGAGGACTCTCTTTTTCTTTTTTTTTTTCCCCCTTCTATTCTTTTCCCTCTTGTCAAACATCGCATGATCATTGCATTTGGCGGTAAAATGACGATGGGTGCGCTAGAACCGGCAAACGAGACGCAGAATGGATCAAAGGCTGCGCGTCGCCTTGTCTGTGGCGTCTTTTCTACAAGTAAAAACACCCCTTCGTCAAGCGCTTCCCTTCTTTGCAGGGAAAGCCTTCCCTCTTCGGCTCCCTACTATCTGTCTCTCGTCTCTCTCCGGGTGACTCTCTGTGCACGTTCACTGCTGCTTGGACCGTGTCAGGTGCCTGGCGCACAAGACGATCATAGCCTTCTTCATCGTCATCTGGCGTGCACAAATCCTCCTTGGCTGCTTTCCGATCTCCGCGCCAAACTGATCTGAGCATGTCATCCGTAGTAGTCACTTCATCAAACAAAGCGTGGCTGGGATTTTGACTAAGATCCAGCGGAGAAGCATATCCGCACGAAGTCAGGAACTAGGCAAATTAAGGCAATGACAAAGGAAACCAAAAAAAAATATGATTTCGCCTTTTATCGTATGATCGTGCTTTTCATCAATTGTCCAGGGATACCAAGTTAGGAGAGTGTATTGAGCCTACAATTTCCCTGCGGATCGTTGGTGCCGGAATATGCGACGAAGAGGTGCCGTGTCCCCACTTTACAATCACAAAGTTCGCGAGAATTGGTCGGGTTTGAGTAAGCACCTCAATTACTACAATTAGGAGGAAGGAAAGGTTGTCCTTTCGGCACGGTAATGAACTTTAAATACGGATGTCCTTCTCGACTTTGGTCCTCGTGCACGAACGTCCGGCTCGTAGTATTCGAGGACTTTGCGATCGAGCCGTGCTTTGCGAAGCGATTTCAGACTTTCATCGCAGCACACGATTTCTTTCCCACCAAAGGCGATCCCGTCGCCTGGCGAGCGCATCTGCATTCCACAAAGCCTTGACCCACAACGTTCGAAGCACTGGACAAAACTGCTTCTCCGCTCAGCTTACACGAACGAGGGCATCTTGCTAGAAGTTAAGTGAACTTGGTCAGGTCGGGAAAAGGCCAGAGGCACGTGCACGAGACGTGAGCTAGTGTGGAGCTCCAGCAACGGCCCAGCCATCGTCAGAGTCGACGTCTCGTTCTGGCATCCATCATCAAAGAGCGAAAATCGCTTCATGCCTATATGCCATACAATACTGAACGTCGATGGGGGTTGGGAAAAGTATCTGCACGAGGCGTCTCGCTGAACCCTTTCCTATCGCCCCTCGGCTCACCGCCTAGTCGAAAGAATCAAAAGCCGTGACCACGACCCCTTATGTGGTAATGAATGTCTGTCATGTCCCAATATCTTGGCCAATGCTCCGCACTTGCCGTCCGATGGATGCTGGGCTTTGACGAAATGAAAAAAAGGCTGATTCACAGCGGTCCAAGAAAACACGCGTTTTTGGCCGTCGACGAGCGAATTGGTTGAAAAAGCTCCAAGTAGATCAGCCCGCTTACAGCGTTAGGCGACGCCATGTCCGTCCAGCACAGCAACGAGAAACGCAAGCAGGACGCCTCAACGTTATTAGGCACTCGACCGGCACCAGGCCGGCCTTGTTCAAGAGCAGTTCACAACATGGTCAACACTTTGACTCTGTTCGCAAACATACAAGGAGCTCGTCCTGCCGCTCATGTTTTTTCTTCCTTTTTTAATGGGTTGCAACAGCCCGCCGCCGCCCGTGAATATGCTGTCTCTTGCAAATAAAGCTAGGCTCTCGTGGCTGTCCCCGCCGAAAACGGTCTTACGTCGCTCCAGCGCAGAGTAGTGTTACATGCCTGTGACGTGACGACCAGCAGATTGCCCAAAGGGGTCCTTTGCAACGTTGCGGGTGAAGAGCGCAAACAACAGGACTCGCTAACCACAAGGGCGGGGAAGTTGGGCAAGCCAGGATAGATAAGCAGTTGCCGTGGAGGTGACATCGCTCGAAAATTCAAAGATGCATAGCGTCTCAGCAAGATCAGGTTTGTGATGTTCGCATGCTTTTTTTTTTTTTACTTCCATGGCCGAGGCTTGCATCGCGGTTTTGCGTCAACAGCCAGAGTGGAACTCTCCAATGCGCTAAAACGGGACGACCACGATCTCCACAGCGGATGACAGAAACGTTTCTGTAAACAGCCAACGATCTAATCACGACGAGATTGATTACGCATCAACATCTCGGGTGAAAACGTTCCTTGATAGGTCACACTTATCATTGATCGTGGAGTGAAAAAAAAAATCGAATGTAGCACCAAATTCAAGGCAGAGTAGAGATTTTGCGAACATGCTCGTCTCTTGGAAGGAGATGACCAGTTACAAGGACTGGGCAGCTGACTCAGATGGGAGAGAAGTGCATGGACGTGCTGAAGAAGACGCATGCCGGTGGAGGGCACTCTTGCGCAAGCACACGACGGCTGCATTTGCTTCAAAGCCGGATGGCCATCTAGTATGGGTAAAACTAAGATCGATGCGGCAGTTCGGCCAGCAGTGCATCAACAACGATGCAGCTGCACACACTTGCATGGTCCCGTTTCCCTCTCGCCGTGAGCAACTCACTTCCAGCAATAGTAGGCCATCTCATTGTTAGGCTTTGGCATCCAGTAACTGAGCGATGGGTAGACGAGATTATATAATTAGCTCGTCGGCTGATCCTGGGCCATCTGCGTCGTCTGTGGCACACCCCAACGACGAGGGTCATCCACGTCGACCAAAGGCCGAAGCAAGTTCCTGCAGGAGGCGAGATCAGAATGTCGTCCACCGAGTCCGGCGAGACGGTGAGCGTTTGCGGGATGGGACAGCCACTTCATTCTTGAGCCGTGAACGAGTCCGAATGAACGGGACGAAACTTGGATCGCTTGGCATCCAGATGCGAGACCGAGGGCCAGGCGTGGGTTGACTGAGGAGGGAGACAGAGAGAGACGGCAGATGCGCGAGCCAAAGCGTTTCTTCTCAAAGCGGTTGGGCGACGAGCCGTCAAGGTATCATCGCAGCGGCACAGCCAATGACGGGCGAGACGGGGCACGGCGTGCAATTCGTCGACTCAGGCCAGAGCCTTGTGGTAGGGCTGGAGCGCATCCTGACGCTGTGTGTGAGTGTGTGTGTGCACGTGCCTGCGCGGTCAGACCGAGAGCGTTGACCGGTCATGGCCCGGCCAGCCAATCACATTGCTCCCAGCACGACTGGTGTCCAACAGGGCTCGTTTTCGCACAACGTAGCGGCCGATCAGAGGACTTGTTCATTTGCCGTCGAGCGTTCCGGGACGAATTTCGCACTGTCAACCACGGGTCGCGCGCGCTCGCCGAAGTCTGCACCCGCTCTTCGTCTTCGGCGACGGCAGCGAAGCAAAGCAAGCCCACGACACTGCTGCTCCGCGCCAGGGCGGTCGACCTCTGTCCAGAACGCAGTGCGCCTCCCGGGATGTTGGCGCACTCGTGCATAAGCGAGTGCGTCCATGGTCGCGGGCTGGACATGCAAAGCCGCGGACGATGACCGGTTGTTCTTTGTCACATTCGGTCTGTGATTCAAATCTCGCGCGTCCCGAACCGACGATGGCCAGCGCCGGGAGAAGGCTTGCGATTTATGGATTTTCTTTGGCTCTCTCACTTGGGGCATGCCCCGTACATGCTGTTGACGTTGCAGAGGCGGTGGGGAGGGTTTGTGTGGATGGGGGTGGACGTTCGAGCATGCAGACAGATGTACACAGATCCAGACACAGACACACACACACAAACACAGCTGCATACGCGCATTCAGAACCACACAGCAGCACGCACGCATGCGCGCACGCACGCACACACGTGCGTGGATCCCCACACGTGCGAAGCGCGAGTGTGCGGTGGAAATGCTCTGGACGTGTGCTGCGGAGACGTGGACTTGTGTGAAGGCACGTCGACGCTGGCTGTGTGTATGGAGGTGTGTATGCATGCTTCCGTCAGCCCCACTGCAGCCGCTCGTAGGTTCTGCCCTTCAAGGCACTCCGCGAAAGAGCTGGCCACCTCTAGCTGGCGGGTAGCCCGCGCCGTTTCGCTCCACCCGCCTGGGTCATCCAACTAATTTTAGGCTCTGAGCCGGCCTGCAGAACCCGTCAACCAGGTCGTTCGTTTCTTTTTCCAAGGATCCTGGAGTCGAATCTGCTTGTTGCTTGAGGTCCCCCATCTCCCTCGGCCGCTACGCCGTGGAGGCCCCATGGAAATGACAAGATCATGGCGTACCTCCGATCATGCCTCAAATGCCTGTAGCGGCTGACGCCTCAGAGCGTGTAGGCTTTGCACACTAAAGATTGTGGCTCTGGGACTTTACCTAATCTTAGCATTGCGCCCTGCACTCGGCTTGCCCTGCGCCTGCTTTCCCAAAAATTCACCTCTACTTCTAATTCAAGGTGGTTTCGTCCAGTGTCCGCAAGCTAATTTTTGAATCATCCCACTCGATCCTCTCGATTGGACCGCAGCAAGTGCTCCGAACCGTGAATCTCTTGCCTCTCTCGAACCAGACATGCCCGAGCTTGGGCTGTTTCCGCCTACCCCTGGTCCATCTCTCATGGCATTTCCCCTTGTCAGACACTGAATTCCTGTCCGTTTGTATATATGGTCTTCGGTCACTGCCACCATGAGGCCGTCTCGCAACCATAAGACGGCGCGATCGGTACGTGATTGCTCAGGCGAGTCCGCCCAAGTCAAACATCATCGCCTGCGCCGAACCCGAAGGCAGGACGACATCTACGAGAAGCAGGAAAGTGGCGATTTGGCAACCGATCAAAAGATAATAACCCGCAAAGAGCGGACCCCACTGAGTAAATCCCACGCTTCATCCTTTGATCTCTCTGTTCGCCTACGGACCAGCAAGTCGCATGAAATGCCGTCAGGCGCCTCTCTGCCGTCGGTTGGCCATGGCCCCAAGCTGACAAAGACGGGGAGAGTCTCCAAAGCGAAGAAGGGCATCAAAGGCGCACACCGGTGCGGTTGTGGAAAGGTCGGTACTTTCTATCCTACACCATGATCCCCTCGAGGCTGCCTTCACCGTCTCATCGAGCCCGTTTGTGGGCTAGGCCGACGATTAACATGACGTTCGCTCTTTTGCCCAGCTCGTTCAAAGGCGCTGCTATGTGGCCTGATTCACTTTGCTTGGCCGCCTGAGCTACTTCACGTACTAACAGTGGTCAGACGTACTCGCGGGCAGAGCATCTGCGCCGTCATCAACAAAACCATGAAAAACAGCTGCCTTGCCTGCTTTGTGGCAAGATTTTCCACCGGCAGGATCTCTACGATCGTCATCTTGCAACAAAGCAGTTCGTGTTCCTTCATCACTTCCACAATCCAGGCCATGGTTGACCATAGATAGCAACAGTGATTCCTCAAACTCGATGTCACGCCGCGACTCCGCAACCAGTGGAAGCCCCATCTCACCATTACATGTGCAAACTTCGCTATCTTCTGGCCTGGCTGAACCCGTCCTTGCATCACAGCGCTTGGTCGAACCGAACGATCAATTTTCAGAGTTCCCGCAGAACTCACATTTCCTCTCTCGGCACCACACTGGCGAAGCGCCGTCAAGGTATTCTCCAACTTTCTTTCATCCAACAACCCCCAGTATCATTTTCTCTTCAGAACCACTCCATCAGACTTCCGATACCACCCTCCACTCTACGAAGTGAGTTTCCTTACTGTCAGCATCATTTTCGTATTTTCTCTTGTTTTACTCTTTGGTCATGTTCGTTCAATCAAGGAGTCAGCTTTAGCTAATTTCTTCTTCCCTTCTCAGCCCGTCAAGCGGATCCGACGCCTCTTATATCAAAGATGAGCCTTACCCTCAGCCATATTTCACGAATGACTCTTTCGGGGAGCTGAGTGCAACAACCACCGAATCAGACCCGGTGTCCTACCTCGTTCCAAGACCATCACTTTCCTCGTCGGGCGATGTTTCCCCCTTCAGCCCATTCTCATTCTCAGCCTCATGGGCTCATACAAACCCCATATTCACGCATTCAGCCCTGACTGAAACTATCCCTTTTGCTTACAACTCCTCATCGATAACATCCCCTCGAACCTTGGTCACACACATGCAGATGCCCAGTTGGATCGAAAGTAACAACGATATTCCACATTTCCCGCCTTCAGGTCTCACGTCGCCCTCTTCTTCGTGCGCTCCTGCAATGGCACCCGTCGTACTTCCCTCGCACCCAAACGGTGCACCATATCCACTCGCTTTCGTCGCCCAGAAAGATAAGTATGGAAGTCTTGATATTGAGAGCCCTCTCGAGGAGCAGCAACTTGGAGTGGAGCTCAGTCTCAAGACCAAGCAACACTATCTCGAGGCTTACTGGACTCGCTTTGACCCTTTCTTCCCTATTGTACACAAGCCAAGCCACCGACCCGGGACCAATCCATTACTGACAGCAGCCATGATGGCGATCGGAGCACAATACGCGGATGAAGAATTCGCGCGCAGCGACTCTCGAATTCTGCACGAGAAATGTCTAGAGCTGATCGCCAAGTACAAAGACGTTCTGTTGACGGCAACGCGATTGGATTACATGCAAGCCATTTTCCTTGTTGAGGTCATGTCTCATTATAGGGCGAAGAGGACTGCGCCGCGGCTTTCAGAGGTTTTCTTGAGCGTGTACGCCTCTCTGTGGAAGTTCCATACAAATACTGGTCGATCCTACATTGAGAGTCTCAGCACTATTCAGCCACAGCTGAGCGACGATGATCTGAGGTTGCAGTGGTCCGAATGGGTTGCAACGACTGGTTTTTGCCGCTTGCTTGCCGCTTGCTACGTCTTCGAGACCATGCAAGCGCTTTTGTTGGTCCGGTCGACGCACACAACCCCAAGTTGCGGCCTCGAGCTGCTTATTCCCGCCCCGGCAGCTGTGTGGGATGCTTCCAGTCATGTTCGATGGGCTCAGATGATACGTCAACACCAACCAGAGATCTTAGATATGTCCGAGATCCTAGATGCACTTTGGACGAGCAACACGCCTCCTGCACAACGCGACCCCTTCCAATCTTCAATCCTCATTGCTTGTCATGCCGGCTCAGTCTTGTTGCAGAAGAATGAACTACAAAATCCGTCCTTCAACGCCCCAAGCGCCATGCACACCTTGTTTGAACCCGGAAACATCGGTGTTCTGGAGCGTTGCCTCTATGCTCACCCGAGCATAATCACCATGCATCACATAGTGCAGCTTGCTTCACTAGCGCCCTTTCGAGCACTTCTCGCAACTAGCGGAGAGTCCTGGGTGCTATCTCAACGGCTGTCCCAAGACTCTCTCATCGCCGCCGCAGAGTTCACTACGTTAAAGTCGGAGCTGCGTTCGTGGACGGATGCGACTGAGCAGACGTTCTTCTCCGGGTCGACTGGAGACAATATTAGATCCGCTGTCCAACATTCGCTACTTATCTTGAAAGCGTGTCTCAATGCTCCTATCTCTGGCCTCGCCTTTGGACCTGACATGGCTTTATACTTCGCATGCCTAACACTATGGGCAGTTACGTACAGCGCGAGTAGCAAAGCAGAAGCTGCTGGTATGAAGTTCGACAGCAGCGCACCGGTCATTCTCGAGCCCTCGCAAGCCCGGCAGGATGCAAGGACATTTTGTGACTTCGCGGTCGTCGAGCTTTCTAGAAACTATTTGGACCGCTTGATCTCAGACGACCGCATCAGCAGCTGGCGGCATTCAGTCAACGCCGTTCTTCGATGGAGTTCTTGGGCTCTTGGGGGCATGAGCATCCAAAACAGAATACTCGGGGAACTGATTGAGAGCGCAGTGGGTGTTCTTGACTGTTTGAAGGACCGCGGCTGGCAAGACGGTTGGTTCTAAACATCTCACGCATTTGGGCGTTGAGCAATGCGGCATTTTTCCGCATCTCTGATTCACCTTCACGGCATTTCGAAGATTACACATGTATCTTGTCAAGGTTGCACTTAGATACCACTCAGAAGTTCAGTGAGACGTCTCGTCATTTTTTTTTTTTTGGGATAGTGAAGCTTGCAGGCGAGCCCCTCCATAATAGATAGAAAATTATAGTCGCAAAAAGAGCTCACAGCTTCGAACAATGAAACGCGTGCTGAATCCCTCAAATATGATTGGTTCTCGCGTAGCCTATTACGCACTGCAGCACATGAGCTTTCACTTCTTCGTGCTCCTTTCGTCTTTTATGTGCGTCTGTTCTGAAGTCGTGGACGGGAGGTTGAAAATGTCCATCGCAGCTGATTTTCGCCGGCAACTGAGAGCGCTGCAGTCTCTTGTCCATCGGGCCAGGGCTGAGCAAGGGCGACATGAGCTTGACAATTCTCTCGTGACCAGACTCACAGACGTGCTCCTGCGGACATGGGACCTTGGCTTCACGGCCTTCGGAGGCCCGGCAGTGCACTTCAAAATTCTGTTCGATAGATTCGTCGTCGGCGGAGCGGGAAAGGGTCAGAAGTGGATCGACGAGCAGACGGTATGCCGTGCCCGCTTGCCAGATGTTCGCCCCAAGTTTTGCGCGCGCTGATCAAGACGGGCAGTATCAAGAGCTCTTCGCGATATGCCAGGCCCTCCCTGGACCGGGGAGTACGAAGATGCTATTTTGCATCGCGCTGGTTCGCGCCGGCGTCGTTCCGGCCGTTGTGGTCTTCCTCGTCTGGAGCCTTCCGGGGGCCCTCGCCATGTACGGCCTGTCTCTTGGGGTCGAACGCATGAGCGAAATACTCCCTTCTCCGGTGTATGCCCTCTTGTCCGGCCTCAACGCGTCGACTGTGGGCATCATCGCGTTGGCGGCGGTGCAGCTCGCGGAGAAGGCGATCAGAGACCGTTGGACCCGGATCTTGGTTCTTTTCGGAGCTTGCGCGGGGCTATGCTACAACTCGCTGTGGTATTTCCCAGTGCTGTTGGTCGCGGGAGGGATCAGCACGCTGCTGTGGGATGGCTACGTGCGGGTTTGGATCGCGAGAATGGTCACGCGCTACAGGCGCAGCGGACAGCGGGAGGACGACGAGGCAGCAGATCATCCCAGTTCTACCTTGGCTATCGACGAGCACCGAGACTCTTCTCAGAGTGGCCCTGTTCAGCGAAGGGTTTCAACGCCAACAAGCGATCACCAGCAACATGACGGCCAAAACTCCCCTGTCAACTTTCACCGTCTCTCCATGACGGACGGGCCACCGGAAGCAGCCCCTCTGAAACATCCAATAAGTGTTCGCGTCGGTATATGTCTTGTTGTTGGCTTCCTGGCGTCTTTCATCGCCACCATGATCGTTCGAGGCATGGTCAAACCATTACCACGAGCCGCCGCTCTTTTCGCGAACATGTACCTGGCAGGCACAATTATCTTCGGCGGAGGTCCCGTGGTGATTCCATTGTTACGTTCTTATGTTGTCGGTCCGGGATGGGTGTCTAGCCGCGACTTCCTCATCGGCCTAGCGATCATTCAGGCGATGCCGGGGCCAAACTTCAACTTTGCTGTTTATCTTGGGGCACTTGCCATTCAGAAGACGCCTGCATCTTCTCTTCTTGGTGCATTGATGGGTTTCCTTGGTATCTTTGTCCCTGGCATTGTCCTAGCAGTAGCTTTCCAAAGCTTCTGGCAGGTTCTACGGACAAGACAATGGGTGCTTGATGTCCTTCGTGGTATCAATGCCACGGCTGTGGGCCTCGTCTTCACCGCGGTATACAGGCTCTGGGAGATTGGATACCTGACCCCAGATGCGAGCCAGGGAGTATCTCTCGCTCTAGAACCCTGGTGGGTTGTCGTTACCGCAGTTTCCTATGCCGAAAGTGCCTGGTTCAACGTTCCCCCTGCAATATCCATTGTGATTGGCGCTGTTCTTGGCTTGTGCTGGTATGGTGCTGTGAAAGCATAGAATCTCTGTATGACTGAGAGAGTTGGGGCTTAAATTCTATGTAGCCTACTGGGAACACGATGAGCAGCATAATGTTCTGTAAGGCTGAGCCTTGTCATTGTATGCAAGTTATCTGGATCCCACTCCCTGCAGCGCTTTGTTTTTTAGCTTTGGCAAGCCTTGTCGCTGTGACGTAATTAGGGTTACAGTATCTGTTGCTTTCAGATCCTTGCAAGTTGGAACAACCAGATCCTATACGCTCTCACGCGGGTACAAGATCGACATTGGAGTAATAAGCCTTGCAGTGGCCACGCGCTCGCTGCGCAAGTTGTTCCAGAAAAAAAAATCCTGTTTCTGCCAACCTTGGCTGAACGCATAAATACTTCGTATCTTAATGATTCGTTTTCGTACTACTCATAATCTTCGAAAGTCAGGACATAAGATTTCCCACAGAAACAAAAGTGCGCTATAATGAATAACGACTCTGGTATTACAAAGGGCGCGAAGGTGAGCTATTCCGATCCTGTTCCCGTCCAGACACTGCAGTCCCGCACTGTGACCCATGTTGCCGCTTTGTAGACTGCGAACGGAATATCCATGATCAAGGCAGCTAACAACCTCATTCTCTAGGGCGTGACAAGTACTGTCGGCAACACAGCACGTAATCCACTTCTATCTTACGTGCCACGTCTAACGAGCTGTAGGTCGGTGGATTGACTAATACAGTTGGTGGGGTTGTCGGTGCCCTTGGCCGCGGTCTAGGTGTAAGTGCAAAGCATCGAATAGCCCGTCTAGTGATCGAAATTAATCGTTTTTCAACAGATCTTTTGAAACTCAATCCCCAATAAACTCTCTGGTTTTTCCCTAACATCTTCTTAGGAGAGACAGTATCAGGCGCCACGGGTGGCGCTGGAAATAGCGTCGGGCAAGGTATTGCAGACATTGGCAACGGTGTTGAAAACGGTGCGGCCGATGTATCGAAAGGGGTGAAGAGAGCTGGAGAATGGAAGTCTTGAGTTTGCACTTTCGCAAAAATGAATAGAAGGCAACGAGATTTGCAATAAGAAATGAGCGACTCCAGGTTGAACGACTGGTATTCAGGAAGTCATTAAGCAGAAATCGGTTCGAGAATTGATACTCGTGTCAATCAATTCTTGATTTCAGGTCAATTTCCATGCCGCCCGTGCACAAGGTCAGATGTATACATAACAATTCAAAAAAAAAAAAAAAAATGGAATGAATCTCAAAACGTTTGCTCACCGAAGGCTATCTCTTTAGTCAATGATAACCACGAACTAAGCGGAAATACCACAAGGACTTCACGCCACGTGAATGCGCTTTGTTTCTCTACTTACCAGACATATGGGGTTATGAGCTTTGACTACGGAGTCAACGGGTGTGAAACGTTGCATGGATCCTGAAGTTTAATTTTTTTTTTTTTTTTTATTCGAGTGGCTTGCCTTCGCCTTGCCTGCATCAAGTACAAAGTTCGAACTCTGTCTGGCTACATTTGAAGGCCACATACACATAGAGTAGATTTTCAAATTGAAGCGTGGGTGTTTTGTGAAATGGTTGGTTTCTTGTGGTAGTCTTTATGACATTAAAGTCAGTGTTACACGACTGGTTCCTTTGTTCACGCAAAATGTTATCTTCTCAAATGAGGTCTTTGTGGAACTGAAAATTGAAACATTCAAAACGATTATTTATATCTGAGCTGATTAACGCCCTGGCCTAGCCTCTCTACAAGCCGCGTAGTATGGTCTGCCCAAGGCTTTGTCTCGCTTGCTGAATCCAAAGGATATCTCTTCAGCTCGTATCTCCACCACACTGCCCAGCCAAGGATAGTAATGACAGTGAGTGGAACGCTGATCGCCCAATATATCCAGAAATAGTCGCTGACCACATCTATTTTCTCTCCATTATCTGTAGTCCCCGGAACCCAATTGAAAATGCCTTGTATCGAGAAAAGTGTCTAGTCCGAATTAGCTTGGCGTTCTTTCGCAATTGAAAGCCAGAATACAGACTGCAACATATGATGGCGGCAGAAATAATGCAGATATGAATGCTAGGATTTTCATTGAAACGCTATCTCGGCCAGTCGTTTTTGCGATGCGAGCGTTCAGACGGTTGTCTCTCTGTGCGACAAAGCTATACAGTATGCTGAGCTGCAGATCCATACGTGCCTGGAGATTATCGACATGGTTTTTGATTGAAGTCGCAACATCCCTATTGTACTCGAGGGATTCGGTCAAGAATTTTTCCTGAGAAATAGAAGGATATACTTGTCTCAATAGGTCCTTCCAGAGATTGAGCAAAAAGTCCGAGGTCTCAAAATTCCAGCCGGGAGATTGTTTGGTAAAAATAACTTTTGTGTATTGTGTGTTGATGCGGACTGTCATACTGTTCATGACTGTGGGCTGATCCAATAGTGCGTTGGTCCAGTCGGCCTGCTCTTGAGGTGGACGAAAATGTGGCCACAAGCCAGACATGCCATGCTCACTTCTTTTCCCGACCCTGACTACACCGAGTTCGCGTTCAATCTCCATGACCTCTTTTGTGAGCTCACCTTCACAGAACGCTCGCATTCTTGCCAAGTGATCCGACATCAATGCGCAAGGCAGTAAAAGAGGATGGTTCCATGGCAGCAGGGAGGTCTGCAAAAGTTTCAACATCTGATCTGCTGGACTAAAGTATTCCCAGGAACTTGTTCTCCCAGATGAACCTGTCGCACTACGACCCATTGCGTGCCATGCTGTGCTGGTCACACTCTCACCATACAGCAGCGCCGTCGTCCAACCAGTTTGTACGTCAAATGAGACGGACAGCCCGTAATTCGCAATTTCATATTTCTGCGGAGCTTTGAGGACCAAATTAATTTTGAGTAGCTGACCGCTCTCGTTCTTTGTCAAATATCGCGAACGGGTGCCATTAGCGACCAGGAAACTTGGAAGTGTTGCCAAATGTAGATCTAGGACTTTTTCTGCCTCGATGAAGGCGCTTTTAGTCATTCCAAATCCTGGTGGAAACAAAGACGTACGATCGCAGATCAAGAGCCTCAAGCCGCCATTGATTTTATCTTCTTTCTCTCTGACCGTTTCAGGCACAGCGAACTCTCCTCGGCGATGCAGCCAGTCTTCAGGGTTTTGTTAGCCCATTCCGATTTTGAAGGGCCTTTGTTTACCTTCGCATTTTCCTGTAATTGATTTGAGCGATAGAGATATTACGACCAAAGATCTTGCAGGTACCTTTGTGAATTACTCCACTACGTTGAAATTGACAGTCCTTGACTTTCGCATCCTGGGACTAGATGAACTATGTTCCAAATTATGATCCTGAGTTGCGTACATTACTAAAACTCCAAGTCTCAATATACTCTAAGCGCTTCGCATCCCATTCGACGTCCTCCAGAGCAGCCTCAAATACAATTAGCATACATCTTTGGCTCGGTGTTCGTGAGAATAATGTCGGCATTTGCAACTTACAGCTCGCGCTGCAGAGAACATCGTATCATGTATTATGGCCCAAGGGCTTGAAATGTCAAAGGTGTAGATTAGGTGACCTTGAATGGCAAGCTGACGTGGAATTGTCTCGATCTACTCTTTTGAGCCATATGCGGTGATGACCAAAGCTTGTGGCTGAAAGGCTGGGATGAGGGGATTGGGCAACGCGTGATTGAAACTGCATGACTGCAGCCCTAGAACTAATGAGACATTGGATTGAACGCTTAATTCCGTCAGCATCATTGTCTTTCAAATTGCGCCGTGTTATAGTCCTATTTCACAAATTTAGATTTGTTTAACAGCGCAAGGCCGCATACTAATTATGGATCACGGTTCATTGTGAGAAGTTGTAGTCTGCGCAGGCCTATACCTTGAAATCACTTCCGCAGAGCAGGAACCAAGAAAATGGCACAATATTTTCAACTGCAGGTAAAACATATCTCGAAATCCTCCAGAATCTTGGCCTAATTGTAGCCCTGGTACATTTCCTCCTCGGAAGTGATTGTATTTGAGCCTAGCGCAGAGTTTTCTGGAATAACAGTTTGGCAAGTAATGGCCATCGAAAATTATGTCTGCTTAAACTGCTGAATCAAAGGAAGTACTAGTCTCGTCCCGGATTTGGAACCGAAAAATTCGGCGTGAGCACGTTCGCAGAAACAAACATACCGCGGCCCAACAGGCGATGAGTACGAAATATCTTCAAGAATTTCCTAAGAATGCAGAGATGCGATTCTATCTAATCAACATTAAGCCATGGCTCTGCGTTGCTAAGCCATTGGACGACTATATCCACTTCCTGCTTCTCCTGCTTTTCGGCATTATCAGCCGCATGGTATGTCTCTCCACCTATTTTCAGGGTATTGCGATACTGCCTCGAAGTTTGCGCCATTTCACTGAGTCTTGCCGCAACAACGTTTGCCTCATTTAAGCTTACCATACGGCGTTTGCTCTGGGAACTTGCCGCAGTCTCTTTGCACAGTATCCATATCTTTTCTTCAGGACTAAGATCGTCATTGTCGTCATTTTTGACAAATGTGCTTGGGTGGTTATTACTGATATTGCGGACCTCCTCGTTTATATGTCCGAAGCCGTGGTGATTCGTGAGATTAGAAGAAATGTTGACCAACGCACTAATCTTGAATAAAATATACATATCATGTGCAAGTTCAAGAGGTGTGCGCCCCTGTAGCATTCTCTCGATGAAGAAGCTCTGATTTGTGCTCAAGCAGTATTCTGGTAAGTTCGGGTTTGCGGCCAGAAATGACCGTGTGCAAAATTGTGTCGCCAGCTTCATTAAGCATCTCAAGTTCGTCACACTTGGAATATGAGAGCAAAAGTTCAATAACTTCAGAGAGCTTATTCAACGAAGTGCTGTCTTTTATCTGAGACATCTGCGCCTTGATCCAGTTGTGTAGAGGTGTACCGTCACCAGCAGCGGTACTATTACGCTGTATCAGCAGCTTGTATCGTATATTGCTGTCGAGAAGTTCTAACATGGCCTTCAAGTTCTCCGTTTTGTGGTTCTTGGAACATATATCAAACTTTGCGAGTACGTTGTGTGCTAAGTTGTTGGCTGCCTTCTCGCGAGTGATGGGATCTGCTCCAGCCTTGTGTAGTAACTTTGCCTTTGCTAATCGACCTAGTTCGAAAGCAAGTTACAGTGGTGTCTCGCCTGAGACCAGCTGTGATTCAATTTGGCCGGGGAATGTTCTTATAACGTATTCGAGTCGTGCTTCGGAATCATTCTCAAGGGTCCCGGCGAGAACAAAAAAGAGCAGATATTCTTGATTGGCATGATACCAATCAGAAATAGCTTTATGAACCCCACCAAGTCCTCTACTTAGTCTCTTAACTCTCATGTCATCTTTGTAAGCGGTCAAAAACTCTTGATAGAGTCGCAATGGCGTGTCACTGAGGAAGTATTCGAGAATTTCAAGAGTTCCTGACTGTGCCGCCAACAAAAGAGGAGATATCTGAGTCCCGCTAGAAACCCGGATTTGAGTTTGTCTTCCAGCAGCCGCCCAGTCCGCACGCTTCCTGCCATACACAGACAAGCCTTGGTAATACTTCGAGCTCTCGTGACTCTGAACACCACTGCTTTTGACAAGATCTTCGAACGGAATACCACAGCCAGTGCTCTTAATCAATTCAATGACCCTCCTAGTATTGCCGAGCTGAATAGCTTGTTGAAGGTAACTAGTCTTAAAACTGTAAAATAAACTGTCATATTCAGAATTTATTTTTGTTTTAAGAGTGTTATAATGCTTTCCGAGTTTGAGAAGCCAGGAGAAAAGAGGTTCATTGACTGCATCAAGAGCATACCCAAGTAACGAACTCGAAGAGCGAGAAGTGTTGATCATATCTCTGTCACTCAAAGTCTTGGCCGGACAGAACCAGGATAAGTAGTCTAGCGGTGCAACATGGCTATCAAATTCTAGGGAGACCGCGCCTATGTTTTCGGTGGAAAATTTGTCGTCATTGATCTCTTCATAGACGTGCACATCGCAACTGCTCTCGCTCCTGCAGTCATTATCGTGCTGCTCAGCCATTATGTAGCGAGCGTTTCTCTCATCCTTTTTCTCAGGGCTGTACTGAGCGAGGCAAATCTCTAGAATCACTTCGGCGACTTCAGTACGATCCCTCATCACTGCAATAGATAGCGGGGATGCCCCGAATTGATCCTGAACTGCAATTCTCACTGGCGGTTGATCACCTTGGGGCAGAAGCGTCAATGCCTTTATTCTGTCGAGGTCTCCAGCCCAAGCCGCTTCAAACCTTAGAGAGATATATTAGCACTATTCGCGTGAGCCTTTTGTGTATTACAATTGTACGTATTGCTCCTTCACCTCCCCATGAAGCTCTCCAATTTTAAAATCAAATTATACTCTAATTGGTTTTTTAACATCTCTGAATGGCTGAAAATAATGGTTTTGGTTGTATTCATTCAAAGAAATATCTGGATAAAGTTCCTTGAATGTTTTCGCACCACGTCTCAACAATTCAACCTCGAGCTTCGTAAAATCATCGATAGTAGCTTTAATAGCAACCATCTTTTTTTTTCAATCCTTTCGTAGACTCAAATTCTTTAAATCGTATTTCGTATGCTTTCATGTCTCTATTGTAGCGTTCCCTGGCGTACTTAATGCTTGTTGAAGCTGTCCAATGCTTATATGAGTCAAATTGAAAATCTTTCAGATAATCCACGTTAGGCATCAGTGGTATCGGCGGTTCGGCTATAAATTTTTCGCCATCATACTATTTTAGACCCTTAAGATTCGCGCGAACAAGATCAAGGGTGGACATGCCGGCATAATGGTGGAAGGATGTCGCCAGCAACTCAGCGGATGAGCGTGGTAGTGTGTTCGGATCAGCTCCATCTTCAAGTAAGGCAATAGCTACATCTACGAGGTCATTACTAATGGCAGCCACAAGAGGTTGCTCGACTGATTGTCGGAAGATTTTGGTGGAGAATTCAGGATCAGATTCTAACCTTGACTTGGTGTGTTTGTCGGAGATAATTTTGGCTTGCTTGATCCATGCAGAGAAATGAATGGCCGGTGCAATGCCTTTCTCAAGAATTTTCAGACAAGTTAGAGTATCTGAATTCCTAATTGATGTCAAGAGCGGTGAACTCGTCCGGAGACTCCAGGAACTGCCCCCAACCACGATGTGATGCAAAGCTGCAAGAGCTGACGGTGTGTCATTGCCTAGAATCAAATCGAGTGAATCAGTTCCATCATTGACGTAGTATTGCAAAGCGCTGATGCCATTGAGATCGGCCTGGCTACTGCTTGCATTCAAGTTAAGCAGTGTCTTAGCAATGGCTTGAGCCTCTTGTCGTGACAATGCCAAAGCAAGGACTAAAGTTAGGATGGCAGCTCGAGGAGATTGATCGTAATCTTTGAAGATCTTGATGGGTAGAAGAACATCGGCACCAAAGGTGTCCACCAAAAGTCTGACTGCTTCGTTGTGTCCGTTGAATATCGCCAGATGAAGCGGACTGCAAGCGACATCCCATGCTGCGACGTAAACATTGGAAAAATCTGGCTCTTCCAGATTGTCATTAGGAAGTAATTCAAACTTTAGATCTGAATCTCGGGAAATCTTGATAAAGAATCCCGTGAAATTTGATGTCGAATCAGCATCAGAGCTCCAGTTCTCCTCACTGCCACACGTGTTGTGGCAACACTTAATTTTCTGGTCGTACTAGAGCACTCACCTTGAAGCTTCTGAGAATTCTTTATCAAAATTTTATGGTGTCAACACATTCTGAACGACCAGATTCTTCATTAACTTTTTTTCATAACCGAGATCCCTTGATAGTCTCGCTTTTTTCATACTCCGCCTCGTTCCGCTCGCTTCTCGTAAGAATGGCCTTGATTATATCCACATTGCCCCTCTCTACGGCAAGATGCAGCGCAGTAAAACCATTAGCTAACCGTGAGACCAGACGAGCGTCTGCATCAATAAGTGTCTGGACAATATCTGGCGTAGAGCAAAGAACGGCAAGTTGTAATGGAGTCCGTCCGGTGTGGTCACGTTGATTTGGATTTGCACCTTCTTGCGATAACCAACCCTTAACACGCTCGAGGTCACGGTCTACAATAGCAGCACAGAGGCGTGCTGTAGTCCCAATATATGCCATTTCTGTCCAATCCGAGTCAGTGGTCGGACAGAAGCTCCCAATTTGTTGTCGACCTGGATTGTCTTTAAGGAAGGATATTTCTCCTTTCACATATATCTTCTCTTCTTCCTCAGCAACCTATAAGTCCTGAATCAGCATTCACTATATCTGTCAACAGTGGAATGAAAAACAAACCAACTTGCTTATCTAGTTCCGTGATAGGCTTAGGACATGAACCACAGCAATATCCAAAAATATCATCCACATGTCCAATAAAGACAGGGTGCCGATGGGGGTCACTTCTCGATCTTTGATTTGATTCCACTCGGCTATACAATGTCAGTTCGGAAAAATTCTGGTTAAAGAAAGAAAGAAAGAAAGAAAGAAAGAAAGAAAGAAAGAAAGAAAGAAAGAAAGAAAGAAAGAAAGAAAGAAAGAAAGAAAGAAAGAAAGAAA